CCTTCAGGCGCCCCCCCGATCCCATCCCCTTTCCTCCAAGCAACGCCACGGAGCACTACCATCCCGGCTGACTGGCAGCCCAACCCTGGTTGGACCCTGAAAGGAAGCTGCAGGCGATGCGGATCGTCTCGACACTGGGTACGGGACTGTCCGGACGTACGATGCGCAGGATGCGGAAAAGAAGCCCCTGGACACTGGAGCGAGAGTGCGGAACCAGGCCAATGAAGCGACACATATCCGCACCACCTGAAGAACCTGCGCGACGCGTGGGGGTGGTCGTCGACAACGTGTTCCTCGAAGGAATCATCAACGAGGCGAAGGAGAGGAAGGAGAAAGAAAGGCAGACGAAAGTGGTACCTATTCCTCCACTGCGCAGCGCTAACCCCGAACCCCCGACCAGTCCTGTTGCGGGACCTTCGCGCCCCCGCCCCGATACACCTGTCGTCTTTCGCAAAGTCGACCCCGACTGGACACCCGACACCACTCAATGGACGTGGGACAGCTCCTGGCCGAATCAGAAGCACCTCTCTGGCGAGGAATGGACGAACGTAGGGAGGAACGCGCGCAAGGAGTGGTTCGACGAAGAGGAGGATGATGGCGTAGATTGGGAGTTGTATGGAGATGGTGAGCAGTAAGTAGTCGAATGGGACTTCGACTCTGGCAGGGGGGTAATGAAACATTTGTCTTGCCATTCTATTCCTTGTACTACTAGCACCCATACTGGTGCCTGTCTTAGCGCTCACCTGCAGGTTGAACATTATGTAGCTTACATAATGGGGTCCGTGCGCACTTCGTACTCGGCATCGTACCACTACATTTCTTTCTTCACTAACACGACCACATAGACACAATGGTCCGTGCGCAGTCGGTACTTGTATAAGTAGTTGTACCATTAGTTGGTCGAACTCTAAGTTCGACCTGGTTATCCATTCAAGTCTCTGCTCCTCCTCGCTTGGGGTAGTGGTCATTCTCGACTTCCTCGCTCGATCTTCAGGACGACGCACTGTCCCTAAGTCCTCGCTCGTTGTCTACGAGTCAGGCATCAATATAGGAGTATAGACCGTTGTATCATGCACTGATCAATGTCTTCTTGAGTGAATGTTGCCATAGGGACTTCAACCGATGTGTTGGTTGGTGCGGGTGGAGCTGGTGGTAGTTCGATGTCTGGGATCTCGATGGGGACATACTGAACTTCAGGGAGTTCAAGTGGTTGTTCACTGGTGGGTGATTACGCACTTTCTGCTGTTTGTGTAGGTTCGACGTCGATCCGTAGGACAGTGAATATGTCTTCTGGGTGAGCGGGTGGGTGTCTCTGGTAGTAGCTAATGAGTTCTTGATGGGCGACGACCTGCGGGTTTGGACCGGTTGCACAACACCAGGTGCCGCCTCAAGGGTAGATGGGAGCTCTCTTTGTGGAGGTGATGAAGCAACAATCTGCTTGGTCGTACTGGAGGAGCGGTGATCCTGCGAGGGCTGGTAGTCCCAAAGGAACTGGGTTGACTGCGTTGTTCGATGTAATGGTGGATGAGATGTTCAACTAGGTAAAACTAGGAACATAGCTTAGAAAGTTCGACCTTTTGATACAACGGTCTATACTCCTATATTGATGCCTGACTCATAGACGACGAGCGAGGGCTTATGGACAGTACATTGTCCAGAAGATCAAGCAAGGAAGTCAAGAATGACCACTACCCCAAGCGAGGAGGAGCAGAGACTTGAATGAATAACCAGGTTGAACTTAGGGTTTGACCGACTAATGGTACAACTATTTATACAAGTACCATCTATGCACAGACCACTATATCTGTGTGGTTGTGTTAGTAAAGAAAGAAATGTAGTGGTACAATACCCTGTACAAAGTGTGCACGGACCCCATTATGTAAGCTACATAATGTTCAACCTGTGGGTGAGCACTCAGACGAGTGCTAGTATGGGTGCTAGTAGTACAAGAAATAGAACAGAAAGACAAATGTTTCAGCAATGACATTCTTGACTTCTTCCATGGAAGTTCTAGGGTCTCTGAAGTTCAGTTCGGTCCAGGTTCGGGCCCCTCAGGCTGTGAACCTGAACCTGAACCAACAACGACAATGTCGGACCAAATCTGAACGTGGACTGAACCCGCTGAACCCGTTCAGCAGGTTCAGTCCACGTTCAGTCCGGGTTTGAACTGCTATGAAATAGGAAAAAATGTGCTTTACAACAGGATGTTGCAGCGCGCGAGGTTTTTTTGTTGCTGTCTCAGTGACCAACAGCTATACTCACCATTCTAGATGAGCCCCGGTCACAAGGTGCTCAATCGTGTGCATGGGACTGTCAAGCCTCGAGGTGGGTCCATAGTACTGGTTACTGTCGCGACTTGAGGTCAAGCGACAGGGGAGAGTCTGAGAGCTGAGGGTGTTCGACTGATCTCACCGAAGCGATGGTGAGCTACGCTCAAACCTAAGGCTAGGGACAAGTAAGTTAGTATTGAAAGGTAAGTAAGTACAGGGGCTTACTGACCTAGGGACAAGAGGTCGAAACTGAGGTCCCTAGGGCAGCAGAGGCAGGTTTATATACAGGGGAAGTTTAGGGGAGGCTGTGCGCACTGGTCCGTGCACAGCTGGTCCGTGCGCAGCATGCTGATGCAGCCCCGGGGGCCGGTGAGTCAGAGCGGCTGTGTCAGCGGAGCCCGAGCTGTGCTGTGCACTGCCGTCCCATCTAATCTAATTGTACAGTAGATAGCGATGTGTCCGTATCAGGCATGTAGTACAGAGGTCGCAGGTTCGAGCCCGCAAAAAGGAAAAAATTAAAAAACGGCTAGATGCCGTACCAACTCGTGACAGTTACTGTTAGTAGACTACAAGTCCTCAGATAGCGCTTAACTTGTTCAAATTATCGGACACTAGTAGGCTGTACTACAGACACTCTAATACTGTATGTAGGCATTAATAGGTGTAGTAGTGTTGCAAAAATAATGAAACTCACCAAAAGGCTATTAAACATTGTGTTTTGTGTTAAGTACACCTGTACGGTATGCATCCTTTACGATCTGCAGTGCTTCGAATGTTGCAGGGGCCAACTGGTTCCGGTCTTTAGTCCCTGTTCTACCTCCACTCAAGAACACTCTCTCCGAGGATACAGCTGACCCTTGGATGGTGAGATAGTCCCTGGCTATGTGTGAAAGCGTTGGGTACTGGCCTGTTTGATTCTATGCACCATGGTTAGTACTGCATATTATCTGAGTGTGTGGATTGAATACGTACTCCCCACCACTTGACGAGATCAATGTCAACTTCAAGATGGCCATCAACGTACTTTTTGAGTTTCTTGCACGGATTGTGTGTCTTCCGCTCGTTTTCAACTCGCTTACGCACGGCATCTTGGATCCATTTGGTGCCATATCCTTTTTTTGTCTTCGGGAGGTCAGGCACTGGTGTATTGGACTCCTCCGCTCCCGCATCAGGAGTAGTCTTAACATACTCATTGAACTGTCTATTATAAGTGTGCGCTATCAATGATGATGTATGAATCATGACATACAACATCCTCAAGTGCCTTGTAGCTCTTACTAAATTGCTCATCACTCCAGCTGTTCTTAGCATATTCTAACTTGATTGTAGGATCCAAGGCTGCCAAAGATGTTATCAATAGTGGGAAATATGAGATATTGAGCATATTACGACATACCAAGGCATATAAAATAGATTTCCAACTGGCTAACAGCCTTATACCACTTCTCTATCTTCGCTAGGCCTTTTTCAATTGCAAGCTTGACTGGGGTGAACTTCGGCTCATTGGCCATGATGCGCCAGTGCTTCTGCAGCAGTTCCAAGTATGGTAGAGCCCGCCGAACTGTTGGTATTGTTTCTGAAGAGAATCTGGCCTGTGCCTCACGAGTTTCCTATATATACAAGGTGAGGTAAAAGCAGCAAGACACAGTGAGAGCGAATCTCTAAAACCTCGTGAATGAGCATGAGTAGCTTCCATTCACTCTCAGAGATGTGATAGTCAGCATACATTTTGCCTCGTAAGTTAGGCACTCTTGGACTGTCATCTGCAAGGACACAAAACTTGTTGATGGCCTGTCAAGCAGTCAGATAAATGCGGCCACATTTCAACAAGAAAGACATACTGCTTTCACCTCAATAACGCAGTCGACAAGGTCATACATAGATCCCCAATGTGTATGGACCCATTTGACAAGCTCGAGTGGTGTGACACCCTCCTCCACACACACAATTGTGAAGTATGTCTTAGCCTGTGGAGACACTCGAATCTAATGGAAGTTTGTTAGACATTGTTCATGATGATGAACACATCACTTGCCTGTGTGATAAGGGCCAGAAGCTTACCAAGGACGTCCCCTGGCTCGAAGTCTATGGCATCATCAACTTCAAATTCATTCTCACAAGCGATGTTTTTCAGTCTCCACTCTTCATCCTCCTAGACAGGTTCCTCATCTCTGTCGTCAGTGTCCTTGACTGTTGCCACTGTATTCTTCCCTGCTGACGAGGCCACCTGTGTCTGCTTGCAATAACAAGAGGGCATGGGACAAACTGCTTCAACAAATCCCTTTACACCTAGGTGAAGGATGTGTTCGAGGCATTGGCCACAATGCTTGCATGCAACCCAATGGCAGCCTTGCGGGTCATCAAGGATGTGCTGTATTTGTCGTGACTTGAGGTCAAGCGACAGGGGAAGACCTAAGAGCTGGGGGCGTCCGACTAAATCTCACCGAAGCGATGGTGAGCAGCGCTCAAACCTAAGGCTAGGGACAAGTAAATGTATTGGTTAGTAGGGTAAGAAAGAATACAACTGAGGGCTTACTGACCTAGGGACAAGAGGTCGAAACTGAGGTCCCTAGGGCAGCAGAGGCCGGCTTATATACAGGGGGAGATGAGGGCAGGCTGTGCGCACTGGTCCGTGCGCAGCTGGTCCGTGCGCAGCATGCTGACGCGGCCCCGGGGGCCGGTGAGTCAGAGAGGCTGTGTCAGCGGAGCCCGAGCTGTGCCGTGCACTGCCATCCCATCTAATCTAATCGTACAGTAGATAGCGATGCGTCCATATCAGGCATGTAGTACAGAGGTCACGGGTTCAAGCCCGCGAAAAGGAAAAAATTAAAAAACGGCTAGACACCGTACCAACTCGTGACAGTATTGCTGCCATTGCATGATCGTTTGTGGAGGCATTGTCAGAGGTAGCCCATCTGATCTTCTTGCAAATACCGTAATAGTCGATTACACGAGTGATGACAGCTGCGATGTTTGCGCTGCTATGGCTGCCTTCAATCTCGGTGTAGCCAATGATCTTGTGCTTGAGCTCCCATTCATTTGGAGCATCTGCGGGAGCGTCAATGTAGTGTGCAGTGACCGAGAGATAAGGATCACCAGCTGCTGACATCCAAGTGTCAAATGTTAGCGAGATTTGGCCATGAACATTCTGTTTGTTTGATGTAAGACAAAGCCAAAAATGAAGCACGAAAACATACCTTGAAGTGTTCATGGATAAGTGCTTCTACATTGAGCATCTTGGCCATTAGTTCCTCATGCACTTTAGTATGATGCGGGATGTCTGACTCCTTCATCTTCGGGCGCTAATATTTGAGTATGCGACGAAATGCTGTCTTGTCTACAAGTGTAATTGCCTACACTGACTGATAAGTCAAAATACTCAAAATATTGCGCTGCATGTACGAGGTCTGAGGTCACAATCAACTCGACTATGCAATCCAATAGCCCCCCCTTTGACCACTGAGCTTCAGCTTGAAAGAAGCTGTCAAAATGGCCTTGGTTGTCTAATATCATGGCGGGATGACCAAGAGACTTCTCCAGTGGATGAGCCTGGTGGTGGGGCTCTATTTTGGCCTGTGAACACTTTGTAGTGTAGATCTCCCCATGTGTATCCCAATTCCTGGCAGACATATCAGCTGAGACTTGGGGAATCATTCATAATTCATACTCGGTTCTCGGTTCGGTCCGGGTCCGAACCAGGTTCAAGGTTCCATGGGTGCCTCATGAACCCTGAACTGAACCTGCTGCCCTAATGCCCAAACCTGAACCTGACCGAACCTGAACCTAGGTTTGGTTCAGCCGGTTCACAGTTCAGAACTGGGTTCAGGACCAAACTTCAGAGACGCTAGGAAGTTCCACCACTCGCATCTCCGAGAATTTGACTAAGTTGTAAGACAGCTCTTCCGTAGGGGATGGTACCACAATTGTAGGACTCGATGATTTCAAGACACTGGTGTGGCACAACAATGGCCATTTCTTCACCCTGGGCTGCGGTGTCTCCTTTGATGGCATTACTCATAGGGGTTGAGTCAAAAGATGGTCTGAGATTATAGGCTTTAATCTGTGACTATCTAGTGCAATTGAATTACGCTGGCGGTAAATTGGAGTTAGCGTGCGAGGTCGCTCGCGGGCATCCATAAGACATACCTGGCGGGAAATTGGAGGGAAGTGGGAGAGTGCGCTCTCCCGTCCCTGTCCAACCCGCCGGGTTATAAACTCGCCCGATCGATCAGTCAGCCGCGAGCGGATTCACTGTTCGACGCGCGGGTCGAGCAGAGGGTGTCCACGCGCATTGCGAATGCGCGCGCCCGCGCGGCGGGCGTTGTCCTGCTACCGGCGATAGTGCCCGCGCCGATTACACTTCTATAAACGTTCTTTAGACTCGATTAAGCATCTGGCTGTGTATATATGGCTGCCGTGAACAACACCGAAATCTCTGAGGGACAAGACAAGCCTTATAAACATTGTATTTGTATCTATTGCTAGACATTTGCGCCCGGCTTATGCTGATGGTAGTCAATGTGTCATTTGCCAAGCTGTTTGACGGATCTCGTGGTCAAGCCTTAGACGAAACATTCTTCCGCGACCTGCCCACATTCCCACGACCAGCGAACCCCCACTCAATCTGATGAGCAACCGTAGTCACAACACCCAGTTCTTCTGCAAACTGCCATACCGATCCCGGGTTCTTTTGGAACTGGCGCGCGACGAACACTACATCTGCTTGATTCTGTACATGACGGCAGTCATCAGATTCATTTCCATGAACAGAGACACTGAGGTGTGATTGGACCGTTCATCGCCGCGAAATGAGGCGAGAGATGCGCCCCCGGGAAGATGGATGGATGACGAGTGAAAAGAAAACAGCGAACGTACCTTATCTAGGACTCCCTGGGCTGTCTTCCCGTCGCTGATAGCGCCCACTGCTGCAATCAGGATCCTATGTCCGTGGGCCTTCTTGACCATCTCAGCGAACCGCGCCTGATACGCCGGTCCACCTTCTATCTTCTGCGCAGGATGCAGACCGCCCGTACTCACATCGAGCAAGTCGACACCATGCTCAGCCAAGAGGTCTGCGAACCTCACGGTGTCCTGGGCAGTCCACGACGGCTCATTAGCGAGACTTTTCTCCAGCCAATCGGTCGCAGAGATCCTGCGCGAGGTAACGATAGCGATGATTAGGTTCCTTCAAGTAGGATTGAATTTAATAGACAGTTACTCACCGAAGGAATAAGGGCATGTCAGGTGGTATCACTGCGCGCACAGCATCGACCACCTCCAAGGACAGTCGGACACGGTTTTCGAAGCTGCCTCCGTACTCATCGGTACGCTTGTTGCTCGCGGGACTCACGAACTCATGCAAGAGATACCCGTGCGCGTTGTGTATCTCGATAACGTCGAAGCCGGCCCTCAACGCGCGCTTCGCCGCATCCACGAAGGCGGTCACGACCCGCTTGATGCCCTGCTTGCTCAGCTCCTTCGGCTTTGGGAAGTCGTCGCTGTATGGAATCGCACTCGGCGCCCAGACGTCTTCCGGCCACCCTCCCGCGGCCTCCGTGGCGGTCGCGCCTGGGGATAACCAAGGCGCAACCGTGGAGGCCTTTCGCCCGGCGTGTCCAAGCTGGATCCCGATCTTCTGGTTCTGGGAATGTGCAAAGGTGACGATCTTGGCAAGGGGTTCGATCTGCTCGTCACACCACAAACCCGAATCCTCGGGGGTGATGCGGCCCTCGGGCGTAACCGAGGTAGACTCGACCATACTGAAACCAGGTCCGCGGGAGATGATACCGCCGACTGGACGCTATGTGAGCTCGAGGCGCGAACAGAGACACGAGGGTTGACTCACGGTGAGCGTAATGCCAACCTGTAAGTCGACCGTTCTCCGCAGAGTACTGGCACATAGGCGACAACTACATAAAGTGTACGAGGTGTGAAATAAGGGTGAGTGTCGAGGCCAATGCGTAAGCGCATTCAGAGACTGACCCAGAGTCTGTTCTGAAACTCAACCCCGCGAATCGTCAACGGCTTGAAGAGCGTCGGGATTGGCTTCCCATCCGGCTGGGGATCGACAGCAGTACCTGCAGCGGGGTACTGCGAGGGGGTGTAGTACGGAGTGCCAGAGGCGGGTGCGTTCACAATGTCAGGCATGGTGACTACGGGGAGGAAAGTGACAAGGAAAATGGCGAGCACCTGGAGAGCGCATCGCGCTTTTTATGTATTCGCTCAAGACAGCTATGGCAGCGAAGGTCGTGTATGTTTTGCGTTATGTCATGGCGATGTCACTGGCCACCCGGCAGCGACATCGGCATGGAGCTAGGCGTTGAGATGAGATAGTGACCGAGCGGCCATAGCTGAAGCCAATGAGACGATGGTTTGTATGAACGCCTGCTGTGTGTTACGGTTGGACCTGGTGTAGAGAGCCATTGATTCAGTCGTCGCGAAGTCGCAGCGTGCAAATTCGGCAGACGACAGTGTTCGAGCGCCCGTGATAATAAGACCGAGAATCAGGTTAAGGTTCCGTGTGCTCCTTTCCTTCACTTCGGCTTTCTTTAACCTCTGCAGAATCTGTCTTGAGAGTGAACGCATGAACCTTGAGCTCGAGGCGTTGAGAAATATAACTTCAAAGCGGCTTATGCATATACCGCTCCGAAGTTTTGCGGGCATCTACTTCGAATGCCAACGACCTCAGCAGCCATCTGAGGGACGTCATCCGCACCTGAGACGTCACAAAGTACATTTCTGTCAGGGGATTATGAGGTCTATAAGAGAGAATTCCATCGCGTTCTGGCCAATCACGAGGGAATAACATTGGACACGATACATTGTCTTTCAGTACAAACATGAAACAGATTACAGAGCACGCAGAACAAGGAGGCGATGATGTTTCTTTCTCCTGACGAAGAGTCCGGTCCCGTGTTGGGGGTTTGTGTGACGACGCTGCGAGTTAACCACTTCACGATCATCCGGCAATGCCTTCGTTGCGTTTCAACGCTCAGCATCCAGACGTGTCTTTCAATTCGAGGGAAGCACTTACCAATAACTCCGCATGCGGCACGGGCACCTGCATTTCCGGTCTTGAGCGATTCGTCGTTATCTGCGCGACCCAAGTCGTCCGTGCCCTAGAATACCAGCGTAACACATGACCGTTCCGCATCGGGCAGCGGCTCACAGGAATCATAAACGTACCGTATGCAATACAATGGCACGTCTTCCGGAAGGCATCAGCGAGGCGGCCGTAATCCACACGACGGACCGAGACTCACCCCACGACGCCCGTCGGGCCGTTCAGCGAGATGACCGAATCCTCGATGGAGAACAGGGCGACTCCTTCCCCATCGCTCAAGATGTTGCCCAGATCGCCCGCGTGTCGTGTCACATCGGACGGCGCGCCATGCGTGAGCCCCAGAGGGTTGAAGTGCGCGCCGGCAGACGCGCAGCCAGACGAGAGATCGCCCGACGTGCTGCCAGCCTGATCAGTCATGTCTGGTGCTGGATGCAGATGCGTACGCACTGGATGTGGAAGCCCCGTAGAGCGCGCGGGTCCAGCCCCGTCAGCCTGCCTGTGACGTTGACCGGCGCGCCGAGGTTTGCCTGCGTGAGCACGACTGTTCCCCCCGCGCCGAAATCGCCCTGAAGGACTGCGACCGCCTGCCCGCCATGAGCCATGAGCCAGCTGCGTACGACACACGCACGCACCTTCGTCACGAACGGTGTCTCCGGCACAGAAGCACTAGGGCGGAGGAAGGCTGCCCAGAAGAGGAAAGCGGCGGCGAGCGTGCCGAGCGCGGTGAACACCAATGGTTGCTTGCTCTGGCGGGGTGGGTAGCGGCTGTCCATGGCGGTGAGGAGGCAAGGTGAGGCTGCTGAGTGAGCAGTAAACCCTACCTCGCCATATGGCGTCAGAGCATAAATGGCCGCCGAAAGGCACCTGGCAATTGATGGTGCTCGATCAGACTGTGCGCCTCGATCGCCAGAGAATGCAATTCTCCCACCAGGTGTTTGGACGCGCGGAGGTCTCCGGGGGCTTTGTCACTTAGATAACATCTTCCACACAAGGGGTGCTCAATTCTTGCCGCTCGCTCGTTCGTTCGCGGAGCGACCCCTACAGGAGTCGCTTCGATAGCATGAACGAAAAAAGGAGACGAAGGTGTCAAGATTGACGAGTCAGAATCTCGAGCCGGGCACTGAACAGAGGATATGTCTAATACAGTAATAGGATACATGAGGTACGCCTAGAAACGAGGATGCATAGGCAGTATATACTGCCCGTGCGGTATATATATCGCACGGGCGGTCATGCCGCCCTCAGTGCCCATTTGGGGCAGTAGGGCGTTAGGAGTGCCTGATACATCCCACGCCCACAACGGTAGATGCATACGCCTATATGGATGCTGTGCATGCAGTGATACTATCTGACATGCGTGTGTTCTTGCGGTGAGCAAACCATCTGTCGAACTTTCTTTGAGGGAACCTAATTACAACTCCTCGTCGCCATGGGCAGGATCTCCGCGATAGACTTGCTGGAGTAAAGTCTCGCCATTGAGCCGTCTGCCCAGGACACCGTGAGGTTTGCGGACATCTTGGCTGAGCGTGGTGCCGACTTGCTCGATGTGAGTACGGGCGGTCTGCATCCTGCACAGGAGCTCGAAGATGGTCTGGCGTATCAGGCGCGGGTGCGCTGCTGAGATGGCCAAGAAGATTAACGGACATAGGTTCTACCGCGGTATATTCGGCGCTGTTAGTGAAGACAGCTCAATAGTAAGGCATGTTCATTGATCACCTCTAACAGACCATCTCTCCATCTTGTCAGACGCTTCCCAAGGGAACGCATACAGCCTCTGTATGACATTGACGCTCTACCGACCATTTATTATATTAGCCCGCATCGTGGTCCGAGCACTAGACCAGCTAAACTGCTTTCTCGAATTACAAGATCAAATCTAACCACTTCAACCGTTGCCTATGTCGTGAGCTGCGTCTCATATAGAGTAGGAACACCCTAACAACCGCACCGTCACCTCACAGGACGATAGCAGGAGTACGTCTCGATCCCCACTGCAAGGCATACGATACTCGCTAAGCATTAGCACAATTTCCATTTAGGTATTTGGGCTGGCCTTCAACTGGGGACTGCAAGGCACGCTGTGCGCCCAGATATGTGAGTTGCCCCAAGATGACCTAAACCTAGGAGATTATAGACCATTTACAGATTTCTACTACACTTCCTTTTCCAAAGATACAACTACTCTGAAGATATTCGGTGAGTTCAACTGTTACTTGGACTGAAACTGTCGGCTGAGCAGGTTAGTCGGAGCTCTATTCCTTGCGGAATGGCTGCAGACGATTTTTACTACCATTGGCATACTCCACGACGTATCCCTGTCCTTTTTTATGTTAGTTGAGCTTTGGGAGCTCTATCGGCAGGTGGTTCCTGTGGTGTCCGGAATCATAGCTACTGCTGTACAGATATTCTACGCGTGGAGGATTTCCGTTCTTTCAGACTGGAAGTCTTTTCGCTATCTCGCGGCTATGATCACACTGGTGCGCTCTCGCTTACCCTGAATTGACATTACCTGTGACCGTCTATTACAACAGGTCGCTGTTGGGAGCCTCGTTACGTGCATAACTGCTACCGTTCTGGGGCTTGACGTTGTTACTCTTGTAGTGTCCCCCCAGATGCCTGTATACAAATATTTAGCATCCATATCACCAGTTCTGGTGAGCGGTGCTTGACCACACTGCCTGTCCTCTCTCACATACATGTAGGTTTGGCTCTCGCTCACCGCGTTTGTCGATATTGTCATAGCAATTCTCATGACAATCTTGGTGAGCCGTTTCTTGACTGCTGTGATGGTCATTAGACTATCAATCTCCATGTAGTTGTATCGCATTCAAAGTCATAGCGTTGCGACCGCGGGTCTAAAAACGAGTCTCATTCAATACACGATAACAAGCGGTGCTATAACTGGTTCGTCGTCTATTTCGTTGCTGCTAAATTACTCACGTGGCTGTCAACTAGCGAGCGTCGCCCTTGTGGCTTTTGCGTTATACATGACCGATGTTCTTGCTTCCGATCTCGCTTTCCGAGGTGTAAACAACCTTGGACCTTACAATAGTTGGGCTGTGAATTATCCGGGACCATTATCAATCTGCCCGTGAGTTCTACTCCATATTCTGCTCGCCAATTATTAAGGTAGAGTCTCAATAGGATTCTTGTCATGTCAAAACTGTTCGTAACACACGTATCCTAACGCTGGCGACTTTCTAACGGGCTGATGCTCACGTTGCAGTTACGCCAACACTGCCCTCTTTGGCCTGAACAACCGCTCGCTGCTCCGTCAAAAGTATAACGACAGCGAACAAACGATCATGCTGCCAACAATAGATTCTAGCGTGCCCTCCGATACGCAGGAATCGCATCGGTCCATATTGGCTTTCAGGAGCTCCCATCAGGGCGAGCTCGCAGCCAACACTGAGCAAGATATACAGGGACCCTGGTGAAGCCTGGGCACACTGCTAGATGCGCAACAGGAGGTATGCACAACGTTTAAAGTGATCGTGTTGCTGAGTCGAAGAGCTAGCGTTGCGCCATCCATTCCTCAGAGGATGTGACAGAAGCTGATACATTCACTCACACAATTTGCATCGGCATCTTGAATGAAGACGAAGAGAGGCAAGAGAGGTCCCACATTGAGACTAGGAGTGGTCCGGTAACAGCGATGTAGAATTTGTATGTCATTCAGTTTTGGCGTATAGACGGCATGAGGTGATTTGTTCAACAATGCCTCCCGACTAAATTCCTACAGCAATGCATCCGGGTGTCACTTCGTAATATTATGGAAGCATCTGTCCGCTACAGAGCGACTGCTTCGTGTTGAGTCCCGTATTTCTGGTGTTCTCCCGGTTCACTGGCTGTGTCCGGAATTAATGTAGCGATACTCGTCTATGTCCTACCGTGTACGTCATAAAGTTGATCGAGTGCTCATGTAATGCGGACCGGGACGACTCGGCCAGACTAGAACTGCCACCAGATCCAGCCGAGCAGGTAACGAATGTAGCAGTGGGTGGAGAGTTGGATGAGTGCGTAATGCTTCTGACAAGATCCAGAGTATGGACGGGTGATGAGCTTGTGAAAGCAAGCTGCGAGGCGCTGAGCGCCACATTCGCGTTATACACGTCCACATGGTCGTTAGCCAAAATCAGCTAGGCATACTTCTCTCATGTTTATCATGATGTTGACCTGCGACATATCAGCTTTCAAAGCCCGCTCGGGATTGTCACGCAGGAGTTATTGCGATGATAGATTTCAATCACCGCGCACAAGTCATCAGGAAGGTGTATGAGTGCTGTATAGCACTACATAGTCGAGATAGCCAAGATAGACTTATGATTGCCTTCAGGCCACCTTGCGCAAAGGATTGTCGCCTCTCCAATACAAGACGTCGCGTTGGGGCGAATGATCATTTAACTGAACGAGAGAGACCATGAGGCTGGCATGGAGCGAATGTGCAGTATTCGCATGTTAAGAGGCTATCGAGTCGTAGCGGCGGCGGCGCGGAGGCTCGACGCGCCTTCCATACTGCCTGTAATATGCTGACCCAGTCATAGTATTTCACCGTTGTACATTCATGCATCGTAGTCTTGGTTGGGAGTCGAGCTGGTGACACTCCGGCCCGACAGGGTAGCGGTACCGGACGGCGGGAGTTGGCCCAGAAACTCGCAGATGCACTCGATGGCGAAACAAGTGGCCTGCGGAAGAGCCGAGACACCGAGGCACGTCCAAGGAGGCACGTCTTCTGGCTTCCCGAAATACTATCCGCTTGTTAGACGACTTGTGTGAACAATATGCAGTATGGTGGCTCTCACCTGCGCCAATATGCTCATCATCATGTCGAAATGATTGTCCTTGCGCGTGAGGTACATCGTCAGCTTTGCGATGTAATCCTTGTTGCTCCCGGCGCCTTGAACGGCGGCCATCATATTCGCGATCCCGAGTTCCTGAGATAATTGTCCTGGTGAGGTGCTGTTGGATTTGCGATGGACAAACTCACCATTTGCTCCCTTGGCGTGGGCGCGCGTTGGTGATACATCATATCGCAGCCCACGCTAGCCGATACGTATATAGTGTTCCCTATTCTCTTCCATTTGGCTACGGAAGGCGGTGAATAATATGTCGTTGAAGCCATCTATTGAGCAGGAGACACTCACAACAATACTGGACACGTCTAGTGGTGTCCCTTGTCGGAGAAACGTCGATATCCATGAATAAACTCTGAGGATGCGAGCAGGCTGGCTTGAACGGCGAGACGATGCAGGCACCAGAGTCATGATGATTGGGGCTATTTATACAAGCAACGCACTCGAGAGTCCCTGGACGATCCATGACATGAATGCCGAGTTGGCAGGTATTACGGACCACAGCCGTTGCATTGTCTTGCCGTCAAGAAGGTGCATGAGGCTCTGGGAATGATCGAGATCGATGGTATCGCAAAATTCTGGCTGCCGGACGCTGTCTCTAATGTCGCCTTGGGGGGTTCATAGAGAGGCAGCTCTTGAGGCAGAGGCGTCGAAGGCAGTACGCGATATCGGAGATACGATAGATCCCAGAAATAGACAACTCGTTCTCTCGCGTGCGGGCCAAATCATACAATAAGCATGTCGATTTTGGAACTCATATTGTACAGCGCGTTCGAACGTTTTGCTAGACTGCTAACCTGTCACCCTGGGCCATGGTGAATCTCACTGTGCTGGCTTTCACGGAAGTTCGCAGATGCATTCAATCTCGAAGGATGCACCCAATGGCAGGACTGCAACACCGACGCACGTGCGCGCAGGGGCGTTCTCCTTGAAGTACTGCGCGTCCAAGGGAATCAGCGTTCGGCCATCGCGCAGTCCCACTTAGACAAGATACACACCGTTGCGTAGATCTTGTTCATGGGCGCAAAGTCCTCCTTGAGGTTTGTGAGGTAGATGTTTACCTTGAGGATGTTCTGCACGTCCGCGCCAGCCGATCGCACGATCTTGAGCATGTTCTCGATCCCAGCGCGCTGTAATGGGAGTTGTATGAAGATCGTCGTAATTACCGAGTGAGATCGAGATCGAGCTGCGATGGCAAGCACGCACTGTCTGTTCCTCGAGGCCACCAGCAAGCTTGAAGTCCTTGTCGCAGCCGATGCTGCCAGAGACGTAGACCGTCTTCCCAGAGACAGTCGCATGGGCTGCAAGATGTGAGATCGCGCATCGGGCATGCAATGCGGACTCGACAGATACGCACAGTAGAAGGGGAGAGGCGGGACGGCCTCACTGCTGGTGACGCATGTCTTGACCATGATGCAGTTGTTCGTGCCGTGTAGGGTGTCGAGACGAGAAGAGAGCAGACGTGCCTTTACATCCGATAGAGGAAGGACCGAGCGGGATTCGGACGAGCCAAGGCATCGTTGGCAATCTGATCATGACTCCATCTTCTGTGCCGGAGTGAACGAAAATCGCCGACTCTTCGCTGTGGCTAACTTCATTTATGATGCGAGAATTAACACAGGAAACCTGGAGACCCCATTTCAATATGTCGCTTTCGCGTCGCGTTGAGCAGCTGTCAAGACGCGCAGTTTCCTGGTATGGTTGGGGGTCACTCGCACGCACGCAAGCGCCCCGCAGCCATCACACTGATCATGATGTGCCAACAAATGGCTTGATACAAATACATACCTCAGCGTGAAGTGAGTGAATTACATTCTACAATCGTGCAGCGCTCTGCCGCCACGCCGATGCATCCTCTGTTTCTTGTAGACGAGCTCCTTCTCCAGATCTTCCGATATCTGCGGCCTGGAAGCAGAAAGAGCCTGGCTTTCCTTGCCAGAACGTGCAATGCCTTTCACGGGCCCGCCATTGAGGTCTTGTGGGGACAGCTGTGCAATGCCACACCTATCATTAGGCTGCTTCCTCAGGATGCCTTGAGTTCCGGAAAGGTGCAAGAAGGCTTTTACACTAGGATCTGGGTGGGTCTTCGAATCGGCATAGTTTCCATCGCGTCAACGTCGTTCATTCACTCTCTGCTTCAGACTCTGACGAGGCCGCTGATGGCTTCTGACCTTGTCGCGGTCGAGAAATACGCACCGCTTGTAAGACATTTGGGCGCCGAAGAACAAGGCTCCTTGCCGCCCTCGACCCACACTTATAGACGTGACACAGTCTCACCGTATGCAATGTCGCACTTAGCGGAGTGTTACCCCCACCCTTGTCTATTCCCCGGCATTCGCAGGCTGGACTGGCGGGTGGTCATGCGAGCTTTCTCGCCCACGGGGGTTGTAGGCCAGCATTCATGGGAAGACATGCTCGTGTACGTCGGGCCCGAGCTGCGAGAGCTGTGCATTAACGATGGGGCCTGGACGCCCCCCACGGACTACACACTCGCAGCACTTGCGGAACTCCTGGATACCGTCGGTAAACAATGTATTGCACTCGAGAGTCTGACGCTGCCGCGTCTTTCGCCGCATGACTCCCTCATAATATACGAGAGCCTCTCATCTCTCGTGTGCAGGCTTTCCGGTCTGCACACGTTGCGATGCGTATTCGCATCGTTGTCGGGTCCTGCTTTGGCGCATCTGATCTCCTCGTCAGTCATTCAAGAACTCCAGCTCGGTCTTCCTGATCGGTGGAAGCCATGGGCCCGTCCTGTCGATGGACAGCCACTCCTGTTCTCGTCGCTTACCACCATAGAAATCGCGGTGGCGAGCGCGCTATCCTACATCAGCTTCGCCAGATCTGTTTCCCTGCCACAGGTGAAGTCAGCAACGCTGTGCCTCACTCCATACCCGTCAGCGACCCAGCTCGATGATCTGTTCTCTGCTATCGGCCAACAGTTCTCCCCTGACAGGCTGGTGCAACTGAGGATAACCTCACTGGTGCCCGATCCTTCCGTTGATGTAACCCTCCGCCCCATTGTTCTCTCGAGCCATCTGCGATCCCTGCTGCCCTTTCGCCGCATGCAGCAAATCACCATTGATGCAGACTGGGAGTGTGGTTACGACGACGACGACGTCCTGGGGGAAATGGCTGAGGCATGGCCAGGACTGCAGCGGATGCTGCTTGTGGCGAGGGGAGATTTGCATGCACGGTCGTATGCACGATCGCACTCGCCCTCACGTGCTACACTGCGGTCTCTCATCCCATTTGCGACGTGCTGCAAGGACCTCAAGTTTCTCGGGATCTGGTTGCACGCCGATATCAGAGCGGATCACGAAGCGATTGAGGCTGCTATCGCGCAGGCGTCGCCAAATCGACCTTCGCCGCCCTTGGAAATCCTGAAAGTCATGGACTCCACAATCGAAGGACCGCCAGAGCGTATCGCTCACTTCCTCTCTACTCTCTTCCCTAGTCTTCCCATTATCCTTGCAAATGGAGCCGACGAGCACGTAGAACGGTGGAGGGAGGTAGAGAAGCTCCTGCCTGCCGCTCGCGTGCGACATCGGTGAAGTCGCAAGGTGTTTTCGTATAGCTTCAAGGCCTGTCGAGAGTGTTTGCGACGGGTACCATCTGATGTGGATAGCATATGGAACAATTAAACATACGCCAGTGGGTTGTGAGACATTTGACGGCGCAGCTACCGTCAACATCCTCAGGCTCGGAGCCGCACGCTTCGCCCACTTCGTAGCGGAAGCACGACGCATTGTACACCTTCTTACGAGGGTGTCAATAGTGGTCTCGGTGCCTACTCGAAGTGTCTTACAGACACTCAGTCGTTGATCTTCAAGAATGTGCCCCAGTAGCTCTTTGAATTTTGATCAGAGTTTGGCCTTGTGTGTGTGGTCAATCGTTCCTAATTTTAACGGTTGCGGTGGACCGCAGACCTTACGCAGGGGTTCGCATTCACAGCGTCTTATTGCTTGATCTGTCTGAAACCGCAAAACGCTATAGCATGAATACCTGATGGCCCATAACGAGTCGATAGGAGCAATGACAAGCGCACACGAGACCCGACGGTACCCATATCGTTCACGCTCGTATACCCTCGCCTGGGTACGTCGGCACCTCCACCATCTCCATGTCCTCGTCCTCGTCCTCGTCGCTCTCTTCCTCCTCCTGCATGCTAACAGCCGCGCCTACACCCGCGATCAATCCCGTGCCGATGTCTGCGCCCGTCGGCGCCAGCATCTGCGCACTCGCCGGAGTTGCAGGCATCACCTGCGACACGTTCCGCACCGCGCCCTCGCCCTTGTCAGAGGCGGGCGAGAGCGCTGACTCGCCGAGTTGTACCGCCTCGGCAACATCAGCGGCAGCTTCTTCCTCTTCCTCGCCCGCCTCCACCGTCAGCTCCTCCTCTTCCTCCTCTTCCTCCTCCTCGTGCTCCTCGTCGCTCTCCGCGTCCGCAATCTCAGCGAGTTGCGCAGCCAATAGCGCAAGATGTGCCTGCAGCGCCGCGCGCTCCTCGTCTGTGAGCACCGCCCGCACCTCGCTCGCGCGGCCATCGCTGCCGCTCGCACCCGTACCCGCGCCGGTGGATAGGTCGATCCCCGCGCTCGCGACGACCGGCGGCGGATGGGCTGCGCCGCCGGCAGACGATGGCTGTGCAGCGGGCTGAGCGTCCTGCCCGTTGCTGCTGGTGAGGCCGAAAGAACTGAAGTTGATTGCCTCGAGTATGTGTTGCGCGGCCTCCCACGCGCTCGTGTCACCCACACTCGCGCCGTCCTTTGCCGCAGAGAATGACGCGTGCGGATTCGACGACCCCGGCGCGGAGGATGTGGTTGCGAGCGCCTGTGAGGCCGAGCCGTCCTTCCCTTGGGCGAGGGACGTGTCGGAGGGCGGTGGATACGTTGGGTAGCCGGAGTAACCGGGATAGCCTGTTGGCGGGTAGCCATACGAGTATCCTGGATACGCGCCCGCGGCATGTGCGCCATTTGCGTGTGGATAGGGCGGATGGTGGTGGGTTAGCGGGGCATTGGTGAACGGAGAAGAGGGAGGTGGGGGTGGGTGATGCATGGCATACGCAGTCTGTGCGAGCGTCTGTGGTCTGCGCGTAGTCCGCTTCGATGTCTACAATAACGTATAGCATGAGCTCCTCTATGACGGTCATCCATACAGCGCGGGCTGTCATGATAAGTAGGAGAACTCACCGCACCACCTTCCCATGCCGCGTTCAGTCGATACCGTCCACCTGCCCGCTTCTCGAGCCGGCCGCGCTTAAAGGCCTTCTGCAGTGCCTGGCTCGCGCTCGGGCGGAAGTTGGTCTGCAACGGGTAACGCGAGGCCATCCATGCGAAGAGGTCCTTCGGCGCGGCACCCTCGGGATCGCCCATTTCGAGGAGCGCCTCGACGATCATCTCCTCGTACGAAGGCAGGTCGTCGTTAGCCGGCGGGGGTGGTGGAGGACCTGGCGAGGGTGCGGAGGGTCCTGGCATCGGCGCAGCGGATGACCCGCGCGGGGAGTAAACGGATGCGTGGGGGTGGGGGGGATAGCCGGGATAGGGATAGGGCGGGGGATATGCGTGCGGGAGCGGCGGGAGGTGTGGATGCGGGGGGTAGTAGGGCGCGTGCGGGTAGGCGGGCTGCGCGGGCTGATTTTGGGGCGTGTAGCCATAGGGTGCGTAGGGGTATGGCGCGAGGGGCTGCGACACTCCTGGTGGTGCGAGCGAGTGCGCGGCGGGGTCAACAGGCGGCGAGGGATCCTGCGTCCCTTGCTTTTCGGCGGAGTTGACGGAGTCGTCCATCAAGGAGGCCATTGGGGGTCTGCTGTGCTCATGAGCATGGTATGCGGGCGGATGAGCATGCTGCGAAGGGACATCTGCTGCTGAGAACGCGGGCGGTGGTGGATGTGACGGCTGAGACGCAGTGGTTGAGTCGGCTTGGCCAGCGGGGGTCGGTGTGCCCTGTCTTAGGGCAAGAATGGCCGCCTCAAGGTCTGCAGGCCATATCGTGTTGCGAACGTGGAGGGGGACGTGGGACTCGAATGCGAGACATATCTCGATGATCTGCACCTGCAGCAAAAGGCTCAGGTAGTTTCTCTTTAGACCCCTCAAGGGTTCGTCTAAATCACATAACCATAAGATTGTTTACGCATTCATTGCCCTGCAGACACACCTGTTGCGGCTACCGCCTGGGCGGGGGCGGGAGGGGGAAGGAGGCCTTGCATGGGCCTGGTGCATGGACTGTATAGCGGCTGCACAGTTCCTCGTCTCAAACTTTTCAGCCACTGCCAGATCCAGCGTCTCTTTCCCTCGGCGCTTCTTCCACTGCACTTCGTCTCGTTCTTATTATCACATACGGTGTCCCGAAAGCAAGAGCGCACAACGACAGGGCCTCTTACCACAGCGGAACACAACTGTTTCCCGGCTACTGCATTGTATCTCGAGCATTGAGCCCTCACAATCCGCTAATGATACAGTCAGCTCATGTTCTGGATCTCCCGAGGATATCTATTTCTTGTGACCTCCTGCTGAATGGTAATGCAGCCCATGTATGCATGGCAGTCGGTATGTCCATCAATGGGACATCCTCATTCTCCGCGAAATGGGCGGGTATCAGTATTGGAAAGCAAGAAGCCCGCGAGCATCCAGGTCAGGAAATAAACTACGAATTCGCCCCTCAACTCCACCGCCTGGCTCATCCCCGTCAACCATAAAGCCAAACTTCTCCACTCCCCGCAAGTTCTCGTGTGCGAGTGGGCCCGTCAGAGCCCTCGTGAATGTGAAACAGTCCAGGTTCTCTCTTATATCTACCTCGACCTCAAACACTATGGTCTGCACCGCGTTCGTCGCAACCTGCGACAGCAAGGCGACTATCCACTCTGCGCCTCCCGGTGTCCTTGCGAACCGCACCTGGTACAAGTTGATCCGTCTCAAGCTCTTGCACTGTATGCGAGAGGATTGGAATGCTGCAATTGAGGCATGAGTTGCTTTACCAGGAGCGGGCTCAACGTAGAGAAGGACAGACCATCACGGCTGACCATTCCAACCCTGAGTAAATTCACCGACAGTTCTTCCAGCGTCGTGCTAGCGGCCGCGCCTTCCAGCAGCGCAACGAACCCGCGCGTCGCCGACTCGCGAAACGTGACGTCTCCCAAACTCAGATGGCTCCCGCGTAGCAGATACTTGTAGAACGACTGCATGAGCCGGCTATCGTGCGCCACGTCGGGCTGCTCGAAGGGGTAGTGCGGGCGCAGGATGTCCAGGATCTTGCGTGAGACTGGCGCGAGGTGCACCTCCAGACGGTGCGCGAACGGCACTGCGCGGATCTGCAGCTGCGTGAGACGCGCAAAGGAGCGTACGAGCACGGTGAGGTCCTCCGCCGCGTTCGCGATCAGGCCGTAGCCGACCTCGAGGCGCGTCACCGCGAGCAGTCGCCCGAGCGCTGCGACCCCCGCCGGTGTGACGACGAGCGACTCGAGCCGCAGCGTCTCCACCGCCTGCAGGTGCGACATAGCGTCATCCAGGTCGTTGCGGAGCTGCAGCTGCGCATCTATGGACGGCTCGGCGAAGTTGAGCAGGAGCGAGCGGACGTGGGTCCCGAGGGTGGGCGACCCCTGCAGGAGGGCGAGGAAGGAGGGCACGGTCGCAGTCGCGAGGCAGACGTGGCGAAAGCGGAGAGAACGCACAGTCGAGACCCATGCGCGGCATGCGAGGCTGCACGCCGACAGCGCCCGGTGCTCGTCGTACAGGTAGTCGATGATCTGCTCGCAAAGTTCAATGGGCACCCTTGGGCGGCTGTACGACGAGTCTGCGCGCGGATCGGCGGAAGGCATCCTGGAGTGAGCACGAAGGGCGCCTGATAGTCCGTGCAGGCGGGTAGTAGTTTCAGGTCGTATAGCTATCTGACTCAGATTCATGGAGAAACAGATAGAGATTCTGCACCTCCTTCAGAGCGCGCTGACAAGTGTGTGGGCGAAGGTTAGCAAGTTGGTAGGTCCTAAGTGCACCATACGCATTCGAGGAGTGCAGTGCGTGATAAGATGACGGTATTTGATGGAATTTAGTCTCTTTTTGGCGCTTACTACCCATAACCAAAACACTGGCACGGATGCCCTCAGCAGATGGCATGACCGAATCATCCATGTTTGCGTTAACGTGACAGTAGTGTATGATAGTACAAGTATAAAACGGTGGCCTCTTCAGAAAATTATGCTTCCAAAACCCGGAAGATCTGCAGAATGGTTGTCAACCTTCCGAACATGCACGTCATGATGCCTTGAACCGTTACCTTTACACTTCCACTCTTGAGATCCTCGAGGCGATAACTAGCCGATTCCACAGTCTAGCATGGATGATGAGAGCAGTTCGGCAGCGTGAAAGGATACTACGAACCTGCTGTCCTACATGCTGATTCGCTTGGAACACCTTGACCTTGGCCTTCTTCACCTCGTAATCCCCGATGATTGCGTAAAGAGGCGCGTCTGTCCCAACGGTCTGATGGTAGCTCTGCAAGCCCTTGTGCCCCTTGAATTTCGCGTCGTGGATGACGATCACGTCCCCTGGCATTACATCGCTGACACGGCGCTGAACCGAGGATCCGTTCTGCGCATAGATCAGGTAGCCAAACGAGTCGTACGGGGCCACGGGCTGTGTGGCTGTCGGCACTTGACCGAGCACGGACGTGACAAACCCAAGATAAGAGCCGTCGCCAACCAACGTCTTCTTGGACTTGTCGAAGAGCACGGTTGCAACTTCGTGGATCTGTACTCCTACACGTCCCCATTGGGCCACAAGGTCGTCTGCAGTGAGATGCACTTCAGCGCGGGGCGGGGCCGGCGGCTCTGCGCGTGGCTGGCTTGGTTGTCCCATAGACCCTTGTTTAGCCGGAGGAGGGGGCGGATAGTTGGTTGAATCCTCTGACCATTGACCGGACAAGGATAAATCCGTTTCCCCACCGAAGTCGACGCTTGGGATAACCGCGGCATGCGGCATCTCCCATTGGGCATCGGAAGTCTCCGCAGGAGGAACGGGCGGAGGGGGAGGGGGCGGTGCCGTTCGCGGAAGGGGATGCGCTTTCTTGAGACTGACCGTCCTCGGAGGCGGCAGAGGCGGTTCTTCAGCTTCTTCCTCTTCTACCATCACATATTCTGCATGCGTTTCTTGAGGAATAGGAGCTGGTCGGGTCGGAGGAGGCTGAGGGGGATAGTCAAATGCAGCACTAGTAGTGGCACCGGGTTCAGTCGGTTTGGCAGGTTTTGAAGGGACAGGGACCTGCGGGACCGGAGGCCGTAATCCTGGAGGAACTGGAGGACGGTTTGGGTCAATTGAGGATACGCGCCGGCCTTGCCTTGACGGTACAGGCGGTGGGGCCTCATCCTGAGCGTCTGCGTACGAGATCTCTTCAGCTTCACTCTCCTCGTGTTCTACCTGCTCTCCATCTTCCTCGAATGCTTCGGCTGGGGGCGGTGACAGGGGCACAGACCGTTGAGGCGGAGGTGACTTCGTGCGATCAGGCCCTTCCAAAGCATCTCTCGAATCCTTCCGCGGTGGTGGCTGCTGGGTGACAGCTCCTGGAATCATACCGAAACGCATACCGCCCATGCCAGCAATCCTAGCTGCAATGCGCTGCTTGCGAGCGAACTCATCTTCTTCCTCCTCTTCCTCCTCAGGCTGAGCTTCCTGTTCCGAGCTCCTTCTTTCAGATGTTGATATGTCCTCTCCAGCAGATACCTCTGCTTCCGGGGCCGGCTGCGGACGGCGGACGGGCGGAGGTGGGGGTGCCCCGAAGCGAATCCCCCCCAGCTTAGCCATTCGCTCCGCAATAGTACGGCGACGTGCGTGCTCCGTATCTTCCGCTGCGTCAGCGGCGGGTTCCTCAGGTGCGGATGAGCGCTCCAGCGTCGCTGGTGGAGGTGGCGAGCTTGCGAGAGGCGGTACATTGACTGGTTGTGACTCGGAAAGAGGACCTGCTGGCCTCATGGGACTCCTAGGGCTGTAGAACGTGGGATCTATGGGATCTGTCCAACAAGAGCGTTAGCTCATTCTCACCAACAACGCGATGCACGAACCTCCGGACTCACCGCCGTCCGAGTCATCCAGCAATTCCTGTGTACGGATACTATGGATAACGGTTGGCGAAGTCACTGACCCTGCGCCTGTGGATCGCAGAGATGCAGAACGTGCAGGCACCTGCACTTGAGATATAGGTCGATGCGGTCGCTGAGGCGGTGGTGGAGGTGGGGAAGGCGACCTGGGCGGTGAAGGATGCTCTGCGATGTATTCGTCCTGTGGATGCTGCTCCGTAATGTGCACCGGGACGGGGACGGAGACTCGCCGCGGTGGTGGAGGTGGGGGCACTTCCTCTTCCTCCTCCGCATATGCCATCTCTTCCTCGTGTTGTCGCGCATCATCCTGCGGCTGTGCCAACATAGGTTCCAAGGGCTCGTCGTCAGTTTGAATATACTCTAGCTCGCGAATGTCGCCGTCGAGAACGGAGCTTTCGTAGCCGTCCTCGTCATGCTCAAAGGTCTCGTACTGCTCAGGCTCCTCGACTTCCAAGTACGTAACAGGCCTTTCCGTATGCAGACTCTTCCCAGGACGTTCAAGTACAGGTCGGGAATCTGTAGGAGAAGTTGGCGGGCGCGTATTCCTGTGGACGGGCGGTGGCGGCGGTGGAATCGCTTCTTGAAACTCTTCCTCATAATCGGCTTGTTCCTCTCGCTCATCCTCAGGGATTCGCGGAGGAGCTCGGGGAGGGGGCGGCACAGAATGTCTCAGCGACGCTGAACGGGAGGGAGAGACCTCTGGGTCGGGCTGCAGCGGGGAGCTTGGAATCGGGGGCGGGGGGCGGACCGCTGGTAAAGACGGAGGCAGCCTCGCGATATCACGAGCGGCATCAAGCTCTTCATGAGATTCGTAGTATTGATGCTCTGCCTGTGTGTCATATTCGTCAGTATCATGATCGGCGTCTTCGGGGACTTCAGCACGCCCGAGATGGGTCGGATGCTCTTCATATTGCGGGTCCAGTTCATCTGCATCGTCCTGATACTGCTCCCCGGCGGACTCTTGCTCATCTGGGAATGCATCGTGGAACCCATGCGGCGTGACTCCTTCCCGATCTTCCTCTTCGGGGACAACCTCAACTGGCTCCGAAATGGACATAGGCTCCTCGTGGAGGTTGGATGCGATGAACCCGTGGTCTACACAAAGAGAAGACATCAATCACTATTATACACTATGCTCGCACTCAAAATTCACCATCCTGAGATGCCCTACGTGAGGGTAGCTCCCTGTTCGATTGCACCGATGCCACACTTCCCTTCCTGCCCAACACGTCGGGCCTCGATGATGTAGGGACGGGCGGTAGAGGGCGGGGTGGATCAACCGCTTGGTCACTGCTGGCCAGCTGCGATCCAACGGAGTCCGTGCTACCGCGTCTAAGAGCGGACGCGAGAGTTGCTTCGGGAGATCGAGCACGATCTACGGAGCCATGACTGTCTTTCCGCAGGCTCTGGCGACGGTCGACAGAGGGAAGCGGGGGTGAGGTTGGTGGCGAAGTCGGGGCAGGTAGCGGGAGGCCGCTCAGTGGGTTGATACCACCCGCCTTCGCAAGACGCTCGGCGATGCGCTTCCGTCGTGCCTCCTCATCTTCCTCTTCTAGCTGTTCTGGCTCAGAGCTAGGCACAGCGGAAGTATGCACGTACTCGGCAGGCACTACAACCGTGTCCTCCGGTGTTGGCATGTCGTCGCTCGAGCTGTGAGGAGTGACATCCTCAGACTGAACTGTGATATGCTCCCCAGAGCCTGGCGAAGTAGCCTGGTGGTTTCCAGACTCCAGATCCGTATCATGTGCATGTTCCGCAGTCGCGACGTGGCCGAGTGCTCTCTCTCCTTCAGCTGCAGGTTCTTGAGCTTGCGCAGTTGCCTCGCTCTCAGTGACGTGCATCTTCTCGAGGAGTGGCTCGACTTGAGATTCCCGTACTTCCGGCTCGCGATCACCATGCGCTGGCTCAGCCGTAGTTATAGCCTGGTCGGGCGTAGTGCCAGGTATAGGAGACGGGCTCTGGTTCACGACACCCTCTTCCAATACTATCGCGGGTGAAGGTGAAGGCGACTTGGCAGCGCGTTTGCGCGGGGGCGCAGCTCTGCGAGGGGCAGCGGGCACTGGCATACTAGAGGGAGATTTAACAGCGGTAGCGGCCTCTGGCGAAGGTGACAACAACGCCGGGTCTTTGCCCTCGGATGCGCCTAGAATGTATGTTATTACTGTAGTGATCAGGGCATATGGTAGAACAAACCTGCGCGTGCATCTTCTCCCTGTCCAGAAATGACAGACACCGATGGCACCGACGGAGGTGACACAGCAGTAGGTGCTGATCATCGGTCAGGGCAAGGCTTAACAGACTCACAGAAACGAGGGCTCACATTGTGGGACATCAGACGGTTTCTCCACTTCGTCCTTTGGTGCCTCTGGTTTCTTGACCTCCGGTTTCTTGCCGAACATGGGCGGTGCCATACCAACTCTGGCACCTCCGAGACGAGCCAGACGAGCTGCAATGGCAGCACGGCGCTGCCTCTCCTCCTCCTCGGGATCGGGTTCGCCTTGGGCTTCCTCTTGGGCAGGGCGCTCCGTCTCTTCTGAGCCCTGGCGTTGTTCTTCCTCCGCCTCCGCATGAGCATGAGCATCAGACGTAGCAGCCTTGGGCTTCTCCTCGTCGTCGTTTTCATCGTCTACGGGGGCGGCGACGACCGGAGGAGGTTTCCACTTAGGCTTCTCGGTTGCTGGCTTCGGGGGCAGCGACGAGCCTCCTCCAAACGCGTTCAGGCCTTGCAGGGCAGCCATTCGCTCCTTGAGACTGCCGCCTTGGCCAATGGAAACCTTTGCGTCTGCAGCAGACATGCCAGCGGCGGCTTTGTCGGCACCATGACCAGTGTCGCTTGTAGGAGGAGACAGCGGGGGGGAGCGCGCTCGCGGCTTCCACGATGCACCACCTGCAGGCTTGGGACGGGGAGCTGGTGGAGGAGGGGCAGCCGAGCCCTTGTTCTCGAATGCTGCAATGCGGTCTCGCAACGAGCCTAGCTTCTTGGGAGGGTCAGACATGGCTGCGCGCTGTGACGGTCGGCGTCGAGCTGGTGTCGTCAGAACGCGGTAACACTTATCAGTACACTTGCCAATTCGGGCCTTATACCGACAACAGATCCGAATCTAATGATGAATTCATCTTCGCTCTCTTCAGCGTGAAACCTAGTACACCGCTTCTATCTAGGTATATCATACATCACTTCTAGATTCCGCCTCTAACTAGGACCAACACGAGATCGATGTATGGGACTTGCTCGTGGGGAAACCCGTCGAGCATCACTCAGAGGACTCGTTCAGTCTAGGACTCGTTCGTATGTAGGGCAGGCTCTATGGGGAGTTTGCGTAACCAGAAGGGCCCTACATGCGCCTGGTCAGTGAGAGGTCTCCGAAACTTACATCTCATTCGTACCGACTGGATCGTGCCTATCATGGTGTACTGTGGTCCAAGCGCCCAATACGCCAAAGCTCGATCGTACGCCTCCCACTTGCACGCCTTCAGAGCTGAAACGAATAGGGCATCAGCGACAAGCGACAAGCGACAGTCGTAAGACTAGATATGGAGCGGGCTACGGACCTCCATAATGCCCTGCCCTGTTCTCCAGATTTCTGGTGGCGTGGATCAGCGTTGATGACAGAGCGAACTCGCTGCTGAACCCGCTTACAAAGTGCCAACGAATCTGATTGTCTGGGGTCACTTTGAGCCAGCCCACCATGGTAGCGTGGTTGTCGATCGAGCCCGCAAAGTTAATCTTGGGCCGGGTTGGATGATCTGGATCGGGCTCCGTAGAGAGAACTCGCATGACGACGTTCCTCGAGCGACATATTTCCACAAATTCTGGATCCTCGAAAATCATGACCTGCAGTGGATGATTGTCCGACAGCTGGGATAGTTAGGGCATTCGTGCAGCTAACAGGGAGTGTAGGGAAACCTACATTGAAGCTATTATAGACTAGTCGTGGACAATCAGGCATGGCGCCATGACATGGGAGGGGAGAACGCACCAAGAAGCTCTCGATGATCCACAAAGCAGAATGTGCACCGCCAAATGCCCGCAACGCCTGCCCAATCGTCCACTTGGTTCAGGTCGAGACCTTCCGGAATGATGCTCTGACAATATGGGAGGCTCATGGGGTAGAGTGTCATCCCCCACCGCTCCGAGTCGGTAGGTTGATACGGCTCTACAATCTGCATGGAAACAACGTGGTGTATCTTCAGCATGTGTTCCCAGTTGACGCGGCCGCTGCCGTCCATCATGAACGGCCCAAACTCGTTGTCCCACTTGTAACGGCGCATGGCATACACGTAGGCGCGCGACTCTACGCGCTTGGCGGGATCGTAGTCGGCCATTGTCAAACCATAGCATGTATGCAGGTGGCTGCACAGTTGGACTTCTTCTTCAGATGGCTGAGCGTGCTCCAGGAACTTGCCCCCACCGAGCCGCAAAGCCAGCCAGACGAGGTTCAGGGACAGCTGGCCGGCGCTTGCAGAGTTTGGAGCTGGGGGTAGACTGCACGCCAGGTCTAGCAGTGTGTTCAGAACGGAGCAACGCTCTTCGGATGAGAACTTTGCGCCATCCTTGATGACAGTCTGCGCCCTGACAATACACTGTAGGCGAGTCCTCCAGTCGACTGCTGAAGGCAGGGGGTCGCCAAGGGCTGTCCGGCACTTGCTCGGATCGTCGAGAGGTTCTGCCAGATATAAAAGACGCCATAGACGTTGATCTGGTGACTCGTAGATATATGTGTGTAGAAGGCTGCAGGATTGCGCAACGAACGCTATGTCGACCGGATCGAGTTCCAGTAGAATCTGCTCCACGATCTCAGGTGGGAGATCAAGCATGTGCATCGCTGACCGATAGTTCTGGAATTGGATGTTCGTGCCCTTGCTGTATAGAACCTGTATCCCATGATTACTACGTGAACTCGAGGGTAACGGAACAATGAAGCCCAATACCCTTCACAGATTCTCAGATGACTGAGAAGCTCGATTCTACCAGGATTGGTGAGTTCACGACTCCCAAAATCTATATGAACGCCTTACTTCGTTTAAATTATGACTATGACGGTAGTAGGACGAGGCAAGTTCTGCTGCAGTGACGACTCACTGTATTCCAACACAGTATTGGTCATCTCCGGCCTGCCGGATCTAGCTACATATCGCCGTGCCATATTTGGTAGGTTCTGTAGTTCGCATCGGAGTGCTCGACGTTAGATATGGATCGACTGTCATCCATGTCCGTGTATGGTTAGCAACGCAGACTAGCTCGATGTGGGCGACAGAGTTGGACAGAGTTGGCCTCATGATGTAGAAGGGCTTACGCTACATAATGTACGACAAGTAGATGAGCAGAACAGCGAATAAAACATGACAAGGATATTGAAACATCAAAGCACCTATAAACATGGAAAGAATTCCTGACTCACAAACCTGCTGCATCCCCTATCAGCACTCCTCGTGCCCATGCTGAATCACTCATCAGCCTATCCGCGAATAATTCTCCAAGCACCTCCCCGAGCTGCCGTATGATTTCTGCATCAGCTTGATTCGATTGGTCCAAAGGCACAGGGCTGGAACTTTGCGGATGTAGCACTCGAAACGCGTCCTGTTGCGAGATATAAAGCCGCCTGTTGATTACAGTATAACATAGGCTTACCATGACGGACTCGGCAATGCCGCTATCCTCTCCTGGCATACATTCACTTCCTATCACCTTTGCACCACCACCCTCCACAAGCCCTTTCCGAACCGCTTCCTTCCCAATGCCCACGAGTCCACGTACTGCACCCTCCCTTGTACTCCGGCTCTTGCCGGGTGATATTAGGGCTAGTAGTAGTGTCTTCATGATTCGCGGAGGAAGCGACGGATATGTCGTCGAGTATTGTGTAAGTAACCGTGACAAAATATGAGATGCCGTGGTACGAAGGTTTACTGCATGGGAGTCTGGTAACGATGAATGTAGAAGTATTGAGAGAATTGGAGGTAGCAATTGATGCAGCTACGAACTCAATCGTCAGTCAATCGGCGGCAGCGAATTTGCGAACACCTACATATGGTTCAACAAATAATGTCGGGTTGTCAAGAAGCGCCCCTATAACGTCGAGAAGCACCTCCAACACCTGCCCATCATTATCACTTTGCACCCCATTTTTTAATGCTCCTACTACACCTTCTCCTACCCACCGCACAAGATACGGCAGCAAAGCTTGCAAGCCGGCGTCATTCCGTAGACTCGCAAGCGCTGCTGTCCGCTTTGTAAGGTCTGACGCGGAAGGAGGAAGCAGCGCAGATGTAAGTCGCGTGTAGTACAGCTGCAGCTCGCGCGAAAGCACTTGTTTTACTAGCTGCTGTTGTTGTTGTTGTTGCTTCTTCGCCGCTTGTATTGGTGATGGTCGATCTGATGGCGGCGTTGGCGGGAAGACGGAATGAGGTCGTGACGGTGAACCAGGCTTCACGGCCTGTTCCGTGTCGATATCTTTAGGGATGGCCGGAGGATTTTCCGGGATGAGGGGCTGGACGCCCTCAACGGCAAGCCAGTGGGCCGTCCACCGAGGCCCCTTGGGCAGCGTGAGCTTCTCTTCGCGCAGCACGCGCTCGAAGTCAATCTCCTCGTCCTCAATAAAGTACACAGAACCTGCCGCGGTGGTCTGAGGATGTGGTGGTGCTCGCCTGAACACAGGCGGGTTATGCGGGAAGTGTCCATACAGCGGTTCGATATTCAGCACGCGGAGGGCTTGGTCGATATCTGCTGTTGTCAAGGTCGTGCGTTTTGCATGTCTCATGAAGCGGGCCGCTTCCTGGAGATAGTGAGATGAAAGGACGGGGAGAACGCGTAGAAGCCACGCACCTCAATTACCTGATGGATTCGGTATTCCACATCGCTTGCCAAAGCGGAAGCGACTACATCGGGGAGATTCACAATGTTCAGAGATTCCGCAACATCCTAAGCAGCGCGTTCAGACGTCAAGTGTGAGCCATACGGGATACCTCTGGTGCTCGTACTCGTATAGAATCAGCCTTGAAGACACCGGCGGTCGGTTGGTGTGAGTGAAGGCGTGGCTTCATGTTGGGTTTGTTCATGATATACGAGAAGGCTCGGCTCACACTGAGGAGGATGGGCTCACAGCGGCGGCAGAGTTAGCGGTAGCAAGGCAAATTGAATTTGTAAAGCCTCAGATGCAGTATTGAAAGTAGAAGCAGGTCAGAAGTGGAAGGCGACCTCGGGAGACGGCGTAAGTCACGTGAAACATCCGAGCGAGCAGGTGTGAGCGCTTACCACTGGCCATCCCACTTTGTCCCTGCTACCATCGTCTTACCTGCTCTTGAGGCTGTCGTGCCAGTGAATGGTGATTGCGACTGGTCTAATCTGTCTTGTATCACAGCCCGGAAGGTTATACTAGCCAAGCCATTATCACTGGCCAGAATATGGTCCTCATGTCTCTGAACGAAGATGTCCTCATCTATATCGCCTCTTTCCTCACATCTTACGATGCGTGGCAACTAGCCCAGACGTGCCGTACTGCATACTTGATTGCTTTTCCTCGCTCTCTGGCTGAAATCGACTTCCAATCCTGGGGATGCCAGCGCGGCGGGTGGCGCCGACGAAGCAGCCGGGACCGATGGGGTCGTATCGCGAAGTTCTGCAACTTCATCATGGCGGGCGCTGACCAACGTGCACCTTGCATCAAGGTACTGCATCTCAGGGGGCAGGCACTCAAATATTATCCGACACCTAGCGATGACGTCAAGTCTATTCTTACAGATGTCCTGCGCCACACAACCTGTGTGAGAGAACTGTATCTTGTCGATATGGACCCGGTCCTGGAAGCGTATCCCGAACTTGCGGATACTGTGGCTGCCCTGTCAAGCGTTGAGTGTCTTCATGTCACGAATGCTGGCAGCTTTGTCCTGCACATGTTATCAAGAATGACATCCTCCCCCAAGCAGCTTATTTACCACCGCGATACGATATTGTTCCTGCCACGCAGGCACACTTGTTTAGAGGCGTTGCGATCTTCAGTCCTAACGTCGCGAATCGAGACGCTGGCACTGGTTGTCAATGATAACACCCTGGATGACATTGGTACCAAGTTCGTATTGCCTTCCGTTCACACTCTGCAGCTGAGTGGCACAGCGGCGGTGCCGTCTAAACTGGCATGCTGTTTCCCGAACGTTCGATCCATGTCATTCTCTCTAACGGGACCATCTCAACTTCTGGACTGGCCTGGTCTAGATTTTGCGGGGTTTCTACCAAGCTCATCCGATGTCAAGATTTGTATGCCTATCCGTCGCGTTGAACTTGTCGGCCACATTGGCTCGTCTAGGACTCTGCGATACTTCCGAAACGCGTCACCGACGGTTCTCTGCGTAGAAGAACGGGATGTCCACATTCGCCGCGAGGATATACAATCACTGGACGAGTACTTGCCGCAGGTAAGGTTTCTAGAGCTGCGCATCCGTGGCGCTCTGAATATTGTGGTAAGTGCCAGGAAGCCCCTTTGCCTGATCACGGCCTGACAGTTCGCATTGCAGGATGACTTTCTACTCACATTGCGATCTGTACCGCTCGTCGCTTTATGTCTACGTGTTTGCAATAAACGTCAGACCAAGCCTGATGAGGTACAGCTTGCTGTCCTGCGCGCCCGAGCGCGCTTCTGCATTCCCACCCTGCAATACGTCCAGATTGTCGTGGTGCATGAACCTGAGAAGCTTCGTCCGCCGTTCACTTCTTCGCGGTGGTATAGAATCATCGCGCCAGTGAACGCGGACTATGACTTTGAGCTACAAGCGCTGTCCGATGTTGAGGGACACCTGCTCTACCAACAGCTGTTAGACTTGCATCCCACCCCCGCCGATGGCAGGCAGAGCCGCCCTGGGGTGAGCGTGAGCGCGTCCGTGCGCGGGGTGGCCTAGACCTTCTGCGTTCCGGTTCGTACTGCCAGGCAACAGGCACCCCGCGTGCGCTTGCGTTCTGCGCCTACCTCTCCGCAGCCCCTCATCTCGCAGCGCACATCCGCGTGCTCAAACTAGACGGAACCGTCCTGTTCGAGCGCGTCCCGCTCGGCGAAGACTATCGCGACGACTATTCGTGCACACTACTGCTCACGGAGGCCCTGTTGCACGCGACGAACGTCCGCGAGCTCTACCTCGTCATGATGGACGAGCCGCTGCGGCGGCACCCCAAGCTTGCTGACGTGCTGGCGGCGATGGACAACGTGGACGCTGTGGTCGCGAAGAACGGGCGGTGTCCTGTGTTTCAAGTGTTGGGGAGGATGAAGGCGTCCCCGCGCGAGTTGACCATGTGCTGCTATCTGCAGCCGGGGTATGCCAGCTGCGACGACATTGACCGCTTGGAGCTGGTCAAGGCGCTCGGGGCGCAGGACGCATGGAGGAGGCTCGAGGTGCTGCGGGTGCGGCCCTGGCTGGGGATGCCGGAGACCATGCAGGGGGAGATGATGCTGCCAAACCTGCGGGGGGAGGGGATGTTGCCAAGTGATGTGGTGTTTCCAAACGTGAAGACAGTCGAGCTGGCGGGTCCGAGCGTGCAGCGGGCTGACCTATGGAGGAGCATATGTCCGCAAGTCGAGCAGGTGCTGGAGGTGGATATGCTTAAATACGAGCAGGATATGTGGCCGACTTACCCGGTGACGTACCGTGTGATCTATTGATAGGTGATTCACAGTAAATAGGATGCGCCGTGACGCTCTCGAAATTGACCGGCGGGCGGGTGAGTTGTGTCGTTATTGTACCTGCCCTGTAGAGTGACATCGAATATCATGTCTGGGCATGAATTTGATTGGAGCACTGATCGTCGATTCCACGTGATCGACGCGCCCGACGTTGTGGAATGGGACCGTTATCCGTTCTCGTGAGTCCGACTGCCCGTTGCAGGGCGTTACTCCTGCAAAGTTTGACCGCTACATATATCCTGACGTTGATAGAACGTGTGCGGGATCGGATAGCTTCATAATGGAATACATTGTGACATAGAGTAAGGTTTGTTCTCATAACTCCACATGTGCCCGGAGGTATGTGCCGGGCACGTCAGACCCCTCGACGGCCTGTCCCAACTCGCATATTACATCCGCTGTGCCCATTTAGGTCCCGGGTGGTTTGGCTTCACTCCTCCACGTCTGACCATGTCCACCACCATCGCTGCCAGCTTCCAGGGTGTCCCTCTCAGTCAGCTCTTCCCAGAGCAGAAGGAAGGCTGGAGAGGGTGCGTGTCGTACTCATCCTTTCATAGCTGATGCTCTCCATGTTGACCTTTTTGCAGGTATATAGAGTGGGAGAACGAGCCGAAACGCAAGGAGATTGCGGCCAGGATCCTCAAGACCAAGAAGTTCACCCCCAGTCCTGGTACGGTTTTCCCCGCTCACCGCTGCCGCAAAAAAGCATATACATCGTCTTCTAGAATTCCAGCTCGAGCCTCTCCCCAAGACCAATCCGGTCCTCATCGGGCACCGCTGGAAGGAGTATCATGCTGCCCTCGGATTACAACGCATCGTCGATATCAGCTGGCAAACCGTGCTCAAAGAGAAGCCGGATATGATCCATCTCCTCGATTTTCCGTACAACGGCGAGACGCCGCGTAAACCCCTCATGCAGGGAAAACTCACGGACAACAAGCTTCACTTGTAGGGACCCATCTAAAGTCTTCGCTACATAGTTTAATATGCATTCCAATATGTAGTGTTCGCAACCACGGCGGCATCCCCGACATCGACGAGGACAAGTATGAGCTTGAAATTGGCGGCCTCGTGAACAAGCATTGCCGCATCAGCCTCAAAGACCTCAAGGATCCGGCCAAGTTCCCGTAGGTCTCTCCCCAATATTCCCCGCATATATGCTATCTGTTTGTTGGCTGTGAGACTGAATACCATTCAAACAGACAAATCACCATGACAGTCACACTGCAATGCAGCGGGACACGACGTATCGAGCAAATTCAAGAATACCCCGGCGAGGGGGACGAGTTGATTCAAGCCGTGAGCGCTCACTTCCTAACATGTTCTCCGGCGTCTCATGCTCTTCTATTGCTCTAGCCCTGGGGAGAAGGCGCGATGTAAGGTTTCGTATGCGTCTATCCTGTAGGCAGACCCTGATGTATTAATCATGCAGTGGCACGGCGGTCTACCGTGGTGTATCGCTCAAGAAAGTGCTCAAGATTGCATCCGGCGGCATCCAGCCCGAGGCCAAGCACATTGAATTTATCGCCGCAGATACCTACTTTAAGTATGTATCCCACCTTGAGACCACGCCTCCCATATTGTTATCGAAAGTTTCACCGTCAATATATAAACAATTCTAATCTCTTCCCTCACCGCTACAGGAAAGGTCAGGTCTTCAATTACGCCGTATCCGTGCCGTACCGCAAGGTGCGCCAGGCGGACGAAGTGCTCCTCGCGTGGGAGATGAACGGCGAGCCCCTGCCCAAGATCCACGGCTTCCCGCTGCGCGCTGTCATCACGGGTGTCATCGGCGCGCGCAGCGCGAAGTGGATCACGAGGATCAACGCGCTCGCGGAGCCCAGTCTTGCGCCCGTGCAGTCGCAGGAGTACATCTACTACACGCCCCAGGTGAGATCTTGTCCACCTCGTGTTTCGCCTCGCTGGTGCAACACAACGGAATGCGGAGATTGTGCGGTGCTGATGGCGATATGGTGCACTGGCAGATCGGGAAACAGAATGTCCAGTACTCGACCGGGTTCTCCATTCAGAACATGCCCGTCTCGTGCGTGATTCTTCTCTCTGCGTTTGACGAGCGCTGACCTAACGATCGAACACGATCCTTATCCGTGTCCAGGAGCGCCATTATATTCCCGCAGGACAAGGAGCTCATCGTGCACGATGGGGCGATCGAGCTTACTGGCTGGTCCTACAGTGGCGGCGGCAACTGGGTCGAGCGTGTCGAGGTGTCACCTGACGGGTACTCGCGCCCATTTCTCCCTCAGGGCCTTTCTGACCGTTGCATATAGCGGACATATCTGGTATGCCGTCAAACCGGAGGACCTGACCGAAAAGGTGACGCCCGGGGCCTGCATGCATCCGCGTTTCGACGTCGCGCGCTGACGTGTCCCTCTCAGCACTACCACGCGTGGCGTCTGTGGAAGATCCGCGTTCCAGTCGACGCCGAGGGCTGGATTGAGTTCTGCGTGCGCGCATGGGACTCGTCGTGCAACACGGAGCCGACGTTCGTGCGCTCCGCGTGGAAGTGCGTACTTCACCTTGTCCATACATCGTTGAGTGTCTGAGTGTCTGTTGACCTGCGCTCCGTTCAACAGCTGGGACCTGCACGTCACGTCGTCCGCGCACCGCATCAAGCTCTACAGCGTGAACAAGACGAAGCCTGCGACCGCGGCGCGCCTCGCGCAGTTTGCTGCTCGCGGAGAGTCGATCGCGCCGCTGACGAGGCCCAGTGAGGCGTCGCTTGAGGACATGACGGCGTTCGTAGAGGCGATGCGCAAGTACCCCCGCGAGCCGAGGACGGAAAATTAAGTGGAGCGGTCAGGGTGATTTCGATACGGCCTAGATGTATAGCGGAGGATACCATCACTTGTGCAGTTGTGCATGAGTGTTGTACAGTCAAATTTGTATCATGGAGGATTCGTTGTTGTACCTGTGTATTCATAAATGTCTTTTCGTGACACTTGAACAAACGAGTGCGTATGTCTTCGTTGATCTTTCACGCCCCAAAATATGGAAGAGTACAGACACCTCGCCAATGCGAATCCATAGGAATTGTGTATAATTCAAACTATACAAATAACCATCCCCACAAACAGGGGACAAACATCAAATTGTTGCATAGTAATACGGAACACAGAAACAGAACCCCATCCACTGTATCTAGAGCGGGATTAGCGATAGAATGGTTTATACACACGAGGTACAATAAAGAAACAATGTCAACGACAACAACAGGACAGCTAGATGTGATACCGAAAGCGTGGCGGTCGTGATGCATGACTCTACATGATATACATCGTCATACGCTACTGCGAGCTCTGCGCTTTCGCGCTGTTTTCTTCGGCAACGCGCATGACTTCCATGAGAAGCGTCTGCTGCTCTGTAGTGAGAGACGTGGTCGCGAGCTGGTAGAGGGGAGCATTCTTCATTTGGAAGGCTGCAGGAGAAAGTGTTAACGAGGAGGTCAACACAAGTGAAGAAGTCAACAGCGTACCGGTCAAGGCCTGCTTAAACGAGATGTACGGGTCAACGTGCTCAAGAGGGCTGAGATAGCCAAGCTCCTCGTCGATGTCCGTCTCCTCAGAGATATCGGACACATCGTCTCCCGCAGCCTGCCTTTGCGATTTCTCGCGCAGACGTGCACCCTATAAGATATACATCAACGACAGCTTTATCAGTCAAGCAATCGATAGTCCTACCTCGTTAGCGAGCATCTCGAGGTACGCAGAATCCTCGTCCCAAACGTCGTCTGCAGGTCCTGTTATTACACGAGGTCTCAGCAGTGAAGATTAGACATACCATCATCCTCATTAAGGTTGAAGAACTTAGAGTCATCTACGTCGCCATCAGAGTCGTCGTCATCGGCCTTGAAGGCATCCTCTAACGCCTGGCGGGCTATTGTGTTTATGAATGATGAGGTTGTGGATTTATCGCTGACGCATTGAGTACTCACCCTCGATCGCCTTGGGAAGATCCTTGAAAATGCTAAGAACGCCTGCGACGATGCCGGGCCAGCCCTCTTTGACGGTGTCCGGGATCTGCGCAGAATCCATCTCGAGGAGGGCGCACAGAGCCATGATGCTCAATTTCTTGTCGTGCACTCTGGGCAGGCGGTTTTCGGCGTTGATCGCCTCGAACCACTTGTCGAAGAACGTGCGTGCAGCTCCTGGGCGGATGTTTTCCATGATATGCAGGGCGGCGGCAGGGTTGTACAACACGGTGTTGATGAGTACCTCAAGGTTCGCTAGGCGGAGCGTGTTAGTGTTCGCAGCGTCAAGGACAGGCCAGGCGGTGGTGACGATAGGTTGCAGAGCCTGACCATGGGAAATTATTAACATTGGGTACAAGTCTGGATTGTGACGGCAAAACTCACATCGTCAATGTGTCCACGAAGGTTGAGCAGCATGGCCTCAGCAAGCTTGCAACCATTCACTGCATCGTTCTCGCCGAGGTGCTCGCTATTGATCGACGTGGTATAGATTTCGAGGATCATCTGCCTGTAGTCGGGACGGGCCTTGAAGACGTCCGGGCCGTAGGACAAGAAGTTATCTAGGCTAGGCAGCATCTCTGATGAACCAAATTGTTAGCGTTGCCCAGTAGCACTGCCCGCAAGGCTGTATGCTTACCATCCAAGAAATCAATGGCGTCGGACTTGAACATCTTGTATGTCAACTCGAAGACCGGCCACATATTAGGCGAGATGTTGCGCATCTTGAACGTGAGGCTATCCACAAGGTCATACATGTTGTCGAACAAGTCTGGAAGATCGTCATTAGCGGAGCTTATCGTAGGGTAGGGATAAGACCGTACCGAGCAACTTGTTCTCCAGGGTGAGCACGACGATAGGAATGATGATCTCCTGGATCTGGGCAAGGATCTCAGGAGACGAATCCACCGAGGCGACGATCTGCCCGTTTGATCAGCAATTGCGATCGTGGCATACGAAGATACACATACGGTGCCAATCGTCTTCGCAACACCCATTGCAGCAAACGTCTTGTCCTCACCGGTATCGCTCTCCATGAGAGCATCGAGATCCATCTCTCGATCCGATGTCTGCTCAGCAGCTGCAACGTCCCTCGCGAGTCGCGAGTAGGTGTCACACTGTATGAAGTGAGCGTGATGGCCATTAAAAGGAAAGGGCGAGTACATACGAGACGGGCAGTCAATTCTGCAGCAACGGGGAGTAACTCAGCGTGGTATTGTTCGACCATAGTTTCCATGCACGCGTTCAGGATGTCCAAATCAGTCTCCTCGGACAGCTTCAGGAGTGCTACGAGAAAGAATATCAGAAGGAGACTGCTAGCCACGTAGATATGCCACCTACTCTGGATGACCTTGCCGACCTGAGGTGCTACCGCAGCTTTCACTATAAAGTTGGTTAGAACACATTGCAGATGAACCGTCAACGTGACAGTCATACCTGAAGGATGGACAGTGATCATCTCGGTGAGGGCTAAGCTTGCTTGTATGCGAACAGGGAGTTCAGGGTCATCCAGGCAAGCCGCGACAGCCGTGAAGTGCCGACTCAGCACCTAAAATTATCTTCGATTGATCACAGCAAGAGCGTAAGCTTGACTGACATGCATACCTCGTCGCCAGACCATTGCATGCCAGCCTTCTCCATGGTGCCCAAGACCTCGCAAGCCTACATTGAATTTAGCACACTGAGAATGGAAAGAAGTATATAGCACGCATACAATAGCACGCATGTAACGTTCTGGACTGGAGAATTCGGGAAGTGCGTGTTGTACCATGAACTGCTCCATGTTGTTCTTGACGTCTGGGTGGCGCATAATGAACGGACCCAAAGCAGCGGTCATGTTCAAAGCACCAAATCGCTGGGGAGCTGCAGCTTTTCTATAGCAAGCGAAGCGTGGTCAAACCCCAGCCTATCATTTCTGCGGTATTGTAACGTACGATTGCAGCACCCGGTTGATGAATGCGAGAATGGGTAGGAATGTCGTCTTAGTTCTGTTGCTGGCAAGCGAGAAAAGGAAGGATGTTGCAGCTGAAACGGGAGTGTCGAAATTCTCGTATTCATCTAAAGCCTGTGTCAATAGTCACGACCTTTTCTGAAGATCGGCGTGCACGTACCGACGGAGGTTCGAACATAGTCGATCGGGTCAATATCCCACTGCTCCTGCCTCGCCGGAGTAAACGACAGCTGAGGGAACACATACGACGAGACGAGCGTCTCGAAATGGGGCTTAAGCATGACCCAAGTCGACTTCGGTTTGACACTGGAGGCACGATTTAGTGCTTTCCCCCATACCCGAGATCGAGCGAACGTACCACTCCGTGAAGAATGTGAGGATCTGATATTGACACTTTTTGGACAGCCACGCCTGGCCGGAGACAAAGAGTTCAATCTGGCGCAGGTAGACGTTGAAGATCTCGGGGGCGAATGTCGTAACAAAATGCTGCGCGAAGGCGCCATAGTCTTTCTGCATGGAGCTGGGCAGCTGCGAGGGGTTGCCGAAGCGGTGGAACAGGCGTCCAAGGATGCCATACGCCCACTTCTTCGCCTTCCACCACTCGCTGCGCTCCCGGTCGTCCTCATCCTCGGGCACGGCCTCCTTCGGGATCTGCAGGTTGACAACTTGGAACAGAAGTCTGCCCCAGGGCACGAGGCTGTCGGCATTTTGCTGATGGGCGCTGAGGTGCAGCACGATACTGGTTTTGTAAGCCTTCAGGATCATATGGAGCATGAAGGGGATCTCGGCCGATGCGTTTGCAGGCGGCGTTGAAAGCAGCCCGCTTGCAATGGTCACCAAACTCGGGAACAGCTCAGCGACGAGACCTGGGAGAACATCGCTTTCCTGGCGGAAACTTGGACAACGTGCGATAAGTAAGACGTGTGGCAAGCACAGGATGTGAGACGCACCGGAACGCCCTGATCATCTCTAGAGATGCGACGGACCCTGCAGATACCTCATGGATATTGCTGCTGTTCAGCATTTGCTTCACTTCGGGGAGAAGGGCAGACCAATCCTTCGGGAAATCGCGCTGCACGGCAGTTTTGAGAGCACTTGCAAGCTGCACAGTAATCAGCTTTGAAGGCGATGCGGCGAGTAAGGGCAGTATAGACGCTTTGAGAGCATTGCGATCCGATGGCGCGAAGGGAGTATGATCAGGCCGCTGCTGGGGAGTGTCGAGCAGATAGCATGATGCAACGCGATTCTTCAGGTAAACAGCGCCTGCTTGTCGAGTGGCGCTGTGGGGTAAAGATTGGTTAGTACGACGCGTCGGATCGTTGTAAAACGCGTCGAGACGCACAGCTCAACGCTATCATTGCCGATGATCTGCAGAAGAGCGGCAACCATGCCCTCCTGGCCGCCGATCTATGAAACAAGGTTACCAAGAAGTACAATGAAATGACCGCCACATGAGAACATGCCTTCCGAAGCTGCAGCTCTCCTGCCTTTTGAACATTTGGATCTGGGTTGTAGGTGCTCGCGAGGAGATTGGACAGTGTAGGCAGGTCCATCTGGGTGAATTCGTGGTGGATTGGAGAGTGATGACGGTGGCAACCGGCCAAGTGATTGACAGGAAGTAGTAATAGGGTATGGAAGAGGAGGGTATAGGGCAAAGAAACGGGCCACCGACTGGTTTGCCTTGGGTTTGTCCAAATTTTTTGGCGCGGCCGTGGGCAAGTCGCGGTGTGACAAAACGCGTGCACGCGTCCATCACGCGTCATTTAGCGGCACGCGCCCTCACGCGCCTTGCGTGGCCCGCCGTGTCTGACCATCTTTACGTCCATTCCCAGCAGGAGTCAATTTCGCAATATATAGCTATAGATTACTCATGGGTACAGGACATGTGTGATACCAAGTAAGATGATTCCTTCCGTTGACTCCAAGCTCGGCTAATGGACAACGGACGCTCGAGAGAAGCACATGGAGCACACAAAACGACAAACATTCCGTAAAGCCGCGGGGTATACGGGACACGTAAACAGGGTGTTCAGGTCACAAGGTATGTCCAGACACCAAACAAGATGTTGAAGATGAAGCCAATCACGATACCCACTTGCATGGTCCTCCTGCACACCAAATACATCACACGCGGCCCGAGGACACTACTCAGCAACGGGTGAGATGACTCAGATAGCTGGGGGGCTTACGAGAATACAATGCCACCTTGATTTTCGTGCGCAGTACCGTCTTCCCAGAATGAGGCTGTTTTCTGAGTGCCCGAGAAGAAGAACGGCATCAATGGGAATAGAAACCCAACAATGACTCCATTCATGATCGTTGCCGTGGAACGAGATGAGGACTGGGATAGTGGCCCTCCTCCGCCGTTATCAAGAGAGTCAATCCATTGTTCCTCAAGAGTGCGAGCATAGTCATCGACTGGGACGCCATTCGGATGAGTATATGGAAGGCAACGAGACGCCCAAACGGTGATAGGACCCACAGTCATCGTCATCAACGAAGTCTTGGTCAATATAATCTCCCGCGGAATTGGCATGAAATTGCAACCGGATGTTAGCGATGTCTTGTTCGGAGAAGCCCGCAGCGGCGAGCCTGTCAAACCCACGCAGTGGTTTGAGTTGGGCAGACTACGTTATCCACATCGACAAATGAATTAAACCAAAGAAGACCAAGAATTTCCACGTACCTGCACTTGGGTCTCTTCCTCTTCTTCGCCATCCGTCAATTGCGGGCCGACGGAACAATGTAGCCATATGGTGCTAGTGCCTTGCTCCCTGGGACTTTCACTTGCGACGTCATTGCTTGCAGCACGGCGTTGGCGCAGCTCAAGGGCCGCCAGCCGCGTATAGAGTGCAACGTTGTCTGCGAGCAGTTGTCCCGCAAGGATGAGCTTGAGCCGACGGTTCTGCAGTTGCGATCTCGCCTCCCGTATCTAGGGGTGCGGATGCAGTGCGAGTGAGTAGTAATCAAAGAAGGCAATGCAAGTGGGGTACCTTCTGCTTGACATCACGGATATTGTCCTTCTCTGCTACCTGTAATGTGAGGTCCGGAATTCCCTCTGTGAAACGAACAATCAAGTCCTTAAATAGGTGCTGCAATTCCGTCTCGTCCTCAGTGTCGGAAGCGCGTCGCTTTCCTTTCGCCTTCTCGCTGAGCATTTCAATATACTTCCGGGAGACGGAGGACCAAAGAGAGGCGGAAGACGAAGTTGACGACTCGGAGTTGCTGTTAGGGACGAGCACTGAATGTCCGATGATCGAGCGATCGAACGGTTATATCGGAGCAAAATCGGAGTGTGAACTTATGGCCTCATAGTGTGATCTCCGATCCCGCGATGCTGTGGCGCCTTGACTTGCTTACACTTCCGGAGTCGGTCTCACCACGGCCACTACAGTCGCCGCACCCACCCAATTCTTCTCATAGTCGAATACAAACGCAACAAATATGCCTCGAGCAGAAGGTATGCTTCATTTGGGTGCTTCATTGACATGCACTGACAAGGGCAACAGTCGGAACGCCAAAGTATCTGGCCAACAAGATGAAGGCCAAGGGTCTTCAGCGGCTGCGGTGGTACTGCCAAGTCTGCCAGAAGCAATGCAGAGACGAGAATGGATTCAAATGTCACGCACAATCCGAGTCTCATCTCCGACAGATGCTCGTCGTCGGCGAGAACGCGGGACGGCATATCGCGGACTTCTCCTCGGAGTTCCAGCACGATTTTGTCCAGCTGCTCTCTCGTCGGTTTGGCACGAAGCGTGTCAAAGCAAACACTGTCTATCAAGAATTTATCCAAGACCGCAACCATCTGCATATGAACGCCACGCGCTGGGTGACGCTGACGGAGTTCGTCAAGCATCTCGGCCGGAGCGGTCTCGCTAGGGTTGATGAGACAGAGAAGGGGTGGTTCCTTGCTTGGATAGACAACAGCCCGAAGGCACTGGCAAAGCAGGTGCGTAGTTCCGCAACCGCATATGTCATTAGTGTTCGTGATGTATATTGTGATCGTACAGGAAGCATCAATGAAGAAAGAGCGGCTCACAATGTCGGACGAACAGCGGGAGCGGTTGCTCATTGCTGAACAGATCGAGCGCGCCCAGGTCATAGCGGGCCCCTCCGACTCTTCCCCACCCCCCGTTGAAGAAGGCCTCAAGCGGGACGAGAGTTCTGAGAAGGTCGTTCTATCACTGGCCCCTAAAGCTGCGCCACCATCTGCGGGTGGTTTGAAGCTTAACCCACTGAAGCCCATCGCGAATCCATTGAAGCTTGGCGTGAACCCGCTCAAGCGCCCAAATGTTTTCAAGCCGGCGGCGAGTACGTCGCCTGCAGATGCAGAGAAGAGCAATGGGAATAAGAGAGAAGCACCTATGACGGCGGCAGAAAGGCTTATCTTTGAAGAACAACAGAGGAAGCGCAGGCGGATGGAAAGGGAGACTATGTCGTAAGGATAGCTGATTATCTGTGGTGCTCTGTGGACGGTACGATTCTTGTATTCTATATCGTGTTATCATTATTTTCAGGACATGTTCCGTCTGATTGCGAAAGGTCTCCGAGGTGATTTACTGTCAGTATATGAAGCAAGGGCCAACAGGAGGCCATGATGTGTACAGTGGATGTGACCGAATACGAGTAGGCACACCCCACGTTCTGTGTTCGTGTTGACATGGTGGACATTGAAGTCATAATAACGCTTAAAGTAATGGTGAAAACGTCGACACTTGGGCTTCCGCATCACAAGGGCAGATACGACCAAGGCTATGACGTCGATCCCGACCAGTCTTCAACGTTCAACCCTTGACCACCTTCCGATACACCATGCATTGAGTGCAAGGTAAGCAGCCTCATGGTCGCTGCGCGGAGAATTTAAAATATGACCATATCCACTTCTGATGCTCCAATTCCGCCAGAACGACATCCTGTGAAATTCTGACCTGGTGCATTCAGTCGCGATGCACCGGTACTCACAACTGTTCGGTCCATGATCATCCCACTGTAGTTAGCGCAATACATCATGCACCGGCTCCACCTCCCTGGGAACGAAACCTCCACATTTAAGTTGGAAGTTATTTTCCGCGATGCAGCAGAAAATGTTTCCCATATCCAATGTTTTGACATCGGAGTCGGGCAAGCTTCGGATGAAAGCACTCATTCACGCAGCATCAATGCCTTCGCTCAAAAAGGACACAGAATTCCACTATATGATGGTTGGCCCGTCGACAGGGACACGTGAAGAAGCTCTGGGACGGACGGTCAGCGGCCCACCCTGGGTGAGTTGATTCAATATGACGCTGCTACCGACCAAGCCAATTTCTGCGGGGTCATGCTGGCCACATTCTGTGGAGGCCGCATGACTCAACCCACACGTAGCCGATGACAGCCGTGATCTAGCGGTGAGAATCGGATTGATGTGACAAGGAGCCATGCGGGTTGACTGTCCGACGATGCGACTTTATGCTCGCATGCATATGGGCTAACTACCCCGCTCCACTTTAAGCTGTGCGTGCCTCGCATCCTCTGAATGATAATCTATAATAGCACGGACAAGTTGCATCAATTCTACCAGATTATTCTCACATGCATTGTGTGCTCGACATGCACCGGGCGTCCTCAACGTATTGCGGCATGTCTAAACGAGTGCCCATGTTTTAGACCAGTCAGCGAGACCTTCGCCGGGTTCTGTGCATTATTGCCACGCCTGGATTTGTCGTACCCCACGGTGTACCCTGCTAGACCCTCCCACTCAACTGCATTTGCGAACAATCATATGTACACGACAGAGGTCAAATACAGAGGTCAAATACATGTGCACAGAGCATCACTCAACCCGAGCGCTGCCGAACAAACACCTCGTCCGACAACGATAAGGCGCTGCGTAAACGCCGTCACACTTGCCGTCGAGGCATGGTACCCCGGCCCCGCCCTCTGCCCCTCCCGCCTTTCCTGGCGACGGGAGGGCTCTCCCCTTCGCTTTCGTCTTCGTCTTCCCGTGCTCTCGTCGCAGCTCTTCCTTTCGCTTGTTCTCGCCCCCTTGTCGCCTCTTTGTCCGCGCGCTTTGAGTCTCTGAACTTTCTGCGACAGGCGTTGCTCCCAAATTCAAGATACTCCTCTCTGGTCACACAGCCCTGAAGGAACTCTGGCTTCTGCGCGAAAGCGGTTGCGGATCGGTAAGTCTCCAGTATAGGGCTGAAGAGAGATGAGGAGAAAGAAATAACATATTGTAGTGATTCGTACTCATTTGAAGCGTAGATGATCACTTCGCAGTCCACCGGCGCCAGTGCACGTAGTTCAGATAATCTACACGCCCCCACGGTGAGAAGCATGAGCCCGATCATCACAAGGCGCCTAGCACTCACAGCCGCTCACGAAAGCCAGGGACTCTGGTATTCCCACCGACAAGACCAATGTGTGCCCAGAACATTCCTTGGAAATCCTCCGGCAAGAGCGCGATGCTATTAGCGACAGCAGGGGCAATACCAGACTGCTCCAGACCTGAGGACGTGTGGATCACAGATGGTCAGCATGAATGGAGCTTGACCACCAAAGTTGTTGAACCTAATCACCAATGTCATCCGGTCGGAATATTGTTTCCGGAACGCTAAACCTTTCATTGTTCATATACATTACCTGGGCTGTGTCCTCTAGCGCCTCGCCGGGTTGCCGTACATGCCCGATGCGGTTCATCGAGAAATCAGGTAAGACATACTCTTGCACGATGGCATTAGATCTGGGATTTTGCCTGATGACAAAATGAGCCTTGCAATGGACAACAATACTTAGAGACAGAATGTACCGGCACACTTCGAGGTCTTCTTTGTAATTTGTAGAGATGTAGCAGCAGGTTTCCTTGATATCATTGATGATGTAAGTTTCATCCATCATGTTCCACTGTCGGAATGAGGCCAGTTCCTTCAGATGGTTCGTCAGAAGCTTTCCGCCAACATCAATTCTGCGAGGGCGATGAGGACCTAATTGACAGCGCGGATCCCTCCTCGACATACCTCGCGACCGCATTCCATAAGATTGAATCGTTCATGATAGGAACGACGTGTGTGAAACTAAAGCCTGAGTCTACCAGGAGCATGCAATCCGGGGGTCCATACCCCTCTCTTGCAAACAGGTCTCCATGTGGGATGAGCGAGGCAGCTATCAAAATATTCATGTGTGACCGAACGGTGGGGGCAGAACAAGAGCCAATCTGGCACTTACGTGTACAGCGGTAATACGAGTGAAATTCGTATTCTTCAAATACAAATTGATCGTAGACGTTTTGTATATTCGGAAGGTTGAAGTAAGGTTCAGTGATGAGCAACGAGGACTCCGTAGTGTTGATCTTGCCACTTCACGTCAGCTGGTGCATGCCGCAGTGAGGTTTGAGACCCTTACCCCTAGGCACTCGGCGGAGAACAAGCCGTCCCAGACTGCCTTTTCGGCATCCCAGTCTAAGAGAAAGCCCTGACATACTATGAGGAGTCCTTCTGCTACTCTGTAGGGGAGGATATGGCCTGCTCACCTTCTCAAAAGGAAGACGGTAATGTAATGACGAGTGATCACGGCATTTCTCAAATTCATGGCCGATGTATGTCATCTTATCGCCCTTCGAACGCACGATGGCGTTGGTAACGACCCTGAGCGTTCGTGAACTTCCCGACTGTAAGTCAACGAGGTGCCCAATTTACCTAGGGTCAGTATGTACTCCGAGCACACCTGCCTTGATGGTGGCAGCGCCATTGTCTACGACGACGGTAGAACGGGGTTTCATGGGTTGCAACTCGACCTGCTGAATGATGCAGGGATTAAGTTATGCGCGCAGGAATACTTGGCCGAACGCTCGCAGATGGCAGTCAGAGCACACACCAGTGGGCGCCAGACTGCCGGACGAGTTGAGCGCGTCTGCGTGGTCAACACTTTCTATTCTGGTCAACACCGCGGCGTGTTGTCTCACACTTTGCTTGATCTACTCCATCTCCATCTCTGAACGCCGTTCGTACCTCTTCATAAGTCGTGGTTCAGTGCCACCTAACAACGGATATAGCATATCTCTGGCAGCAATACAATTTGTGTGCGGTGTTGTCCCGACCGCCAACGCTGCCGAGTTAGGGGTACGTCACAGAGAAACCCTCTGCGCTTGTCGGGCTTTGTATCCTGCGTTTATTAGCCGCTAGAATCATTGCATTCTGGAAGGACCCCTCGGTGCCAGAGCTGTGAGGGTACCTCTTTCTCGTAATACACGACAGCGAATTCTGGGGACTGTAGTCTAACACAAGGCGTCCCATTCTGAGGTGGGAGCTTCCAGGAGTCATGCTGGCTGCATGCATTTGGTGCAGATAATCTGACGTCTGTGCTCCTCGACAGGTTGCTGCACGTCTCCTCCGGGTTATACGCTAGCTTACCTTGGCGTCGGTCACGCAATGTGTGTCGCCTTCTGGTCCTTGGAGCACCCTCAGTACGCCCTGTGCGTGCCTCGATGTCTGTGTTGCGACTGCGAGTCTTAGACCCATGATCAGCATCTTATGCAGCAATCGAGACGAATACCTTTCCCGGCCAACTGCCAAGGCTCATTGGCACTCCTTCGGGGGCGTAAGGGATGATGCAGCCGGTGACGGAAGTATTCTATCTGGCCGAGACCTCCGGGCTGGTGGCACTTGGGCTGGTGTCAACCGTTCCGGAAGGGTTTCCCTTCTGTGCGCCATGTGCTTATCTGCGCATGAGCGGCATACTGAAGACCATATAGAACCAACATCACGGAGCCTCCAGGAAAGTATGACTCTTCCAGAGGCAACCTCACCTCTTCCTTTCTTTTGCCGACGCCGTCGACGTTCCAAGACGAAGTCGAGAGTATCCGCGCTCAAAATGGGAAATACGCCGGATTCAACCTTCTGCTGCTTTCTCCTCGGACAAGGCACGGAGCGTCGCTTGCGTACAATGCATCATTCGTGACTAATTCTGGCGGGGGTGGTACAATCACTACACGTGATCTGTCTGACGAAGAGAGGTGCTGTGGAGGAATGTCCAACGGCATCGATCGCCAGGGGGCGAACGAATGGCCGAAGGTCAAGCACGGCATCCACGCCTTGCAGGAGGTGCTCGACTCCGTCACGGAAAATTCTAATGAATCCGAGCTGTTGGAACAGCTGTTCGGTCTCTTGACGTGGGTATTTACTCGTGCTATCACGCACATGTTTTGGAGCGTGTTCTGATTATTGGAGGCCTTTTTGAAAGCTGGAGGAGCAAGGGGCCTATCGATCGCTCTACATTGCGGAACACAATACAGGTGGAGCCCATCGCTCTTCCGAATTCAAACGGCTTAAACCACACTGTCCACGAGTACTACGGCACGCGGCTTTCCACGGTGATCCTCATCCGCAGAGATGGGCGGGTCTTATTCGCCGAACGGGACGTATGGAAGCTCAGCTCGGAGGGACATGTCGCCGAAGCTAAATCCGAAGATGATCGTATGTTCCGTTTCCAAATAGATTGGGGGGATATCGACAAGTCCATAGATAGTCTATAGGGCAATAATGTACTGTAATAAATCATAGTACGAAATCCAGTGCGAAGCCAGGACAATCAATTGCACGCGGGGAGACCTAAATCAGTAAAGTTTCATAAGACCCAATGCGTCCGTAGAGAAGAGCGACCACAATAACCTAAGACACGAGTATGATCTATGAGGGAAACCACTTCACTGCACGATGTGATAGGGTTTCTGATATGTAGCATGTTCTCCCGATGACACTTGGAAGTAATGGTCGTAACCACTCGGATGTGACATTGCCTGCCAATCTTGCATATTGTTGCTCAAGCCTGAGTGGCCCGATGAGGATGTGGGCGACAGGAGTTCGCTGTCAGTCGGTGTGGGGAGCCCATCATATCGGGTATCGCTGTGGTATCCAGGATCACTCCCACTGCCAGACATGAATGATGAGTGAATCCCGTGATGTGGAAAGATACAACGATGACACTCACTGCATAGTGTCATTAAGATCCAGGATACGAGTAAGAACGAGACAGTCATTGTGCGAATGGTGTTCCGGCAGCTGCCTAAGCTGATGGAGCGTATTTCGGAGCTGGTTCGTCAACGCTATGAGCGGATTCCCCGCGGCTGGGTTCGTCAGGCACGGACAGGAGACCTGGATTGTGCTACTGCTGTTGTTGGATGGCCGCACGTAAGACTGCGCATAGTGATCAGGACCGGCGTGCACTGAGCCATCAGTATATCGATGCTCGTAGCCCAAAGGGGAGTTTGACGAGGACGACGAGTAGTACGCAGCGGAGTCGTCTGTCGGTGAGCCGAAGGGCTGAGAGTTGGCTTGTGGTGGGGTACGGTAGTAGGATTCGGAGGCCGAATGGGCGTCATGCAAGGTTGAACTGCTGGAGGAAGTCGCGACACGATAGAGCTGCTGCTGTTGGGATAGCTCCGCTGCCTGCTCGATCTTCACGGTGGACGGCAGGTGGATAGAGGCGCTTCCACTGTGGCTACCGTCAATATCCAAATCGCGTCTCGTCTTCTGTGTCTGCAGCCGCTTCGATGACCGCGAGTGCCATTTCTCCGTAGAGTCACCATCGCAGTAGTTCGGTTCAGCCCATTTGGGGTGAGGCTTCCCTATATGTTTCAAAGTCAACACGGAGGAAACTAAAACGGGTCGTTAGAAGACACACCCCGTAGTTCTCGAACCAGACTTTCGAGCTCCGCGATCCGATTCCGGAGACGTGTAGTCTCGTCGACGTTGGGGTCATCCCTGCACAGTAATCAGCATTCTTGACTGCAGACACGTATTGCTCGTCATTCACCTCAGTGCGGGATCATCGACTTCATAGACACACAAGCCAGTCTGTCATACAGCAATCCAGTCAAAAATGATGACACTCGGTTGATGCTCCGGACGTACTAGCCCAAGCTGTATACACCTCGAACATGGTCTCTTTCTGTCACACTGCGGAAGATTTTGGTCAGAAGATAATCGTGCGAGACAGAAACCGAAGCGCGCTCACCTTGCGCTTGGAAGTATGACAATTCAAGCATGACTGAGTGGTCCGGTTTCTCCGTCTAGAGTGAGTCTGAGCGGGCGATGTGATGGTGAAGAGGACGATACATACCGTTTGCGATGGTCAATATCGAGACCCAGATCGAAATCCATGATCTCGCCTTTAAACTGAAGTGGCGGCAACTGCGTGTCCGACTCAAAGCTCATGGTGGTGAGTTAGGGTCGGAGCAGCATTGATGATACGTACTTATAAGATGCGCGCATGCAAGCGCCATGACCGTAAACGCCAGGGTGGCACCGAAATCAGTTGATCGCTTCGTGCGACTCCCAATGCGAGTAATACCGAAACAGATGTACGCGACGAATGTCTGTCCCTGAATGACTTCTGGACAGCTTCTGGACAGCCCAGGTCGGAGCAGGCGTCTGCGGAAGACGTGACATAACGTGTGAGAGTCGGGGAACCCTTTAGCAGGAGCGAAGCCGATAAGATTCAAGGCTATGGGCCCGCTGTCGAATGCCGTGATGCTATGGAACCCATCGAACAAGGTACCAACACTTGGTTCTGTGGTTTGCAACCGTGCGGAGATTCTTGGGACCCTTGTTGGGAAACACATTCGGTTCCACTTGTACTCTTTGTTTATCATTTACGATAAACTTCCGGCGTTCTGCAGGCCGGTTTGGGAAGATGCTTGTCCTCTGCAGTAGCCCAAGGCGGCTGCAATAGCAGACGGCATGCCGCGGTCGGCCAGCATGACGATCGTGGAGTCAGATCCGCCGTCACGACAGCAGCTCAAGACACCGTATCCTTGACATTCTCCGCCATGGACCCCACGCCAAGTTCTATCACGAACTGCCAGGCAAGTGCTGGTTGCGAGCAGCAGCCTCACACATTGAGATAGCGAAGAAGTACGAAGCTTGTAACAAATCTGCAGGTGTACAACTATGTCGCGATGGGCGTTAAACGTGTCAGCAGACAGAGTTTGAGATTACAGATATAGAGTAAGGCGTCTATGGCCAGGCGTTGGTCTGACAGTATCTCCGAAAGGCGACGATTGGATGCGGATCGCTCGATGCACAATGCGCTCCCCAGCCCGGAGCTGCGACCGGCCAATTCTGATGAAACGGTCATTAGGGTCTTTCATAATCATCAATTCTGTTATATACGTACAGGTGACGTCCGAAAGGTGCATCAGAACGTGGCGTTATAGTTAGTTGCATTTGTATTGCCACTCACACTAGAGAAGTGCGTAAGTATGCCGAAATGCGGGAGCATGACTGCGATTCACACGTGTATTCCCGAAATGTATATGACAAGTTCTTGGTTCTGTACTCGCCATAAGGAGGAAAGAGAAGCCAGAGTCAGTTACATGTTCGAGGCCGCAGAATGTTACTAGAATCCGGCTCCGCTAAAACTCGAGCGAACGGAGAAGACAAGATTCGCCGTCGTATCGGAATCCATCGTGAGGTTATCTAAGACCCGACTGCGGTGCCAAGTAATCGGGAACGACTCGCCGGGCTAAATTGGTCTAAATGCCCAAGACGGCTGATCGTCTCTGATCACCGCAAATAAATGGGCCGTCTCGCGGAATCGCTCGGGACCACCTAAATCGACCAGAAGACGGTGCAGAAGTGTAGACCAGACTGTCGGCTCCAGTACCAAGAAGGGGGCAGAGTCCAGATGAGCCCGAGCCGGGGCAGTGGACGGCCAATCTGAGGGCACCAGTTTTGGCACTCAGTATTGGTATGTAAGCCAACTGTCGCCCGACCGACCGACAGGTAGAGATGGAGGGTAGGATTGTCCGACCGCTCTCAGCTGTGTTCTTAGAATGAGGACATATACATAATGATCCGACGCAGCGTGAGCACGGCAGAACGATTGACTGCGGAGTTTTGCGTTGATGGACCATGCAGAAGTGGCAATCTTGCCGTCGCGGCTACAATTCAATGGGCAGCTCTACACAATGCAATGACAGCCATGCGATCATCGTGCACAATCATAAGATCCGACGGTACGAAACGTGGACTTAGCGTCAGAACATCCATTTGCACAAGCGACGTCTTGTCAATCGTCGCGTATGCTGGCGTTGAAAGGTAAGTGAAGCATGGCGTTTCAATGGTGTATGAGGATAACGTGGGGCGTTTGTCAGTCATAGCAGCACAGTTCCAGTGGTTCCGGGCACGAAGTGTCCCATCTGGGTAGTTCTAGAACAAAAGAAGACACCGAGACATGCTTGCATCTGGGCATGAGTGCGTCGCCTTTCGAGAACAAAGTTCGCAGCGCCTGTGAACATCCTGTCAGATGAGCGGTGAACGACCAGGGCAGGTCAACAGGTCGCTTTGGCATTGTTTGTTCGGTGGCGGGAATCGTCTCAGATCGTCTTCAGCCTATGTCCGGCGATTGTCCTTGTAAGCCAGAGCTTCCGTGATTTTCATAGACTCCGCGGTATACCGCCAAAGCAGCCGCCCTGAATTATCCAGTTTGTCGTTCTTAGTGCGATCGGGGTCGGAGGATTGCTGGTCAATGGCAGATTGTCATCGGACACCGACCTTGATCGTGAGTTACATCAAGTCTGGACGCCCATGGACATGGTGTCTCGCTTGAGTTTCCTGGGAGTGCCTTGGTCCATCTGGTGCTGGTGTCGAGGATAATGTCCTAAGCGTCCTCTATGCTTCGTGTATGTGTGCAGCCGCTCCTGATTCGATGTAGGAAGGATATCGGCGGCACTCCGCGATGATTTGAACGCCAGACCATGGGGTCATTCCCGTCTGTAGTGCATTTGGCAGTACTCCGACAGCACGGTCTCATGACGGCCTTACCAGCGTCCACCCCGCGTGCAGTTCCTGCAAGGGGCACGCCGAGTTGACATGGAGCGCCGAACGAAGTGTCCATGCTGGCGTACCTGTTGTTACATTCGGCACCACTCTACCAACAATCTAGGTAGCGATGGTCCAACGATGGAGGTAATGATGTGCTTTCACTCTTGATACAGAGTTGGTAAATTGCCGCTGTGTGCACCTAGGCTTTGCCGGGAGAGTACATATGGAATGTAGGTGGGATGTCGCATGTCGAGTTTCTGCTCCTAGCATTCCAGCGTGCACGCTGTACGGCTCTAGGTGGGCCCGTACTGGCATGGTCGCGGAGTGGGGTGTACTTCGGGGTATTATATATGACCTAGGCCTCGCTGAGCCCGACTAAGCACTCTCCGCGAAGATTGCAACTCTAAGTATTTCGTACGCTTCTCCCGAAGGTGGAGATGGCCGCAATGTTCAGGACGCGAATTGCCATGGAGTGTAGCACATGCTGGACTGCGCGGAGGAACATGCATGTTTTTTCAGTCATTGCCAGTCTGCGGTGAAAATTCGGGATTTACTTGTATGAACGGCGTGATTGATATCCTGTATGAGGGGTCACGAACGGGAAACACACACCGTCATCTGTCGTCGGAGTTGCGGTATGGCCAGTCCGCACCTCCTATCCACAAGACTAGGCCGAGCCTGAGATGTCAGTGAGAATACAAGCGATGTTCGTAGGATATTTGCAGACCGCTTTAACTTCCAAATCGCTTCAGAAAATAGCGTCGTTATCCTGATAGAGTCGTCAAACTGAGTCGCCGTGATATTGTCGCCGTGTCGGATTTGGTGTGAAGACTTAGTTCGTCGTCAGTATAAGATTGCAAATGCTGCACTGCTTTGCATGTGCTCTAAAGATAGTCATTTGTAAAGACTACTATCGCATATGGCCGAGAGCTAGTATCTGATCCAAGATCACGGTCGTGACGGTGCCGAATGCGGAAATCATGTGAGCGCTCGTCGGATGCAAAGGTTGCTGTTTACATGCACTTCTACATGCCACAGCGTGTTCGACTCCCACAGCCACACAACCACCTCATCATCTCAGACGTTTACCACGATGCCAGACGACAAGGTACAGATTCAAGCTGCGTCGTCACCCACCGAAGATTCAGACGTAGCCACGCCGATTACTGAAGCGTCAGAACCCAAACCCGGGGTAGACGGAGTACCAGTTCGTTGTGAGTGCTATCGCCTTCCTTGCAGCCCAATCCGCGGTTTCAAGCTTACTTTCGTGAAAAGGGTACGATGTGAGTTCTGTAAAACCTGTGACTTACTTCCGGCGCTTCATGAGATGCCGCTGAATCCGCCAGGCCGACCGCACCGAATCGTATACGCGTATTACGCCATTTCAGGAGAAACATGATACGAGCATCGAGTAAGTCTCCTGTATTCATATCCTAGTACAGAATGAACAAGCAATCAGGTTCTTCTACAAGCCTATTACTCTGACTGCACTAGGAATTGGGATGGCTGTCTTGGCGTACGTTGCCACCACTCAGGACGTCCTAAAAGAGGGACGGGATAAACGTAGAGTGTCAGTGCTATTCATCCCCTATCCGGAATGTGTACTCATGACCCCGGATCTCAGCGGTGCATATGCTGCGATAGCTTCCTTTCTTCTTTTCTCGATGATACAATTTCGAGATGGACCGTTTGTCCGGCCCCATCCAGGTGCGTGTCCATCACAATGGCCAGCCAAGGGGAACCACAATCACCAACCTCATCCCAGCATTCTGGCGAATTGTTTTGGGCGTCAATTTACTGTATGAGCTCGCCCTGGTTTTCTTACTCTTCCAGGATCTCGACTCGGCGAGAGCGATGATGAAGTACCTGGATCCTGGTCTGGGAGTTGCACTTCCAGAAAAGAGCTATGCGGAGAATTGTGAATTCACGCCGCAAAATATTTGGGTAATGTCGCTTATAGTTCCATGTTCCATGCTTCTCACCAACTTCCCAGAATGCAATCGACATCTTTTGCCTCGCCCATGCATTGGGCTGGTTTGGGAAGGCGCTGATACTTCGCGACTATTGGTTTTGCTGGGTAAGTTACTGGCGTAAGACTTCAGGTCCAATGACTGACGTTGGCTAGATCCTGAGTATCGCGTTTGAGTTCGCTGAATATAGCTTGCAACACCAATTGGCCAATTTCGCAGAGGTGGGTTTCCAATTTGTGAGGGAGATCAATCGTGCTGAACCGCTTATAGTGCTGGTGGGACCACGTACGCTGCTGCCCTGGTTTTCTCTTGTCCGTACGACGTAACGGAACCGCTGTCAGTGGATTCTCGACGTGTTGGTATGCAATTGGTTGGGTACCTACATTGGTATGAGAGTTGAGATATATACCGGCCGTCAGTCTGACGTACTGACTTTCCTGGGTAGGCATGAAGACCTGTCAATATTTTGAAGTCAAGGTTCGTCAAATTATCCTGAACTTTACCGGTTGTTTGTGCCTTACCGTGCACAAGCATTACACCTGGCGAGGACTGCGACAAACACGTGGTCTGCGTTCAAAAACGAAACGTGTCATCAGCCAGTTTTCTCCTCATGATTGGACAACGTTCAAATGGGAAGGGACCGCATCCTTCGTGCACTACTTCACTGTCGTTCTCCTTTTGGCAGTCTTCCTCGCAGCGGAATTGAATCCGTTCTATCTTAAGGTCGGTGTTCTTGCTTGGTCTTTCCCAGCACACTGGCCTAAACCGCTTCAGGCTCTCTTGTGGATGGAGCCCGATCATCCGTTTGTCATCGCGCGTCTGGCGGGAGTCTTTCTCTGTGCCTTGCCTGCGGTCCGAGAGCTGTATGAATATGTTAACGACCCGAGGTATGTGCATATAACCATAATATACATGCAGTCCCCGAATTGGCAGTATCTCATGTCAAACTAGCTTATAATGGACCCTATCATTAACAGGAAAGCCGTGCGAATGGGACAGCATGTATGGCTGTTGCTCGCTACCATTGGGACGGAGTTTTTTGCAATTACCAAGTGGAGCAAGAACCAATTCCCAGAACCACTGCCGTCCAGCGTCAAGTGGGCATGGTTCATCGGCGCTCTACTGCTTGTATCATACCCCACAGTGCAGGTGAGCCCATGCGTTCTCAGACCGTTACACATCTCGCCTCATCCGGGTTTCATAGTTTGGGCTACCAAGCGTTAGGAGATACCTCCGGCGCTCGCAGCGCAAGCCAAAGCCTAAGGCCATGTCGTAAACCATCTATTCGCCTGATGTCTCGGATTCCGCGTATAATGGGCCAGTTAAATGCCCGGCCCGGTAGAGCTAAGCTACAGCGTCACTATCGTAATCACGACCTACCAATCTAAGTGAGTGTCTGCGAGCCCTTTCGCACCAGTCCGAAGACAATCTTGATATCGTGATGCGCATCTGCCCCGCCCAAGCCCCGCCCTATCTCGATTAGCTCTCGTGGGATGGACTAAGTATACGATCGTGCTCCGGAGGGCGATATGATCGATTAAGAAGCCGGGCGGAGCGCTCTGGTCCCGCGATTCGGGTCAACGATCGACTACCGGATGCATGCTGGATAGGCGAGCGAGATGTGTCCGGCGGGAAGATGAGGGGGAGATTGAGCGACCGTAGCCACGCCAGGATCAGCTCGTCCGGCCCTGAGCCTGAGCGTGATCCTTCAACGATCGGCACCTTTGTCGCTGCCCTCGCCGTGATGTCATTGGTCGCGTCAAGACGGGGCGCGAGCAGCGCCCCCGCCGTGCAGATAACAAGAAGTGCGTCCGCTGCTTCTGTTTTGTGATCAGGGCCTTTCACGGATGGTATTGGACGACGATAACAATGTCGCACGCCGTCAAGGCGTGCGTAAGCTCCCCGCCGACGAGCGGGGCAGGGGTGTCGCAACAGCATGGATGCAAGAATTACAGGCACATGCCTTTCCGCGCGCATGCAGCAGGGCCGGCAGTCTGCATCCGACCTGAGACTCGACAGCGACAGAACGGCTATCCATCTTGTTACGTTCAGGATGCGAACCGCTGACGAACCGAGCGCCACGTCCTAGCGAATCATATTCTCGTCCCCAGTCGAATATCCCATGGGGCCTTGAAGCCCGAGTACTTCGTGTTATGTCCAACATGGATTGCTAACGGTGGACATTTGTCCGTGGCGCCTTGTTGTATGCCCGACGCCAATCACCCTGAATCATGTAGCTCAATGTGACAGAAACGAGGGTACTGGCTACTCGTGATTCAAATTCACTGGGCCATACCCGCCGTTAAATGCTATACGGATCAGGGCTGATGAGTGCGCAGCATCTTAATTAATAGAAGCACGACCAAGGCCAGCGGAGTTTTTCTGAGAAGTACAAGGAGGTTATATTGTCCCACCTGTTTGATTCGCCAGGCCGGTCTAATGCCAACGGGGAGCACCAGGCCATGGGCCCGTGCTAGCCCAGATCTGCAGACATTTGCCCAATCCACGCAGGGCCTCGGGGTACCGGATAGGTTTCCGTCGCTTGCCCTGGCCCCTGGTTTGTGCGTAACAAAAAGAATGGAACAGGCAGGAAGGCGAATTACTTACATGCATACATATGATTATGGGCGATTTGAAATCAGCTATCTGAGTCGAGGATTCAGCCAAGAGACAGGCGATAACAGAATTCTCACTGAAATAGAGGGATGCCGGCTTAACTGGATCCGTCTAGATGTTGTCTCTGTCTGCAGAGACATGACACGAACGCCCCTATCGCCAGCATTTGGCTGTCTCCTGGTGGCCGACAGGCAGCACCGTATGACCACAGCGGATGCCAATCAGAATAGGCCGTAATTTACGTTCCCTTCCGTGCGTGCACGCGCGTAGCTGAAAGTGACGCAAGGCGACACTAGAAAAGGAATTGAGATGCGAAATATTTGCTTGTGTACACTTACATCGCTGGGGTTGCAGCCCACAGTGGTACGTACGTGCCCATACGTCCAGGCGATCGCGGACGAGCATAAAGGTTGCTCAGCCCGCCGCCACACTTCGCGAAGGCAGCTGAAATCGGGGCCCGAAGCCGTGGCCACCAACCCCTAGGTCCAGGAGGATGTTGTCCCCGATTTCAATCGCGCCTGACTGTTGGGTCTAGTGAGTAATATTATACTGGGGCACTGTACGCCAAGCTGACCCTCGGTGACGTCGGTATCTTGGACCATTACCTCGTCTACGAAACATATCGCGCCGGGCCTTTGTCGGGTCTTCTGAACTGGCCTCGGGTGTACGACTTCATGACCTCGGATACTACATGACAGAGCTTCCTTACATGCTATTAAGTAAACTAGTAGCAAAGCAATACAGTGGCAGTGCGATCCAGGTCCTGTGTCCTGTGTCCTGTGTATTCGGATGGCGGGCTGTGGCGGGCGCTTTCCATAAATGGAAGATTCGAGCATAATCGAGGGCCGTCGCGGCAGTGCCGCCGCTGCATATATCCGTTGGCTCCGCCACACTCGCTCTTGACCAACGACCGCCATCCACTCGCACGCCTTGATACCCTTTCTACGTTTTATTCCTGTTCCTTTAGCATGGAAAATCGACAACAACACTCTGTTGGCGGTGTACTACAGCACTTACTCGATGCTAACCCACAAATCGAGAGGGCGTTCCAGAGACTTATTCATGGACTCAGTCAACCCACACAACCTCCTAGCCTACCTGAGGACGACCCTGACCTAGCCGACGTGCCGCCCTCGGAGCAAGTAAACAGCAGCTCGACGCCGCGACAATCGCCTGAGGACCGCGAGACGACCCCTGTTGAGGCTGTCGCACGATCCGTAGGGACCCTTTCCTTAACCTCATCATCGCCAGATCCTGATCCTACGCCGTCGCAGGACCAGGATCAAGCGGCCCCAACTGTCTCATCATTATCCGCGGTTCCCTTAGTACCCGCGCGCAGTCGCCAGGTACCGCCCAGCGACGATACCGACGGCTCCATGCCATCTCTGCAGACGGTGTCCGACATCGACGACGATGTGGACATGTACGATGTCCAGAGCTCAGCGGGTCGCTCGCGCGAGTCTCAGGCGGCGACTTCATCTGAGCCACAACCACTGCGGAGCGCACGTCGCGCTCGTGTTGATGACGATGTCGACGAAGGGGATGTCCGGGAGACGAATCGACAGCGAATGCACCCGCCAACAGCCAATGAGCAGCGAGCGGCGTCGGAGCCACTGCCCCCTCACCCTGGTGCCCAACATGCGGGCCATACAGACCATCAGCCACCGCCACCATACAGTCGTCTCGTCTACACGTTCGACTTCTTCGCTGGCCCTGAATTCGGTCCAGGTACTCAGGCAGGCGATGCCCAGCCTCCCCCGCAAGTTCACCCCGAAGACCGCCCCGAAGACCACCCCGAAGGCCATCATCATCATCATCATCACGGGCAACCGCATCCGCACCCGCATCCGATGTTCAACTTTACCTTCGAGATCCCACTTGGCGGGGTCCCGGATACAGAAGGTGCCCCTCATGGTTTCGCGCATCCAGGCTTCTTCCCGTTCTTCCCATTCAATGCGCCGCGCGAAGAGCAGGACGACCCTGAGCGTGCCGGGCGCCTCATCCGCGGATTGGAGGAAGTCCCATCAGGACTCGTTGAGCGGATAGAACGGGTCGGCGGAGACGGGGGCGAATCAGTCTGCTCTATCTGCTGGGAGAAGCTCAGCTCAGATGGGGGCGGGTTCGATGCGGCGCAGTCTGCTGAGACAGGGAGCTCGAGTAACGCCCGTTCGGCAGAGGCTACTATGGACACGGACAATCCCACTGCGACAGACTCGAGTACCCGATCCTCATCGCCTGACGGACGCTCTGAAGATAGCGAGTACAAACCACCCAGCGATCTCCCTAAGGTCGTCGCACTTCCGTGCTCGCACGTCTTCCACACAGCATGCCTCCTTCCGTGGTTTACAAAGCCACACCGCACGACGTGTCCTTCTTGCCGCTTTGATATCGATCCCGACTCCCTCACCTATATGCCTCCCCGACAGCGCACAGCTCGACGGGCCAACTCAGCTGATGATCCGCCTGCGGCGCCAGCTGCTAGCCAGCCACCGCAGCCCCAAGCGGATACTCAGCCCGCTCAAGCCACACCCCAGCCCGCGCCAGAGGCACCTCCTGCTCAAGACCAAGCCCGCCCCGCACGGCCAGCTGTCCCTCCCTTGATGCCGTTCGAATTCAGTATGTTATTCCCCGTCATGGGGCCACCTGGGGCTGGGGCCAGGGCTCATGAACCTGCGTACGTCCCATTGGATCCCCAGATGACGCAGCACCTTTTCCAGCGTATGTTTGGCGGAGCACAACCGCCCGCGCCCCAACCGCAACAGCCCCAGCCACAAGCTCAGGCGCCACCTCAAGGAAACCCACCTGCCCCTGGCGCTGAGCGCCGAGCGCCGCCAGGTTACATGCGTCTCGACGACCAGACGACACGGAACCTCTTCGAGAACCTATTTGGCGCTCATCCATTCCCCCCTCAACCTCAGCCTGCCCCACATGCGCCCGAAGCTGCTCCAGCTGGCGCTACTCCTCAGCACCCACCTACTGCCGCGCCGACCGGTGCACGCGCACAGCCTCGGCCGCGCCCGCCAGAGAAGCGGCAATGGACACTTCCTATGCCGCCTGGACCCACCTTGCGTCAGCGCATCGAGCGCCAGGAGCGCGAGATGGGTCTGCGATGCTCAGATATTAGCTGTGGTCTTGGCCCGTCAGACGATGACCCGACGCCTATCATCGACCCCTCGGTGATGCGCCAGATTGCCATCCGCCCGGTGGACAGCTCTGGGGAGAAAGTCTGCGAGCATACGTTCCACCCGTCGTGTCTGGTCAGTGCGGAGCGCGTTGCGGGCTGGGGCAACGAGGACAAGAAGGAGGAGAAGGAGGGTGACGAGGTGCAGGTGTCGTGTCCGGTCTGCAGGGCTGTCGGGGTCATCCCGCGGCCAGACTGGGACGAGGGTGCGTGTGCACTCGTGTAAACGTGCGCATGTGCGCTCTGCGACAGCTATAGGCCTCTTTTGTGTTAGTGGACGTTCTCGTGCTGCAATTACAATTGCTAACAGTATTGCGCTCATGTAGTTCTTTGGTTTTGCGTTCACGTATTGTACTGTATCATTCGTTACGGGACTTGTACATTATACTAGTGTAATCAGTCACCGGGCAATTCTGTTGTCTTGAAGCTAAATATTTGATTATGATCTTGGGAATGGGCCATGATATACAATGCAAAAGGCTTGAATCCATCCTTCAGTGCTTCAAGTCATGATTGGTCCGTCCGCCACATTCGCGTGACCGAGCGTGCGTCACATTGCATGTGATCGCGTTGCCAGACGCGCCTTGTGACTCGACCAAGGTTGAGTTGTGTTGCCTGTTCCTATGGCTGTGCTTCTTGTTACCGCACTAGCACCATTTAAACCACATCTATACCTCATGAATCGCAAAGCTTTCCCATCGACGTCCGTCTAGTCGCGATTAGACTGACTCTATCCTTTCATGAAACCGAACCGCGTCGGGCCTCGGTATGGCTCTTCGCGTTCGTGACTCCTTACATCGGATATCCGAGGCGCGTAAATGATTGTTATTCTTGTTTTCTTAGGAACGTCGATGCCGACGGGTGAGTGCTCGAACGTAATCTCACGGAAATGAACTGAACAGTCTATCGGCAGCTATATGCGGGCACGATGCCTTGGGTGGTACGTGCTTCGGATAGGGTCCTCGATGCGTTCCCATCAGCCTCCGAGAGCACAAGGTTACTCCGTTCATTTGCGTTATGCTCCGAGGTATCCCAGCGATGCCTGCCTTTGAGACCTGTCGCTCTCGCCCGCGACGGTTCGTGATCGTGTCTACTTCCAACTCAGAGGGGGGTATGAACGCCGCTTGAGAGTCGCGGCGGAATGCGCGTGCCTGGTCTGCTCGACGTTCATGTCTTCGGCATCTAGTCTGCATGAGCAATCTCGCTCACCTCTGCCGGTGTTTCACTACCAACGCCCAGGTGCTCCTACCAATGCCTCGAGGCTGCGGCGCGCTTCACGCACGGAGTCCTCAAAGAAAATGTAGCTTCAGCAACCTGTCAAGATTTGGCGTCAGGCTACAAGTTGCCTAACTGTTTTGCCACCGGCGTTTCGTAGCAGATGTGAAGACGATCTTAAGGGCCGCTCATTGAAGTTCCTCGCAGCCTTCTGATATCTGCAACCTTGAATCTTCAAGCCTTACCCCTCGTTTTGCTGCAGGCCTGGTGGTGCGTGAGCCCTATCAACACTCCAGGCCTCGTGGAAATATGGAACTATGCATGTAAGCTTTGTCACAATCGTAGTATCTGCATTGCAAGGCACTGACAAGGGATGACTAGTATACATGAGGGTCCGTGTGCGAAGATCGGGTGATCCAGGACCGAGACGGTCCGCTAGAGACATGTGGTGATGCAGCATGTGATGAGAGGGGTGGGTGAGGGGGACACTATAAACAACGGGTCCAATTGGCCGGAGTGGAGGTATCAGATGGCGACAAGAGAGTATGGGGTGGTATGCACAAATGAGTGTTGCAGTCCGACGTGGATATCAGGATCCAGTCCAGTCCTGCACGCCCCGTAAAGGTCAGCTGTCGATGGCTCTGTGTACACAGTGTATACTCACCGTGACAGGTAGCGCGAACATGATAAACATAATACGTCGTCAACGACGTCAGCGCGAGTTCTGCGGAAACCCAAGTTCAAGCACCCAATACCGATCCGGCTTGTCATCACTAGGTATCGGCCGCCTCAGCCCCATGAAGATCGTCCGTCCTTCCAGAATGTCGACACGCCGCATCCCATGGCTCAACTCGACGTCCCGTAGGCCAGGTGTTGCCTTGCATCGAGCGCGGAACGCTGCTTCGCATCTAGCGAGACGCTCTGCGGGGATATAGTAGTCCTTCTCCGTTGGCGATAACACGCAGTGAAACGTCTCATAAATCGCCTGGAAGACGTCAAAACATCGAACGCCGCCTGGGCGTGAAGGCGAGACCTCGATGTCCCAATGTGGGAGCTGCGAGCAGCGAATGTTCATCTCAGTCAAGGGAATCTCTGACGCTAATTTCTCCATATCAGCAGAGTGCAAGACGACTGGCGGCATGTGCGAGTGATCTCGGATGAGGTGCGGAGGATGTGCTACGTCGAAGTAGAGTTTCTTCTTGGACTTCGGGGCTTCGTAAGGCAGTAACTGCCAGTGGAGAGTGACTGGCTGTGGTGGAGGCGCTACATCGCACACGTGTCCGGTGAGTTACGTCTGTTTGGTGGTGCGCGTGACAAGTGCAGTCAAATGCAACATACCAGGCTTGAGAATACCCTTGGGGACAGATTTCGCAGGCACAGGCGACGAAGTTCGCTCTGTTACCTGCAATAGCCCTGGCTGTGGCGTTGCAGACCTACTGCAACCTCTATCCTCGACCCTCGGTGTGGAAGACCGGCTGATGGGCTTCCGTCCTTCAGTCTGCGACGAGGATGAGCCACGACGGGGGCTCAGCGGAGAGTCCGGCTGTGGCGCAGAAGGCCTGCGCCGCGGCTTCAATCCATTTGGCTGCGGAGTGAGCGGTCTACGCCATGGCGCAATTGGTGACCGTGGTGAAGATGAGCTTTCGCTATCCGAAGACCAATCTTTCCCGATTACTGATGTATCTGTCGTTGAGATGTAGTATACATCCCCCTCCCCCACATCTGGGAGCTCTACCCTGCCCATCTTGGGCGTGGAAGGCGTGGAATCAAGACTCTTCAGCAGCTTCTTAAACATATTGCGTCCAGCAGGGGAGTGAAGCAAGCTAATGTGCGAGTGGGCGAGGGGGACTCAGGAAGGTAGACGGCGCAGCGATCGGGCTGGGGAAACACACGGTCAGCAGCTGCTTGATATGACCCGAGTATAGGGATGCCCTTACATTGTCGTGGCGGGGTCGTGGCGGTACTATAACGCCTTAGTCGTTCCTTCCAGAGGGTCAGGGCCCCGCAGTCGCGCTCCCGAGAGCAGATATAGACCGAGAGGCCCTCTCACTAGCGCTTGGCCAGCAAAGTGCAAGGGGCGGAGGGAAGGGCGATTGCGGGGGAGACCCACAGTCCTCACCCCCAACACGAGGCAGCCATATAATGCCTGGCATCGGGCCGCAGATCTTAGCACCGAGCCCTCACGTGAACTCCTTCAGTGGCATCATTATTTTGACTTGTTGTTTCGTGTAGGTCCGCGGCACTGGGCTGAGCTCGCACGTCCAGCCACTGCCAGTGGCTGTCCTCGCCAGAGTGCTCGACATAGCACATCCGACTGCAGCAGGTACGACGCAATGAAACGCGTTGCAAGACTGCACCGTCCGCGCGCTCTTCTATCGTGTTCGGTCCGATGCAAGGTGTACCATGAGGCCACGGGCCCTCAATAATACTTGGTCTAATCACACGACAAGCTACCGCTGAGCAGGCACATAGGCTATCCTGCCGGAACCTACCTTCAGCTCCGAGAATCCGCTCGCCGCCCACCATGGAAGGCAGGCGTGGAGCAAACAAGTCTGCCGCCTGCCTGCTCGTCGCATTCTGCCGAACTCCAAATTCAGGTAAACGCCGTCGCGCCGACACCTGCCCTTTGAGGGTGACACAGAGCTGGTACTGGATGATGACATACGCCTCCATCACAACGAAGCCTGTGGCGCGCTCGACGGTGAGAGGAATGTGGACGAGGCCCCAGGGCGTCGATCCACAAACGGAAAGTATATTTGTTTTACACCTGCCTTTTTGGTCCACCTTGGCCACGATAGATCGTGCGCCTCGAGGCGACTGTCGCTGGATCCTAGGATCCTAGAACGCGAGTGCGATTCTCGTGATGATGGCTGATACTGTATGCTAGGCGGTGATGGCAGAGATAAGTATCCGCCACGAACGCCTACGAGGAGCTGGAGTTCCTCGCTCTACCAAACCCACCTACTCTCGCCTTGACGATGCCCACCGCGACGAAAACCAACGCGAGCACGCGTCGATCATTGCCTCGGCGTGTGCCCGAGGCACAAGCGCGGGCGAATTACCGTAAGGAGATCTTGGGCTTACCCGGGCCCATCGATACTTGGCTGGCGGCAAACATTGCAGCCAATGCAAACGCGGATGCCCGCTGTCCACTTGCCGCGGACGAGCTCCGCTGCACAGTCCAGATGCAGCGCACCGAGGTCAGTCGGAAAAACGCCTCCGGCAGCGGGATGATATTGATCTGGGTCCAGGCGCGAGACACCGATGGATACTTCTCCGATGGGGGCAACTTTGTCCTTTATCTCACCATCGCAGGACCTGTGCCCACAGTGGGAAGCCACGTGCTCCAGTCGAGCCGGCGAGTTGTCTTGGACAAGTATCAAGGATGGAGTGAGAGCTTGGATGCACAAGATTGGACAAAATGGACACCAGGACGGACGGTTGTTTTTCGCCAGCAGAGGTCAAGCCTCCCTGACGCCGTTCGGGCTGTACTGTGGGAAGACATGTTAGCTGTGAGCTGTTCATCGGGCTGACGCACGAATGAGGTACTGACGCGACGATTAATAATCACTAGCCTTTGACTGACGCGCTCAGCTCGTTTCGCATGTGAATCCCGCGCATCCAACACTGTGGTACGCCACCAACAGGGTCTTCTCTCTTTCAGTCGTGATGTGATTGTGGAGGGCGAGACGTGGATGTGATTGCGATACGTGAGTCTGAAACTCGTCGGATACGATAGACAGTGTATATAGATGTACAGATACCAATTACGAATTTGTGGAACGCCAGGAGGGTCGTTAGTTTGTTCGCGCGCACAGGAACAGACAATCTCGACGGTGCCACGGAGGCTAGATGCAAGGTACTGAACTTTGAGTAGCGTAGTTCGGACAGAAAATCCCTGTTATACTCAACGCCGTCGCCCATTTAAGGCTGCGCAGGTCCTTGTAAGTTAGACGGCCGTTAGAAGATACGCTGAATCATTGTTGAATCCGCCTGCGTCCGATAGTGCGCTTCAGATGGCCTCGAAGACGCATGTGAGCACGATGAGGGGCATCAAAAACCTACGAAGCATCCCTGTGGGATAGCCACGCCCGCATACGGACGACTCGCAGGCTCGCAATACCTCATGACCTCGTCTCGACAGGCGTCTTCGTGAAGACATTCCCCCGATGTGTCAGATCGTGGAGTGGAATATCACTTCTCAAAATGCTATGCGCCCCCATTTTATCGCAGGCCTAGGCCTGAGTGCACACGCACAGAGCCCAAGGGTACCCGTCCACATCTACCGAAGCATGTAACTTTGAGGTACCAACTTTTTAATTTACCGAGCACCACAGCAGCCGTGCATCATAGTGCCTGCTCCGAAATGGTCATCGTGTTCATCATAGTGTGAGAGAATCCCGTAGTATTCCTGGGACGATATGAGCAGCTCGCAGATAGCATGGGGATGAGACGCGGTGAAGGAGTGTCTTCCAAGTCCAGCAATCGACGCTTAGGCGTATATAAGCGCCCGCATCTATGTTTGCACGTGATCAGACCATGTGGGGATTTACTTACTGGTACTTTTCTTTCACTTCATCTTCTACGGCGGCGGACACCAGGACGGGTGACCATCATGGCAACGCATGCGCTCTTCGAGTCGTCCTCTGGCTATGCCATCTTTGAAATCAAGCTTCAGGAAAATGTGGGCTCCATGACGAAGGCGGTCCAAAATTCCATCGACGACCTTGCAAAATTCGGGAAAATGGTCACTTTGCTCAGCTTCTCTCCGTTCAAGAGCGCTGCGCATGCTCTGGAGAATGCGAACGACATCTCAGAAGGTTAGTCCAATGGGAGCTTGAAGGGGTTATGCTAAACTTCAGCAGGCATACTCAATGACTACCTGAAGTCGCTGCTGGAGCTCAACCTGTCGAAACCCGCGAAGAAATCATCCGTCAAGCTCGCTGTGTGGGATCCTGTCCTCGCATCCTCGATAAAATCCGCCCTCAGCATTGACTGTGATACCTCTGACGTCTCGAAAGACATAATCCGCGGCATCCGACAGCATGCGCCAAAATTGCTAAAGGGCCTGCAAGGAGACGATCTCATGAAGGCGCAGCTCGGTCTCGGGCACTCCTACTCTCGCGCGAAGCTGAAGTTCAACGTGAACCGTATTGACAACATGATCATTCAGGCCATTGCCCTGCTCGACCAGCTCGACAAGGACGTAAATCTCTTCTCCATGCGTATACGCGAGTGGTACGGCTACCACTTCCCCGAACTCGTCAAGATCGTGCCGGACAACTACCAGTACGCGCAGGTCGCGCAGTTCCTTGGCGCGAAAGAGTCGCTCACCGAGGAGAAGCTGCCTGACCTCGCCGCGTTGCTCGACGATGACATGACGCGCGCGCAGAACGTGCTCGACGCAGCAAAGGGTTCGATGGGCTCGACGCTCGCAGAGATCGACATGCTGAACATCAATGCATTTGCGGCGCGGGTGGTGTCTATCGCAGACTACCGCAAGTCGCTCATGTCGTACCTGGCGGAGAAGATGAACGTGGTAGCACCGAGTTTGACAGCCCTGCTCGGCGAGCGGATAGGTGCTCGACTCATCAGTCACGCCGGTAGCTTAACGAATTTGAGCAAGTATCCTGCTAGTACGGTGCAGATTCTAGGGGCGGAAAAGGCGCTGTTCCGAGCACTGAAGACGAAAGGGAATACACCGAAGGTGACAATTTTCTCAGCACTGCTGCGAGACTGAGGAACTGAAGCAGCTCAAACAGTACGGCCTTATCTACCACTCAACCTTCATTGGTCGAGCTGGTCCTAAATTCAAGGGCCGTATATCGCGGTTCCTCGCGAACAAATGCTCAATAGCCTCCCGAATTGACTGTTACTCAGGTACGTCTAACCGGGAATGAAATCGCCGTGACTCAATGACCAGGTTTTATTGACACCGTGCACTTGATAGATAAACCGTCTCCGCTGTTCGGCGAAGCACTGCGACAACAGGTCGAAGAGCGCCTTAACTTCTTCGAGACGGGTGCGCCGCCGTCGAAGAACGCGGATGCGATTCGGAAGGTGCTCGAAAAGATGGATCTGAACGACGACGAGGACGAAGACATGGACGCGGAGCCGGCGCTTCCCCTTATCGAACCAAGTCCCAAGAAGGACAAGAAGAAGCGCAAGCACCGCGGCGACGATGATGCTATGGATGTCGACGAAGAGGAGGAGACTCCCGTCAAAAAGCGTAAGCTCTCCAAGGAGGAGAAGAAGGCGCTGAAGAAGGAAAAGAAAAAGGAAGCGAAGGAGAAGGCGGCCGCCGAGGTGAGTCTGACAAATGTCATCACGTTCAGGAACGTTATATTAAACGTGGTCTTAGGGCGAGGACGAGGAGCCACCGAAGGAGAAAAAGGAAAAGAAAGATAAAGATAAAAAGGAGAAAAAAGACAAGAAGGAGAAGAAAGAGAAGAAGAGCAAGGAGTAACCTTATCTTGTCTCATCCCGGTCTTTGTCTCCTGATGTATCTTACGTTGTTCTATTGCTTTCGTTGTTCTCCCATTGGATCTCCTACTTTAAGGTTCCGACGACTTTTCAAACAATTGCAAATCTGTATAGATTGAATGGTACATATGGTACGTATTACTCCGAAGATCCCGAGGCCGGGAAGGATAGCATGTTGGACGTATCCGACATAACAGGTAATGCTGGTACAGATGCGGGGAGATCCCGCGATGCGTAATCATGTCAGTGGGTATAGTGAATCTTTGTGGTCGTAACTTCGTGAGTGCGATCTCTAACATCAGTCGAGGGACACATTCGCCGCCTGCAAAACGACGATACTGGCCTTGAAGCCGGTTGTCATGAGCGCCGTAGCGACGTCTCCCACTGTTTTCTTCACCTCGCTGCCCACAGCGCCATATTGCTCCATGAGCTGCTTCAGCTCCGCAAAGTGATTCTCAGCAGCCATCCGCCGCGATCGACCGACGACAGCCATGGGCCGACACCGTCTCTCCATCGCGCGCTCGGTAACGTTCGAGGCGTACTCCATGACGCTATGTAAAGGTGTCGGCGTCGGGACCTCAGAAAATTCGATACGTGAGAGTGCATGCGCGAACGGGCCGTCGTCGGGCCCCTGATACGAGCTATACCGCGACCATGCGACGTTGTCTGCCGTCTCCGACTGCAAACGCGTTTGTGTCGTCGGCGCGCCGTACACGGTGTCGGGGAACGCGGTCGTCTGTGAGACCTGTCAGCATCGTCCACACAAAGTCGCGCGCGCATCACACATACCGTCGCAACGGTCAGCTCATTCGGCCGCTCGTCACCCAGATGCGCCACCTGCGGCTTCTCGAGCGACCCCATCTGCCGCAGCTCGTCAAACTCGCGCTTGATGAACCGTACCGCCGTCGCCGTCACGCGTGGGTGTGTGCACAGCTGCACCAAAAACTGCAGCGCGAGGCGGTCGTCCGGCCCGCCGAAGAAGGGGAGGAAGATGTGCTGCATGCTGCCGAGCATGGGCAGCCTGCCCTCGCCCGGATGGTGCCGGTCGATGTAGAGCGCGACGTCCGTGCGCGCCTGGGCAAAAACACCGCGGACGAGATGCGAGTGCAGCGCCGATGCGGACTGGGTCCCGCTTGTATTCGTTGCACGAAAGAGCGCCTCGAACGGGTTCTGCATGTACGCCGTGGGGGTGCGCGGCGTCACCGGCGCTGTCTCGGCACCGTCGAACGGAGCGGACTCGCTCGTATGGTGTGGGGGAAGCCACGGCACGAGCACGAGCTGCGAGCGGTGCCGCTGGGCATGCTCCACCACGCTCGACGCGAGGTCGTCGTACATGACGATCGCAAGCGACGACGAAACGTTGATGCCGTTCAGGTCGCCGAACGTGCTGAAGATGTTGAGCAGCGGGTCCGTGTTGATGAGCGTGTCCGCGTTAGACGAACGCATGACTGCAGATGTCCGGTCTGACAGTTCGATGAGCCGCAGCGCGTCAATGCTCACGTCCTGCGCGCTGGGCTCGTGCCTTGCCAGCGCCGGCGGGCCGCGCTCCTTCTCCTTCTCCTTGTCGAGCGCAGACTGTGTCGAGAGCGAGGGCGAGAGGCTCTTGCGCTTCCCCACCTGCGGGCTCTCCGTGGGCGGCGGCTGGATAAGCTGCGTAAGCGCCATCATGCCCGGCAGGTGCTCGACCTTGTCCAGGACGATCGTGAAGCGCGTCTTGCGCTCGTCGCCGTCGTCGCCGAGCGGATTCTTCCGGATGCTCACGCCCTCGCTCTTCTCGGTGCTGCTCTGCGTGCCCTTCTCCGCGGCGTCAACCACCGCGGCCCCGGACGCGTGTCCACGCGCGTGAGGGCCCCCGACGGCGGCGCGCACGCGCATTTCGGGCGGGTATAGCGTGACGACGGTCGGCGTTGTCAGGAATGTGAGCGTGAGGGCCTCGAGCACAAACATTGAGAAGACGCGCTGGGTGAGGATTCCCGCGGAAAGACCAACGTTGAGCACGATCAGCTCGACAAGACTGTAGAAGCAGAGTCAGCATTAGAGGCACCGCGCAATCGACAGGCGCACGCACCCTTTGCAGCTCATAAGTGCGCCGATCGTGCTCGACTCACGCCACGAGAAACCCGCGCATCGCGCCGCGATTGTACAACCACCAAATTTGCCCGAATATGCCAATGCTATGATCGCAATGGCATAGCCCCAGGTGATCCCGTTATTCAGCAGCCCGAGATTTGTGTTCAGTCCTGATAGCGTAAAATACTGCACCTCCGTGAGCGAGTAGAGTACGGTATATGTTGTGATCACGTACGAGGGGAAGGAAAATAATAGAGACCATATCTTCTAGCTTCTCCGTAAGCGTGATACACAGCCCACCCTCGCGGGGGATAACGAGTCCGGCCAAAAATGCACCAAAGATTGCTTGGACCTGCATGTATGCTGTCAAATCTACGAACGACAGGCAGGCAGATTCGCACTCACCCCGATGACATCTGTGAAAAACGCAGAGCCAAAAAGGAGTAGGATCGTAGCGGTCATGAAGAACACCGTCGGCCCATTCTCGATCGAGCCCGTCTTGCGCGCGAGCCAGTACATGATCCTCTTGACAAAGAGGAGCAGGAACAATGCCCAAGCGACGCAGATCAGGAGGATCCACAGCGCTGTCAAGCCGGAGCCCGCGTTGACGAGCGCGACACTCAGCGCGAGGAGCACCCATCCGACGACGTCATTCCCGACACCCGCGGAGAGCACCACGATGCCCACCGTCGTGTCAAGCAGCTTCAGCTCGGTCAGAATACGGCACAGCACGGGGAACGCTGTGATGCTGTATGCGACGCCCGTGAAGAGCATGAAGTTCGTGAACTTGACCGTTGCGGGAATAAACGTGTGATAGAGGGGGACAGAAAGGGCGGCACCGAGGCCAAAGGGGAGCGCCATGCCCGCGAGGGCGATGATGACGGACAAACGGAAGTTGCGCTTGACGATCTCGCCGTCGATTTCGAGGCCGACGAGGAAGAGGAAGAGACATAATCCAATGTTCGCGACGAGCGTGAGGTAAGGGATAGAGTCTGCGGGGAAGACATGCTCTGTAAAGCCTGGAATACGACCAAATGCCGTGGGTCCTGTGTATAGGAGGGAGGTTTCAATACGACGCGCTGAGCGGCCACCGCTGTACGACTGACCTAGAAGAATGCCGCCGATAACTTCGGCAATAACCTTCGGCTGCTTGATCTTACCAAGAATAAGAGAGAGGACCTGCGTCATGAGAAGAATGACGCCTATAAATGGATTCAGACCCTCTAAATGAGGACAATCGATCGACGTGAACAGGTGAGGACGTACCGAGTTGGATGACCCATAAACGCAACGGATCCGCAGTGTTGAACGAGGAGGGGTCTTGCCCGGTCAGTAGGCCACCCTGTTCAAGGTGCACCAGTGATCAATTGGCGTCTGCTACCCAAGAAGAGAACGGCGAATGCCATACCTGTCCCCCATCCTCTCTCTTGCCATAGGCTGTCTTCGCTAGGCGAATAACCGCGTCCGAAAATTCGCCCATGGGTGACAGTTGAGAGCGAGAGACAAGCCGTTGCGCGAGCGGCTGATTGCCCGGACCCTTAAAGCGGGGTACTAAGCGAGTGGAGCAGTATGCTTGGACGATCCAAAGTCAAGATATGGCTTAGCTCGGGCACGCGGTGGATAAATATCGATGGATAGGGATGGGCGTGAGTGTCGTGTCGCAGCCAAGAGACAAGCATGGGGGAAGTAAAGGCATCCGAATGAACGCATTTCGATTTGGCTAAGCATCGTCGTAACCTCCAAGATCAGACGCCACCCGTTTAGGCGCCCACCGTCGAGCCGTACTGCACGGGCGCTTGTGCGTTGGCAGGGCGTAACTCGCCCAATCAGGCTGGAGCCTGGCAGAGGAAGCGGCCCTCTCCTGCTCTCATGGTCCTCTTAGTCTGGCTCACATTCATGTTGATCCTTCCGACATTCATGTGGACCACTCACTCGAAGCCCGACCGGTCGGGGCGCGCTCAAGCGCTGCATTGCAACAAGCTCTGTCACAGGTATCAGCAAAGGCCCAGCTCAGGCAGAGGATCTCAACGTACTAGGAGCTATCGTCTCGTCTCGCTGCCTGTCGGTGGCACGCCAGCCCAACAAGGAGATCGCGTCGGTATGTAACCCTCGCCCTTGTTATCTGTGCGCCGTGATCTATGAAGCTGGTCAAGTCAATGCCGTCCTGGACCAACGATGGATCGTGGAACTATGCTAAGGTGTATTGGCAGCTCTACATGCGGAGGAGACATGTCGCCTTCCCTTGCTGTCGCATTCGTGCTGCGCTGCAACCAAAGGGCCGCGCACCGATTGCCAGGGCTGAGGCTCAAGCGCTGATCGTTTGAAATGAGACCGCCGGTGACATTCATACCTCGACGTTCCCACATATGAGGTCTTTCCACGTTCCGTTGGCAAGATGACAGCCTTCACGATGATGACGACGTCCTTCATCCAACCGCACCCACGTTCTAGGCGGCGAAGCGCAAAGACGTCGATAGCTTATTTGCGAGCTCAATACTGTATGTTCCTGGATATCGTATCCGAAGACCTCACCACGTTTCTGGCCGTACCTGCATTCTCGGCCTGTCCGCCCGAATGCGCGTGGGCAAAGGCCAACAAATCGAAGGTCTGATTTTTCTTCCACCGAGTTCCGTATGGGCGCGGGTGCATTTCCAGTTACTACCTGTCCTTGTCTCACCGGCAGCCACGGCAAGTGGGCTTACTGACAAAGTTCCACGTATTTTCTCTTCCGCCGGACACACGACATGTGTCTGAAGAAGTCACCGTCTATCAGAGTTCATCACCACTGCCCGCTATCGCTCTCCTCGTGCATGGGCCCCGCCTCTTCGGGCCCTGCTGAACCAGGGATAGCAATAAACATGATGATCGCCGTTACGACGCATGTATGTCGGGCAACAGTTCTGCAGCCAGACTTCATCTTTGGTGTCATACTCCGGCATACTCGGATTTGTGAGCTTTGACGCGTGTATATAGCTCAATATATCTAGTCCATAATGGAAGCGAGTGGAACGGCAGGCATACAAGCAAGCGGGGACAGCGTAAATAACGGGATAGCAAAATTACAAACACACGACAGAGTATGATAAAGCCGTTTGCAGTGGGGAAAGGACAACATCAACAGCGTAGAGAGCAGAGCGGCGATTGCAGGGCTAGCAACAAGAAGAATAACAAGGAAAGGGCATTGTGTGGATAGCAGAGCGACGATTGCGGTATTGGCAACAAGAAGGATAGCGAGGAAGGGGCAGCGTGTATAGCGAGTATGACAAGTCCAAATCATAACGTGTTGGTAGGAGTCCGTTGGGAGAGAGCAGTCGAGGACAGCGCAGAACCGTCGGGTTCACGGAACGGATATCGGTGCAGTGAACGCCGGCCTCGTCCCAGGCCAGGATGAACGGTTAACTCGAGCGAGCGATTAACGAGCGCGCGCATTGAACCGCATAGGAGCCGCTGGATTGCGCAGGGTCGGGTCAGCCAAAGCATGGGCAGTATTCGATCGGGAAGGCGAGCTTACTATGTGCCCGACGGACTGGTTGGGTACCGCTTGATTCGGCTGGGGTTGCAATGGGAGGGGGGGATACTAGGGCTGGCTGGGGTTGCAATGCTAGGGCTGGGTGGGGTTGCAATGCTAGGGCTGGCTGTTTGTAAAGTTGTGCAGGGTCAAGCGAGGCGTTGTTGGGGCCGGCGGTAAGAGCAGCTGGCGCAACTGGCCTATATGAAGCATGAGCATGAGCGCACGGGCGATCTATCCCAAGCGTTAATCAGTCACTGACAAATTGAAGGATTTGGCGAGCTCATTGAGGACAAAGCATATAGATGGACGATGCTCCGGCTCAGAAGACCAACAGTCTGTCATGAGGTTCCAGACCCTATCCGTCAGTCCGACATCCTCTGCGTTCGTCGGACGATCTGGCCGCATTCCGTTGGCTACTACCTGTTCTTTGACCTCGGTGTTGTGGTAGATTAGTGGGAACGGTATACCGCCCGAGAATATCTGAGAACGATGTCAGATGGCGCACACAGCGCTGAACAACCTAGGGTCGCCCCACCTCATGCATAACCACGGCGAAGGCATAGATGTCGCTCTGAGCAGTCCGGAGAGCAGGCCGCTCGCGATGCAGCTCTGGAGACATCCAGCGTTTGGTGCCTCCTCCTTTCTCTGAATCGACCTTGTGATGGGTGCTGTCCACGCCACGCATGACCACAGACAACCCAAAATCAGCTAGCCTGGCGTGACCGGCAGCGTCAACGAGGATATTTGCCTGACGCGTGGTACAGTCACTGAGCCTTCGCGTAGACGACGTTTGCTAAGGTAAACATACACATTTCAAATCGCCGTGCACGATGCTGATTTCGTTCAGGTAACTTAATCCCCTTGCCACGTCCATGATCTGTGGGAATTGTTCGCCCTCAGGATGTGTTAGTGAGGGGAAACAACAGCGAATACGCACAAGTTCACGCCGATCGGCCCTCTGTCCCGCTTCGGTGTTCAGATAGGTCCCGATTTGCCCATGATCCATCCACAGGCTTACTAGGCCATGAGTGTTTTGGTCGTCACCACGGTCAACACCTAGAAAGGGGACGATGTTGTCATGCTCAAGGTGTTTCCATACGATTGCTTCTTTAGGGAAGCTCTATTATAGATTGGTGAATTAAGCAGCGCGGTCAATATGAAAGCGGACACTAACCGACACTACGCCGCTGATCACACCATCTTCCCTCTGGAGGTGACTCCTCAGAAGCTTTATGGCGACGAGTTGAGTCTGGTTCAACCGTCCTCGGTAAACAATGCCAAAAGTACCCAACCCAACGTGACGAGGCTGTTCGAATTCCACGCTGCCTTGAGGTAGAAACAGGGAAGGCGGGCAACACCCTTTCGTCGCGCATATCTTCCTCAGGAAGCGTAGGCTCCTTCTGGCCAACACATGATTTGGATTGTAAAAGGGCAAAACCTATTCGTCAGATCAGCATGGTTGTGTCGCTGTTACAATATCCTGCCAGACCCTGTCCAAATTGCTCATGATTTCGGTGATTTGGTCCTTGTTGCAGTGTTCGAGTATGTGTACCTTCGCCTTGCGGGATGCGATAAGCGCCTCCAGCTTTGGAGTCACATTCGCAGGTATTCTATCCTTGAATGAGTTCATGAACTCCGAGATGATTGTAGCTGTGGCATCGTCACTGTCGATATTGCAATCAAATATGTCAGAAACATATTGACCGAATTGAACGGACGGAAAGCACTCTGACATACATTACATTGGGGGGTCCAGATTGCGGGACAGGCAAATCACCGGGAGGCTCCATAAGCTGTCGAATTAGTGTCCAGGTATGAGGCGTTATATGGATGGCCCTCCTCAGCGGTAGACGTGCAAGTCGAGATGCAGGACACACTCGAAGGAAACCGATGGCGAGATGGCACGACTAGCCTGAACGCATTCAATTTATATACCGACAGAGTGGCTTGCAGTGCCACCTGATGTCCCGATGGAAGCAGTGTCATGGCCCAAGTATCCTTGTCCGTATTATAAGCAGCACAGCCCCATTTTGCAACTCTTGTCGAGGTAAAGTGCTGTGTACAACAAGACCTTCCGATTACAGATATGTGGATGCCCGTCTGACGTTAGACGCGCGGCAACGAACGCGGCGATGAAGGCATCCAAATACTGCTACTAGCAGTGCTAGTGTCAGCCTCATACAAGCAAGTGGTGCCACAGGTACTCGGGATCGTCTTTTACCTTGACAGTAAACATATCATGGAAACAACGCAACCACGAATCTTTAATTGCTACACGGATAGGCAATCGACTCGGAGTCCTATTCCCTATGGATTTCACATATGGTAATACGGAGCCTACACATGCAGTCGTTGCGAGTATCCTTACAGCCGATGTCATCGTGAACACCCCTTGTTTCTATTACAGGCGCTCAACTGGCGGTGCCCATGCCAACTTTCAAGAGTACGCTGCACATTCAAAGCTTGGGCTTGTACAGCCCCGATAACGTCAATGTATTGGCGTTGTACTGGGCTGCCAAAAGTACGCCATGTGCACAACTGTGAAAAGACACGCCGTACAGAATGGTATTTCAAATACATTGGTTGCGTGGTGCTGTGAACAGGACTAAAGAAGCAAAAGAGGTAAGGGACAATGCAGATAGCGTGAGCGAGTACAGCAAAAACATAGATAACAACACTGCAGCATCCAACGTGCAACGAGAGAGTGCGTATTGTCAATTATTCAACCAACTTCTTGCGCGACTTCTCCCTTCGGAGTAGTGACTTCTTCAGCGACTTCTGGAGCGGACGCCGGCGTTCGGCTTCAAACATAGGCCGTATGACCGGGCATATATGAACAATGGCCGCGAGGTAGATGTCGCGGAGGTCTGGGTAACCAGGGGCTCCTAGCTTCCATTTGGGTAGCACAGGCTCCGGCATACATCCTTAGATAGACGTGGGTCAAAACGATGATGACGATAGCAGACACCATCCGCTCACGTTGACGAATAAATGCATTGCGACATAGCAACTTGAGCCCAGATCCGAGGGCGGATGTCAGTGATATGTCTCAAACACATCTCTTTGGGGTTATTTGACGGCTACCGGGATCAAGGAGTTAGTGAAAGCCAGACCGCGCCGAACACGCGCTGACATCAACATGAATTCGTTCTTGATGTGCATGATCCCGTCCATTCCCACCCACTCTACGCGCCACCAGTGTACGCACGAGATTGGGCAAGCACCACGCAATCTATGGCATCGAAGCATGTCTCGGCGAACTCGTGTAGCTACTGCACTGCTATAAGCATTGATCCAAGCGCCGAGTGGAGCAACTTGTCTTATCATCGTGTCGGCCTTGAGCATGCCTGCTAGGTTGAGGGCAATATAGCCTTGGCAGTAGACAGCGTGGTTGAATGAGGCGGGATGTCTGTCGTTGGCTAGAAGAACACGTTCTCTGGGAAACCTTCGCAGAGCCTTGGATCTTGCCTCAGTGGTGCGGCACCTCGCGTGAAAATATCTGAGACTCATCAACTCCCACATCGACCGGAATGAAATCACCGCATATGAATTTACCTTATACACAATAATACCGAAAGTATACACATCGATGGCCGGAGTCATTCTGTTGTCGTCCTTACCGATAAGAGTCATCTCAGGATCACGTAGCTCTGCTAACATCCAGCGAATACTGCCCATTGGCCCCTCGGTTGCCGCCGCCTTTCGAAAGCTTCTGAAGAGTACACCACGGTAAGACGGACATGGTGGTCGCTGCTACAACAGTATCTGCCTGGCATATTCTGGGACATTAGATACCCTGTGCAGATGTCTTCATAAGCACCCCCTTACGCATTCCGAATGAGCATGTATAACATCGACGCCACGTATATACTCCAGTCTCAATACTATCTTGAAACTCTGCTGTATTATCTCGTCAATATAGGAGGATACCCACGCACAGCAGTATTGGGACACACGCACCAGTTCACGTTGGTCTATATCTGGACCGCTCTTATATCTATTATCCAAATTAAGTCTCTGTGTAGAAGATACCAATGTTCATATGCTCGGCAAACAATCCCTCCAAAAACGATAGAGTCGAGTTGAACTATTGCTTACAAACAGGAAGCCTACTTTCAGACAATGTAAGTGATAGAACGCCTTCGTGACATACAGCGAGACACGTACCAGCCTCGTCTCGTGTTCTGTTCATCAGTTGGACGTGAGATTGTAACGCATGCATGTAATACACGTGGGGGTTCCCAACGACCGGGAATGCACGTTGTACGGCATTGCCACCCCGGCCTTTCTAGGACTCCCGGTTTCCATAAGCATGGATTCATCCGAAGCAACCTCTTCGCGGGGCCTATTGTTTTTAGAGTTGGTGCAACGACTGAGAACCCGGCATGGACCACGCCGGGATGTAAAAACTAACTTCATAACCACGCGTAGCACCTCTCCAAGAGGGCTGCGGAATTGGTGGGTTCAGGCGGTCCTGGAGGAGCCGATAGACCTTTAGTGGATGATTGCGTTTGTGGCCGACGAAACCAAGGCATCAAAATTGGTGGGTTCCTGGAGGAGCCGATAGACCTTTAGTGGATGATTGCGTTTGTGGCCGACAAAACCAAGGCATCAATCAATGCGGGCGTACCGATGTGGCGAGGTGAGGCTGCGAAATACACGAAGTCATGTTGAACTCTCATGTTCAAGGAAGTGGCGTAACCTTCTCCGATACCAAGATTTGCCTGACAGTGTGACCTCAAGCCGAAGTGAACGTGTCGTGTTCCGTGACGAAGGTTCTGATCCTTGAGAATGCACCGGAAGTCATATGGAGTAGCCACATTGTTACGTACGTTCATCCGAGCCCTGAATTTAGCCGGTTCTAGCTGGCGCACAAGACCATTCGCCCGGGACGGAGCACTGAGCGGAATGGTGCTGCTCATCTGTGCGTTGCGACTTGTAGTGGAGCCACGCGAAGCAGACTTGTAGGATATACATGTAGCCTATGAAATAAGGCGCCATCTAGAATGTAAAGAACGGCGAACTTACGACGGAACACAACAATACACATAGCTTGCTTGACAGTGAAGTGGCGCCTTCGAGCCCGTCCCGTTCTCGAAGGTGCTGCGTCTCGGATTGGGAGTGAACGGCTCCGTGCCTCCGTGGTGCAGATACAATGCTCCTGGGTCATGCTTACTAACCTTGATATTGTTAGGGACGAAAAAGAGAATAAGAGAACATGGCTATGGATACATTTCTTCCGCCAGAAACTTGTTACTACACGTGTTCGCCGTCGAGGCCCCGGGACACCTTCATCTCGGCATTTTCCATCTGGGACCTTGCTGTCTTCTGTAGGTTCGATTGCGCCCCAGTCTTCTCTCGGCGAATCTTGACCTAGACGAGAACATCCTGTGCTCACGAGGAATAAGTGGCGTGGGAGCCTCCTCATATGAGGTGTTGAACTGCCATGTCGACTACAATCGTCTGCACGCGGACAACACAATTGATGCCGCCTAGTTTTCTCGCCAATTGTTCCCGCAGGACGCACACCTAATAGGCCTATCAGCCCGGATCACCATACATGAATGGATAATCTCGACACCAACCGATAGACTAGGACGGATGACAGAAGGGAAAAATCTCGCCGTCAGCATCCGCAATAGCGCAAGGAAGTCATGCAGGAAGTGTGCTGGTCACGTACAAGTCGTCATGGGCTCATCAGCAGATCTGATTTGGAGCTGATAAAAGTATGCACGACCAAAATCACACTTGGGGCAAGTTGCTACAGGCGGATGGTGTGAGAGATTTTCGTCAGCGGAACAGGGACGGATAGACATGCGATAGGACGGAGCACGCACCAGCAGTGGAGTCAGCATGCTGCCACATTTCCTCGCCTCCTAGGACATCGTCTACCCCCTTCCTCTTGAGTTTCGTGCGTGAGGTCATCTGCAATAGATGTCAGTGGGCAACTAAGTTGATATGATGGTCCGATGCAGGCGTTTGTGCTGACCTGCTTGGTAATCGGGAATTCGTATGCACATGAGTTACATGCCCATTTGTTGTATCCTGTCTCTGCGGAGATAACGAGTAGATTCGCACAATTTGGGCAGAAGAGCATAGCAAAGCGATGAGAGGAGCCGTTCGTGGTTGATGCGGTGAAGAGAGAAACGCGGGATCTAGACGCGTAAGATCCCGATCGTACCAGACGCTCGCCTCTGATGGTAAGCCCCGCTCTTCATTTACCATTTCATAACCGGACAATGATATTCTTTCGAACTCACTCTCACCACAATGTGAGTCCACATGTGTCCACACATGTGTAACGCCACTAATGGCTTGGGTGGCTGGGAGTAGCCAAGCTACATGCCGCTAGCGTCGAGAGGCAGTGCCGATGTTTGAACGCCGCAACTCCGCCAGGTCCTAGTGCAAAGCTCGGGCCCGCCTTGCGTTGCATAAATACCCACGTTACTCTGTTCCGGCTTCCTTCCTATCATTCATCCTACTGCGATGTTTTCATTGAGACGCCACTCCCCATATCACCCGGGAGCAAGTGCTCCCCCTTCGAGGCCTCCTCCTGCTTGGGAGCCAGCTCCAGAGCCCTCACATCCAGAACCCCTCTACAATGATGCAACTATAGATTCGTTCGAACGCGCCAACACTTTCTGCCGAGAGAATCCGGTGAATATGCCAATGCAGCTGCTACCAGCAGACCTCGAGAGAATATCATCAATGGACTGTGGCGCTTGGCGTCTCGAACCCCCTCTGGGGAAGAGCTTCTGTGGCGATATATACAACGATTACAAGAGGAGCACGGGTAGGGTCGTTCGTGTGGCCACCTACAACAGATGCGAAGACACCTGCGTTATGAGCGACCTGCCACTGATGGCTGGGCTTTACGACATACGTGGTAAGGTAGGATTCTACTACGAAGTTACCATACGCAAGATGAATGGTGTGATCGCAATTGGTAAGCTCTGTCTGGCTCTTACGCCACATTCATGCTAAGTTTCAATGTCATAGGGACCGCATGCAAACCCCACCCCGAGTGGCGTTTCCCTGGATGGGACAGGCTCAGCGCGGGCTTACACCTCGACGATCTCCGCAAATACTTTGAGGATTCCCTGGGCGGCAGAGATTACGTGTCCAACTTGACGCGCATTCAACCCGGCGACGTGATCGGGTGTGGCTACTACTTTGCCACAGGAGCGCTCTTCTTCACGTACAACGGCCAACGGCTGCCAGATGCGTTTTACGGGATCTATATGCCGCGCACTGCAAACGACGTCTATGCCGCCATTGGTGTCGAGGGCGAGAACGAGTTCGAGGTCAATTTCGGGAGCGACTATTTCAAGTGGGTAGAGGGGGGCGAATGGCAGTGGAAGGTTGGTGGGCATTCTGCACCACCTCCTTCCTACGAAGAATCGTGTGGGCAGCCCAGTGGATCCGGGGCTTTTGTGCTACAGTGATGAGGTCCCGCATTGCGGGACATATGTTGCGTCTCCCAGTTATGTGGCAGAAGTGGCGCATACAGCCAGGCTATTGTAAGAACTGTAAGCCACATCTTGCGTTACATATGTATATAGTATTGTCGTAGCAAGACGCATCTTTGTGAACAGCGCTGGCTGTGTTATGTTTTGATCTGACACAGTTGAGCATAATTCGTTACCATCCTTCAAGTTGCTTCTGGGCGCCCGGAGAAAGCACCCAGTTGGAGACGAGGTGTGGCTCTCGACCGCACAATGATGATCTCAGAGTCCATCCGATTTGACTAGACTAGCATACGATAGTAGATCATACACATACAATAAATATGATCTTTCTAAGCCCTACACTTCAAGTCCGCACCGACCATCGCCAGAGTTGCACCCAGACACCAGCCAAGCTCCGTCCCCTCTATTTGTTTCCCGACCTCCACCTCGCGCTCGCCGCCAAGCTCGTACCCGAGACGCAGCAGCGCGTGCATGAACGTCAGGTCCAGACACCACTCCGGGCGGCCCTCGAGCTCCTCCATAAGCGCCGCGTCGCCGCCCCAGAGCTCCGTCCATGTCGACTTTCCACGGCACACCTGTTCGGCGAGCGTGCCGAATGTCGAGACGTGCAGCGGCGCAGACGCGAGTGTCTTGGAAGCGGCGAGGAAAGGCTGCAGGCGGTCATAGAAGTACGACAGCAGGAGGAGCTTGCCCGAGGGGAAGGTCTCGAGCAACGAAGGCTGATAGACGCCGTTGAAGGAGCACGGCTTCGTCTCACAGATGCTGCATCATAATATCAGACTCACGGACTGTTAAAACGAACAGTAGCTAAACACTTACGCGTCCTTGGCCATCACAAGTTCGACGATGCGATTGCATGACTCGAACGAGCCGACGTCCTGTCCGACCATAGTGACGTTGAACTTGCCACCAAGGCGCTCGTCCTCGATCTCCACGAGCCTCGACGTACCTTGAGCGAGGCAAGGGTTCACGACGGTCGCGTTCGCACCACTGGCAGACCCGCGCAGGGAGCCCATGAACTCGACTAGTCGGTGCACGCTCTGGCGAGCACGCATCAACCCGTACCCAAGGTACGAGTGTTGGTACAATACGTGCTTCTTCCCACCGAAAGCCAGTTCGTATTTGTGCTCGCCGTCCTCCATCTTCGAGTCCGACTTCTCAAAGACGGGCTCGAATACAACCTGCGTCGACGCGCCGCCGAGGTCCAGAACCGCGTAGGTTGGCGCACGTGCTGGCGAGTCGCTCCGGATGGTATTCATGAGGTAGTTCACGGTGATCCACGCATAGACTCCCTCGTCCTTCCCATCCATGATCACCACACCGTCGGGCTCCTGCACGCTGAAGGGATACTTATCGTGCAGCCGCTTCGTGACTGCATCCAGGATAGCAGCGCTTTCCGCCGCGCCTAACAAGCGCAAGCCTGCCGTCGCCTTCACAGCGACGGGTGTACACGATCGCAGCGCCTCCGGCACGACTTTCATCGCCTCATCGAGCAATCCATCCAGACTCTGAGCTGCTTCCTGCGGGCGGCCCTTGTATGAAGACAGCCCGGGCTTCGTCATGCGGAAGACTTCGTATTCGTACATTGGTGATGGTCCACAATTGTTGAACTTGTAGATATGGATGCGCGAGCCTGTTGAGCCTGCGTCGATCATGAGAGCATACTGCACCAACGGCACGGAAGATTTGTATGGGACCGTGCAGTGGACGGTTTTGGAAAGATCAGGGTCGTTCTCGGGACCGGTGGGCAACTTGTTGGGTTTGGACGGAAGCATATCATCATCATGCACAGGAGCTGTAACATGAGCTGGTGGCGCTGGTGGCGGAGGACTGTAGTCCACATTTGTGGTATCAGGCTTCCCTATTGCTATTCCGCCAAGATGGTTCGTAAGCGTTGTGTGGTAGATGCGAGGTCACTCACAAGGAACGCTACCGGGTATGAGTCGCGACTTGCTTGGGCCTAGCACGTAGAATAAGCCAATAATTACAACAGCGCCCAGCGCAAACTTCTTCCACGGAGCAAAGCGCATCAGGGTGCCGCGGCTGGGTCCCTGGCCGGTCTCCAGCCTCTCATATGTGCCAGAACTTCTTGACGAGAACATGGTCTTCTTTCGTGAACGAGAGGTCCCACTCGATAGTTCCGCCGACGACGAACAAGCGGTCGGAGTGACAGAATGCGGTTTGCGTGTCAGGGCTGGGTCTTGGTGCAGCTTCAGCACCCGATGTGTGCTATCATACGAAAGAATGAGTGGAAGTAGTGCAAGAATTGAAGACAGCCGTGAAGCGCGTTATGCGACCAGGCAATGGCAGGAGAGCGGTGCACGTGTTTGACGTTTGACGATCGAGCCCCTTCGCGACGGCCTGCTGGAGAGGCACTCGGCCAAGTTCATGCTTTCCATAGAGAGAGATACAATTCTGGTGCATTGAGAACTTGTTCGAGTCGTGAAAGAAACGCTACAACAACTACAAATACAACATGCCAGCCATCCTCTGCTTGCCTTCCTCTTGAGTGCTCCAAAATGTCCCCTCAGGTATGCCGACGCCAACGAGACTGGGTAGAACGTCCTGAGAGTCCGTGAATGCAGTCTGTGGGACGAAAAGCTAAACGGTAGACTGGAGGGGGTCCCAACAGCTTCCTGTGCTGTCCACTGACCAGTTCGATGGCACAAATGTATCTCAGTACAACGCTGCGAAATGCCCTGCGTGCATGACAAAAAGATCCATGTGCGATTAAGCCGTTGTGAGGACGCATTAGGTTGTGGGTATCTGGTTTGTAAATCTGGTATGTGCCATCGACGAAGTCAGCTGGAATAGCCCAACTGATCCGATGAGGTCGACGTGAAAACAGGGGGGCCATTCAGTCCTTGTGGTCTTCCCAGTGGCTGGTGCTCCAGTATGACCTGTATTAGGTTGTAAGCTTGCATTCCAGTGATAGCACGCTGGACGAAACGAAACGTACGGAGGTAAATCCAACTCCGGCGGAGGCTGCGTATAGTCGACCTCTTCGTTTGTACGGGGAGAAGTACCAGCAGGGTCCATGAAGTCCGCGGCCGATGTGTCCCCAGGCGCATAGTACTCCAGTACAGTGCTGGGCACCATGCCCGACGAGATCGTGATCGGTATATTCGCCTTCACGCTGTGAAAAGGGCTGCCAAAGTAGACCTGCAGATGCATGAAGTACTGTGGAGGTATGATTCGCAATTAGCTGCATCCTCACGTTCACACCTTGAGAAGTTGGCTTACCTCGTTCTTGATGGTGGTGGACTTGAATGTCGGCGGGCACCGCAACACAAAGCTCGACGCGAACGTGACTTTCTGCTTCCACCGCCCCCGCGCACCGTCGCCGCTTAGCGGCACCCACTCCGCCTCTGTCGTCTCAGTCTGTACAGTACACGACCCATCTAACCCGCCGTGCAAACGCACAATCTGGATGTCCTGCTCGCTGTATGCGCCCGTGCTGATATAGACATTGCGCTTAAGCTCAAAGGTGACATCCTTAGCATGCAGCGGCGGGGCGGGCCAGACCGACTCTGAGGGTCTGCAATCCCCCTGTTTGACGGGCTTGCTGACCGTAGTGATGGAGATGGTAAAGGGGATGGGGAGAAAGAGAGGGAAGGAGTCCACTGCGGGACGAACAAACTAGGACCGCAATGCGAAAGACTCAGCTGAGAGGACTTCACTCTGTTAAAGTCCACTCACCTCGATGCAGACGTCCGAATGATCACCCCACAGTCCCTTCCGAATTCTGTCACTCGTGACCACGCTCGACCATCTCCCGCACCAGCCAAACTTCATCGCATCGCGCGTTTGTGCGCCCCCCGAGTCATGCGGCACGACCGCCAAGGGGCGGATGGCCCGCTTGTTCATGCGAAACGCGCCGGAGCGCACGCCGACAGCCTCGACGTAGTACCGCACGTTCCCCCGGCCCTGCACACACGTGAACTCGAAGGACGGCGGCAGGCTACGGGGCAGAGTGAATTGGAACGGGATGCGCAGATCGTGTGAGCCAGGGGCGGGATATGCGGAACCGCGCTGCCATACCGAGATGTTCTCGCGGACGAGGGGCACCGTCTGGAATTCTGAGGAGCGTCCCAGGCGCACCCACCTATTGCAAAAGACGTATTAATGAACGCGTCCATGGAATTGGCCTCTTGGAACGTACGTGTACGCCGACCCCCGCAGCTTCACATGGACCTCCTCGATCTGCTGGTCCTGGATAAGGGGGAAATGGAGCTGCACCGTGCCCTGCACACTGCCCCCGGCGACATACACTTGCCGTGGGACGTCGAGAACTATGCAGTCGGGCATGGGAGTCGTCAAGAGATACAGTGTCCAGTCGTTCCCGGCCTTTATGGAAGATCACAGTGGCCGTATGTTGGAAAATAGCAGCATGACTGGTACTGAGGAGTGGAGGGAGCAGCCTGGATCCGTCTCGGTCTTGTCAGGGGTATTGAACTCATCGGACCGGAACATCAAGGCACGATAGTTCAGTCTTCTTGCTTGTATCGCTAGGATGCCAATAAGAGACAGTAGCAGGACCATTCAAGCGGCTGTGCTCATCGTCGCCGACGAGCTCGACTACAACAGCAGAAGCAATGATCGGCGTCTAATCTCCGACAACGAACTCATTTTCCAGTAATAAATTCAATTTCACAACTCGTATCGCTCAGGCGTGAAGTCACGGTGTATATTCGATTGTCATTCGAGGGCAGCAGAAAAAAAGTATTTATCAAGTAGTACTTTCGGGAGGTCGCGCTAACCGCAGACCACATTACGTGTTGCACAAGGGCTAGGGACTATTGAGTTCGCCAAATGGGAGTGCACAAAGATCAGGGAGGGGATACGACGTACTCCGATCAAGTGGGTGGGGAATGATGGTGAGTATAGGTACACTGGAGTTACGAAGGCCACCGGCACTGAGAGAAGAATGAAGAGAGAGAGCGCAGATTGAGAGTAGATAAGACATAAGACATAATGTATGCGCGACGAGTGACGATGGAGTCAGCATAAGTTCAAAGAAAGACATGGAGGAGCCCTTTACGAATCAACAGGTACTTGAAGACCATGCTGGCGCAGCAACGCTTCGTACATCGCTGCGCGCGCTACCCACATCTCCTTGTCGGCCCGCTCCTGCTCGAGGGCCACCTCCAGCTCGCGCTGGTACTCGAGCTTGCGCTTCCGACTGCGTCGCGCCGCGAGGGTGTTTTGACGCCGCTTAGCCTCGATCGCGTCAAGGTCCGACTGCGGGAGGTCTGCGAGATCGACTTCGTCCTCATCACCGAATGCTTGTGAGCGCGCTCGCTTTTTGGCGAACACAGCCGGTACGTCCTTGCGCGACGTTGCCGACGGTGTAACGTACTTGCGAGACTGGATAGGCGCATCAACGGGGATCAGCGTGTCGGGGGTGGCGTTTTTGCGAGTTCCGGTAGGCGCATTGCGTCGACGAGACGATGGAGGGTTGGTGGACGCCGCACGGGGAGATGAGTGTAAAGATGCAGGATCGAGGGCAGGAGTATGCGGAGAGGGCATCGTGTACATTTGATCGTAGTCGATGGACGCGGCAGGCACAGCATGCGCCGACGACAATTTGGCTGATGCCTTGTAATGATCGTGAGCTGCACCACCTGTCAGCCCCAGCGAGCCGCCAAAAAGTGAAGGGGTGTTGCCGAAGTCATCGAAGTTGTCTGCGTCAACAATGGCAGGGCTGGTCAAGAAGTCGGAGGCGATGTCGGTGGAACCAAGTGCTGGGGTTTGCAGGAAATCACCCCACGGCGAGTCCTCCATTGGAGAAGTGAGGTACTCGCTGAAGTCCTCAGCTATCTGGAACTCCGGAGAGGCTGACGATCTGGTAAGCGACCGCGGCGACCATCCGACGAGATCAAAATTACCTTGGAGAACCTCCATCAAGGCCTGTACCGCGGCGCCATTCTCAGACGCCGCAGAAACAGGTACCGCATCGAGGGCGGCAAAGTCCTTCTCTGAATTCTTTTGCGATAGCATAGTCAAGTAATTCGAGCACAGAGTAGAGAAATCGAAGTCTGAAGAAGACGAGGGAAGAGTATCTGGCAGTGGGTTCGCTTGGGGATGTCGAGTTGTTCGAGGTACAGGGGGCAAAAACTGGGGGATGCCATGATGAGCAGCTAAGTCCGAGGTCGAGTGGAAGACCGTGTGGGATGTCCGAGGACGATGACTAGAGAAGTCTATCGAGCCATTCTGAGATGAATAGCTTGGGAGTGAAACACTTCCAAGATTGACGGCACGAGGGGAACCATAGTTGACGGTTGATGGGCCGGGGTGGTCGCGAGACGACGCGTTTACAACGAAAGGCGGAACATTTCGACGACTTTGTTGTAGGTTGCGAGACTGATTCGGAAACAAGGTGGAAGCTGGTGGTGGGTCGAAGCTAAATGTCGACAATGCCGGTGGATTAGACAACCGGCTGAGTGGTCTGGAGGAAGATGATGGGTCGCTGGTCAGTGGAGTGTTCTCATGGCCAAGGTCTGTCCCGTAAGAGTCCGCCGACGATGACGATGACGCAATGGCATTCACGTCGAAATTGAGCCGCGACCCGGACACCGCTTGCAGCGGTTTGGAAACGCCGGATCGATAATAGGACCGTGACGGCGTTACACAATGCGGCTCGCGCAGTGAACCGACGGGATCCAACAGCTTAAACGATGCGAACATCCTCGCGAATGAGAGAATTGGGATACGCTGCCGCACGAAGGATAGCGGGTGTGACTCTGACGCCGGCGGCGGACAAGACCGAGAGAGGATAAGGGGGTTGGACTCACGAAGTGACTCGAACTGTAAGATCCTCGAACAGCGGCCAATCTGCTCGGGGACGAAAACTGTGCTGGTGGTAAGAGGGAGGGGAACGAGCGGGCGATCTGACTCGTCGGCCGCTTTTTATCTACCAGTTTTCACAGCATTTCGAGCTCAGAGGCGCCCGTTCTCGAGGACCCTGAATCAGGCAACTCTCCATATGCTTCCGGCGTCTTAACGAAGGACACATTGATCCAGGATATGCGCAAAACAACATTCATTGCCCCAGAGTCTCGCAAATCATATTGTCTAGTCCAATGGGCGACGAGCGAAGCGTTGACATTGGGCCTCAAAGTCCCAGGAGTGCGTGTCCCTTGCCGCGCGCCCGGGACGGCTCCAGGGACGAGTCAAGTGGCCACAACAGGATACCTTGACCCGGAATGATGGGCTGATGCGCTCAACATCGTGGGTAAAGCAACTCCCCACGTCCAACAGCCCCTGCGACACGACACGCTGCCCGTCGTCTGCGGGGCACGTTGCCCATAGGGCGGTGCCGCGCGACCAAAATAGTGTCTTGCCGCCGCACTGCACACGTCGGTACGCGAGAGCACCGCATGTCAATGGCATCGTCCCGGCGCAGACGCAACTGATGTAAGCCGCGAGCGCACGCTGGGCACAGGGCGCCATCGAGCTGTCCGTTGACCCGGTACCAATCGCCGCCCTCCAAGCCATCGATGAGACCAACTTCGCACGTCGCGGAAGACCGCTGCGGGGACTGCGCTTGAGCATACCGAGCAGCCTCCACGTCGCCTTCGTGTCTGCCAGCGGGGCACCACCGCCGCTGACCAACGCCGCAGCTTCCCCGAAGTCAATATAGCGTCTGCGCAGGCGGAGGACCGCATGCTCGCCGACGCACGAGTCGTGTCCGCAGGCAAGCCTAGACCTCGCAGCATGGACGCGCAAGCAGCCAGCCGCGCAGAATGGTGACGACCTCCCGGTGGCCGGAGCGCTGGCGAGGAGCAGCAAGGCTGCGCTGGCGGCCATGCCCGACCGACCTGTGTGCAAGATGTGCGATTGACAGTTGGGCAGACTTACCGACGTCACACACCTCGAGGGCCAATTGCAAGCGAAAACGGGATCAGGACGACCGTCAGGCGAAAAATCTCGTCGCCACAAAATTCTATAGCGGCTTGGTTGAGTCGAATGTCGGGCCGCAATTCCCCTAAAATTACCTTTTGTTTTGCGAGCCGGCACCGCGGTTACACGCCGCCGGTCATTGTCAACATTCCGGATCGCGAACGACACCGACCTTTGACAGACAGGACGCTGTGCAATGGGCTCATCGAGAACACTGTTCCCTGTTTTTCTTCTAACAGCGGCATTGAGCGGCCAAGTACGCACACTACTAGTATTTGGGTTATTGGCAACGAACCACAATTTTTGGACGAAGTGCTCATCGGAAGAGGAAAAAATATAACACACCATAATTCCCACCCTATTGATGCGCCCTTGCAGGCTATACGAATTCCAGTGGAGTAGAGCCAGCGGGCCGTAAAATTCTGGAAAAACGGGAAAGGGGACGAGAAAACGGATGAGCAGGGGTCTCGGGCAGCGAGAAGGGAAGAGAGACGTTGGAGGGAAAGAGCAAAGAGCGTGCAACAGGCGTGTTGTCCACTCATTATATGGCTGACTCGAGTCAATGTCGAGATCTGCCCAATTTGGGTCCATCGGATCACTGACTCGGGCGGCCACGTGGTGTGACCTGCTCTTTCTCACTCGGCTCCGGCCTCTCGCCGGCTCCGAGCCCGTCAAGCCGTGGGCGTCTCCAGAAAATGGAATATCCCACGAACATGATTGGATGGCAAGCAATGAAAGATGGCTGCCACCACTGGTCACGTCGCGACGAGCTCGCTCTAGTCTGAACACTCGGGACCGAGGAAGATATGGTCATGAGAAATATCCCACCATAGACAAACAAGGACAATAATGTAGCGTGCTAAATGAGTAGCGAACGGAGCCGGTGGGAAGCGCAGCCAGACGAACCACATCAAATAAATCATCCTAAATCAAAATATCTGACCGTATACAAGAGCACAGAAACAATCCAGGTAACATATAAACATAGCGTGCACACGGTCACGGCATCTGCCCTCCGTTGGCCTTCACCTGCGAGGGCAGCACAGGCACCGGCGGCGCGGTATCAGGGGCGGCAAAGAACCCCTCCGCAGTGATCCCTATCGCCTCCACGCCCGCGCCCGCCGACTTGCGCGACGTCCCGCGGCCGACGGAGATGGAGCCCTTGCGCGCGGCGCCACCGCGCTCAATACTGATAGTCGAGCGCGCCTTGTTGACTGTGCCGTACGGGCTGTACGTGCTCGCGGCCCCGCCACCGCCCTTGATCGTCGTGTGCACCGAGCGCCCTGTCGTCCCCGCGCCCGCCCCGTTGCGTGCGACCTTGCTCAGCGTGCGCGGCTTGTAAGGCAGAGGCGGCGGCGCGGCACCGCCGTGGTCCCACGCAGAGGGCACCGCGTGTGGCGGGCTGCGGGCGCCGGCCGGCTGCGAGCTGGAGCTGGGTCCGATGGGCATGACAAGCATCGCGTCGTCAATGTCGTCGTCGTCGTCATACGTGCTGTCCCTCCTCCGGTCCGCCCGAGGGCTGGATGGCGATGAGGGCGACGACGGTCGTGGCTCGAATGGCCTCTGGAGGATGGCTTCGCTGCGGTCATGCACCTCATCGAAAACTTCGTAGAACCGCTGGATGCAGAGCTTGATGACCATGCCCAGCGTTGTCCTGCCCGTGGCTGGTGTGGATGCGGTCGGCGAGAAGGAAGGGGTGGAGTCGAACGGGAACGCGCCGCCTGGTACTGCACACATCATCACATCCCGAAGGGGATTTGAGCCGGAGACGAGGTTAGGCGTGATCACGACTGCAAGATTGTGCGCGTCCATGCGATTGGTCGCAGATCGCAGAGAGACCTCGTGTAAGATCTCTGAGTGCCGCCATGAAGAGTTTCAGTTTTAGCTCTGCATTACTCATTACAAACAATACTCACGCAGAACATTGCTGAGGAGGATGTAAGAGCAATGTGGCAACTCAGGGAGAAGTGTTTCGCGGATATACAAGATACTTGACAGATCAGCCGGGTCGTCAGAGGGGGCCGGACAGCGGGAGATGAGCGGATATAGATGCTCTGGAAATAGAGGAGTTGGCAGATCTCGTAGGAATTTCTTCAGTAGTACAGCAGCGAGGTGGGGGTCACCAAATGTGTCGAGCGATACGACGTGCCCTGTGTCGCATATGAGCAATACAGACAATGAAAGAAGCGTGACTCATCCGCCACCTCTGTCGTATGCTTGTTGCGCCTGCTTGAGCATGACGGAGTTCGGCGAGCGGCGGAACAGACCCTCTTCCTGCAGGCCTGGCATCGTCGGCTTAGCAATTGATACGAGAGGAACACAAGACAGCCCACCCGTCTGCCGTAAATATTGCATGCAGTCTTTCACGACTCGTGGGATGCCGCCCTTCTCGCCGTCAAAGCCCATCAGCTCCTCAAGCGGCACACCAAACAGGTCCGCACGCGTCGGGGTAGGTAGTTGGATTTGTTTCTCATGTTTGAGGTTTTCCCTGGGGGCCTGGATAAGTCTTATCCGCGATGATAGATGGTGGACGTACTGATACACAGCAGGAGGGATATCTATCTGGGTCAGTGGTATATGACATGCAAGCTCGGACAAGGTATTGATATAAGTTATCTTGCGGAAGAACTTAGGGCTGTGCGCGGCAGTATCATGCACCCGTGTTGTGGTCATTGCACTGTTTCGTACCTGATGATAGTGCCCGCCAACGAGAACAACACTGTGCACTCATGTTAGTTCTGAAGAGCAAGGATGGTCTGTGGGCCTACTTTTCGTGAAGAAGGTCGAATGCACGATGAACTGCGGGCACAGTCGATACATGGCTCAGAGTGTCACCAGAAAGTGAGAGCGCACCAGCTTCTTGAGATTCTTGCGATATTTGCGACTGAGACTGCGGTAGGCCTTCCAGACCCAGTTCCAGCCTGGCGTGTGCCGTCCTCCAGCGGCGAAGAATACGACCGTATAGTCAGACTCGACTAGGACCAAGTTAAGCTATCGCAAATTGTCGTCTCGGAGACGCAATACACACCATACAGATCAAGGTATGCCAGAATGCGACTGGAGCATTCTGAGCGGATAGTCTATGGAGGCATTAAGATCACTTACGCAAGCAAGTCATCGTAGTTAACCTCTCGAACATCTGGCAGAGCGGATGCGTTCATGATAACCCTATAAAACTAAATGTCGGCAGTGTCCTCTTGCGGAAATAATTGGGAGACGCACATCGGCCTAGTTCTATGCATAAAAGGTAAAAAAGAATTAACGCCACTAGGAGAGCCGAAGGACGTACTCATAATCGACCCCGGCCTGGAAGATGACACGGGTCATCACTTCCTGCACATTGTCATGACTCTGCCATAGTCCTTCCTGGGCGTTGCTCGACGACCGCATCCGCGAGGGAGCTCCAAAGAATGCCCGTCGCTTCCAAGTCGGGGACTGCGGCTGAGACTCGGGGCGGCTACTAGCATTTGGCGCGGAAAAGGCGGCCAGTCGCTGCTTCAGGGTGAGAGGGTTGGGAGGCATTTTTGAAGCTCAATCCAGCACCAGGCAGGAAAGCAGAGAGAAGAGAGGTGAGCAGCGACTGCGGGTGCAGACAGAAGCCACAAACGAGGTGCGCAGGGATGGCAGCAGCGAGCAGGCCGAGCGGTGGCTCCGTGACAGGGTACGCCTGGCAGTGATCGGCGTCCGCAAGCGCCCAAGTCACATAGATCTCAATCTCGTCAAGTCCCACGTGGATCTGAACCGGCTTGTCTCGCTTTTTAATTGTCAGGACCCCATCAAAGTCTGGATAGCTGAGGCCTAGGCCTCATTGTGCATACAGTAAATTTGGAGCATATTGCCCGCCGCCAGAGCTAAGTCGCAGACGCTTCAAATATTAGAATATCTTGCTCGTACTATCTGTCTCGCAGCACCCAGTACAACTCCGTAGAGTACACGCACAGAAATTGCATCCCACCGAGAGGCACTTTCTGAGAAATCATACACGGCAGCGTCACGGATATCGGGGAATTTCTATGGGAAGTTGTGAATTTTCTTCGACCCGGTCGTGGGGAGCTCGGGGATAGTGTTATCATCCGCACACAAAAGGAGCCTGGTGCATTGCAGGCGCGTACAATGCACCGACAACGCCAACAGAGGTCTTAGTGTTGCAATTGGCCACGGTAGCATCCAAGTTGCCAGTGAAATGACCCGAGGCTATTATCAGCCTCTCCAATCTTGGGCACGCGGTTGCCAAACCAAATCCCATTGTCGTACTTATAAAGCTAGCATGTGTCAATATGGAGCCCGCACAGTTCACGAAACGCCGCAGATACACAGAAATCATCGTGGATCCCTCAGCTACTAGCTCAGAAAGGCCGAACAACGGGAGGGTGAGAGATGAAGAGATTTGTAGTACGCGCAATCGGTTAGGGGAGAGCTGACGCTCGACGGTCGTGAAAAGATCCGTGATGCACGATCCTGACGGCGGCGAGACAAGACACAACGTCAAAGTTAGAAACTCGACTTGAGGGATCCACCCGATGAGCAGGGTTGACTGTAACTCCTCATGCGCGGTCGAGGAATTTAGACGGGCCAGTGCATCTCCCGCGAAAGGCGTTGATCCAAGCCACGCCGCCTGGAGTTTTGAGAATTTACACATAGAGATGTATAGCCATTTTGCTAATCCGTGAGCAGTCCCCCATAAAAGCGGCGAGTGCTTGAAGCGCTCAGATGACGGGCAGGACGTCTGTAGTACATCGAAAACTTCGGCGGGGTTTGATGAGTCATCCCTTCAGTATTAACTGGAAAGAAGGCTGCCAGCGAGGAATTTGCGTAGCTGGGGTCCAAAGCAGATGATCAGCTGTTGCCACTGCGTTTAGTCTGCCGGAGCCAAAGTCAGAGGGTCCTGAGGCTAGATAATGTCCTACCAGCCATTCAAGGCGAAGAAGCCCGGGAGAAAGGAAGGGCCGAGAGAAAATTGCGAGCAGACCTCATCAAGCCAGTATCCTTCTTTCATGTACATGAACTTCTCGGGAGTATAGAGGCACTTGACGAGTCGAGCGTATTTCTCGGTATCTTCTTAACGGACCACACATGATTGGACAGTTTATGTCGATATCAACAGGGAGAACGTGGATAAATTCGGCACTGACTGCCCTTTTGTAGTTCAGACTTTTGTGCAGCCGTCCCCATACTCGGATTGCTGGTCCATGGATTGCTTTGCACGTCCTGGTCAGAACCTCCCTGTCTCTCAGACGCAGCTCCCTCAAGGGTTTTGACGAGGAATTCATCGACAAACACTAGTTGGTGCATTTATTTTAGAGACATCTGAGTAGATTTGGTTGGGAGCGACTATAGTCAGTTTTGTCGGAAGGAAGTTGATGGGCGCTAATGGAGGTATTCAACTGCGACTCGGGTCCGATCCGGCGCTTCCTTCCCACGTCTCACGATCAAGTCCACCGGTTCATAATCCTTCTCTGACGTGCTCACAACAAAACGTTACCATCAGCTCACAGACTTCAAATCCTGAAAGGTCCTATCAGGCGCGTGGCTTGCCTGTCTCAGCTTCGCGTTTCTGTGACTTGCACTGTGGTTCGTTCGAACGAGCCCCTGGCTAGCAGTGGACATGATGTTTCCGAGAGATGCCAGGTGAGGAAGGCAGGAAGAGACCCATAAGGATACAGCTGCAGTCACTCCCAAAATCAGTGCGAACGTTGTCATGAAGTTGAAATTTCACGGCGATCGACGGGTGTGTGTGTGTGCACACGCCGCTAGTTTGTCATTTTGAAGGTAAGTGAGATGACGCCGCCGGATTTCTGATTGATCACCAACATCATAATTTGATCTGCAGGAGCAGCGTGAAATAATGCATTACTTTTCTGTCATTAATTTGGTGTGAGCCCCCGCCTTGTACACGACTGCTAGTCCAAAGGATTCGCCTTCTGCTCATTCGAAATGTTCACTACATGCTGATACGGAGTATGACACACCCACCGGCCGTTGAGGCGCAGACTCAATGCCTCGGGCTTATCAAAAGATGTTGTTCTCGCGCTTCGACGTGGGACTGTCAGGGTGTCTGGGCACCACTTATAAACGCTGCCAACATCCTGCTATCAACATCCGCACTCTCATCACGAATCCACCAGCCTATTTCTAGTTCGACATAATGCCCGCTATCACCTCAGGAAAAGTCCTCGTCTCTGGTGCGAATGGCTACGTCGCTAGTTGGGTCATACGCACTCTCCTGGAGAGCGGTTACTCTGTTCGTGCTACTGTGCGCTCTGAGAGCAAGGGTGTGCATCTGCGCAAGGTATTTGCAAGCTACAACGACAGGCTCGAGCTAGTGGTCGTCCCAGATATCACTGCGGTATGCGGGCTCTCTGTGTTCTAGACTGAACAGGCTTTATTGACACACCACCCAGGTCGGCGCTTTTGATGAGGCGGTCAAGGGTGTGGATGCTATCGAGCACACCGCCTCTCCATTTCACCTCAAGGCTGACGAGCCTGACGAGATCATCGTCCCAGCGGTGCGCGGCACTACAAGCATGCTCGAGTCCGCGCTTGCGTACGGCACCTCCGTGAAGCGCGTGGTCGTCACATCGTCCTGCGCGTCTATCTTGAGCTTCGATCCCACACCACGCATCTACACGGAGAAGAACTGGAACGAGCAGGCGATCGAGGTCGTCAAACTGAACGGCCGCAATGCGCACCCGGCGATTAAGTATTGCGCGAGCAAGACACTCGCCGAGCGCGCAGCGTGGGAGTTCATGGAGAAGAACCAGGGCAAGGTCCAGTGGGACCTGGTCGTACTCAACCCGCCATATGTCTATGGGCCGATTCTGCAGGAGGTCGGTTCGCCGGAGGCTCTCAACGAGAGCATGCGTGAGTGGTACGAGGTGCTTTTCAAGAGCACGCTGCCCGTGGAGGAAGTAGGACAGACGGGGTGAGTACTGTCTGTCTCTCTGATTACAGACATGCCACTCACCCCACGCTAGTAACTCGTGGCTCGACGTCCGCGACCTCGGCAAAGCTCATGTATTGGCGATCCAAACAGAGGCAGCCGGGGGTGAGCGCATCATCGTTTGCAGTGGCCCGTGGAAGTGGCAGGACTGGAGTGAGTTCTTCCATTCCGCTACCCATGGAGTGTGCTCACCGGCGGCGTCGTAGTCAACGCTGCACGCAAGGCCGGTGCTGATATTCCCGCCGGCGACACGTCCTACGATGCAGCAAAGGCAACGCATTTGACGAGATACGATATTGCGAAGGCGAACAGCATTCTCGGCTTGACATACCGTACAATGGATGAAACCACTCGCGATATTCTTGATGACTTCAAGGAGAAGGGATGGATTAAGGTGTGATGGAAGCCTTTGGTTGACCTCTGCTCTACTTGAAAATCGTAGTCTGCGAGCGATTGTATAGTATTTCCCGGTAAAGAGGAATCCATCTGCAGTGTAATTTAGGTTCTGTATTTCATCAGTCCGTCGGACTTCTGCTTCGTTCCTGCATCTCACAACGGCACTGCGAAATGGCGCATGTCACCCCTTTGCCAAGCCCTGCGAAGCCGCGGAAGAAGTTGGGCGATTGCAGTCCAACGCTCGCGGTGGATGTCTAATACTGGAGTCGAGATGATCTTTTCTGGAGCGGGGAAGATGGCGACGAATCATGCAGCCACCTCGGAAATTGATCGTCGAGCAGTCGACATTGTCAGTCTGCTTCGCGAAGGCGATTCACGATCTGTGCGCGACTGTGATGTGGATACATCTATGCCATCGGTACCGGTGTGCAGTGCTATCGCTAGACTTTCGGGGCCGGGGCAGCGTAAGGGCAAACGCGCAAAGTGCTCGCAAAGTACACTATACATTCGCAGGCTCGGGACTTTTGTATTTAGTACTCAATTCGACTTCCTTCAATGCAAAGGGAAGTCATGAAGTTCATCGCTCCTTTCTGAGCTAGTAGTTGAGGGATCCACGATGAGTTCTGCGTATCTGCGGCATCTACTCACATTTCGTGAACTGTGCGGACTCAACATTGGTATATGCTAGCTTTATAAGTACGACAATGGGATTTCCAGAAAATCAAGACAAAGGCTTTTGTACTTGCGCTCCTACAAGAGAATGATCGGCGATGCCCTATAAGCTGGTTCATCTGGCGTCCTTGACATGAATCAATCCAGACCCTACCTGAATTATGTCGGTGTCTTGCACTTGTCGTCTGGTATCCTGCGTGATCCCGGTCTCTTCCATATCTGTTTTCAAGATGTCGATGCAAATGGTGTGTGGGAAGATTTCAACCTCTGCGGCATCAGACGAGGAAAGGGTGTCGGTCTTCCAAACATTGTCAGTAACATCACCCGATAATATTGTTCTGCGTACCTTTTGCTCCTCGGTTGGGAGCGTCTCCAGGCTTGATCCTGTCAGGGGTGTCTGCATGACTTCTTGGTGCACATTCACTACAAGATGGTGCTGTCGACATGAGTGCTCGGACGCTGGTATCAGAGCTTCGGAGGTGTAGGGATCCGAGGGCACATCCAAATTCGCAAACTCTATACCGGTGGACTGATTCTTGTTGTCATGGCCTCCGCGAAGCAGCATGCGGTTGTTAAAGCCGATTAAGGCAGTATTTGCATACCTACAAATAGCAAATGTGAACAAGAAGCTTCTGCGGTGAGGTTTAACTATCACCAACAACTTAGACAGTAGAAGAATCCTGGTTCATATGTATCTCAGACTTTCACAGTCAGCTATATATTGCAATGTGATCGAACTTACGGGCAACTTGACACTGCAAGTTTTGCATTCAAACATGATGGGCAATACGGGCCTTGTTGAGTTTGTGCTAAGCTAACTACATACGTAGCCAAAGCTATAACAGCAACACTCGCTATGTAGCACTGCATCGGTTTACTCTACACAAACCAAAATGGATTACAGACCGGTCACAGCACCACTTGTAATGGCATAATGAACAAGCTTAGTGCGTACACGTGCTGTTGATTCAATGCAGCTGTCAATGCGATACAACTACATGATAGTGAACTTGATGTCTAGCCTCATTGATAGTCATGGTACATACCAAAATTGACATGGAGATTGCTATCAGGATATCCACAGATGCAGTAATGGCAAGCCAAGTCTGTGTCAGTGTCAGTGGCATTGCTGGAGCATGGTCCAAACCCTACTTGCCCAGATCGGCACTGCCAATGCCAGACTTACACCAATTGATGAGCCAGACATCTGGGGGTCAAACTTGGGATATCAGTACAGTTTGAATGAACTATAAATGAATTGCAAGTCACAGCGCCTTCTGGCGACCAGAATGTACTCAGCATGCATGCGATGAAGGCACTGAAGGCAAACTATTGCAAGGGAAGGACGTCATTGGTGTAAAACCAATACAATTGAGCACATACCAATGCAATTGCAGCTGCCAGATAGCGGGATCTCTTGTCCACAGAAAGGACGAAGATTCTCCATGCATAAAATATTTGTACCGCTGCAGCTATTATGCCAGACATCACCGGGACTCCAACTGTCAAAGGAAGAATGTTCGCTACAGCATCGTTTTCGGCAAATAGGTTGCCACTAATCCCAGTGGTAGCCAAGATGGTTTGGACCCATTCCGCTAGAAATAAAGCTCCGACTGATTGGGTGAGTCAAGCTCAATTGGCAAAATGTGTTGCACATACCAAAAATCTTCAGAGCAGTCACGTCTTTAGGGAAAGATGTATAGTAGAAATCTGTGCAGCTTGCACTTTCAGTCATGGCTAGACTGCCAGATGAGGATTGCTTACATGTCTGACTGCATAGCGCCCCTTGTAGCCCCCAGTCAAGTAGAAGACCAACGAACTGGACCATAACACCTCAGCGGGCACCACATTGAAGAGAGACATCCTTGTCAATACGTACTTCGGGTTGCGATCTGTCAAGTTGCTCCCTCGTGAGTTGTGAAGTAGTGTCAGCTGGACTATAGGTAGAACTTACACAGTATAGTATGACATTGCAAGGAAGAAAATGCAGATGACACTGGGGGACTTATAGAAGTCTGCTGATGCTTCGAAAGGGGTACCTGTCCCTACGGGCTTATAACTGACGGACACATCATATGAGAAGAAGCTATAGGCGCCGCGTAAGTCATGAGAATATTACGATGTCCTTTTGGGCCGGACATGTCATGTCAAGGTACTATGATTAGATGAAATTGGAACGGTACCACCTGTATTCCTAATACACGCTCGGATATCATCCCTAGCTTTTCGCCAGAAACTGTACAGCCAAACTCGACGGGAGTAGAAGAGAACATCCAATGTGTTTCAGTGCTATCAGCATTATTGGTAGAGATAGTTTGATCGTGGAATTCAACGGGCATCACGATACTGCAATGTGGTTCTGTTACCGAACACCATGACTACCGAGACAGTTCATCGACGAATCAAGAAGGGAACAGAATTTGGCTTTATAGGTACTGCCCAGTGTCGGAGGATGTCCAGCCCAGCTTTATATCATGTTGCCGTTGATAGTGCTCTCTGCACTGGTGCCCTTGAAACGTTTTGCCGGGGAGTGAGGGCGAACAGAAGCAGCACTTGAAAGGCTGTGTAACGGCAGTAGTCATTGGTCTCGTCATGTAGAGCTGTTCATCGTCTCGAGCTGAGGCAGAACATGTGATGAACATGACATGACAGCACATAGATTAAAAGAAGAGATAGAAGATTGACGAATATGATATATGAATCACCACACATGTCGCTTACTTCTTATCAAGTACACCTGGAGTCAATTGTCATCAGCGTTTGTCGCTCGGGGCGGGCGTTCTTTACCATCTTTGTCTCTGCGGTGCTCCAGGTTACCAGCGTGATGAACCGATCAGCAGCATTCATCGCATGAAATATAATAAAAAGCGATGATTAGGTTCATGTACGAGTTTATTTGAGCACTCACCGCACTGGCACTAACAATGACTCTATTGCAGGAGGCCGTTCAAGTTGCACGCAACCTCATGTGGCATCTGAGTCAGAAATAAACCTAGCACGAACAGCAACCTGTAAATTCACACGACGCGCTGTCACGGCGGCGGCAAACGAGATAGGTCATGTGCCGAGGCATTGGGTAGGGACTTGTCGTCACAACCCGATTGCGACCTCGAGCTATCTCGAGTAGTCAAACTCATCGTTCGAGCGTCCCTACCCATATACCAGCCAGGATCCCAAGAAGAATCACACTACTAAGGAAGATTATAGCTCGAAGTCTCACTTGAACCCGGCGACCTACAAATTCACAGATTGCTGGAAAACATCTCCACACTAATCGGTACTTTTCTTGCTCGTTGGATCGCATGATCCTCTTGCGATGTGGTCACAGCATTCACAGCCCTGATAGCGCACAATAACCCGGATGGTTGAGTGCTTATTAGCAGCAAACCACGCACGATAGATGGTACTGAGAGGGACCTCAGTTCTGTGTTAGCACCTGCCCGCTCTCAGAATACTCCGCAGGCAGAAGTGGCCGCTGGGTGCTCCTTATGGATCTTCCTTCGTTGAGATCTGGGAAGTAACTGCGGCCGTCATTATCAGCGACCAAGGCAGGCAGCCTGTCTCCTCAAACGCGTCCCTCGCTCCGAATTCAGGGGCTGTCAAGGTCAAGTAAACCATATTTGAGATACTACTCCGGAAATGAAATGCCCGTACAAAGGCAGACACAAGCCGTGGTAGGGGAAAATGGTAACGGACTGCAGCACTGCTGTCGTCCTGTCGCCCAGAGTTCATCAGAATCGCACTTGCATTGATGGAAATTGCGCTATCATTGTGCGTATCCATAGTTCCCGATTGCATGCAGCCCCTGACGCTGTATGTCCAAATTATAATGTAGAGGAGAGTACTGGCCGTATATGAAACACACTGACTCGAAGCTCGTCGTTCCTGGATGGAGTGTAAACGTGGTGGTGTCACGCTTACTTGTCACAACTTGCAGTAGGAGGACGGATCTGCAGCGACGATCGAACGAGTGTGAACAATACTCGATATTCATGCGCATAAGTCTATCTCCATGCGATTCTCCCCTTTCCGTGATTTCTGTACAGGTAGTATGTCAGCAGCGAATGGAATTAACTTAAAACATCTGCACCAACCGTCTCTGAGAACGACTCTTGGGAGCTGGCAGGGGTCAGTACGGTTCCCTGCAGGTTGTTCGGCTCGAAGGGGTCCACTGATAGCGATACGCGATTGTTAATTGATGGCGACAGCACCTTGCGCAGACTGCTCAGTAAGCCGTGTTCCTCGGACAGGTCCTTGTAGAATATGTGATGTTCCTCGCCATCGCTCCCCCGATGCACAAGGTCGCGGTTATTGAGGCTGATGAGGACGGTGTTCGCATATCTAGATAGTATGGCTCAGATAGACGCACTTGTGGAATTGGCGCGACTCACAGTTTGGGCAGGACGAGGATTCTTCGTGAAAGAAGCCTCAGTGCATACAGGTCACGCTATACGGGTTGTGAGACTTACGGGCAGTCAGCGAGCTCCGCTTGAACACTGAACACGTCATAAATATAGAGTGCTAACGCTAGTAATGCAACCCCAGCTGCCGACTGAATCAGTAATCATTCACTCTGTGACGGGGAGATGATTACCTGTGACCATTCCACTGCCCACAACATGTTTAACCAAGCGGTTGAGAAGGATATCTGACTCTTGCTCACCACGCCGCAACTTGCGCAGCTTAGAGGCGCCTATCAGCCTGATAGTTCAGTGCGCAAGAGGGGCTGCCGGCGCACCAGGATATACATCGCGACGGCGATGATGATGTCGACTAGAGCGCTTCCTCCCAGCCAGCCCTGCCAATATTCAGCCCACGGTGGAAGAAAACACGATGATGAACTACTTACGGCGATCGGACCGATTGATCCGTTCAGCAGCACTACATTTTGAGCATCAAACTATGGTGTGCAATGTCATCGAGGTATAATTGCAGACACTGTTGATATTCTCACGGGTGAAGCACCTGTGATGCCGATGCTGCCGATGCATCCACAGACTAATTGACCGAGAGCGAGCTATGTGAAAAGGTAAGTCTCGAGTCGTTGGCAAACAAGAATCGAATGGGACAATACAAGAACAACGACGCCTGCGAGGATAAGCAGCTTCCTGTTTGACAAGAGCCACATTCGCCATGCGTAGAACACCTGCACCATCGCAGCGATCAAAGCAGATAGAACCGGAATTACAAAATAGAAGATTGTTGACGAGACTTCATAATATGTTGGGGAGACAGCATTATCCAGGAGTAATGCGAAGACTGCCATGGAGAGAAGGATTGTGAAAACCCATTCCGCGCAAAAAAGTATGTACACTGGAATCGTTGAAGAATGCTTTCAGTGCAGGGGTCTGGTTGAATAAGTGATCAATTACCGTAGCATCGAACCCAAGTCGTGTCCTTATGACCGGAGATGTGATAGAAATCTGCCATCACGTTGAGCAAGAACCTGGGGCGTAAGCGAATACATCATACACATCTGGACACATAGGGCTCCGTGAAGGCCCCAGTTGAGGAATACGCCAACAATCTGAAAGGTTGTTGAGCGACCTGCCCACGACTATAATCAGGAAACAGGTCTGACAATGGGTCCAGTGCTGTAACGACAATCAATTTCAACAAGACGCTTCAGCTTTCGGTAAGTGATACTCACATCTCTGGGTCGGCACTCATTTGAATGGAACTGCTTAAAAGATGAGATGGTCTCTGGGAGGAATGCTTCTTGTGTCAGAACATTTTATAACGCAGTCCCAAGGTTGCCAAACTTAAATCCAAGTATACCTTGCGGAAGCATTGCAGAGTTTGTTTCAGGAGTCGATCTGTCAGACCTGTCATTTATCAGGCTTGGACGCGCAGGTTGACATGATCACTTGAGCGCCCACTTAAGACACAGACAAACCTCGAACTTCATCGTGTTGATTAACTGCGTTCGACTCCCACAGGGCTGTGGTTGTGTGGCGCTCGAATGCTAGAGACGCATTACGGATTTTTGTGCTCTCACGTCAGGCGGATTCGTCCAAAGATCTTCACCTGCCTTTGAAAAGGTCTCGACGGGCGTCGCGCAAGAAGATAGGCGACAAGGGTAAAGTTGTCGACATCCCGAACTAGCCTGGAACACGAGCATGATTGACTCTCATTCGCACATGAGATGGATTGCGAATCCGATAGAATAGTTTCGCAGCAAGATCGACGGATAACATGGAACGTAGTGAAGGTCTGCAGCATTCACCCTATGCCATCGGCCATTCGGTGAACACACCTTGGCCAAACCTGAAGAAACTGATCGTGCCTGCGTCGACGGCGGCGATGACGACCATCTTCTTCCCCGATTTCAACGCAAGGAATGGATTGGGATTCCGAGGCGGTGTCGATTTGGCAGGTGACGCGAATGCCCAAGGGAACAGCCTCTGAAGCAGAGGCTGCTCTACATCAGGTGCTGGAGCCACAGGGGATTCAGCGGCCATCGCCATCGCCTTTTGTTGTGCGAACGACACGCGTTTGCGGGGGACCGGAGGGGGGAGCTCGGGAAGCACATCGAAGAGCGCTGCTAGATCTGTCAATGAAGGCATGGGCGTTGTTCGCGCGCTGGGAAGAACAGGTCAGCGAGGAGAAGTAGATGAGCTGTGGGGACTCACTTGACGACCACCACAGAAAAGTCTGGGGCGGGCGGTGCGGTCTTTTTAAAAGGCGTCGACGGTTTATACAAATTGTAAAAGATTTCGTACTGCGAGGGCGCGCATTTAGGTGATGTTTGCACACGCAGTGGGATGTGGTGACCGGCTGGGAGGAATCGCAGCGATCGAAAAACGGATCCTAAGATAGATGAGTTATGGTGTGGATAACGAGAGATGGGCAAACATACTGGAGTCTAGGTTGTGGTGCAGCCAGCGACCAAGTCGTAACGGATTCCACCAGTCGATCCTCGGGTAGAAGGCCTGCAATATTCTGCGCATGGTGGAATGAAGAGCAGAGTGTAATCTCGTGAGGATTGATGGTGGGCGGAGACTGTAGGGCGGAGGTGTTGGATAATCAGGGGATGGTGGTTTGGTACGCGTTACTACGTATCCGAGTCGTTTCAAGTAGGCGAAGACCTAACATTATGCATGAGTAAGGAGTGGTTGAGCTGAGGGGCTACAACGTACCTGATATTTTTCCAAGGTCAAGTCTTCTGTGCCTACCATCTCAGCAAACGCCTGCTGAACGGTCATGGGGACACCTTCAACGTCCTCTAGTCCAGGAGTCTCGGATAAAGCCAGTTCGGACGCTTTCCAACAAAGCATCGCGCCTCGCTCTACCAGGTAGAGTGCTTCTTCTGGAAGCAATTCGAGTCTCTTTTGGATCTTCGTTGCTCCATCTTGAATGGACGGTGCGCGCGCGACTGAGTGCCCCATGGTTGCGAAATGGATTCCCCGATTTAGTGTGACATGACCACGCGCGATCTCGGGATGCCAGACAGCATAGCTGATAGACTTGCTGAAGAATATATTAAAAAGAAACTTTTATATGACCGTGAAGTAGAGCGCACTTAGAGATGGTCCGAGGCGCCGCCAAGGCATCAAGCATAGCACTCCGAGCGCGGTCCAAGACATGACGCTGTAGACCAGAGCCACCTGCCGCGATGGGCTCAAACTCTTTTTCTCCTCTCTTTGGGATAACAGGACGTGCGACGCTGAGAGCGCTATGGCATGGTCAACACATGAACGAGCTTAGATACGCCAAACACATACGGTATTTTCGTCCAGTCAGGTCCTTGATCCTCCTCACCTGAGGATTGTTCGTCTTCAGTGTGCTCCTCCGGATCCGTGGGTTGTGACGCTGCTGTTGGTTTTTCTAAGCTGTCGTCCATCGTAATATTGTGTTGGTCCAGGATCGTGATGAATGGGAGACAACTCGAAATGAAAGCTAAATCTCGGAGATTGACTCGCCATAGGCGCGCGTCGATCAGTCCTAGAAAGTATGGGCGGCCTTACTCGGGACTCACTCACTCCCATTTGTCACTAGTACTACTCTACGAGCTCAATTTACAAACGCGGGCGTGCTTCCAGGTTCTGGGATCCTCAGACACCATGTCGTCCTCGCAAACAAGTCCCACATTTTATCAGTCGCTTGTGGTGCGCGTGCCCATCCTCCATACAACGGTCGCGTGTGAACAGACCGACAGGCAGGTGGACTTGCGGGCACATCCGTAGACTTGCTCTTTTATCCCATTGACACGATCAAGACTCGCCTGCAATCCTCCCAGGGCTTCGTGCGTGCAGGAGGATTCAGCGGCATCTACAAGGGTGTTGGCAGCGTTGTTGTCGGGAGCGCACCTGGAGGTATGCATCAGCCTGCCGCCATCTTGCTGTAATCTTAATGAGGATTCATAGCCGCTGTATTCTTCTGTACGTATGACACGCTGAAGCGTACCTTACCCTTTTCGTCCGATTTTGCACCCGTCACGCACATGGTCTCTGCGTCTGTAGGCGAAGTTGTACGAACGTCATCGCTCTGACCTCGTCGCCATCTGACCTATGCAGAACTCTGCTAGGCAGCATGCTTGATTCGTGTCCCTACAGAGGTCATCAAGACGCGCATGCAGACCTCCACGTACGGCGACCTGACAAGATCATCTCTGGCTGGCGCCAAACGCGTGCTGGCCGATGAAGGGATTCGCGGATTCTACAGAGGGTTCGGTACGACCATCATGAGAGAGGTGTGTTACGTCCCCTCGGGCGTTTCATGTAAGATGACGCGAAAAAACAGATCCCATTCACATCTCTGCAATTCCCGCTGTATGAGCTGCTCAAGTCTAAGCTGTCCAAAGCTCTGGGGAACAGAACCTTGCACGCGTACGAGGCCGCAGTTTGTGGTAGTTTCTCTGGGGGTGTCGCAGCGGCGCTGACTACCCCGCTGGATGTCCTGAAGACTCGCGTTATGCTTGATATGAGAGTGCGTAGACCTTCTGCTAGTGGCGAGACAAGACTTAGTTTCATGCGCGCGTAGGATCCTTCGAAGCAGAGCATGCCATCGATACCTGCTCGACTTCAACAGATCTACGCCACAGAAGGTATGCGAGCATTATTCGCGGGTGTCGTCCCGCGCACGCTATGGATCTCAGCCGGAGGCGCTGTGTTCCTCGGTGTCTACGAATGGGCAGTCCACTCGCTCATGAGAGCATAGAAAATTAGAATCATTACTGCAGCCTAGAGATATACCAAGGTATCTACCGTACATGGGTATCGGCAACTTAATGTACATCTGCATGATACAGCTTCTCACTAACAGCATTATCCACTCCGCCAGCAGATTCATGCCTTGGGCGCAGACCCGAGACGCAATATGACGCGAGGCAGCTTCTTCGGCTGCACTCCCTCTTCAGGGATATCTGAAAGAGACGAGAACGAGCTTCCGTCGGAGCTTTCAACCAGGGTAGTGGACTCGGGCGATGATGCCTTCCCAGGACCGTTCTTCTTCCGATCTTTCGCAAAATTCGTCCTTTTGTCCGTGCCACTCTTGTGCGGCGACACCTCCGGATCGGAATCTGCGCTCTTAACAGGTGGGTTCTTCCGCTCACGGAGTGTGCGAGATGATAGCGGAACGGATGCGCGCGAAGACGTAGTTGGTGCGACCGTGTGGGACGAGTCGATAGATGCAAAGACCTCCAATGTACGACCGATCCAGGGCGCCGGGGCGCTCGGCTGAGATACTCTACCTCCCCGTCTCTTCTTCGTCGCTTTTTCCAGCTGGGGAGAGACGAGTTGTTGGCATGTAGTCATCTCGAGGACTGCACGAGTGGCTCACCTCAGTCAGATTGTTGAGACTCCACCAGCTTTCATCTACACCGACAGGGTCGACGAGGCCAATCAAGTGGGCCATCGCTCCGCTTGTCAGCGCCCTGTCGCTGTACCCACCCTCCAGGACACTGATCAGTCGCCCGCCAGAGAATCTTTCAGCGAACTTGATCGTGTCTTGGGCGAAGCGCTTGTAAAATGAGGTCGGTACATGTCGCCCATGTCGCGACATTGACGGATACTCATGCTCACTCGCGTCGAAACCGCAGCTGTTGGTGATGCAAGTGTTACTGTCGATATACAAAAGCATGAATCGATGCCTGCACTAACCTGATGAAGACCAAGACGTCGTCTCCTGCACCCCCAGTACCTTCCAGAAACGCACTTGCCCTCTCGCGTAATTTCACATATAATCCATCGTACAATTCATCCCAAAATTGCTGTTCAGACTCATAGGGTTGGAGGTGTATGTTCTCGATGTGTTGGCCGTGCGGACCATGGATCGAAACTGAGGCTGCTTGTACTAACTCAGGCTTGCCGTCCTGACAAACAATAGTTCCAGATTTAGACAATGTGGCCTCAAATTCAGCGGGGCCGTTTGACGCACCTCGCATGGATAGGAGAGCACGTCATGGATGCTGCCATAAAACATTCGCAGACCAGGCTTGCCCGCAGGCGCACCATGCATTTCCTCGATGGTTTTCCTGTACGTTTCCTCATTGATTTGCCATGCAATCGACTGTGTGCCGTTTCCTGCAGCCTTGTTCAGCATAAATTCTTTCGGTATAGACTTCGTGCTTACCATGATGCAGGTCTATGTCGAAGACGACGACACGATTAATTCCGTGCTGTAGGTGGGCTAGGAGCTTGTTCAGCTTCCCTGGGCAAAAGGTTGGTAGTGTATCTCACCGTGGGCTGCTGCAACACCAACATTATTGACGAAACAGAATCCAGATGGGGTATCCTGTCGAGGCGTTTATGGTGGCTCTGGGATTTAACATGGCAGACACGCCTTACCTCTCCACAGTGATGTCCTGGAGGTCGTACTGCGACAAACGCGCGCGGCGTATTCGCTTTGTCGGGATCTGGTGCCGCTGCACGCCGCGTGGAAGCTACCACGGCATCAACAGCTTCACACACAGTACCCAATGCGCCTTGAATTGCGTCTATTGATTCAGGACATACTGGTACAGGGTATCGGCAAACGCGTCAAAAAGTGTAACAAGTATACATACAGTACAGGTCTCCCTGTGCAAGCGTTGCGGGAATCTCGCTTTCACCCTTTGACACCTTCTCATGGCTCTCTTGTGACCATCGCTTGAGATTCTCAAGATACACGTCGCCTTCGATATCTCCATGGATGAACTTCACCGCCGCGTTGTGCAGCAAGTCCACTTTCGCGCTACTGTGCACGAACTCAATAGGGTCTTGAGGGTCTTTAGGACGCGACGAAGATGCAATATTGAGTTGTCCAAGAGCAGCGGCCAAGTCGTCTGCGCTCGCTGGTTCGCCGGTTTGTTGTGCTGCACTACGGGCGTTTGAGACAGGAGTACATTCTTCCAAACGAGAGACGGCAGCCGCGAGGCCGATATTGACCGCGCGTAGTCGTTCGGGCCGCTCGACTATGCAGGAAGTATCGCGTGAGCGAATATACTGGTGTTGTAAACACGCCTTCTGTAGGTACACAGCCGTCTTCTGGGCGGTTAACGGGTGCTCAAGGTTAGTAGCAATCATGCTGAGGGGGTAGAAATTTGAGACGAGGACGCTATCGAGAACGAGATGTCGAAGTTGAACCAGAGCCACGGTCGAAACTATGAGGCGCGGTTATTTTACACCTGATAGCATAGTAGCATTGCCTGGACTAAGTAATCTTCAATAATCTGAAAAGGCTATCATTACCCGTAACCCCGTATTACTCCACGCGCTTCCCCACCCATAGCTCGCTTCCTTGACCAGCGACCACTGCCTCGTCTGTTCTGCTTCTCGAGGCTGATTATCCTGGTCGACCTGGGGTATTCTCTGCAAGGGCCGCGTGCATTTAGTTGCCGGGCTTTCTGAAGTTCTCATCATGGATCTCTATCCCAACGCCATAGGTAGCCCGACCGCCTTGTCGGGTGGCGTACCTCTCCAGAACGTCGGACAAGACGTTGGCACCCAGCCGCGTCTAAACGATGCGAGAGCTACTGTCGACTCTGCTGCTTGTGAACCCATTGTTCAGTCTATCTCGCGCAATGTCCAGTCTGTTGCCATAGACCCTGTACTCAATGACGATGAAGACGATGATCTGCCCCCTCTGGCCTCGGATTCCGAGTCTGAATTGGGCGAACCTGAAGACGTTGATAGCCATCATAGTGACGATAGCATGCCGTCCCTTCAGACTGTGTCGGACTCATCTGACTCTGACTACAACCCTGCCGCGTCAGACTTGGACGAGCCGGAAGACGAGCATGCTGAGGAGAGTCGCGAGAATGTCACAGCCGCTGCATCCAATGCTCCCGCTAATATTGCAGTACCTGAGCCGCTCGACAGCGACGAGGCCTACGACGATGACGAGGAGGAGGACAGTGAGGTGGATGATAGCGACGATTACGATGAATGGCAAGATGATGTTTACGAGGAGACAATGGCCATGCAGGAGGCACAGGAGGTAAGTCGACTTCCGTGAGGCTTCCTCTCATTTGACATTGGTCTCCCAGATGCTCGCAGGCGGTACCCATATAGCGGAGATGCTCGAGATTCTCGGCCGTTTGCGACCAGCCGTTGACAACGATCCCCTACGTGCGGAGACCTTGCTTGAAGGCCTGGAGGAAGTGTCTCACGACCTTGTCAAGCGGTACGAGAAACTCCGCGGTGGACTGGACGACGACAACGAGGGTTGCGCCATCTGTCGCGATGAGTTCGTAGACGATGTCGCCGCGGATCCGCTAGAGCCTGCAAAGCTCTCAGACGCTGTTCTTACCAGTGTCCTGTTCGAAGCACTTCCATTCCACCCGCCACCGTGTACCATACTCGCATTCCCTTGTCTTGGCCGGCATCTGTTCCATAGTAATTGCCTTGCACCCTGGCTGGCGCGCAAGACGACGTGTCCCTCGTGTCGGTTCGACATTGATCCGGACTCCCTCACACTGCGGACAGTGACCGCCTCATCGCAATTGATCGACGAACAGTTCGACACGCGGAAGCTATGGGAGCCTCCGCGGGTCAGCAGTTTTGCAACTTGGATAGAACAGGCGGAGCTGGCTCGCGAGAGAGAGGCCAAGGGTATTCCCATAGTGAAGGCAGTTCCTGTTGGTGAGTATCTGGTCCGGCGCGAGTGGTGCAACGGTTGTGTGCTCATGCACCCCTGCTGTAGACCGCGAGGTTGATGATTGCCCAGCTGATGACGAGCGGGAAGACATGTTCCACCCCCCCTTAGCTGTGCCAAATCAGCATAACGCTGACGCTATCAGGCATTCGGGGGATGTCTCTTCGGGGCGCCAACCCCCTTCAACACCGTCAGCTCCCACGACAGACGCTGCAACATTCCCTGGGTTCCTCCCGTCTATTCGCCAGGGTCGTATGGAACACATAATGGCAATGCTGGGCGTAGAAACACCGTCTAGTCGAACAGCGATGGACCTGCACGACTCAATGCTGGAAGACGTGATGCGCGCTCTGCGCATGGGGCGTGCGAGTGTGGCCGGCATGCGTCCGCCGCAAGCTCGTCCTCAAGAGGATCCGCGGACGGACGACTTGCTTTCTCAAGCTCCCGTCGATATCGACTGAGTATATTGTGATTACTACCATATGCCCACTTTTGCTCTTTTCATTCAAGCATTTCCTTGATCTGCATAACGGTTTGCCCGTTGGAGGACGTTACTCCTGCCGAGTGTTATAAAGATGTCATAAACCAATGTACAGTACCCTGCATACACTACACCCATATCGCTCAGCAGAGCTAGTCCCTTTGTCCCTGGAGCAATAGATCATCGCTGCGAGTAGCCAAATGACAGTTGCACGGCATGTGAGTGTTCTCTATATTACATCTGCATACATTCGGAGCGGCTAGAAACCAATTTACAATTACATATACATCAGCAAGTCGCTTGAGATCGTCAAGTCGTTACGTCGTCATGAATAGCTACAGGGTGTGCAACTTGTCGAGAAGTATTGCCCATTCAACAACGGTCATACCCCTTTTTAGTGCCTGCTCCTTGACCTCCCGATTTCGCGTCTCTTCGCTGAGCTTCGCGATGGCTCGAAGATGTTCCATCCTTTGAATGCCGAGCTCGGTCAAGATGGGCAGGAGGTGGACGAGAGAAGGCTCGCAGGAAGAAAGAATTAGTTCTGCAGGCGAGGTGAACCCTGTCTTCTGTCCGTTGGGGACGTCCCCCATGTCGATGGGGATGGATAATCTTGTATTGGCCGGTGACATCTGCCGCTGCAGCGGCTTTGGACTGGTCAAGCTCTCTTCGCTTCCCCCGCTGCGGGGAGGTGTTTGCGGGTAAGACATCATGAACTAATAGTGGAATGAGGTACAGACTCGATGTCAGTTTGGATGCCCACGAAAACATACCCGCGTCGAGGCATACCTCAGTCCGATCCAGGGAAAGCCTGCCAGACGCACGTCGGCGACCAGGGAGCGTTGCCCGACTTCCTATTTGTGAGCTCTTCGGGCTCATGGGCGCATAGCCCATGCCAGACGCCAGCATGGGGAGCGTGTTTTCGTACATTGGTATGGGGTAGCCACCCTTCGTTGGCTGGTGATATGCTACCATGTACTAGCCGCCAGCGGCATAGTTAGTCTCAGCACTCAGACGAGTGCAACAAAGACAACACCTCACCTCGCTGCGTTCGTACGATGATATACCGGTCTTTTGCATTTCCAATCCCCTTCGAGAGTCCCCCCTTGACACACTGCTAACCCCGCCCAGCCCATCACTGATGATTCTCTTCGTCTGCACATTCTCGGACGACACTCTGCGGTGTGTGTGAGGATTCGCACCGCTTAGCATATCGTCCTCGAGGGGGTTGCCGTCGCTGCTGCTCTCTGCAACGCGCTCGCGCCAGAGCGAGATCGTCCGGTTCGGCCCGTCCTCCACCACCCTCGATTCGACTAGTTCCATCTTCCCCTGCCTTCCACTGACCTTCCTGGCATTTTCAGGCGTAGCTGCTCTCCCTCCGCGCTGCGAGCCTCGTCCGAGCTCACTGCCGTAGATATTGCGGTTCGCCCGTTTGAGTGCCTCCGCAGCGGCCTTCTTCTCTGCAGCCTCGCGCTCGCGCTGGTCCTCACCGCTCAGCTTCCTCTCCATCTCGTTCACGTAGTTCTGATAACCGCTAATCGACTCCTCGTAGTCGCGTCCTCGCCGGATGACGCCAAAGTTCCATTCTGTGGGTGCTTCGGTGGTCATCGCGTCAAAATTGTCGTCGAGCGCGACGCTTGTGGGGGGACGAGGTAGGCGCCGTGCTGACCGCTGAAGAGTGCCGTAGGGGGTGCGTGGTTGGTACATTCCGGAGTCTGCGTCAAGGTTGCTGGATGAATGGAGAAACTGAGGGGTATGTGTTTGTACGAGACATACCGCTAGTACTCATGCTTGTGCTATCTGATAAATACATGGTCGGGTCAGCGTGCTGTGGAGTGGCTGTTAGCTTGCGATAGCTGGGGAATGCCCATGGCCCATCGACCTCTGGATGGGTACACGGTGGCTGGAGCGCCATAAACAGAAAACACGCATATGCAGCGTGTTTTGACACGTGCCCGTTCTTCCTGATCATGCCCGAGATGCATCGCATCAGCTCGATCGGGGTTTCCTGATCCGCTTTCGCTCTTGCAGCCGATCGGGACGTGTGTGAGCATCGTTTATCACACTTTCCACATTTTGGTAGAACATGTTGTGGTTCATAACATACACACTCAACGTGTGGATGCAGGACATCCTCAGCGATGGACCCGTTCTCTTGCAAATGTTAGCAAAGATAGCATTCCGAAAACAGCGGCCACTCACCCGAAACTTGGTTTTCCAATCCAGGTCTGCGATTACCCACGGAGAGACTTCGTGTCTGACAGGGCCCCACGCGTCATACGATGTGAACGAGGCGTAAGGGTAGGAAGGGTATGATACGCGCCCGTCCCACCTAAACGGAGCATCTCCGGGGCTGTGATAAACGCAATAGAACTTACTTGCTGCACTCCGACACAGTAGCATTGACGCATCTGATCCAATGCGCAGATTTGCATTCAATTCGAGAGAAACATCCGTGCCGGTTGTCCGGAGTGCGTGTGGAAAGCATAAGACTACATGCAGATGTGTGAGAACGAGTGCTGTAACATCAAGGGAGTTTCATATGAGGGGTGCGATAGTGGTCTGATGGGATTGAAAGGCGACTATTAGTGGGAACGCTTCGAGATAACAGAATACAAGCTCACGAAGGTGAATTCAGCGACTTCGAAACTTGTTCGATCACCACACGGACGGGCTGCAGATCGCTTCCCTGCCAGGATTGTCCCCATGCGAGGATGACCTTCGCGTAGTCGATGTATGCATGATAGAGAGCGATGTGTCTGCGATTGGCACAGTATCGCGATGTCGTGAAGACTGAGGTGACCTCATGAGCGAGCCATCCAGGACAGGAAGTTGAATCGATTCAAGTGAGAGCGACAGCGGGCTTGGTGGGACTTTCTGCCCGAACGAGTGAGGCTTTTCCTTGGAACTCGGCGAGCTTGCACCTAATTGAAGTATTGCAGCCGCACGCTTGCACACTTTCTTTGGACTGTAGATGGGCCTCGGTATGGCAGGGGATTGACCGCCGCGCAGAAATCGACACAGCCGACGAGACGGTGACATATAAGGATCATGGCTGTTTTCAACCTCTATGGAGCATGGTTAGTGGGATATCCGGACGGAAGAAGGCCAGATATCCAGTAGGTCACCGTCATAGATCTCTTTTTGGTCATCCAAGCTAGGGCATCTCTCCACATCTTGCTGAAAGACAGACGGCTGCGCGCGAATGTTCCGCCTTGCCTTGCACCACCCGACTAACTTGAGAGTTAGGGGTACGCCCCATACAACATACCAAATAAAGACAATCACTGCCGCTGGATAACAAGCCAGGAAAAGGCTCAGGGACCGCGCAAGCGAGCATGAAGATACTCACCGACGGTGAAGATGTCTATGAGACATAGCGGGAACCCATGTGTTACGGATTTGCATTTCCCTACATTCATGTCATTGCGAGCGAGAAATCTAGAGGGCATCTCGTGCGCTCAAATCGTTTAGAGAGGGAGATATCGGCAAGGAAGTAGCAAATCGACAAGCTGAGAAGCTCAAGGCCTGAGGTAGATGCAAGACCTAATGCAGCACGGTTGTTCACCTCCGAGTCTAGCGTATCATCGTTGCGGCTGACGACCGTCCAGTTTCAAACACATCCATTGTCGAAGCAACAGCTACAAAATCAAGCTGCAGTGGTGATACTGGCTAATAATGCGGAACGTGCTTGTGCCGAGGAGGGCACGCGCCGTGCGGGCCACAGCCGCAGACGCGTTATAGTGGCACGTGTCACGCGTCACGCGTCGGGGTATATAAGCATTGACGCGACTTGTTGAATGGCTATCAACGCCTTGCTTCCCGCGCCCATCTAGCTTCTCATCCCTACTCCCCCGCCACACTAAGTCCCCCGCACTCACTGAAATGGCCCGTACCAAGCAAACCGCCCGCAAGTCTACCGGAGGAAAGGCTCCCCGTAAGCAGCTCGCGTCTAAGGCTCGCAAGACCGCGCCGGTGAGTGCCCAGAAGTGCCACAATGACTCATCCCGTTAGATGCTCATCCTTCTTTGCGAAGCCTACCGCTACCGGTGGTGTCAAGAAGCCCCATCGTTTCCGCCCCGGAACGGTCGCTCTTCGAGAGATCCGTCGTTACCAGAAGTCGACTGAGCTGCTGATCAGGAAGCTCCCCTTCCAGCGGCTCGTCCGTGAAATTGCGCAGGACTTCAAGGTTTGTGACGGCTCTTCTCCGCTCTTGTTATCGACGACGATTGACCTCTCCTCTTAGACTGACTTGCGCTTCCAATCGTCCGCCGTCATGGCTCTCCAGGAGGCCGCTGAGGCTTATCTCGTGTCCCTCTTTGAGGATACTAACCTTGCTGCCATTCACGCGAAGCGTGTTACGATGTACGTTAATAATGTGCGGTTGGAGGTCTCGTACTAATGATTGTCTGCAGTCAACCCAAGGATTTGGCCTTGGCTCGTCGTCTCCGTGGCGAGAGGAGCTGAATGCATTTCGCTCATGCCGACATTGAGTCCTTGTTTGATGGCGTCTTTATTCTTATCTCTTCAATGTTGCGTGTACGACCGTTCTCCCGTGGACCTTGGTCATGTAACACCAGAAGTATCTCGTTATACTGTTTTCTCCTTGATATGAACTGTAGCCTCGGTCTTGGTAATGCATTGGTTCCCGGAATAAACAGCATCCGGCTAGTAAGTTTCGCAGAATAGCCAAGTGCAAGGTGAATATAGTACACAGGGCTTGATGTGCATGACATCATAGCCTCTAGGTTGAAAACTTGGTGAGTGGCTAAGTGGAAGACCGTTGGCCAGGGTCAAGCAGGATTGAGAGGGTGAAGAATGCTAAGCCAAGCGTTATCCCGAGGCCCAACAGCGCCAGGAAAGCACGCTGAAAGGAACTAGACGGTGTACAGCCATGCGTCGTTACGTTGAATGTTTAGCGGGAATGGCAGCTGCGCGGCGAATATCTAGCGTCGTAGACATGGTCGTTGGGGTGGGTGACAGGAATTGGAACCTGGCTGGCTCTAAATTAGCATCCAATCCTAAAACAGGCAAATTTAACTGCCCAACTTATGGGCGTATAATAGCAATCGGCGCTTCTGCTTCAGGTCCTTGTCCGAGATTTACTGCGCCATGATGAAAGACAGCACATTCCTCCTGCCAGTCGTTACTCTGGGACGAGACCTGCATCTACTCTGAGACGAGACCTGCATCTACTCTGAGACGAGACCTGCATCTACTCTGAGACGAGACCTGCATCTACTCTGAGACGAGACCTGCATCTACTCTGAGACGAGACCTGCATCTACTCTGAGACGAGACCTGCATCTACTCTGAGACGAGACCTGCATCTCAGCAGATTCGCAAACTACGTGATGCTCATACTCGACCCGACATGCACGTTCTTTGCACCTTGTAGTACGCTCGAACACCCATGCTGATATCTGCGTCGCTTCGCTATATATTGAACTTATAATGGCGATGGTTCTGCATATTTCGGGTCCTTATACACTGCCTGGTAATCACTTGGCAATGCTAGCATCAAGCAACAAACATACCGTGACCTACCTCGTACGCGTTCAAGACATGGTACATGCGCACAGCATATGCTCTCATCTGCTCTGCTCTGTCTTTTCTTTCGAGCATCCTTGATAGGTCACCCAGCTCAAGCCTCAATTGCTAATAGGGCATGCGCATACAATCGTTCCCGGGCACTGCTAGCTTCCTAGCGGGAATCAATTGACTTCACGCCACAGCCTCCAGATCTTATGCCGTGCCCGCGCTAGTGCGTCCAGGACCCCAGGTCGTCAGATAAGGATATCCGTAGCCCGCGCAGGTTGAAGGAATTATCTACTCTGCTCACAGGAGACTACCCAGGTCCGTCGCGTGCACCCGCGCCCATCCAATCTTCGCTATCTCCTCTGTTTACCACAGCAGAGTATAAGCGTGCGGGCACGTCGCTAATGGCTGCCGTCAGGATATGCCACCCACGACATCTGCCGCTCGCCGCCGCATCGTGTCTCCGGCAGTGCCGGTGAGTCCTGGCGCTCACCGTGGCCGTCTATCTCATGTTGTATATGGTTTTCTGGTCCTCTGTGTGGAGTTTTCAATCTCTGTCCGTGACGTCTCATATCTATCCCGTTTGCTGGCTTGCTCACGAATACCACATTGAATGGGAGGGGATGCCGTTCGGAGTTTCACCCTCTCCGGACCCAGGCCTCAGGGTGGGTGCGCCACTAGTCACGATAATCTGCTCAGGAGCGCCGAGCCATGTGTGTAGCTGCAGCGCATCTTCCCGACATCGGGTTGAACTGACTGATAACCTTTCGATGAAACAGTCATGCCCAACGGGGTTGCAACGGCACGTCGAAATTGGCACCAGGAGTGATTAAGATGTGGAGCGCAAGCGAATACGGCTCCGCAGTTTCTCAACTTCGCTCATTGACGTGACATAGCATTGGCCGCCCGCTGTATGATGTTTATTTTTATTCACGTTTCATAGCTACGCGATTGCACCCACAGTCCTCCACGATAGCTTTTAGCAGTGGATGCACGACATCCATTCAGCACAATTTATTCTTGTTCCCTTGCCCTCTTACGTGCCGTCTTCACACCCCTTCTATTCAAGCGTCCCATCCTCCAACACCTCTGTTGCCCATCGCGTCCGCACTTGTGTCACCGCACCCATCTCTTGAACGATGCAGGCATCAGACCCTATACCACCGCAACTGGGTGTCCCTTTTGCAACGAGCTATGCTGCATTGACTGTCGCCGCTGTGACGCTGCTCGCTGCTCTACTGGTTCACGAACTCTCTGCGTACTCAAAGCGGCGATCTATGCCGCCAGGGCCGTTCCGCTGGCCGCTGATAGGAAACGCCCTTCAGATGCCGCAAATCCATCCATGGCTCACGTTCTCACGCTGGGCGCGTGTGTACGGTATGTAACATGCATTTGGTGTGAAGAGTATCGAAATACAACGATACATCCACAGGCGACATATTTTACCTCGACGCTCTCGGTCAGCATATAGTCGTGATCAATAGCGCTACGGTTGCGCGGGAACTGCTCGACAGGCGATCGTCCATCTATTCCGGGAGACCGCATCTCGTATGTGCTGTGTCATTGTGCATGATAGTTCATGCTCATGCATCGTTTAGACCATGGTGGGAGACCTGTTAGTACATTCTCCCTTAGGGCGGGGCAGTGCTGCGTTTCTTTCATGCGGCGTGCTGCAAATGTTTTATAAGGCTAACGTTCACGTAGCGCAGGGTATGACAGGATGATCGTCATGCAACCATACGGCGATGAATTGCGGCAACAGCGACGGCTTATATCGCAGACCCTCAGCACCTCCACTATTGGGCAATACTACGACATTCAGGAAGCAGCAGCTCGCCGACTCGTACTCGGGGTCATCGATGATCCTAGCTCTCTCGAGGGCCAGATTAAAATGTGAGATGCTATTCTACCAGACTCCAACAATGCTGAGGTATGTTCTATTGGGCAACGTCTAGGAACATAGCGAGCATAATCATGCTCGTGACGTACGGCTACACTGTCAAGGGCACGGAAGACGTGTTCTTTGGGAGGGCGATCGAGATCATGGACAACCTTACCCTGGCAGCAAGGCCTGGAGTATGGTTGGCGGATATGATTCCTCAGCGCAAGTGATTTTCGGACTGCTCTAAACCTTTCACGCTGCTAAACCATACGCTAGTCAAATATTTTCCATCGTGGATGCCGGGGCTTTCGTCCCTCAAGGCAGCAGAAGCGTGGCGCAAGCTACTTCATACGACTAATGGAATGGTGTACCAGTGGTGCAAGGAGAATTCGGTCAGACGAATCCTCACGCTCTTTCTGGAGTAATAGTGACGCCGCTTGTCTCCAGGAAAACGGCACAGCGCACTTGCCTAATCTGTGTGCGTCAGTCCTGGCACAAGCAGAAGGCAAGGCGACCCTTCAGCTGGAGGAATCCCTTATGTGGGCGGCATTGACCGTTCTATCAGGTGGCCTGGATACGGTAAGTCTATTCTCTACATGTGTTGGATTGAGAGTCTCATCATAGCGCATCTAAGAATATCTCAACGATTCTATCGTTCATTCTGGCCATGCTGCATTATCCCGACGTGCAGAAGAAAGCGCAAGCTGAGATTGATGCCGTAGTGGGGAGCGGACGGCTCCCGCAAATATCGGACAAATCGTCGCTACCGTATATCCGAAGCGTGATTGCTGAGTCATACCGCTGGCTTCCCGCCACTCCCCTAAGTATATGCATTTGCGCACGCCCTCGAATTTTGTTTTGATCTTGCATTTCGCAGGTGTCCCACATGCACTGGACGAAGACGACATCTATGACGGTTCCTTCCTGCCCAAAGGCTCGATAATTATGCCGAATGTGTGGTGAGTTCAGGCCGGCTCCTCGCCTCGTTATTATCACAACGCGAACACATCTCCAGGCACATGCTACATGATCCTAAGATCTACCCCGAGCCGGACGCGTTCAAACCCGAGCGCTATGGCGGTAGCGATATCGAGATGAAGAAGGTGACAGACATCGCATTTGGATTCGGCCGACGCGCATGCCCTGGATTCTATTTCGCCGAAGGCACAATATTCTCAATCGTCGTGACCGTGCTGGCAACGTGCGACATAGTGCCCGTCGTCAACGACCATGGGCAAGAGATTATTCCCGATATCAGATATTCAACGAATGTTGTACTGTGAGTGGATGATATTCGGTGGCCTGTGCGCCGATGCCTGACTACGGAATACTGTTGTGTCTAGTTGCCCTGAGGATGTCAAATGTACATTTCGGCCACGGTCAGAGCAAGCCAAATCGGCGCTCATCGACAGCATGACCGGTGTACTCTGAAATTATTGTGTTTTTCATGTGTCGAATTGATGTCGCCGATGATGGGTTTTTATGTCTCAACTTCAGCATGGCAATCGATAGAAGACATGTAAATTGTGCTTTTGCAGTCGGAATGCCACCAAGACTATACTAGACGTATCCAAATTCTCAGCGACTTTCAATATCCACTACTTGCAATTGGATGTAATAAAACTTGAAGTACCGATGTTCGACAAGAGATACTAGTCTTCAGACATGACCGCAACAGAATGTTATTTGAAAAGACACACATAGTAAACCACACCTTGGGGTCAGTGTCAGTTCGTGACGAGAGACGCAGTCACGCTACCTGGTGGAATTACGGGACGCGCTGACCACCATTATAAACCGCTCACAGCAGCGACTGCATCAGACTCCGCCACCGCTCTTTTTGACTGGGTTTCTCAGCCTCTCGATCTTCGGCGAGCAGCTCGGAACAGAAGCAAATATGACTTCCCTCAGCTCCACACAAATCTGTTCCGGAGCGGTCAACGCACACACAAAGAGTCACACCAGTGGCAAGTTACATACCTCAAGGAACTGATCGATGTCCACCGCAGGCGACTTTGAGAACCCAGCCTCTTCAAGGACGTAGTCGTAGTCCTTGCGGTTGATCCCCGCGTAGCCAGGCAGCCCCTTGACCAGGTCCGGCACCTCGTCGTGTCGCAAGCGCGCGCGCGCCTCCGACTCGCCGCTCGCGCGGCTCTTGAAAGCCTCTCGCAGCCTGGGTGTAGCATCGTGAGGGAGTCAGAGGGACAGGACGGCAGCCTGTTCGCGACCTTCCCGCACGTGTACGTTTATCCTCTACTATGTTATACCAAAAATAACGCCCTCCCGCGCGTCGTCGACATCATGGCGGAGGAGCACGGCTAGGGCAAGGCGCGCAAGGCGGAGGAGCTCGCGAACGCGACGCTCTTTCTCGCGAGCATGGGCCTGCCCCCGGGCGCGCAGCCCGCGGCCGCCCCCGCGGAGCCGCACGGCCTGCTCGCGCGTCGGGAGCGCGATCGGCCTGGGCCCCGCCCGGAGGCGGCGCGCGGCACCAGAGATGGTGTACAGCCGCGCGCAGTTCGAGGCCGGCGGGGTGGACGCGACATCTATTGCTCGCCGCCGCATCGCGTCTCCGACAGTGCTGGTGTGTCCTGTAACTCATGCGTGGCCGTCTATCTCATGTTGCATACTGTTCTCCAGCTGCTTGACTTTGTCAACATTCCACAAACTTCGGTGTGCCATGGGTTTGAGTTCGAAGTTACAAGTCACTAGTTGACGTGTGAACTCGTCCCTGCCATCGACTCATGATAGAGTTATCGTGATATCTGGTCTGTGGAATATACAGTGTCCGTCTATGGCGTCTCATATCTGTCCCGTTTTCTGGCTTGCTCAGAGAGGGGATGCCGCTCGGAGTTACACCCTCTCAAATCTCAGGACACATGCCTCAGGACGGGTGCGCCACTCGTCGCGATAATCTGTTCAGGAACGCTGAGCCATGCGTGTAGCTGCAGCGTTTCTTCCCGATATGGGGTTGGATTGCCAACTGTAGACCTTTGGATGAGACGCACATGCCCAACGGGGTCGCAACGGCAGATGACAGGGAAAAAGAAAGGACTGACTTGGATGGACATCGTGCATCGACTGCTAAAAGCTATCGGCGGAAGACGCCAATAGCCAGGTTGAGAGATCGCGGATCCATATTCCGCTTGGAAGCCACATCGTATTCACTTCTGGTGCCAATTCCGACGTTGCGTGCTTTCTCCACACCCCTTCCATTAAAGCGTGCCATCCCCCACCTCTCTGTTGGCCATCTCGTCCGCTATCCAGTGAACGATGCAGGCACCACATCCTACACCAGGGCAACCGGGTGTCCCTTTCTCAACGAGCTATGCTGCATTGGCTGTCGCTGTGGTGATGCTGCTCGTCTCTCTACTGGTTCACGAACTCTCTGCATACTCAAAACGGCGATCTATGCCGCCAGGGCCATTCCGCTGGCCGCTGATAGGAAACGCCCTGCAGGTGCCGCAAGTCCATCCATGGCTCACATGTTCACGCTGGGCACGTGTGTACGGTACGTAACGTGCATTTGGTGTGAAGAGTATCGAAATATAGCGATACATCCACAGGCGACATATTTTACCTCGACGCTCTCGGTCAGCATATAGTCGTGATCAATAGCGCTACGGTTGCGCGGGAACTGCTCGACAGGCGATCGTCGATCTATTCCGGGAGACCGCATCTCGTATGTGCTGTGTCATTGCGCATGATACCCAGGCTCATGCTTTGTTCAGATTATGGCGGGAGACCTGTTAGTGCATTCTCCCTTAGGGTGGGACAGGGTGTATTCTCTCTGATGCGGCGTGTTGCAAATGTTCTAGCGCAGGGTACGACAGGACGCTCATCATACTGCCCTACGGCGATGAGTTTCGGCAACAACGACGGCTTATATCGCAGACCCTCAGCATCTCCACTATTGGGCAGTACCACAACATTCAAGAAGCGGCCGCTCGTCGACTCGTTCTCGGGGTCATTGATGATTCTAGCCCGCTCGAGGGCCAGATTAAGATGTGAGTTGCTCTCATATCCAACCCCGGCAATGCTGAAGCGTGCCCTGTTGTCTAACGCCCAGGAATATAGCGAGCATTATCATGCTCGTGACGTATGGCTACACAGTCAAGAGCACAGAAGACGTATTCGTTGAGAGGGCAATCAAGGTCATGGAGAATTTCACCCTGGCAGAAATGCCCGGAACATGGCTAGTGGACATGATTCCTCAGCGTAAGTCATTGGTTGGCTACTCTGAATCATCGACACTGCTTGACCATATGCTAGTCAAGTATTTCCCGTCATGGATGCCGGGTTTAACGTTCCACAAGACAGCAAAGGCGTGGCGCAAGCTACTCTATACAACCAGTAGAACGCTATACCAGTGGAGCAAGGAACACTCGGTTTGATGAATCCTCGTGCTCTTTCTGTGGTGATCAATGACACTGCTTGTCCCCAGAACAACGGCACAGCGCACTTGCCTAATCTGTGTGCGTCAGTCCTAGCAAACGCGGATGGCAAGGCGACCCTTCAGCTGGAGGAATCCCTTATGTGGGTGGCACTTGCCGTTCTATCAGGTGGCCTGGATACGGTAAGTCTATTCTCTATATGTGTTGGATTGAGTCTCACCATAGCGCATCTAAGAATATCTCAACGATTCTATCGTTCATTCTGGCCATGTTGCATTATCCCGACGTGCAGAAGAAAGCGCAAGCTGAGATCGATGCTGTAGTGGGGAGCGAACGGCTCCCGCAAATATCGGACAGACCGTCGCTACCGTATATCCGAAGCCTGATTGCTGAGGTATACCGCTGGCTTCCCGCTGGTCCTCTGGGTATGTTTTTTGCGCAGTTCTTCAGATACCGTACTAACTAAGTATCTTGCAGGCGCCCCACACGCACTTGATGAAGACGACGTCTATGACGGTTACTTCCTACCCAAAGGCTCGATAATTATACCGAATGTGTGGTGAGTCTAGGCCGCCTCCTCGCCTCGTTAACATCACAACGTGAACGCATCTCCAGGTACATGCTGCATGATCCCAACATCTACCCCGAGCCGGACGTGTTCAAACCCGAGCGCTATGGCGGTAGCGACATCGAGATGAAGAAAGTGACAGACATCGCATTTGGATTCGGCCGGCGCGCATGCCCTGGATTCTATTTCGCCGAAGGCACAATATTCTCAATTGTCATGACCGTGCTGGCGACGTGCGACATAATGCCCATCGTCGACGATCATGGACAAGAGATCATTCCCGATATCAAATATCCAACGAAGGCTGTTCTGTGCGTGAATACTATCCGGTAGCCTGTGCGCCGATGCCTGACAACGGAATGCTGCCGTGTCTAGCTGCCCTGAAGATGTCAAATGTATATTTCGGCCACGGTCAGAGAAAGCTAAATCGGCGCTCATCCACAGCACGACCAGTATACTCTGAAACACTGTGCCATTCACGTGTGTCCAACTGCTTTTATGACCCAATCTCAGCATGGCAATAAATAGAAGACATGTAAAATTGCTCAGATATGGTGCTGGACCAATGATTGTCGAGCCCTGATCTTGGGTCATGAGAGCGTATTTCATCCACCACGGAAGGGAGTCGACCAAGCAGAAGTGAACAACGGCGCCATGATATGACTATATAAAGACTGTTAGGTACCTCCCGACGCCGGTAATCACTATCTCAAATACCTTCACAAGAGTCAACCAAGAATACCAGTACGGCTACGGAACCGCATGCGCATGGTCGTGTCCTCCATCGTTAGCCCATACGTGAAGTGTTGACGGGTTTCTTCTCGCATGCAGTGATGCATACTCCAGATGAACTTGTGCGCGTCCTGTAGAACGTATCATCGCTCACTCTATACATGTTTGGACAGGCCAATAAATCAGATTGTTTGTTATGTTCCGTAAAGGTGACAGGCTTCAACGGTCCAAGAAACGAGACACATGCAAGTCCTTACACATCAAACAGGTCAAAGGACAGCTTCGTGTGTATACTCATGCTGCTATTTCCTTTGTTAGATATGACCTGTGCGTCTGGAATAAAGTAAGTCAGACCTCAGCTAATTGACCGAGGCAATCGCACCATATCGCCGTGGTCCTCGTGTATGCTGCTCAGCACCATTGAGCTCTGGGGCACCGGCGCAAACAATGCAGAAGTAATCTGCGAGCTATTGGCCGTGCCTCGATCACGAATACGTGGTGTTGCCAGATGGACGTCTTCTACGCCTGCTTTACAAAGGCGCGATTGTTCAGGGAGATAGCACGCTGTTGGAATATCTGTCACGACAGCAAGTCTGTTCGGCCGTCAAACAAGGTAGCATAAAGCGTACAGCTTGGACAAGAACAGCATCCTATGAGAAAGTAGTGAGATATGACCGCGGGTGGCACTGCATGGATATAATGGCACTCACGGACATGCGCCCAAATAGGACTCCTTAGTTCTGGTCAGCGTTGTGTGACAGGTATTCAGGGTCAACTCACTGGGAGACCCAAGACCAGCGTGAGTGTGACGATGGACACAACCGCTGAGAACAATGGCATCAGAATCTAAAGGCATCTATGTACAAAATGATATACCGGTAAGGCTTCCAGTCTCGACGACGATGCAGATCAGGCGATTGATCAGAATCTCCGTCTCCATGATTCCATTCTTCATCTTGCGCAACTGTTGCAGTACGTGGCCGTTGTCAGGCGTGCTCATCGTCACACAAGCCTGTTGGACTTACCGAGATCGTCATGAAAACTGCAATGAGGCTGTCTGCTAGTGCGCTTCCAGCCAGCCAGAGCTAGAGTAGTGTCTAAACGTCGAGCAGACATTCACGATCAGCAGCCGGAACCCACCGCAATAGTAATGTTTTCTGCACGCTTATCAGCTGCGCCGACCATCCAGGGAGATATGTTGGTCTGCAGACCTGTCAGCTGCAGCAACGCGCAGTCAATCTACCCCATACCATGCTAAGATATACAGCGGCCACAATTGCGAATCCAGTTTGGACAAAGGCAATCTGCGAGGAAATCATCAGACGAAACGGGACATACTCATGATGGTCTCGATGCCCACGAGAACAATGAGGCCTGAGCATATACGGGATCCTGAGAGCTTCAAGATCCGCCACGCGTAGAATATCTGCACAGCTCCGGACAGGACACCGCACATGGCACAGACACTGAACCAGGTATAGTATGAGCTCGGGGCCAGATGCCCCAGTGTCAGCAGATTGTCTGCTTGCTTCGTCAAGGACACCAGGACGTCTGCGGTGATTCCTGCCGTCTGTACCCACTCGTATAGACACAATGCGTAGACTGATTCGAGACGGAGCGTTAAAATGTCTGGAGAGATTGCACGAGGAAGGCACTGACCAGCTGCCTTGCATAGCAACGAATCCCGCGGGAAGCACAGATAGTAGATATCTTCAAGACGTTTTCAGCGAGAGTGCAACAGATAGGACTCTACATGATCTCACAGACTTGGGTGGTTAACGTGCATTGCAGGCCCCAGTTCAAGAGTGCGCCGAAGACCTTGGGTGGTGTGAGAATGGAAAATGGCGCGCTTTGCAAGGGTGATCACCTGCGGGACGACTCTGAAGGACGTTCTACGGTGAGTACACACTCGGTGCACCAGAGATACTTGAGCATACGTCTCCACAAACGTTTTGGTGCTGGTCATGCTGGTGTATGAAAAGTATCGCACTTACAGATAACAGGGCGCAGCTCCGAGCATCTGTGGAAGCGGTTCGGGCGTATTTCTGCAGCTGCGCAATCAGACCAATGGCTACAGCCGTCAGCCCAGCGGCTGCACCCTACTGGACTGTCAATCATGATCCTGATGGCCCAGGTGACATACCTGCTAGTTCTCACGAACGTCGACGTCCCGCGGGAAAGACTGGCTGATGCTGGACAACATGCAACCTCTACACGTTGAACTTGGGGGTATTCGTGGCGATGTTCGCTTCGTGTCAATAAAACACGCGAACCTCGAGGTGTCGCGGTTTGCTTTTCATCACCACGCGCACTGCGCAATGCGAGTACCCAAACTTACGATTTAGTAGAAGAGTTCAGATTGAGTACAATCGCCATGGGCAGTATAGCGTTTTCGATCAAAAACCGTCCGGATATTGACCAATAGGAAGGGGCCATAATCCCATGTTCGTGACGCAGCCGGCAGGTACCCGGGAGCATGCGTGGGCTCCGGAGAACGGGCCCTGAGCGCGGTGCCGGATAAGGGGTGGCAGGCGCGGTGCCAAGCGGGCCGCGGGCCGCGGCCTGCTGGGGGAGCGCATCACCATATTGCCCGCGCCCAGGCGGATTGTACCCAAAACCGGACCCCCTAACTTATCATCCCAAATGTTCAAGTCAACTCCGCTCCGCCAGCTCACCACCTCTCCGCCATTCTCTTGAGGCCTGAGCTATGTCCAGGGCCGCTACGCTGCGCCGTGCTCTTCTCTCTCGTCGCACACTCGGTGTTGCGGCGGGTGGAACGCTCCTTGCGGCGGGTGGAGGCTATTACTACCTCAATTCAGGTCCCTCCTATCCTCCGTCGACGAAGGAGACACGGAGGCCACCGCCGCCATGGACCCCCCCTTCTCGGCAGCAGATGCTCAACGGTTTGAAGGCTTCTGCAACGCAGGAGGGCGACGAGTATCCGTACGAGTATGACCTGCTGATCGTCGGCGGGGGCGCGACAGGGGCAGGTGTAGCGGTCGATGCAGCAAGTCGTGGTTTGAAAGTAGCCCTCGTCGAAAGAGACGACTTTAGTGCAGGTTCGTGCATCTTGGCTTTAGGCTTCGCTTCGAGACCTTCTGTTCCATTCATGCTCTCACGTTGTGGTGCCGCAATACGTCTCTATATTTGCACCGTGCGCATATTTGCTTCGTGACTTGGCCATAAGCACCTCGTGCCATAAATACCGCTAGCTATACCCTGTGGGGCTTCTTGACGCAAGGCGCCGCTTGTGCGACCCGTATCTCATCGCACAGCTGTACTGGCTCGGGCAAGGTATGGCAGTCTTCTGCCCCTGCCCCGCGACATCAGCCTTGTCACGGACGTGGTATGGAGCTGGTCTGCATCTCGCTTTGCATAGAGATTGTTCGAGACTGCTATGGCGCACCCATTCTAGGCCTCCTATCAGTTGGAGCCCGACGCAAAACATGGACATACATATCATTTGATGTGAGCCGATAGAAATAGCTTCAGTAGAGGTACAGTAGCGGCCCTGCAGCGCAAGGGGGAATCCAGGTCGAACTGCATCTTGTGGACCCCTTTTGTTTACAGGCCTTGCAGTGCATGTTCGCTTGCTGACACCGTCCCGTTACCATTAGGAACATCCTCAAAGTCCACCAAACTGGTCCACGGTGGCGTCCGCTATTTGCAGAAGGCCGTAATGGAGCTCGACTACGAACAATACAAGCTCGTACGCGAGGCCCTCCACGAGCGCCGCATTTTCCTGCAGACCGCCCCGTACCTCTCTGCGATGCTGCCGATCATGTTGCCAATATACAAGTGCGTCGTCCCTGGTGTGAGCACCACAATGGCTGATTCGAAGGGCGCTAGATATTGGCAGGTCCCATACTATTGGGTCGGTTGCAAGATGTACGACGTGCTCGCGGGGAAAGAAAACATGGAGTCTTCGTACTTGATGAGCAAGGGGAAGGCTCTGGAGACTTTCCCGATGCTCAACCAGAACGGGCTGGTTGGAGCATTAGTCTACTATGATGGTACACAAGATACAGCTCGCGCGCGACAACTGGCTAAGTTAGCACTCTTCCTCAGGTCAACATAATGACTCCAGGATGAACATCGCGTTGGTTATGACGGCTGTCCAACAAGGTGCGACAGTTGCTAACCACGCAGAAGTGCAGTCGCTTTACAAGGACAATGACGGCAAGCTCAACGGCGCACGCGTGCAAGACCGTCTCACCGGCAAGTCATTCGACGTCCGCGCCAAGGGCGTCATCAACGCGACGGGCCCGTTCACCGATGCCCTATTGTCCATGGACAACCCCTCGCACGTGCCCATCGTGCAGCCGTCCTCCGGCATCCACATCACGCTCCCGAACTACTACTCCCCGCGCACGATGGGCCTGCTGGACCCGGCGACGTCGGACGGGCGCGTGATCTTCTTCCTGCCGTGGCAGGGGAACACGATCGCGGGCACGACCGACACGCCCGCGGCGGTGGAGACGGAGCCGCGCGCGCCCGAGGAGGAGATCCGGTGGGTGCTGGAGGAGGTGCGGCGGTACCTGAGCCCGGACATCAAGGTGCGGCGCGGGGACGTGCTGAGCGCGTGGTCCGGGCTGCGCCCGCTGGTGCGCAATCCGAACGCGGCGAGCACGGAGGGGCTCGTGCGCAACCACATGATCCACGTGAGCGATAGCGGCCTGGTCACGATCGCGGGCGGGAAGTGGACGACGTACCGCGCGATGGCGGAGGAGACGGTCGACAGGGCCGTCGAGGTGTTTGGCCTCAGGCCGAAGAACGGGTGCGTCACGGAGAGGCTCAGGCTGGTGGGCAGCGACGGCTGGAGCAGGAACATGTTTATTGGGCTGACTCAGCGGGTATGGCCCTCCGTTTTGCCGTGTTCGCCGCGCACCTCATGAACTGCTCTGCCCACAGTATGGCCTTGAGACAGAGGTTGCGAAACACCTGTCGGACAACTACGGGGACCGCGCCTGGACGGTGTGTTCATTCGCGCACCCGACTGGCAGCGCGTGGCCGTTGCACGGCATTCGACTCGCCCCTGGCTATCCATGTAAGTCACAACTTACACAATCTGCGAACGTCTGCCTTACCCTCACGGATCGCATGACAGTCATCGAGGCCGAGGTCCGCTACGCCGTGCACCACGAGTACGCCGAGACCGCCGTCGACGTCATCGCGCGCCGCTGCCGCCTCTCCTTCCTGAACGCGCAGGCCACGCTCGATGCGCTCCCGCGCGTCGTCGACATCATGGCGGAGGAGCACGGCTGGGGCAAGGCGCGCAAGGCGGAGGAGCTCGCGAGCGCGACGCTCTTCCTCGCGAGCATGGGCCTGCCCCCGGGCGCGCAGCCCGCGACCGCCCCCGCGGAGCCGCACGGCCTGCTCGCGCGCGTCGGGAGCGCGATCGGCCTGGGCCCCGCCCGGAGGCGGCGCGCCGCGCCGGAGATGGTGTACAGCCGCGCACAGTTCGAGGCCGGCGAGGTGGAGGCGCTGCGCGAGGCATTCAAGAGCCGCGCGAGCGGCGCGTCGGAGGCGGACGCGCGCTTGCGGCATGAGGAGGTGCTGGAGCTGGTCAAGGGGCTGCCTGGCTACGCGGGGATCAACGGCAAGGACTACGACTACGTCCTTGAGGAGGCTGGGTTCTCGAAGTCGCCTGCTGTGGACATCGATCAGTTCCTTGAGGTATGTGGACTGTGCCACTGGCGTGACTGAGTATATGTGTGTGCTGACCGGTCCGGAACAGATTTGTGCGGAACTGAGGGAAGTCATATTTGCTCCTATTCCAAGCAGCTCGCCGAAGATCGAGAGGCTGAGAATCCCAGTCGAAAAGAGCGGTGGTGGAGTCTGATGCAATCACTGCTGTGAATGCTTTGTCGAGATGGTGGCCAGCGCGTCCCATAACTTCACCAGTCAACTGACTGTGTCCTTCACTACCAACTGACACCGACCTCAAGGTGCAGTTTACTATGAGTGCCTCTTTCAAATACTATTTTGTTGCGGCCACTTCCGAAGGCTATCTCTTGTTGAATATCGATACTTTAAGTTGTGTTACATTGCGAGTGGTGGATGTTGAACATGTCCATCAGTATTGGTGGCATGGCATTCCGTCTACAAAAGCACAATATCTACACAATTCTACATGTCTTCTAACGATTGCCATGCTGAAGTTGAGACATAGGAACCCATCATCAGCGACATCAGTCCGAACACGTGTCGACGAGCGCCAATTTAGCTTGCTCTGACCGTGGGCGAAATGTACATTTGACATCCTCAGGGCAACTAGACATACCAGCATTGTGTAGTCAGGCGTCGGCGCATAGGAGACCGGATAGTATTCACTCACAGTATGATCTTCGTTGAATATCTGACATCGGGAATAATCTCTCGCCCATGATTATCGACGATGGGCACTATGTCGCACGTTGCCAGCACGGTCACGACAATTGAAAATATTGTGCCTTGAGCGAAATAGAATCCAGGGCATGCGCGCCGGCCGAATCCAAATGCGATGTCTGTCACCTTCTTCATCTCGATATCGCTACCGCCATAGCGCTCGGGTTTGAACGCATCCGGCTCGGGGTAGATATTAGGATCATGCAGCATGTGCCTGGAGATGTGTTCGCGTTGTGATAATAACGAGGCGAGGAGCCGGCCTGAACTCACCACACATTCGGCATAATTATCGAGCCTTTGGGCAGGAAGGAACCGTCATAGATATCGTCTTCGTCCAGTGCATGTGGGACACCTGCGAAATGCAAGATCAAAACAAAATTCGAGGGCGTGCGCAAATGCATATACTTAGGGGAGTAGCGGGAAGCCAGCGGTATGTCTCAGCAATCACGCTTCGGATATATGGTAGCGACGGTCTGTCCGATATTTGCGGAAGCCGCTCGCTTCCCACTACAGCATCAATCTCAGCCTGTGCTTTCTTCTGCACATCTGGGAAACGCAGCATGGCTAGAATGAACGATATAATTGTCGAGATGTTCTGCAATGCGCAATGGTGAAATGCTCAAACCAACACATGTAGAGAATAGACTGACAGTATCTAGGCCACCTGTTAGAACGGAAAATGCCACCCACTTAAGGGATTCCTCCAGCTGAAGGGTCGCCTTGCCCTCCGCGTCTGACAGGACTGACGCACATAGATTAGGCAAGTGCGCTGTGCCATTTTCCTGGAGACAAGCAGCATGATTGATCACCCCAGAAAGAATACAAGGAGCCGTCTGACCGAATTCTCCTTGCACCACTGATACACCATTCCATTAGTCGTATGAAGTAGCTTGCGCCACGCTTTTGCTGTCTTGAGGGACGAAATCCCCGGCATCCACGACGGTACATATTTGACTAGCGTATGGTTTAGCAGCGTGAAAGGGTAAGAGCAGTCCGAAAATCACTTGCGCTGAGGAATCATATCCGCCAACCATATTCCAGGCGTTGCTGCCAGGCTGAGGTTGTCCACGACCTGGATCGCCCTCTCAGCGAACATGTCTTCCGTGCCCTTGACCGTGTAGCCATATACCACGAGCATGATAATGCTCGCTATGTTCCTGGACGTTTCCCAACAGAACATAATTCAGCATTGTCGGAGTCAGGTAGGAGAGGATCTCACGTCTTAATCTGGCCTTCGAGAGAGCTAGGGTTGTCAATGACCCCGAGTACGAGTCGGCGAGCGGCTGCTTCTTGAATGTCATAGTATTGCCCGATAGTGGAGGTACTGAGGGTCTGCGATATGAGCCGTCGCTGTTGCCGTAATTCATCGCCGTAAGGTTGCATGATGAGCATCCTGTCCCCCCCTACGCTACGCGAAGGTCAGCCCCTTTCGAACGTTTGCAACGCGCCACACTGTCAGGGGAAATGCTCCCCGCACCGCCTTGAGTACTCACAGTTGCCCCGCCATGATCTAAACAACGCATGAGCATGAGCTTGGGTATCGTGCGCAATGACACAGCACATACGAGATGCGGTCTCCCAGAATAGATCGATGATCGTCTGTCGAGCAGCTCCCGCGCAACCCTGGCGCTATTGATCACGATGATGTGCTGACCGAGAGCGTCGAGGTAAAATATGTCACCTGAGGATATATCGTTGCATTTCGATACTCTTCACAAGAAGTGCATGTTACGTACCGTACACACGCGCCCAACGTGAATATGTGAGCCATGGATGGACTTGCGGCACCTGAAGGGTGTTCCCTATCAAGGGCCAACGGAACGGTCCAGGCGGCATAGATCGCCGCTTTGTGTATGCAGAGAGTTCGTGAACCAGTAGAGCCGCGAGCACCGTCACCGCAGCGACAGCCAATGCAGCATGGCTCGTTGCAAAAGGGACACCCAGCTGCCCTTGTGTGGGGTCTGATGCCTGCATCGTTCACTAGATGGGTGCGGTGACACAAGTGGGGACGCGATGGGTAACGGAGAGGTTGGGGGATGGCATGCTTAAATATATGGGATGCGAAGAGAGCACGCAAGAGGGCAGGGGAGCAAGAATGGACTGTGCTGAATGGATGTCGTACATCCACTCCCAAAAGCTATCGTGGAGGACTGTGGGGGCAATCGCGTAGCCATAAGAGGTTAATAGAAATAAACATCATACAGCGGGCGACCAATGCTATGTCACGTCAATGAGCCAAGCTGAGAGACTGCGGACCCGTATTCGCTTGGGATGTCGCGACTCTATTGGGCATGACTGTCTCATCCTAAGGTTGTCAGTCAGTTTAACTACAGACGGGTACTGTAGGCTCCACACGGTATCAGGGGTCGTTGATAGGAACCAGCGCACACTGCAACCGATGATTTCGAGCCGGTAGGTTCTCCAGTCTTTTGAGTAGGATGTTCCGAGCTCAATTTCCTTCGCTGTGTATATATACTCTGCTACAGCATCGGACATCATGCATGAACCAACTAGATGCATCAAGGCGTCAGTGTGGCGAGAATCCTGGCTGTCCGTGTGTGAAGCTTACTGATCTCGGGTACTCGAAGAACCTGAACGATAAGAGTACCCATAAGATTTGCACCGTGCGTGTCGAATACTCTCTACTACAATTTTACTCACTCGGCCTACATTTCAGAGGACCTCTGACCATACGTCCGTGGAGGTAGCCTCTCTCAAATATTGGTTCCTGCAATGTCGAGAAGATCTTTTTCTGCCAATAATTCCCGCAGTAATGGGGCGAGATCAGGAGAGACGTCCTTGAGAGTCGCTTCGTGCCATAACACAGACGGCCGTCAAAGCCCATCGCCGGGTCAACGGCACCTTTCAAGTATACCCAATGCACGACTTCGAAGTCGGTGGATTGCAGTTGCCTTCGACTTCAACCGGGAAGTTGCATCTGTCGACGGGTAATCGGTCTCGGAGATCAATTCAAGCTTCGCGGCGCTGCTCGAGTTGATCAACGAGTTATTCTGCGACAAGATGCACAGACTACACGTATCCCGGCATGATCAAGGCGCATATCAATAATCTTCATGTCGCCGTCAGAGAAATTACCGAGCCTTTAGATACAGCCAAGGATATGTTCTGTGAGTGACAGTACACGAAAATGGAGAAGAAGACCACTGAAGCCGTTGAAGCGATTGACCCTCGCAGTGCTATGCCAGTCGATATCTCTTTAAAAGACTTGTTTGGCCTCATCCTGGATGACCTTATGCGCATTGAGATCGAGGTAAAGGAGCTTGTACAGCCCTTTCCTGGAGCGCAGCATTCAAGGGCCTCGGATATATCCGACAAACATAGCTGACACTTTTTATAACAATAGCATTTTGCAAACAGCATAGGAATACTGCATGAAACAGTACAGGCAGAGTACGGACATCGACTTAGAATCGGACCAACCTCCCCGTTCTTAAAGTAGTAGGAGTCGCTAAGCCGCTCTAATCGTATATTCTTGCATAGAGAAGGCGGAGACGTGATGATTATCGAATGTTTACTCGCCTGGGTTGCCTCGGTCCTGGTACTCCCAGACGACAACGTATGGGCCACTGAGGTACATGATATATTGTGCCTGAGCTTTGTGCAGCTTCCACTGTGAAGATAAGAATTGTCGCCAGACGGTCAAGTGGTATTGACGTTGCGGGCGAGTTTGAACATCGGCTTGCCTTGAGCGTCAGATTTATGGCAGTGCGAGCCTGCAGGGTCCGTTCCGAAAGCTAGTGACATGCGTAACTCGAGCCCAAGTATATCGGAGGTCTGACGTTGGAAGCGGTCGACGAGAGCAACAGACGACGGTAAGGAAAAAGTACGGGCCAGTGATTTCAAGCGAGCGTGAGGGCAGCCACGTGGATCATAGCTGGTCGGAATCTGCTTTCGGTGAAGCTTGCCTGCAGGCCATCTGCCTTCCCTTTCCCGAGTATCATGCAACTCTCGCAGTCTCGGCGAATTTTCTTCCAACCCTACGGTGCTCTGATCTTCTATTACTGACAACCTCGGCGATATCGAGCCTTGAGTCGTGCGCCAACCGGTCGACTTCTCAGTGCAGCATGGCACCGTGATGTGTTTCGGATCCATTCTCGAGGCTCATGTAGCGCGTACGAGCTTCTGAAGCAGGGCTGACCGCGCGCGGAGGCGGAACCCCGGATGGCCTTGCCTGTAGGTGTGTGCTCACAGTCGCAGGACCTCGGGATATTTGCTATTGCGCCTTCGAATTGACGGCCATGATCCCTGCGGGCCTGCGCCTAATCGTCAATGCAAGCGTTCGTTCTGCTTCAGGGATGCGCCACTTCGCCTTTTCATTCTACGACCTTGCCTTGCACTCAAAGCGCGGCGGAGTCGCTGTACGTGCAGAGTCCGCCGCTTCGGGTTCGCTAAGCCTGACGTAAAGATCTTCAAAGTGCTATGTTGTCTGCGACTCCCAGCCATGCCGTTCCATCGGCAGAATAGTCTCAGTATTCAATTGTGGTGATTGTTATGTCTCAAAACGCCTGGCCGGCGGCATTTCGTGTGATGCTCAGTTTGACGTACACGGGCCCCGGCCCTAACAGCGGCTCCAGTAGGAGAAGACGTTCACTATGGAATTTTGAGGACTACTGTCTCTACTGCCATAAATATCGTCGCAGAATGCGTACTTTTGCCCAGTGCCACTCGCTCCCTCACTTCCTTCGTCGGCAACGGCGGCCCATCAGCGCCCTTTATGTCTTCGATGCACGACCGTACTGCGACCCTCGACAGCATTCAAACCGTACGAGTCGGGGATGATATACAAAATCTTGAGAAAGCTCTGTCAGAACAGCCGGTGAAGCTTGACATCGAACATGCTCTCGTCAAGGACGATCCACGACAATGGTCCAGAGCCCGGAAGGTAACCTCATACGCTGCTTGTCTTAGAGGTCAAGTAGCATAAAGCTAAGCGCCCTCGGTATACAGTTTTGCGTGGTCGTGATGATCTGCGCGGCCGCTATGATTGCTGGTTTGGGCGGTAACATCTACAATCGTGAGTCGCGTACCACAAGAGAATCTCGGCGAAGTCTAATGTTACCCCGTGAAAGCCGCGATTACCCAGATTGAAGCAGACCTCCACGCGACGAGCTCCCAACTTAGTCTGACGGTGTCCCTCTTCATACTTATCCAGGGAGGGTTTCCTGTGCTTTGGAGTGCGGTCAGCGAAATCCAAGGTCGCAAGGTAAACATGCGATGATTTGGCACATGTTCATTGTCTGAGCAGTCATCGCCCAGATCGTGTACCTGGTCTCTATCTCGCTCTGCACTTTGGGCTGTGTGGTCTCTGCGATAGCAAAAACCATTAATGTGCTCATAGGCATGCGATGTTTGCAAGCTGCAGGGTCAGTGCAGTGCCCTCAGCTAATACGCAAAAATTAACATACTCACCTTCATTAGAGCGAGCGCCGTCGTGTCCATCGGCGCAGCCACGCTGGCTGACCTTTTCGAGCCAGCCGAAAGAGGAACTATGATGGGCATATACTTATGGTAAGCTTCCTTGCGCTAATGATGACCCTCGTGTTCATGTACGATCGGGGAATCCCTTCACTGCTTCTCTGGATCGTCGTAGTGCTCCCTTGCTCGGCCCCTCACTCGGACCCATCATTGGTGGCATACTCACGCAGGCGTTTAACTGGCGTGCGACGTTCTGGTTTCTGGTCATCTTCACAGGGCTCTGCGCTGTATCCTTCATTTTCTTCGTGGATACGTTCCGTCATGAGCGTAGCATGTCGTATCAGGCTGCCCTCAAGAAGGCCATGCATACTCCAGATCTTGCGCCCCATGCCAAAACAGATCCAGCACACGGCGTCGATGCGTTGAACAAGCTGTCGGAGACTGAACATCCTGTGCACGAGTCCCAGGACGATACGATGTCCGCTGTCACTACGATTGCGGAGATCCCAGAAGCTGATACGCCGAAGGGAGTCTCTATGCCTGCACAGGAGGTGAAGCTTACCTTAAAAGACGTCAACCCGGTGCGGCCCATGCTGCAGGTGCTGCGGCGGCCAAACAACGTCGTGATCATCCTCGCGTCTGGTACGTGTTAATACCCCGTTTGTCGGTCGTGTGCCCCATTTGACGCCGTGTGCCGCAGCTCTCTTGTTCGGGTTTGAGTATAGTATCTTGTATACGGCATCAATCACGCTGGCCAATGCGTATCACTATGACGCATTGAAAATCGGATTGGTCCTCTTGGCGTTCGGGATGGGTCAGTGCACTTTCCCTCTACAGATGGAAGCACACCGCCTGATACATCCCTCACTCTCTATAGGCTGTCTCCTTGGTAGCATCTTCGGTGGACGCTACTCCGACTACGTCTTGACGAAGGTGAAGGCGAGCCATGGAGGGAAAGGCAGCGCAGAGGCACGCACTTTACGCATTGCTCTCCCGTTCCGTGCCGCATGCTCATTAAATCCTTCTCGAATGTGCAGATGCGCTTGCAGAGCACAATGTTCGCAATGGGGTTCTTCCCCTGCGTGGTTATAGCCTACGGCTGGGTGTGCGAGCAGCGCGTGCACGTCGCTGCTGTCTGCGTAATGCTATTCTTCTGTGGGTTCTTGATGATGTGCGCTGTCTTCCTCGCATCCCCGCCTACGGCAGCTGCTGACGATACGGTTCCGCGCTCCTCGATGTATCCACGCATGATCTCTCAGTTGCATCTACACCAGCACATTGGCGTACATCGTGGACGCCAATGTAGGCCTTTCGTCGACCGCAGTCGCCACAAACAGCTGCATTCGAGGTCTATTCGGCTTCGTTGCTACGGAGATTGCAGTGCCCCTTCAGGTGCGTAGGCTCAAATGCTGCATGCAGACCGTCGCTTGCTCAACCGGTCTCTTTACACAGAACTCCATCGGCGACGGCGGCCTGTACTCTATGTGGGCTGGCTTGATGGTAGTTTCTGAGCTGCTCATCCTGCTCGTCTGGTGGAAGGGCGGCCAGTGGCGCGAGAAGTCAGCTTGACGCCTTGTGGCCATAACGCGGTGAAAATTACGCTTCGGAATACCCGTCGCCACTGTCCGGACAGGGCGACGTAACGATAGAGTTTGGATATTTTACTTATAGACGATCGTGTATTATAATATGTGTGTAATACAATTGTATTCTCCACGAGCATCCGACAAGTCGTCAGTGAAACCAAAAGTCATAAATCTATGTCTATATTCCGCAGGGAGATCCGACGTGGTGACTTGCTGAGGTATGACTACGACTGGCGTGTCTCTCTCGCAATGGCGTTTTCGCGCCATTGGCCGCCTTTCCACCACACGAGCAAGAGCATGAGCTCGGAGAGAACCATGATGCCTGCCCACATAGAGTAGAGACCACCATCTCCAATAGAGGTCTACCAAGAGATCAACACGCTGTCCGCATATTTGCGACGCCGGGACCACTCACCTGCAACGGGACGGCGATTTCGGTAGCGACGAAGGCGAAAAGGCCGCGAAAGAAGCTGTTAGACGCTACCGCTGACGATGAGCGACCTACATTGGCATCTACGATATACGCCAAGGTGCTGGAATAGATGGATCTGCGAAGCGTGGGCAGTGAATGTTGGCACGCGCTCTCACACACGCATAGGCGGTCTCACGTACATCTGGAAGAAGCCCGCAAGGAACAACATGACGCAGACTGCGGCGACGCTGACGTGTTCCTCACACACCCAGCCGTATGCGACGACGGAGGGCGGGAAGAAGATCATGGGGACCATGGTGCTCTGCAGGCGCATCTGTGTGGCGAGAATGAAGGATAAGCATGACATGCCGCAGGGGATGCCACTGTACACATGCGTGCCTCCGGGTAGCTCTTGCCGCCGTGTCGGGCCTTTACTTTGAGGAAGACGTAGTCGGAGTAGCGCCCGCCAAGGATGCTGCCGAAGAGACAGCCTGGGGGTTAGGTATCAGCGCAGCTCGAGCATAGATATACTGTTCAAAATGTACCTATGCCATAGGCAAGGAGGACGAGTCCGATCTTCAGTGCGTCGTAGTGATATTCATTAGCTAGCGTTCGCGAGGCGGTGTACGTTATACTGTAGTTGAACGCGAACAGCAGACCTTCGTCGCGGCACCACTGTTGAGATGTGTCTATGCCGCGAGGACTTGAGACTCACCTGATGCAAGCAGGACGACAAGATTATTGAGGCGACGGAGGACATGAACAATGGGGCCAATCGGGTTGACATCTTTGAGAGACAGCTTCAGCTCTTTGATTGGCACAGCGTCAGTCTGCGTCTGCGCCTCTACGTCTCGATCACTTTTGCGGTCCTCGTCGTTCTGCTGGCCGACAACCGTCTCTTTCTCCGACAATGTCTGCTGCTTCTCGGTAGCCTTCTTCGCCTCGGCCTCCATGAGGCGCTTCAGCGCAGTCTGGTAAATCATGCTGCGTTGCCGCCGAAAGGTGTCTCGGAAGAAGATGAAGGAGATGGTGCAAAGACCGGTGAAAATGGCAAGGAACCAGAACGTAGCGCGCCAGTTGAAGCCTTGCGTTAGGACACCACCCAGGATGGGCCCAAGCGACGGGCCAAGTAGAGGAGCACTGTTCATTAAGACGTGCGACGTCGTGAATATCCTCGACCAGTCAAACTACATCCTGAACGTACCAGTAGTAGATACCCATGATCGTTCCCCGCTCATGTGGGTCGTATAGATCCGCCAAAGTGGCGGCTCCGATGGATATTACCGCACTCGAGCTTTGCCAGTCACGAAGACGTACTTTTGTGTCAGAGGGCTAGCTTAGAAAGACGCAGATCATGGAAACTGACCCGGCTGCCTGTAGACATCGCATGCCAATGAGCACGTTGATAGTCTTTGCTGTCGCTGCTACAATGCAGCCGATCGTGCAGACGGATATTGAGACCAAGTACACTGCCTATGGGAGACGGTCAGTCTTTGCGACCTGACTATACTGTTCCCCAAGTTGCAAACCTTGCGCCCTCGTATCTCACTAATTGCACTCCATATAAGGGGGAATCCGCCTTGAATAAGGATAAAAAGGGAGAGCGTCAGACTAAGCTGGCTGGGGGTTGCATGAAGATCAGATTCGATCTGTGCAATGGCAGCTGGAGGAAGGAACGCTCAGTCGCCCACACGTCAAAGTAGACTCTGCATAAGCGCAGCGCACGATTATAGATATTCGCTCCCAATCCCGCAATCATAGCCGCCGCTGAGATCATAGAGACCATAACATACTGCCCGCCGTTAAACCATCTGCTCCGCTCACACTAAGCAAATCCAACGTACTTTTCGAGTCTTGGGCCATTGGCGTGGGTCGTCTTGAACCACCGCATGCTCTATGTCTAGCTTGGCTGCTGGCTTGGGCGCGTCGACTTTCTCCTGGCCCTGGGCGTCCGCGTCAGTGCCGGCGGCAGCGACATGCACCTCGGTCGTCGTACTCTGGCTGTCTACAGGGTCCATCCTGTGCGTGTGCTGGCTCGTCGCCTGGCCGAGCGTGAAGTCGTGAGGTCGTGAGAGGAAGAGGGAAACAGATTGGCGAGCTGGGGACCGGCACGCCGACGAGATAGTTCGGAAAACCAGGGTGCACGAATGCACCCTGTGATACAATTAAGGCTTACATGACTCCGAATGTTGTGAGCCGTGTCTGCCGTGGATGAGATGCTCGACTTGAAACTTATCAGACGACATGCCGCGGCGTCATCTTTGAATCGGAACGCCGGCACCGCTCGGCCGACCGTCTCATACTGTTCTCCGATTCCCTGTCACTTATCACCTATTTGGTTGGTGTTCCCTATGCAAAGGCCGTCTCTGTTGCAGGTCTCATACATTCATTGCTAATGAGTCGCCTGATTGCTTCAGGTTTGTTGCGCGGCGACACAGTGTGGGCGTCTGAAAAATCGTGGCGGCGGCTGCAGTTGCTTCTGCATACCACAGCGCCCATCGAGCGGCACGCACGGAGAAAGTCTCGAACTGACGAGAATTGGGGTTTCCTCGTGTGAGTGCGGAACCCGGTACGTTATAACCATTGTCACAAACGGGCAGGACTCGACTCTCCTCGATGATGGCTCAGAGACCCGTATCGCACGCATGTCGTGTCCCTTAGCATGGTCCGTTCGAGAATGCCTTCACAGCGCCAGACTCATCGGTCTGTTCTTGCCCGACGCAGTGGAAAGTCGGTGAGTGCACATGTAAATTTAATGCTCGTTTTCCGTTACGCGCCCCTTCAACAACGTTGCACGCCGCTCAAATGGTCCCTGCCACCGCGACAGGAAAAGAAGCGGCTTATTTGCGAGATGTGGATGCTGTCGCGGGATCTGCGACGCGGTCTTCGCTCAGTGCAGTAGACGTGTGATTTCAATGGCTCGCCACAACCACGCGGGAGCTACGATACATACGCTATTTGCTTTCGGGCGATGGTCGGACACCGTTACGGAAACATGGCAGGCCGATCAGTCTGTGAGCAGTCTTCATTACGCCCGGACTATGAATGCTGGCTCTCCGCGTAGCGTTGCTATCTGAGTTGTAATTATGGACAAGGGCCCGTTGAGAAGGTTACGCTTCTGTCGCCGTGTAGGCGTGCTGGTGTCGGGAGCTATCTCGCTTATTTTGAGCCGTGAGGACGCCGCACGCCGAAACTTCTCCCGTGCGGGTGCGGTCGAGGAGAGGATTGCAACTCCATGGGGTTAGAGGTCCGGGGTAGATCTTCGAATGTGCGAAGGCGACGTGTGCATACGCACCGCGGCGACTATGCTACGATCGACCGCGTTCACGCGCGTCTCCTGCCTCGACGGCTCCTTGGCCGCAGACGGCAGAATGCTAACGTCTAGATGACAAACGAGCCTGTCCTTCGTCTCGTTACCTTGCGCATCACGTCTGTGATCTAAAACCTTCGAATTATTTGACTACAACGTGCACTATTCCACCTGTGTGATTCTTGCATCTCTTTGGGTTGATAGCTTTTACCCAGTTTCAATCTAGCTTGACGTAATTATCTACCAGATGTGCCAATGGTTACTTGCGTTTGCTTCGAGTGGATCTCCGCCGGATACTCAGGTCGCATCTCTTTTCGCTTGCTTGCATCTCATAATCTTTTCACCTACATCGACATGGCGTCAGTGTCACTTGTAGTATCTGTCGCAGCCATATTTGTTGTGATTCTGCGTTACTGCGAGAGATGTCTCGCTACCAGGATGACGACACGAATTAAGGATATGTCCAATTTTCTCTAGTCTTCATGAAACATGGTCCGGTTTGCAGGAAGAGCACGCTGCGACACTGTACACAGCGTAATTGAGGGTGTTTTGTGCTGCTATACTGCACTATGTGTTCTGTTCATTGTATATAGCGTTCTGGTAAATTCTAGTATGTATGTAGTTCGATTAGAGGCCCCAAATCTGCCTGAAACTGCTTGTCTAATGGGATCGGGCTGCAGTACATAATATAATTCTTGCGGTAAATATACTAATAACAAGGATAGTGCATAATGACACATGAAATATTAGCACAGGATGCAGAAGGAAGGTCGAAGTCGATACTAAAGGCAGCAAGCTGCAGCCGAAAATTCCTTTTTGGGACATAAGGCGATATCCGATAAAGCGCTTTCCGGCAGACCATATATAGATATGTCAACCATGTCCGTAAATGGTTAGCAACGCAGACTATGATTCCATATATTAGATATAGATTGGCTGTCATCCATGTCTGTATATGGTTAGCTCGATTCCAGATCCTGCGTATGCCGTCCTCGTTGGTTCTCTCCATGAATGGCAAGCATATTGTCTCCTCACATTGTGCATCCTTTCAGATTCTTCGTGTTTGCGAGAGATGTCTGGATTTAAGTATGTTCCCGCTAGCAAGGGGTAGGACTGCCGAGTCTGAGTTTACCACCCATCGGCAGTAACTTATTAGTAATGATATCTCTTGTTACAACTTTCGCCATCACCTCGTTCAATTTCACAAGAATATTGCTTCCGAAGACGGGGAACAAACTGATCGATTGCCGAAAGCGATCGAGACACCGAGAAAGCATATCCGCCGCCTCTTTCTACGGGCGACGAGGTCGTCGGGATCGATCGTACTTCGACTGCTTTTACCTCCTGCTCATCGTCGACGGCCAGGCGCGCCTTCCCGGACCGTTTAGGGCACGTCGCACGAGTGCACAGCGACACACCGCGAGCAATACGCCAGCCGGCCGGTCCTCACGTGCCAAGAGGCAGCGCAGACACTACGCCGTTTTGGCATACGGCCATATTGCAGATGATCCTAGGCCTACTTCCCCGCCCATTGCCTCCCCCCGGCTTTCTCCCGTAACCGACTGGTCCATGTCTGAAGACGATGTTCAACGTTTGAACCAGCTCTCCGCATCTAGTTCTGCCTCCTATGTCTACCCGGTGCGCTCTTTGTTGAATGGAATCAAGCCTCGAGCAGGGCAGAAGACGGGTTCGGGCGCTGGTGAGTATTGCACGCTCGATGATCCTCCGTATTCGTAAAGAGCCTTTGCTGCAGAAGCGGCTGCCCAAAAAGATGCGACTTCCCACGAGCCCCTGCAGCGCTCGACCAGCAGGCCAGGCGTCGTCTCTCCATCGCCTTCGATGACCTTGCCAACCGAGTCGACCTCTACGCAGACCCCCGACACGGACACACGCTCGAGGCGCAGGCCGCCCTCACCCAACTTCTGCGATTTCTCTCCTGACCAGAACCCGTTGTCACCCCGAACCTTCTCCACCGCGCTCGGGAGCGGTGTTCCCGCGCCGCGCTCGGCTCAGCACTCGCCGCCTCTGACACCGCTCATGAGCGGACCCGCGGAAGAGCCCGTTTTGTACAGTGCCGCGGAAAGGGGTGTGGCGGATGCGGAAGATCGACTGCTCGATTACAAGACGCGTCATCCCCCTCAATTCGCGGAGGTTGTGTCGCAGGCGTTCACAGATGCAGTGGACCTACTGCCAGTGGCCTCAGACACAGTCACGGCAGACATGGAGTCCGACGCAGGTATTCATGCGCACTTTTCGCACTCAGGAATCGTGCATCTGCCGCCGCGACAGGTGGACTCGGCGCTGTCGACGACGACCTCGCGATCGATTGGCTCCACATCGCGCGGCCGTGCGAGCCCCAGACACGGGGACGGTGCCGACTCACCACGGACAGCACCCGCTCAGGAAGAATTGAATGTCGTGCAAATGCCGTCGACACAGGACGACCGGCAGCCGCGGTCCGTAATGAACGGCGTCGGAACCGGTACAGGAAGCATCTCGAGTTCTATAGCCTCAGAGGAGCCGCGAATATCTTTCCGACATCAGCACATTGAGGACAAAAATGGACACCACCTGATTGTTGGGAGGGAAGGAAAGTTGTCGAGATGCGAGGACGAGGTATAGTCGCTCGATTATTACAAGAATGTACCCTCACGAGGTCGTAGCCTATCCGTACGCCCGGGGCTGTCCAAGGGTTCGGCGTCCTGATTGCGGTAGAAGAAAACGAAGAAACGGGGAATCTAGAAGTACGGCAAGTCTCCGAGGTGACTACGCCTTGTGACTACGTCTGTTGTTATTTGATCTGATTTTTATAGAATTCGACCGAGCTGCTGGGTCTATCTCCTCCACACCTATTTTCGCTCGAGTGTTTCAGTCGGACGCTACCAGATCACCAGAGCGACGTGCTATTCGACAACATACAATATTTGAATGACACAACACTCTCCGCCGAAGAGCAAGCAGAGAATGTGCATGTGTTCATGCTTAGTGGTTGGGGAGAACCGGGCACCGTGCTGTCGGAAAGTATGTCAGCCGACCCGGAGGGTCGGCGTAGCTGGACATGCTGGTGCGCAGCGCATCGGCCGCAGATGAATGCACCAGAGAACATGGCGTCGAATGCACAAGACAGCAGCACACATAATGGGACAAACCACCGTAATCTAATCATCCTCGAGTTCGAGTTAGAGCGGGACACATTTAATCCCCTTTACCCACCACTACTCTCGGACGACAGCTCATCGTACCAGTCGGGCATCTCGTCACCCTCGGACGGGACTCATTCGACCGGTTCGATGAACTCGGCGAGTGTTAGCTCTGGGCGGACGCTTGTGTCCTCCGGCTCAGGGAGCTTGCAGGATCGGCTGGTTACACCTGCCGCCTCGACGCCGAGTCTCACTGCTAGCGATCCATCCGTGTCCGCCGCGCAGGCGGACATGTCGCCAACTCCATCGCAGGAGAGTTCGGCGTACAACTATACGGGCTCCGACGAGTACATGCCGAGCCCGGAGGAGATACTAGAGAGCACGACCAGCCGCGCGAAGCCCCTGCTTGCGCTGGAGCGCCTGCGTCGGACGCGTCGAAGCATCCTGGACAACGTGCTGTCGCCGGCCAGCTCCTCGTCCGGCGCGCGGCGCGGTGGGCCCTCGCGCAGACGGCGGGGGACGGGTGCGATGGGCATGATGGACGTGTTCGCGGTAATGGCGCAGATCAACGAGCAGCTGGGTGCGGCACCGGACCTGGACGCGTTCTTGAAGGTCGTTGCGGGTGTGATCAAGGACCTAACGCAGTTTCACCGGGTGCTGGTGTACCAGTTCGACGAGTTGTGGAACGGGCAGGTCGTCGCGGAGCTGGTTGACTGGAAGCAGACGCATGACCTGTTTGGGGGCTTGCATTTTCCGGCATCTGATATCCCGGCGCAGGTGAGCTACAATATATATCGAGCGGATATTGTGTTGAGCGATGGGTAGGCGCGGCATCTGTACGCCCTTAGTAGGTCGTCTTTGCTGGAATACGGCGCTGAGATCTCATGTTGCGCTTCTAGACAAGGTCCGCCTTCTGTATGATCGGGGACAGCCCACGGCTCGCTTGGTTGTCAGGAGTAAGCAAGACCTTCAGACGCCTTTGGTATGTACGCTTCCGCCTACGTTTCAGTATTGCGTCTTACCGTCTTGGCAGGACATGACGCATTGTTACCTACGTGCCATGAGCCCGATACACCTCAAGTGTTGGTATTCACCCATTTTCTCCATGCTCCAGCTGATTCTCTTCGTAGACCTCGAGAACATGGGTGTCCGTGCTTCAATGTCGGTTGTAAGTGCGAATGAGCCCTGTGGAGCCGCACTGCCATTCATGATTCACGATGATACAGTCAATCATCGCGTTTGGTCAACTGTGGGGCCTTGTAGCGTGCCATTCGTATGGGCCGCACGGCATGCGAGTCTCCTTCCCCGTCAGACAGATGCTTCGTCTCTTGAGCCAGTCCATCTCGCGCAACGTCGAGCGACTCAGCTACGCGCAGCGTCTCCACACCCGCAAACTGGTACCTTACCGGCATTTATCCTCCGCCGAAGTGGTCGTTCACATGCTCCGCATTGCAGATCAATACAATGCCGTCCGACCAGCACCCGTCTGGGTACATTGTATCGAACGCTGATGACCTTCTTGGCCTTTTCGACGCAGATCACGGTGTTCTCGTTATTGGCGAAGGAGCAAAGATCTTGGGTCCAAACCAGCATGGGCAGGAAATACTCATCGTGGCGGAGTACTTGCGCCTGAAGCAGTTCAAGTAGGTACCATACCTGATATCACGGGTAGCCACGGCTGACGCTTTGTGTAGCACTATTCAGGTCTCGCAGGCGGTGACGCAGGATTATCCAGATTTACAACTGACGACGGGCCTGGAGGTCATCGCAGGTCTTCTCTATGTCCCATTGTCTGCAGGGGGACGAGACTTCATCGCTTTCCTACGCAAGGGACAGCCGAAGCAGGTCCGGTGGGCCGGCCGACCGTATAAGGACGGCGAACAGAGCGTGCTCGAGCCACGAGCGTCGTTCCGAACATGGTCAGAAACTGTGGCCGGACGCTCTCGTGCGTGGTCAGACGAGCATCTAGAGACCGCCGGCGTTCTCGCCCTCGTTTACGGGAAGGTTGGCAGTTGTGTCGAATTGATCATAGGTCACACTTCTGACATCCTCTAGTTTATCGAAGTCTGGCGGCAAAAGGAAAACGCATTGCAAACCACAAAATTGACCAACCTATTGTTATCAAATGCCAGTCACGAAGGTGAGTGATTATATGCTGCTAGTTTGATATAAACATTAAGTATTCCGGATCCAGTCCGCACTCCTCTCAACCACATCATAAAGTAAGCGTACTTAGTTTGCCACCGTACATGACTCTCACGAGACGAAGTTATCTGGAGCTCGCACTCAATGGTTCCTTGGACACCGAGACTCGCGAGAATCTCAGCCAGTCGCACGCTGCATCAAAAGTGAGTTTAGAGATGATCTCATCACGAGCACCGCCTTAATATCTCTGCAGAGCTTATTATTCACGATCAATGATTTACTGGTATGTATGATTGGTCTGCGACATTCTCGGCATATGGACCAATCATCGGACGACTTCCAGGATCTGACTCGCCTCGAGAGTGGCAATGCAACATTCTTCAACGAAGTCTTCAACTTGCATCGCGCAATCGAGGACGCAGTCGTACTCTATCGAAATGAGGCTGTTCGTCGAGGCCTTGGTTTCAGGTTGGACGTCGCGAATAGTCCAAGAATGGTTGTGGGAGACGCTCGGAAAATCCGCACCGTCGTTGCGAATTTAACCGCTAACGCTTGTACGTGTCGTCTCCTCGTACCGTTTCCGACTCATGACAAGCCATTCTTCTAGTGAAATACACCGAGCACGGATACATTTCCGTTGAATGCCGTGCCTTTGATGAGCCCATGGGTCTCAGAACCGCGGAGAACGTTGCAGTGGAAATCATTGTGTCGGATACTGGTTGTGGTATTCCTGCTGAGAGACTGGAGTGTATCTTTAGAGAGTTCGAGCAAGTAGAGAGCACAGAACAGAGAACGCCTACCCAAGGCCTTGGTAAACATTGTCATTTAGAGTGCCTGTTCCAATCGCTGATTGATACCATCGATAGGTCTAGGTCTGGCCGTGGTTGCACGGATCGTGGAGCAGCTTGGTGGCCAACTCCGAGTTGATTCCAAGATCAATGAAGGCAGTCGCTTCTCGTTCCTTATTCCATTCTCTACGGAAGTCGAAGGTACGGCTCCGTCATCCCCGTCTGAATCCCGTTCAGCCGGCGGATCGCATCGGGAGTCTCGTGATAGCAGCGCAGCTGCTCGTGAAGACCAGATTGACAATCTGGTAGAAGCACTGTCCTCCCATCACCTCAGTATCCAGAAACATGGTTCTCCACGTCCGCAAGACAATGACAATGCCTCACTCCACGAAAGTGACAAGATGCAGATGACCGGATTCAACACACCATCGCTTTCCATTACTGGCGATGACGTTAGTGTCACATCAAGTCAGAATTTTCGTGCCGGTTCCCCCGCTCGCGGCCCATTTCTCAATGAACACTCGACGGCAGTAGTAATATCCCGACGGTCTAGCCAAGCCTCTCCTCATGGGAAGCCACCGAACGGTCGCAGATCTGGGGCATCTGGTCGCAGTGCGACATCACGAAGTTCAAGATCTGACAGTGGATATAGCGCCAAACTTCGTTTGCTCATTGTCGAGGTCTGTATCGCGATTTATACTCACGGAAAAAAAATTGACACACTCATAGGACAACGATATCAACCGGATGATACTGGCCAAACGTTTGTCACTGGACGGACATAACGTTGTGAACACCACGAATGGTCAGGAGGGTGTAGAAATGCTTGAATCGGACTGGGAGTTCGATTGCGTACTCATGGATCTACAGTATGTCGAATATCCAAGCTATGCGTACACGCGGTGCTTACATTCTCTCCTAGAATGCCCCTGCTTAATGGTTTCGAGGCCACACAACGAATCCGTCAGATAGAGCAGGAGCGGCAGGTCGGGCTTCATCGGATTTCCCACAAGCTCAACGGGCGTATACCCATTTTTGCGGTCTCGGCGTCTTTGTTCGAGGATCAGCGAGAAGAGCTCTTCAAGCTTGGATTTGATGGCTGGATCTTGAAGCCGATCGATTTCAAGCGGTTGAAGATTATCCTGCGCGGGGTGGTCGATGCTGCGCAACGCGGAAGAGACGTCTACAATCCAGCTGGCAACTGGGAGGTTGGCGGGTGGCTAAAGGCGCACGAGAAGGTTCCTGGTGATGTCTCGTGATGTGGAATCTCTCTGGTTGTTGTTGTTTGTCTCATTATTTTCACAATGGTCGTGTTCACATCTCGTTGTTTTATATACCAAGGGAACGAAAATCGCTTACAGTCTTTTCCTCATCAATACGAACAGATCCCCGCATTGTCATGTAGTACTATTTACCATCGCATATTGTAGCCAGTATACAAATAAACGAGTGCCTATGACTAATTCCTGCCTATAGCTAGTCACATGCAACCTCTACTTGGTTAGAGCTGCGCGTATAAGAGAAACAATGACGTATTGGGAGTTTGTTAAACGTTGTCTTGTTTTCGTGAATTTGGGACCGATTAACGATTCCGATTACCTTCTCATGCATGAGTGCTGGAAAAACGGTAGTGCGTGCTGCCATAGGACCTGCGGTATAAGCTGATGCTCGTTGCCATGCGGTGCACACACGTCACAGTCATGGTTCATTGTAGGGTGGCGAGTGCATTGCCAGCGCCTCCAAAGAACAGACGCGTCGCGTTCGTGTTTGACTCAATCACGTGATCGCGGTGTGCTCGAGGTCTCTGCCCTGGATTCGTCGACCTTGTCGCCCCAACACTGTGCTAAGTCATTCTGTACTTCAGCTCAACACACGAAGCACCCGCAATATGTCGACTGAGAAAAAGGCAGAGCAGCAGCTGCCAGAGACACCTGAACGTCCGTACGCTATCGTGCGCATTAAGCGCAAGCGGAACGAGGAGCCTCTCGATGGCCTTGGTGAATGACATTTGAGCGCGTAAAGGCTCACAGACTGAGATTTTATGCCTAGTTGTCGATCCCGAAGCTGTCCCGAGCCGGAAACGGTCTCGTGGCGCGCTCAACTTCTTCAAGTTTGCCGAAACAGTCGAACAGAACGCTTGGGATGACGAGAAGCAGAAGAGGGACCTTGAGGCAGGCCAACTTTCTGGAAACCGCTCTAATGGCTATCAATGCTGACACGACCGCATCAAGGCCCGTCTGAGCACGTTAGCAAGAGAGTCGCCGAAAAAGGAGATCCTACGCACTTCGGTCTCAGCCCCAGCAGTGGTAGAACAAGCAGTCTCTCCAGCAGTATCAACTCCCCGCCCACAAATTGACGATCCTAACCGCCGGTACACTATCGTCAAGCGAGAGAGACCTGGCACCGAGCGCGTTCAACGTCGAGTACCCACAGCACCGTGCGTGCTTGCGGATTTGGGATGTCCATATTGCACTCATCAAAGGTTGGAATCAGGCCAAAGGTATGGTCGACAAAAGAGCTACAGGCCTTGCGCGAGTCGCAATCCAGCTTCGCAATGTACGACGCTATACCATCCTCTTCCGCACTGTCTTCAAAATCCGAAATCGATCCTGAGGTAGCAAAGTTCTTACCCCTGCTGCGAGATTACCTGAAGCGTGAGCTCATTTGTCTCTACCTGATATGTCATGCCTGACGCACTGGTAGTGGATGATCCGAGCATGGCGACGCCTCCGGGCTCCATGTCAACTTTATCCAGCAGCCCCAGCGTGACTCACACAATAGATGACAGCGACTACGTATATGACGTCTTCTACCAGCGCCTGACAACTCTTGCCGAGTTGTACGAACCTGGAATGCCTGTGTGGAACATTGGGACATTGTACGTAACGTAGTTGTTTCGAACATGGATACTGACGTCTAATGCATCATAGAACTGAAATACCTGAAGAACTCATGCTGTATGATTCGGATGATGATTCAGAAGTATACGACACAGACGACGAGGATTCAAATGGTATGTATATTCCCCAGCTCGTTTCCTTCCACCGTAGGTCATTGTCCATATTTGTCAACCAGCCGAGGATTTCTACAAGAATGATTACCCAGATGGTGAACCGGACGAGATGTCGGACGGGAGCGAAGGAAGCGGTGAGTGGCTCACAAATGACCTGAACCATATGATTGATCAGGGGATCCAGACGTCTTCCACGAAGATTCAGACTATGACGACATGATCCACGGGGATACTTCAGACCACGAATGGCGATGATGAACCCATCTTGTTTACATGAACCATCGACCAAATCATGGATTGTATAGTATAAATGGAAGGTCAGGAAGGCGATTGTGTATCCATATATGTTCGCGAAGCCCTCGTTAATGTAGTCCGTCAACAACCTTATGAGGGTAGCTGATAATTGTAGCTTGGTAGTGTATCATTAACCAGGGAACCTTGTTTAGGTGCCACATGCGTCATTGTGGGCGATGATCGAACTGAGAGGACAGCGAAGCATACGAAGTTGGTCACGCAGCAATAGCAACATTAGCAAATGAGGAGACTCAAATCCAATCAAGCCGTAGTCCTATGTCATAGTGCTTCTAGTGCCCCGACTGTGCTGTAAAGTTTGGGTGCCTCATAACAATATAAAGGTTGGGCACGACACTGACGTCCGTATTCCAGTGTCCAAAGAACTCCAGAACATAATGCTGACAACCGCCATAAGAACTTTCGCGTCCCAAACACCGCGTTCCGTGCTCCGCGTCCTCTCTCATAGTACCACCACCCCCACTGTAAGTATGATTTTGCAACCGTGATGTTGTCGCTTTTTTACATCCAGTTTTATATCTTCTGTAGGATGTTGTCGCGTTGATGCATGACGAGCATCCTGTTTCCAAGGATCATGCAAAACCGGGACGCCGGACACAGAGTAAGAAAGAGGGGACTGTATCCCTCTTCTGGGACATGGGTATGTAAGGAGAACTATTTTCCTGGCCCTGTCAACTTGATATGCGCCAGAAAACTGCGGTCTCCGACTCCGTTCGAAGGATGGGTACACCGTCGAAGAGCTTCGCCGGTCTGCGGAGGGCTTTGGCCGTGTGAAGATTCTCAATGCGTACTTGGACAAGAGTCATCATGCGACGTCCAAGTCACTGTCCGCGTTCCACTCGCAGGGCTTTGATATTATCGATTGCCCGCATAATGGTGAGAGGAACGTCGTCGATATGCGCATGATAGGTAAGTCTCGTCGTCAACTTAGCGATCAAAGCTGAATTTGAATCCAGACGACATGATGGCTTGGGCCACCAATAACCCCGCGCCTGACACTGTGGTGCTAATCGCAGGGGACAAACACTACAAGGAGGCAGTATCCAACCTATCAAAACGGGGATACAATGTCATTGTTATCGCGCCGCCCAAGGCGCTTACCTGTATGAGAGCTGCCCAACCAGCTAAAGTGCTGCCGTGGCGCACGAGCTTGGGCGAGTAGGGCCGAGCGGTGAGTCTGACTGTTTTTTATTATTAATTATTATTATTAAAATCCAGTTTTGTATCCGCTTGAGGGCGTTGCCCTATGCCGGATAATACATGCGCGTGTAGTGCGGAGCGGAGCGAGTAAAGACCACGGGCTGTCAGGTAGCATGGGGAAGAGGGAGCGCGAGCGAGCTATCGTGCGTATTCCGGGGTGTAGGTAAGCAGGTCATTTGGTGCGCGGGCGATCTTGTGGAAAGGGGCCGGGTGAGGGCGTATTCGAGTGCGTAAGCGCAGGGAGGAGTGAGAATAGGTGGTCGTAGGTAGATGATTAGTTTATGTACAGTAGCAGTGTTCCGGTAATGGAGGGTATCATCGCATAATAAGAGACGAGGTGGAGGAAAGTATGAGTAACACGGTCGTTGAATAGCAGTAGCATCTTGCGTTGACGTTATCCGGGGGGGGGGGGGGTTGCGATTACTCCCGCCGGCCGCTTCGCGGCCGGTCATCTTGATGTAGTCGAAGAGGAGCGGGCTTCTTGGACATTGAGCAATGTTCGCAGCTGCGAGTCTGACTGTTCACGATATCTTCGCGCTGCGGATGCACTTGTGTTGACGCGTGACGGCTGGTTTAGGAGCATGGGGCCTACAACGCTAACCATCTCAAGACCGCGACACGCACTGACATCATCTATTTGTCCGTTCGTCACCCTGTTTGGCGCCGGGTTTTGCTTCCGCGCGTGCGCCAAGACTATTTGACCTTCCCTTTCGCTCTTACCATCATCACCAATACATCCCCTAATATCAACCTCATTTGTACTAGTATCCCGAATAATAATGACGCGTTCTGCTCCTCGTGCGAACACTGGAGTCTGATGCACTCAGGCTGCGGCCGGTGTCTCCGCAGATGGAAGCCTCGGTGCAAAGGTGGTAGTAAGGGGTACACACGTCGCAAGTTAGCAGTCAATGCCCCCAAGGTGTGCAGGCGTGATGGAGTGCAATTGAGAGCGATTTTACGCACGCAGATTGGGAAGTGTCAGAGCAAGGTTTGAAGGGTATTGGGTATATAACATTCGGCAGAGTCAGCATATGATCCGCCATTAAAGACTAGCTGATGATCATTTGACTTGCAGCGTATTGGGTAAGATCAAAACGTAAAGGCATCGCTCAAGCTCATTTTCACAACATGTCTCTCCTGTATGCTGAGCGGATAGTATGCAACGATATACATGTTTCATATCATACTTGTGTGACGAGATGATTCGGCATCGAGCACACGTTACACCCACATATGCTACATCCCACAGGTCCGAATGGAACTTACATCGACATACCGGCACCCGCAGCCATCGAGATCAAATTCTCCTGATCTCCACTCTCGTCCACCAATGCCCGGAGTAGTCCGTTTTGGATCCGTAGAAGTTCACTAGGTTTACCGAACTCGACCTGGGAGTATGATAAAACATATGCGACGCAAAAACCGTGTCGGCAGCAACTCACAATGTGTCCAGCATCGAGGACCATCTAGAATTGTGCGTTCAGCATAAGAGGGGGCTAGAGCTATGTATCACGCACTATCTTGTCCGCATCCATGATTGTCTGAAGACGATGTGCGACTGTCAGAACAGTGGTACCTTTGGCAAGCTCTTTTCGCAGAGACGCCTGTATGACGGTATCGGTCTCATAATCTGCGCGACACACGGCATCATGAGGTTCATGCGAGTATAGCAACGCGATGAATGATGTTACTTACCTATGGCGGATGTAGCTAAACGCGATGTCAGCCACGACCGCAGATCTCCGTCTATCACGCATTATACATACCTTCGTCCAGGATCAAAAGCTTGCTCTGCCGTACGATCGCCCGAGCCAACGCCAAGATTTGTTTTTGGCCAAACGAGAGGTTGTTACCTCCACTGGCGACCTGCGTGTCTAGAGTGATTTGGCCTTTATCCATGTCTTTCTGAAGTGAGAACAAGCCCGCGGAGCGAAGTGCATCGTTCAATGCTGCGTCGTCAAACTCTTCGAATGGGTCAAGATTCTGTCGCAAAGTTCCGCTGAGTAGTTCGGGCTGTAAACAGTGGCTATGAGAGAGCATACGGCCATAGAAATGGAAGAAATTGACCACTTGAGGTATGATCGTGATGTGCGATCGAAGGGCATCGAGGTTTATCTTCTCCGTGGACAGACCGTCGTAGTACACCTGGCCTTCTGTGATGACGCACCGCAGCAAGGCAAGGGTCAAGGTGCTCTACGAAGAATATCAGCCACAATACGATTAGCGTAGTGCATGTGTCCAGATACCTTTCCACTCCCCGTACGACCCACTGCCAAGGACCTGTCAGTGATTGTCACCAGGGTCACCAAATGCGATCGTCTCACCAACGCCCACACGCTCTCCAGATTTGAGTTCGAACGAGATCTCGTGAAGTACTCGAGGACCATCCTGCAAAGAGCTTCAACCACCACAAGACAACATCATTCACGTCTCGAGACATACTTCTGAATAGCGAGCGGAGAGTTTTTCAACCCTCAAATTACCGCTTGATGGCCAGTACGCAGGAGGTATACCGCTCTCGGTTGACTTTGGCTCCTGTTCAATCTCGAGATATTGTTGTATGCGTTCGAGACTGGTGCACAGACGTCTGACACATCTCATACGCCATCAATGTGAGGGACATACCTATTCCCTACGTTATATAATCGCATCAGCGCCTGGAAAGATGATCACGCGAATTAACCTGCCTGCGACCTCGAATTCGTTGAAAAGCCTCGCGAACCACAGGATCATCGTCCCGAAGCCAACTTGACAATCCAGGCGCTCAGTTATAGCACGTAACACCTCGTCTGAGCGTGCGTACCTGCCATATTGAGCGTGAAGCCTGTTTGTGCTGCGGATGAACTACCGCCACCGTACACCAAATAGAAGGCAAGCCCAGTGGAGAACATGGCGCTAGAGAACTCGATACGAATGTTGACCCAGCTAGTTCCATTAGTCTGGTTCGGGCTGCATGGTATTTTACTTACCGAGTTAGGGCCCAGAATATCCTCGCGGCTCGTGAGTATTTGTCGATCCGTGCGTATGACTCCTTCCTGAAGGCATCCTGTGCGCCATAGGCACGGATAGACACTGCGTCCTTGCTTAGTCAAACGACGCAAGACGAGACTGCTACACTCACCAAGCCCGGCAAAGGCAGCTCCGAAATGTCCTAGGACTGGAGCACGCGCATTACTCTTCTCTCGCTTCACAGATAGCTGGGCCTTCATGTACACTTGACAAATATATCCTCCCGCAGCAGCGAGCAAGATGCCAGGAATGATATAGAAGGGTGCTGCGATTGTGACAGCCGCGAGCTTGATGAGCATGGACATTGTCAGGATGATGAGGAAGTCCAAGCATGAATACAGGTCCGAATCAACTGTAAAAGGAGGAACATCGGTATTGAACATTCTTGAGCGATTACCGTAATGTACTTGTGCCAATATCTTGTGTGCATCTAGCAACCACGCGCCCAGTAGGCGTCTTGTCCCACCATCTGCACAAGCAGTGAGGATGACGACAAGTAGAGCCAAAAGTCAATCACCTCATAGTAGTCCCAAGAACCGATGTGATCAAAGCTTTGTGAATGACGCGTGAGGCCCTGAGACCGCCTACAAGGAAGACAACAGAGTAGAGAGAGAACATGATGAACCCAGCTAGAGTGATTGATGCAAACATAGAAAGATGACTGCAGACCAGTCAGATACGACAAGCAATAGCGAACGGCACCGACTCACAATGGCACATTCACTTCCCATGGAGGGTGCTCCTCGTATTGTCTTGCCCAAAACCCGAGATACCAGTAGGACAGGTTATCCAAGAACTCTGAAACGAACGCGATGCACAACGTGATTACACAATAGAGAATGGGACGGCCTCCGCCCACACTCTTCAAATATAGTTTCACTGCTGCCTCGTGAGTATCTGTTGGTGACCAGTAAGCGATGGTAGCACGTACAGGCGGACCACCCCAGATGTCCTTCGGATATCTCTTCGGAGACAACCAGTTTACCATGGGCTCTTTTACTATCGTCTTCAGATGAGCGATCCTGATGGATATTCTGCCCTGCCTTCTCGAGAAGCTCGAGATCTTGAGCTACTTCCGCAGCCAGCATTTGGTCGTGTTCGAGAGCATTTGACAAAGTACCTTGGCTGGCGATCCGGCCATCGATACCCAAAGAAACAACGTGCTGCGCGATGGGTCCAGCCAAGCTTACGTTGTGCGTCTGCGATAGTTTGTTGACGAAACAGCGTTATGGACAATTTCTTGATCGCTTACAACTAAGAGCACTGTCCGACCGCGGACTAGGTCCCCTTGCAGACACTTCTCGATGATCCATTTTGCTGTGTGTACGTCCAGAGCAGCCAAAATCTAAACGATATTAGCCACACGCAAGTCAAAAAGTCAAAAAGATTGATCACGTCGTCAAGCAGTAAGATCTCTGCGGTTGAGTAGATCGCGCGAGCTAGAGTGACTCGAGCCTGACTCGATATAATTCAGCGAGCAGCTCCATCATACTCTGCGATGCTTTACCTTTTGTCCGCCGCTGTGGAGTTGTAGGGAGTTGGCAGGGAGCCACGCGGAGATACAGCACAACGCACCTCAGTGTGATTCCCCTTTCACCCACTTCAGTATGATCCCCGGCATCGAATAAGTTAAGATCTCTCGTGAGACCGCATTGATTGATCACTTCGTTACGTGATCTCAACAACCATCATCTCAGGCACATAACAAACCAAGACAGACCTTTATCGTAACGTTCTCGGTCGAACGTCGCACCGAATAGTATATTATTCTGGCGACGAGCTTGTCAGTGTTATCAGCATATAACCCGATTTCTGACGCACCCGAATTGTATCGTTTAGCACCCATGATTCTTGAGCCGCATACGCAACTCCTCCGGAACGCGGCAGTGTCACAAAAGAGTCAGGTCCGGCGGGAATGTAATGCATCTCTCCTAACATTTGTTTGAGCTATTGGTGTAGGTCAAGAGAAGTCACAGCTAACCCAGCAGAGCCATGAGCAGCGATGTTTTCCCAGAACCCGTTGGGCCGACAATGAGATTGATGTGACCACTCTCAAACGTGAGATCGCCATCAGTGCAAAGCGTAAAATTACGCTTAGACGACCCAGGAGTCGAAGGAGGCGCCTTGGTCCAAGTAAATGAAGCATTACGGAAACCTATAGTATCGCTCGAAATCAGAGGTGGGGGTGTTCCAAGGCCTAATGCGTGAGTAGTCTGTTTCTCAGAGAATTCGTCTAAAAGCTCGGTCTGCGGAGAATGTCAGATTCGTGCCGTAGGCAGTCTGAGCTCGTACCTTCTGCAAAAACTCATTCATACGGTCGAGTGATACCTTAGCTATGTTGTGCTTTTTTAGATGCAACTACCCACCGTCCGTGCAATGAACATACCGCGCATGAGCCTGGGGATCCCGCCGAACGTCATGTGCAACAGTCCGCTGACCATCTCAAAGACTATTGGAGGCATCAGCGACAGCTAGTATATCATGCAATTTGTGGTGTACCAGTCATGGCAGAGAAAACCGTAGATGCTGTCAAAAGTGTGAGCCACCTACTGTGCTGCGCAGAAGAAGAAAGTACCAGTGAGCTGTTCCTTCATGATCAAAGTCTATTCAAAACGTTAGTTGTCGATCAAAGCCTCAAGACGTTGACACAACACACATATATTAGGTACGTAATGACCATGGTGATTGGAGGAATGATGTGACTGAGTCAATAGTGAGCGATTCGCGGTCTATCGGAACGATTGAATGAAGTATACACGTACTTGAGGTTATTGTTAGCCAGTTCCAATAGCTTAGAAGTCTTGATCCAAGTCAGCTCGTCTTCGCGCTTTGCACCCAGCTGTTTCGACAGGCGCGGTTCCCAACCAAAAAGCTTGATCATGCGGATAGCGTTCATGGCTACGGTATCATGGTGATTCAGTACACCGTCCCCGGGATGAACAGCCAGACAGCTACCTTCAGTGACAGCCTGTACGCGTACGTCTGTCTATGTCGTACACGTTGAAGACGCCGGATTAGACATATATGCATAGGATCTCTTACCTTATTCATCTTCTCAGCGTGAACTCCTCGAATTTTTCCTGACAGTATGGAAGGAAGGGGCAGCATCAGAACCATTATTGCCATACCGGCGAGGGCACTGAGACGCCGCGAATATCAGGAACCTTCGTAAAGTAGGCGTAAACTGGCGCTAACCTCCATCCCAAGACGTCATAGAGAAACCAGACACATAAGAGCAGCTGCACGGGGACTTGGACAACTTGCGCAATTCAATCAGCAATTGAAAGAATGACTGCTATTCGTCCAGATGTACCAAACTGGAAGATATCGCGAGCCCCCGCAATCGCGTCCAGGTCTGTGGTGATCAAGTTATTGACCTTCCCGGTCACGTTCGATCCCTCGGTTTGTGTATCCTCGCTCGATGCACTGGGACCACTGGAATCCTTCTGGCTCTGCTGGACGGAAACCTTCGACTTGTCCTTGCCCTGCGTCGTAGTCGTCTCGCCAGCAGCCGTGTTGGTGCCGCTCAAGGTGACATCATCCTCGCTGTTGGCAGCATTGGTGTGTGTACGTGTGCTGCCCGATTCTGCAAGGGACGCCGTATCGGGAGTACTCGCGACAGTTGTACTTCCCGTGGAAGTCGATGTTTCCGGGACATCGGCCATTATCCGCATACGCAGAGCGTGATCGAACACCAGCTGAGTCAGAATCGCCTCGATGCGGACCAGTATATGTTCCTACAGCTCAAGCGGTTAGCTCAAAGGCGCACGCGTTACCAGACTCGACGTACGGATAGGAAGAAATAATATGACAAGATGGTAACGCGAGCCGCGGGCCCCAAGAATAGCCACGAGATCCAAACCCATGGCTTCACCACAGCGCCCTCTCCTCCAGTCTCCATGTACCTGAGCCAAGTCAGTTCATGACATGTCCCAGGCACGCTGAACACATACCAGAGCAAATTTCTTATGCCGATAGGGTCAGAAAAACGTGCGACCACCTAATACGGATCAGCAATGGGGAAAACACAGTCGGCGCGATACGTACGAAAAGGAACTGCATAAGCGCCATAATCGATAGGTCGCGGCCTATGCGGTTACAGTTTGGTTGGACGACCCAATCGAGGTGTTCATTCAACTACTCACGAAAAGTCTTCGCTAAGCCCCAAGCGACATGCCGACCCTTCGTAACTTGGAAAGGATCGAGTTCCTGCAGCACACGCGCAGTTGAGACACACAATTAATGTTTTCATGAGAGTATGTAGTATGTACTTTGAACGACCTTTGTACGAGGTTGTGCGCCTGATCGTAGTCTGCTAGCGGCGGTAGTTCTTCGATGGGGAGGTGAGGTGCGCGGTAGGCTTTCAACACCGTTTTATCCAGCCACGTAAATATCATCCTCGATAGTACGGATGCGGTTTGCTCGGGATGAGGTTCTGAAGAAGGATGCTATAACGTGTTGTATGTTCACGAGATTCACAAAGTAGAATAGACGACCCATCTCACCTTAGGATCAACAGGTGTATAGCGCCGTGGAATTGACAGTGGGACGAAGACTGCAGCAAAGGTGAGGTCGGCGAGTTGAACCCACAATATGACGCCTTCCGCCGCATCGAGTGGGCTGAGGGCGAAGGTAGCGAGAGGCCAAACATCTCGATAGACATATACCCCCCATACCGAGAGTAAGACGAAGTCAAGGTGTCGGATTGCTATTGTTGCTACTCCTGACTTCGCAAACACAGAAATTATTGCCAGGAACGACGCGTATATCTGAGGTAGCCGTGCAGTCAACTGTGAAAACATTGTATGCAAATGAGAACATACATATATTAGGCAAACAGCGATATGCAACAATGCATGGCTTTCCGTCGACAAATCATGGATGATCGGGATGGCCAACAGGCCGACCAGTGAGACACAGGAGAGCATTCTAGCAATATTGAAGGACAATATTCCGACTCCTCCGTGTCGAGCGACATATGATGCGAATATGTTCCGGCTGTTACATCTATGGCTCGTAGAGACAGGCGCTTCCCCGCGCTCGCTTTGTGACGCTAGAGGTTTGTTACTGAGCGTCCTAAACAGCAGAAAAAGCTGTATCAGCAGCAAGGCGAGCGAAGCGCCAGCCGCATATAGCGGGATCATGCGGGAATCTTTATAGACGCATCTGACGATGTAAACTAACTTGACAATATCTCAAGACACGTAAGAGGAACTTACTTATGTTCGTCGTCAACAACTAAAAACGTTGATGGCAACCATATGTTGAGTTTCTGGGTCAAAATAGCCTGAGTTGTGTCAACGAGAGAGCGGGCGCTTCTCAATTGAACTGCAATACTCATGGCCGGTGCCCAAAGTATGGCCGAGATGGAAGCAAGGAAGTCTGTCGACTACTTTGAGTTTGCATGTGCTTTTTACATCGATGTCCGCGACCGACTCACTTTGCGTTATCTTTCGGTTGCGACATCGGGACCGACGTGACTGGGTACGTACATAGTGTTGCTGGTTAAACTGCGCCCAATCGTCGGCAATTGGCGAATGCCTGAGCGAGTTTTGTCCACGACGCTATGAGTACCACTCACTGCATGCATCTAATAACTTGATGAGCGAAATGACCAGCAATAATTAAGATCGTCTCAGCCACTTTCCGGACGTATATCCTGACCAATGCCGGAAGCGAAGTTGATGCGGAATTCGTGATCAACGGCCGAGACCAAGTCCGTGCTGTTCCTAGATCTAGATCTGTGTATAATCAGTCACATAACGAATTGCAAGCGCTCGCTCTTAATTGGCTGGGGGCATATTCATGACTTCACTTCGTCTCAGCTTCAAGTTGCATGGCATATGCCATTAGGAAATCAGGAAGACTCGGCTTAGGGCTGGGGATCAGAAAGAAAGTACAGTCAAGACGACGATGTGCAGTATCGAGGCGACGGATCTCTGGCCATTTCAGGACTCGGAGGACAAGTTCCAAAATCCACACTAGCCCTCTCTATCGCCCATCCCGGATGGTTTCTGCATTTTGCTATCTCTCCATATCACCACAGCATATGTTGGAGCCTAGGATACGAGATAGCCCGGATTTTGTTGATTGACAGCTTGCTGTCAGCATCAGTATTTCAAAGCACTAGAACACCGTTCAGCTGTGACTCAACAGGCTACCGAAGCATGCGTCATAGGCGTCATCCTGTGTTGGATCGCAGAGGGTATATGTATTGATGGATAGCAGTAGTATGCCTCGATTCTTCCTCTTATCTGAGTACCGTGCCAAAAGGTAAGGTCAGAATGAGGCTTGGGATGCAGGAAGTCCTGTCCATACCGCTTCCTCTAGAAGCGGCATTTCTCTCGCCTATGAAGATCTATGCCAGTGTACACCAAGTCACGTATGTCTGCGCTCTCCCAAACAGTTGTCTTATCTCACGTACGACTCCCGCAGCGATTTCTCCGACACGCTTACATTTCCGACGTATGCGGGATGCGTCTCGTTGGTGGTTTTCCTCCTCCAGCTGCTGTACATGAGCTTGTGGAGAAATCGGTCTGCTAGGAAGTCGGCTCCTGAAGACATCTCAACGAATAGCGCCGATTCTGATACAGTGTTTCCCGAAGAAGAAACTACCGAAGTCGATACACAATCACGTATTGCGCGCCATGACACTCCACAAGGGGGTTCGACTATTTTTGCGTTCAACGTTGGCAAGCTGGTCGCATGTGCAGTGTTGTTGACCTTGTCGCTCATCTCTTGGGTTGTGAGCTTGTCTGATGACGATTCGTCGGCACTTGGTCTTTCGCAAACGTGGGTCTTAGGAGGCCTTTGTTTGACGCACGTAAGTGTCATACCATATCTATGTGTGATTTCAAGCGCTCACAATGGGCGGTCAGGCATATGTCCTGATCCTGACATTCGTCCCTCTATTGGCCAAACCGGCGTGGGGCTCGATTGCCTCTGGACATGCCACACTTGTCCTACTCTGCGCATTGGCAGTATATTTATATCGCGATGTGTGGCCATACGCGACGTTCACACAAAAGCCGCTCGACACCTCTGAGGGCGTGATGCTTTGGGTCAAGATAGCCGATCTGATTGTTGCGGCGCTCATCATTCCTTTATTTACGCCGAGAATCCACGAGCCATTCGATGCTAAGGTAAGAATACCAAACGGTACAGTCAGTTGTTTTTGCTCACCGTATATATGTAGAACCCATCGTCACATCCGCATCCTGAGCAAACAACACCAATCCTATCGCTCATGTTATTCTCGTGGTTAGACGAGTTGGTAATGAAAGCGTATCGCATGCCACATCTTCCGGTCGACGAGCTTCCGCCCCTGGCCGATACTGATAGCGCGGGGAACCTGGTCAAGCGAGCGTTCAAGGTATGTGCCAGATGATCGCATCGTCTCGTTGTCTGATCACACGCATTCCTCAGGAACTCGATCCTTTACTAGTGAAAGACCGGCATATCGGGTGGGGCCTGCTTAAGGTTTTCCGTATGCGATGCACGTCTTCATTGATGTGTTTGTACTGATGTACTACGTTGAACGTCCCAGGAGGTGACATCTTCATAATGAGCACGATGCTTATCCTTTACGTACGATACCTCCGGTGTCTTTGTACGTATGTTCTGTCGCTGATATGTCTCCAGGTCCTCTCCGAGTTCGGTAACCCAGTAGGGATCAAGTATTTGCTCGCGTCAGTAGTCAGACACAGTTCATAGATAATTTACGGTGGCTGAACCTTCCTGCAGATATATCGAGAGTGGTGGTGCCGACGCCGACGTGCGGCCCTGGGTCTGGATTACATGGTTCTTCATCGGACCAATGGCAGGAGTGATTGTCTTTTCATTATACTACATGGCTTCGGTAGGTTGTCGTCTGTGTACCTCTTGCGTGAGCTTCCTAACATGCGCTCAGATGAGGGTGGCGGTGCAGCTGGAGGCTGTTGTCACCGAGCTCGTCTTCACCCACGCCCTTCGGATCCGTATGAAAGCCGAGACATCGGAGGACGCACCTACCGCCCCTGTGACCCCCGTTAATGCGTCAGCTGTGCCGTCGAGTGCAGCTCAGAGCGAGGATGAGGCCACTGTTCGTGAGGAAGAGACATTCGCGGATTCGACTACTGCGAGCACTCAGTCAGCTAAGGCTAAGCAAAAGTCAAAAAGCACACCCGAGCAAGCGGTTGTGTTGACTCAGCCGACAGCAGGCGAAGAGAAGGACAGGGACAAGGACAAAAGTCTCGTTGGTAAAATCAACAATTTAATCACGAGTGATCTCGCAAATATCACCAAAGGGCTTGAGTATGCTCAGATCTGTAGGTTATAGCGACATGCTTGTCTCTTCCTGTTCTGATGATATTCCTTCACCAGTCGTACGAGTTCCTGTTCAGCTTGTGTTGTGCGTCTGGTTTCTTTACACGATCCTCGGATGGAGGTAGGTCTAGTCCTCCTTTCCGTGCTCAAGATCCCACTTACCCATTCCTTCTTGAGCGCGTTTACCGGGATGGCTGTCATTGTAGTGCTACTTCCCGTTTCTGGAATGCTTGCGAACATGCTACGCGGAATACAAACTACACGATCGAAGAGGGTAGGCATCGGCTTTTGAAGAGGAACTCCCGCTAACACGTTTCTAGACCGATGACCGTGTTCAAAGTGCGACTGAGAGTACGTAAACGTCCACACGTGTGAACCTGCTTATCTGATGTCTTCTTGAAACTGTTAGCCCTGGGTGTGATCCGGATGGTCAAGTTGTTCGGCTGGGAATCGCACTTGATGCGTCAGATATCGAAGAAGCGTGAAGACGAGCTAGCTTGGTTGAGGAAGAGCAGACTGCTGAACCTTTTCAACAGCATGGTCGAGTAAGTTTTCTGCCCTTTGTCGTCTTGCGCTATTCACAATTCTGATTCTAGCTACTTTATTCCGTTGTCGACAATGATGATCACGTATTGGACCTATGTATGTCTTCTAACCCACCTGCCATTGATGAGCTGAGATCTGATAGCCTATATACGGCAGATTGTTGTCATGCGGCAAGAGTTAACGGGTAAAGTGATGTAGCAATAACGGAATGAAGATTTGCATGACTGATATTGAGTTCACAGCGTCGAAGGTCTTCTCCTCCATAACTGGTATGCGGTTCTGTGTCTGTGACCGCTGAGCCCGCTTACTCAGATGGGCGTAGCGTTCTCAATGCTCACTAGCCAGATCCACGTGTGCTTCGGGCTACTCCCGGAATTCATTCAAGGTATTGTTCGTTGTCCTCTCAAGGGAAAGTCATGTAACGCCATTATCAACAGCGAAAGTGTCGCTCGATCGTCTCAACGCATTCTTACACGAAGTTTGTCCGCACCCCACAAAGCGCTGCTCACTTCTCAATTATGCTTGGCTTAGACGGAACTTCTGGACGACTTCTCCGAAAACACCAGCCCCAATCCTGACGAGCGAAGAATCCATAGCAGTGCTACAGACCTTGATGTGATTGGCTTCCGAGACGCGACGTTCACATGGGCCAATGAAGAGCAGGCACCGCCTGATGGACGTTCACGGCAGAGATTCATGTTACGCATCGAGAACGAGCTCACATTCAAGCAGGGTTATATCAATCTCATCGTCGGCCCTACAGGCTCCGGGAAGACCTCGATGCTGATGGCCCTATTGGGTACGATGGCTCCAGAATCTCGGATTGGGAATGAGGAACTCAACATGGTATTTAGGTGAATTGCACTACATCCCGTCAGGATCAAACTCCTACGTCAATCTACCTCGCAATGGCGGTATCGCATTCGCAGCTCAGGAATCATGGGTACAAAACGAAACTATACGCGTGAGTCTTGCGTAGGCGATGCTATCTGAGCTTATGCGCCGCATCAGCAAAACATCCTGTTTGGTGCAACGTACGACGAAGCACGGTACAACAAAGGTGAGCCGATTGTTGTAAGCCAGTGAAATGCATGCAAATGATCTGTTCAGTGATTTATCAGTGTGGATTGAAACGAGACTTGGAGCTATTCGACGCCGGTGATATGACGGAAGTTGGCGAGAGAGGAATAACGCTCAGGTTTGTACGGTCCGTCTCATTATGGTTATCGTTGACCCTTACGGACACGCAGTGGAGGTCAAAAGGTGATACATCTGGAAACTCCCGAGACGTCAGCTGTATGGCTAAGATTTGTTTAGGCACGGGTTACTCTCGCTCGTGCGGTATACTCGACCGCTGAGATATTTCTGCTTGATGACGTGAGTACCATCAATCGAGGTTCATTATCACAAGCTGATACTGCTTAGATATTGGCGGCTCTTGATGTGCACACTGCTCGCTGGATAGTTGAGAAATGCTTGAAGGGTGACCTTATCCGAGGTCGAACCGTACTCCTGGTCGTGAGTGATATTTTGAATTATCAGTCATGGACCTCGATGGTATTCGCAGACTCATAATATCGCAATGGCGAGCCCTGTGTCTCAGTTTGTTGTTTCTCTTGGAGTTGATGGACGAGTCTTAAGTCAAGGATCGCTCTCGAGCGCTCTGGCGCATGACAAGACGCTTGCTGCTGAAACAGAAAAAGACCGCCAAGCCATCGAAAAGGTCGAATATGATGCCATTGCGGAAGACGTCTACGAGAGTGCCAAGAAGGCCAGTGGGAAATTGATTTTGGAGGAGGAGATTGCTGAAGGCCACGTTGGCTGGTCAGCAGGTAGGTTTCGCTATCTCCCGTCCTATGCAGAACTAATGGTCGTGCAGTGAAGCTGTACTTGACAAACCTTGGGGGCCGACACCAAATTATCTTCTGGATCGGTTGCTTGGGTGCTCTCTTCGTGTCCGAGTGCATCGAAACTTCCCAGGTGTGGTATCTAGGTTATTGGGCACGACAGTACGAGGAGCATCCCGCGAATGAGGTCAAGGTATCATTGTATGTTTCTGTATAAATTAAGACTCGCACGTCATATGACTGAGTCACCACAGGTACCTGTTTGGGTACGCCACTCTACTGCTAGTGTCATTGGCGTTTTACGCCTTGCACTACACGGTGTACACATTTGGGACCATCAGAGCCTCAAAAATCATCCACAACTCCCTGTTCGCATGCGTGCTTGGTACCACATTGAGGTAATGTTGATCAGCCTTTGATAAATACTCGCACATCTGTGGGTACATACGAGATGGTATGCACATGTCGCCCTCTGGCGTACACCGTAGCACGTTGTACAAGGCCACCCGTGCACGAGTCAAGCATTTGCTTCACAGAATGAATCCGTTATAAGAAGGGCAAGGCTAATTATATCTCAGATGGCTCGATAAAACACCTACATCTCGCATCATCGCTCGATGCACACAAGACACTGGCGAGGGTGAGCAATCAGTCCCACTACGCTGTACCCCCTCCCCCCATTGAACTGAGTCGGCGACAGTCGATGGAAGCATTTCTAGGGTACTCGGTAACATCATGAACACGAGCGACGCAATGATTGTCAAGCTTGCGGCTGTGGTCCTCATGTCTCCATTCTTCTTGATTCCTGGAGTTTTGCTCGTAGCATTGGGAGGGTGGATCGGTCAACTGTACATGAAGGTGCAGTTGTCCGTCAAGCGCGAGAAGAGCACTGCGCAAGCCCCTGTTCTAGGCCTATTTGGCGCTGCATTCGCGGGCCTTGGTATGTGGATATTACCGCTCACTTCATCAAATCACTAACCCTCGGAGAGTAGTCTCCATAAGGGCATACGGTGCAGAAAGCGCCCTTAAGAAGGAGTCCTATGCACGGATTAATAGGTACACTCGGACGGCGAGGATATTCTGGAATCTGAGCCGGTAGGCAATCCTCATACAGCGCGAGCACAATACTGATCATAGAGCCAGATGGATGAACATCCGGATCGAGGCTCTAGGTGCTATCTTCTCAACTGCTCTTGCTGCATATCTCGTCTATTTCGACAAGGCCTCCGCCTCGAAAATAGGGTTCTCATTGAACATGGCAAGTATGTGAACTGTCCGGGAGGTAGATTCCTTGCTTATTTGTCTTTACCAGCTGTTTTCAGTGACCAGATCTTGTGGTGGATCCGTGAGTTCAACAGCTTTGAAGTTTCCGGTATGTGCATGACCATAATAACCCGGTATCGAACAAAACACTGAAAGCAGGGGTTCAGCAAACAGGTATGCCGAGCATGGTTTATACTGAGGGGCCCAGACTCTGACGCTGTGTCAGCCTGGAGCGCATCAAACAGTATATGGACATAGAACAGGAGCCTAAATCTACTGACAGTGGAGTTCCTCCGGCATATTGGCCTTCAAGTGGAGATCTGAAAGTCGAGAACCTGTCAGCCCGATACTCACCGGTGGGTGGTGATACCCAATTTCGAGTAAAAAGTCAAGTCTCACAGAAATGGCAGGATGGTCCCCTTGTATTACAAGACATCTCATTCGAAGTAAAGTCCGGGGAACGAGTGGGCATCGGTATGTGGTCATCGTGATAGATGCCCTGTTGTGATAACGAAGTATGCTGCCATATAGTGGGACGCACTGGAAGTGGCAAGGTATATAAGCAAGCCTTACTTGCCTTACTTGCATGACCATTGCTGACACCACCACAGAGCTCCTTGACGTTGGCTCTCCTGCGGTGTATAGTGACGGAAGGCAAGGTATACTATGACGGTCTTCCAACCGATAACCTCAATCTCGAGGCACTCCGCTCGCATATCACTATCATTCCTCAAATGGTTCGTACATTCTCCAATGACCCTTCCGTGTGCGTAAACTCAGGTGATCGCCTTACAGCCCGAGCTCCTCAGTGGAACGCTGCGTCAAAATCTCGATCCATTTGAAGACTACGACGACGCGGTTCTCAACGATGCACTTCGCTCGGCTGGATTGTTCATCCTGCAACAAGACATGGACGAGGGCCGCATAACACTGGATACCCAAATATCCAGTGGCGGAAGCAACCTGTCGGTCGGCCAGAGGCAAATTCTGGCGCTTGCTAGGGCCATCGTGCGGCAGAGCAAGCTCCTGATTCTGGATGAAGGTGCGTCGGTGTTAATCCTATAGGACTAGATTTATGACTGATGCCTCCGGAATAGCCACCTCTGCTATTGGTGAGGGATCACGAGATTCAATTGCCAGTGTTGTCAGGCTAACATGGCTGCGCAGATTATGACACCGATGCCGTCATCCAAGAATCCTTGCGCAAGGAACTGGAGAACGGCGTCACAGTGCTGACGGTCGCACATCGTCTCCAAACCATCATGGACGCAGACAAAATTGTGAGCATACCGACGTCCGTGTTTGTATGCGTCGGCCTAATCAGCTCTTGTACAGATGGTGCTGGATGCGGGCCGAATCGTGAGTCGTGACGAGTCAGATTCGGCTTGTACTAACATTCACCGTCTTAGGTTGAATATGACAAGCCCAGCGAACTTCTCAAAAACAAAAATGGCCACCTTCATGCATTGGGGAAGGAGAGCGGAGATGTAGAGAAGTTGTACGCTATGGCCGCAGGAGCGGGGGCTTCTGCCTAACGGATCACTTTTGCTGCGATTCTTGTAACCATATTCAGCGGCCAGTCACTGTTCGTGTCTCGTGCTGGGACTGTCATGTGTCTCAGATATACAATCTACGTGTGGTAGAATCTTGATTACCGTGCGGGTCGTCAAAAACAACCACCCAGATGAAACGCCAAGATCATGGCATCTTGCACGCCTTCGTACAATCCCACCCTCACGTCGTCTCGGCGTAAATGACCTTTCCATATGTATCATCAAACTCTTTCACCATACTGAAGTACTTCGACCTTTCTGGCTAGCGTCGCCCTTACTTCACTTCTTTTCCGTTGCACCTCTATGAGGACCGCATACTCCCCTGCTGACATGGGGGTGCCAGGTAGACGGGAGATCGACGACGGGAGGGAGCAAGGGCCCAAGCAGATGGTCGAGAAGTGTGTGGGAGTGCGTATGAATAACATCAAAGTCATTCACTACATGTGCGACCAAAGTAGGGATGTTGGATTCCTGCATACGAATAGTCAATGGTGCTGCGGGTCGTAGAGGAAGTGTGCTAGCTCCCTTTAATGTGACCGACAGTGTGTTGTACTCCTCAATTGCCAGTCGCTTGATTGGCTCTACACTGGGGAGTTTTGAGTCATCGATTATGCGTTCTCCAGATATATGAACTGATCACAATTCTTCCCTGCGCAAATGGCTGCAGCGGCTGCAGAAATTAGAATACGAAAGCCGAAACCTCCGCGCGTCTCTATCAAGGAAGATGTGCTTGAGAACGGGACAGTCAGTACCATGCCCTGTGGCTGTACATTCTCTCCAGCTAACCGCGAGCCAAGCTTGTCGGTAACACTGGTGCCTAGACTCTGACCATAAATCATACGTCTTGCTCAAGCGGCGTGTACATCCAGAGCCAGACCCACCTCCGACGGTGATCCTTCGCTGTCACCGAAGCCACGGTAATCGCTCACAAAATGTTGGCTTGCATACGAGACGTGCACGCAACATAGCTTTGCACGTAGTCGAGCGCCGTCTGCCTGGGCCACGGAGATACAGGATAGTGGATAGGCTTGGATTACTGCTTGGATTATCTCGAGAGACGGCGGCGATGTGGGATACCCGCCGGAACTGGTCCGAGCAGCTATAGCTTGGTCGCGGACACGTGGCTGTGAGTTTAGGATATTCCAAATATGGCACTTTTCCTGAGAGCATGTTTGCCTTGCGGTCAACTCGCGGCCACCTTGCGGCTCTCACAATTGTCTCCAAGCTGATATGAACGCTCACAGTGCAGCTCACGCTCATAGTATCTTCATCGTCTTTATCCTGCTGTCAATACCATCTCTTCCATATTCTGGAAAGCTTTGCTCTACCAGTTCATACTCTAGCACCACAAGCCGCACCATGCGACTTGGCCCTCTGTTTCCAACATCACAGTCGTAGGGCAACATTCGTACTCGGGACGCGACTCAGATTAAAATGCTTCAATGCCAGCAGCAATGTTCCACCGAGAGGAAGGAATAGCTAGCATCGGGCTGCAGCCATCGGCGTGCGTGAGCGTCATGATGCGTTCGCACTTAAGTGTACTGGTCACTGGCAATAATGTGTCTCGGCAGTGCGTACTTTCCCAATGGAGACCTTGACAGATGGACGTGTTCTTCCTTTCTTGAGTAGCTCTATCGAAGTACTGTCGCTGACCCAGCCTACAACAGACTCGTGTTCAGATGAAATCACCAAGCACTATTGTGCAATTAGGTTCGCACATCCTTGTGGAGCCTCTCTATGAATGCATCCACTCTTTTGTGTGCTGAGTGCGGCATAGACTGACATGGGAGCCGTCGCTCACAGCTCACGCGCGCTTGCTTTTTGTTAAGGTCAGGTTCTCGTCAGGGAGATCACTTCCTTACCTTTTATGGAATGCTACCGCCGATACGCCTTTGCGTCCGTCTGGGCTTCCCTGTTACCCGCCTTGATAAGTTAACGGATCCCTGTCTCCCTGGTATCCGAGTCGATTGTTAATGCCCTGTGAGAGCGTTAGCGTTGCTCTACATAAGATGTTCACGTCCCGTCCCGCGAGGAACACCTTTAATTCTCTCCATGTCACCTATTCTCTATCTTCCTTCTCAAGTCATGACCTCTGAGCAGGCAGTGAGCAGAGTACAGGATCTCATCGACAATTATCGCCGCCGTAAGCCTTTGTTGTCTTTGTGAAGTACGATCTGGCTGACGAATGCCTGGAAGACACGGAGGTACCCTCGTCGACACTACCCACGGCGATGCGCCTGATAATTCGACAAGCTTTCGAGGAGTTGGCGCATTGGACTATGCGCATTGAAATATACCTCCCCCAGCTACCTATGTTCTTCCCCGACGATATTGTGCGCCAAATCATCATCATCGTAAGCAGTGCACACGCCAACTGATTCTTTGTTTGTCCATCCAGACCCCTCTTACACAGTTCCCAGGTCGTCCTCGTTCACGAACAACGAGACCTACTTGCGCATCCCTACCACACTCCGGACGCCGCTCAATATATCCTATCCAGGTCACAAATCTCTTTCATGACAACATACTTGATGCAGCTGCATCATAACCTGGCGAGAGCCCGCAATTGGTTGGCCTCGAAGGAAGCCGAGCACCACAAACATCGCGTCAATAGTGCCATTCTAAGGATGCACGAATCGTTGTGCACCTTCACGCATGAAGATTCCGTGACTTGCGGCGAATACTCGTCTGCGCAATGCTTTCATTGCCCAGCATCACTACGATCGTCGATTCCGTCTGTGGATGCCCTAATCCCCGACTGTAACTATTGTCGTCGACACGGACTCTCGCCCTCGGAGATGCACCGGGATTTCGGTGAGCTGGGCGCAGACCATCTAGGATTCCTCCTGCGGAACTTCTACCCCCTCAGCCTCTCCTGGAAAGATCTACCCCACTATCGCTCATGGCGAGGTCCGAACGCCCAGCGACAGTCCAATCGCAGTCATAGCAGTGGCTCTAGCTCTCCTCTCTGCCAGTTCCTCCGGACAGTCGATCACCTCATCCCTGTGTGCATTGGAGTGCCTCGTCATACCTTCAATGCTAGATGGCGGCGCGCTCCCAGCGATACCCCCAGCTCCTTGTCCGGCTCCGACACAGTCTTTGGGACCGGCAGCGATCGTAGTTCACAGAGGGCCAGACGACCATCACTCAGATTAGACACATCGTGCTCTCCGAACGCGTCAGCAAGCAGAAAACGCCATCGCGCCAACGATCCGAATCTACACCCTTGGTCCCCCGCTGCCACCTCAGCACCCGTTGCGAAGAGAGCGCGTCGCTTCTCTCCTAGCTTGATGAGGTCTGTCCCGCGCAGGACCATTCGGCGCACCGCGTTCTTCCCTCCTCCATTTTGTGCTATTGGCAGACCTCAGACTCCGCATCGAGATGACGCTGACATTGAGACGGACTCAGGCTTTGACGAGGGGTCTACAACCGGCATATCGCTATCATCTTGTATCTCATCGTCACCTTCCCTCTCGACAGCGTCTTCCATATCGTCGTCGTCTTCTGTAACGGCGTATGACAGTGATTCGGACGGGAGGTGCGCATACGTGCCTGACTTAGATATCAACGATGGCAAAAAGTACACAAGTGAATCCGTGATGGAGATCGACGACGGCGAACCACCTGCCGATGTGCAGAGGCCCAGGAGGTCGTCTTGGCTAGACGCTCTGTTGAGTTTATTCTCTTTGCGTCGTTGATGTCTGCGACACTGTGAGTGTTTGTAATGTTATCTCCGACTTGCATGGCACGGCGCTCACACGAGTACGCAGGCTATGATATTCGCGCGGCTCATCCGATCAACCTCGTCATGGACTTGAGGTTTGGCGCTGATACAGTGTCCGTTGACCTGTCGACAACGCGAAGAACGCATGACGCGGCCCTTGCTCGCTGATGGCCTTGTACAAAGATCTAGGCCTATCTGTGCGGGTCCGAGTTGTCTGGTTGTTCAGATGTACTCTCATGGCTGCTGAGTGTTAGATTTCGGCATTGCTGATTGACGTTGTGCTGATAATGCTCCGCAATACGTAGTCATCCCAGCTTCAATCGCGTCTCGCTCGACGCCCATGCGCTAGCACTCATAGAAAGTCTCTACTGCTCTATGTGTTATAGGAGATGAATGTGTGTGGCATGTGTATACGCGTAGTCACGTACCCTCATTATGCGGTTGCAAATTATGATCAGTATATACGCTGTATTCATGGTTCTCAACGATAATATCATGACTAGTTTCAAATAATATTTCTGCAAAAGACGTCTAGATGCGTAGATAGGATCGAGTAGTCCATGAGGCGCTGACCCGCGTCTCGGCTGCATACCGATTTGTACATCTATGTATAAGCAGAATTCATTGTCCATTCTTCTGTGATTGAAGGGACCGCGAGGAGCCCGGCGCTTTCGGCCATGCTCTAGACCGAATTTCGAAATGGTGAGTGCATTGCGCAATCTGGTTCGGAGGCGCGAGTTTGCTGATGAAAAGGCGGTAGCCAATGACGACATCTAGAGTGCGCTTCTGCCGGCGTTATCGTGCGGGACGTGTGGAACAGGTACATCTACGAGCTTCTGTTCGTCGTGATCTCCGGTTTAATTCCCAGCGTGAGCGTATTATACCGAGCAGTCGACGTCCTGCCCCCAGGTCTCGATTGTCGGCAAAGGCAGCGGACGGTACATCCTCCTCAGAGTATCATTGATCATGCTATCGGCCAACCTGAGCAACCTCTAGGCGAATTTTCTCAAGTTGGCCTGCTGGGAGTACGTCAACATTTTTTGCCACATGTGTACTGTTTGTACTGACCCATTAGAGGGCAGGTCGAGCTCACTATAGACATTGCATTGGTGACTTTCGTCAACGAGGTCGCGACTTTGTGATGCTCGCCGCGCACATAAAGTGCATGTTCACCCCCAATCGACAGAGCTCGTAACCGAGCCATCTCGTTGATGAGAGCTCGAGCAGTAATCGACCACAGGATCTAGCCCGTGGATCGTCAGTATACACAGTGCTTGAAAGTGTAGGAGGAAGTAGCTTACAGCAAATATCGGATCAACGAAAGCCAATTGAGCGAAATCGACGCCATCAAGGGCCGCAGACGCGGCTTTGGAAGCCACAACATCCTTACTCTCAGTAAGTCCATCCATGTGCTTGAAGTTCTTGTGCAGTTGGATTGTGGCAGCGCGACCAAGAGTATGACACAGCAAGAGCTGTAATGCAGCATCTCTGTCGATAGACATTTCCACCGGAAGCAGCGATCCAAGGAAACGGTCTATCACGCAGTCAAGCGCCACAAAGCTCGCAGCAAATTGCTCTTCATTTGTATCTGTCTCACATACGTGCATGAGATAGATGAGGAGTCGACAAACCACCAAAACGCACTATGTGACCACCGAGCGGCAAGTGTGGTGGCTCGCTCAAATAGCACAGCTGCTTTTGCCCGTAAGGCCACAGCGGAGGAACCCTCAAGAGGATTCTGCATAGCATCCGAGAGAAACGTCCCAACTGTACGTAGACCCCAGGACCCACTTAAGGCCCCATTCTGACAGCGCCCAAAATAGTATCAGCGGTCGATCATGCGGTGCGTGAGACACACATACAGTCTCGTATTCTTGCATAGCCAACGGCCACGGCGTATCTACCCGAGGCCCGTGAGAACCATCAAAACGCGACGTCGAGTGTCGGCCGGTGGCCCAGCATTTGTCGAGGATGTAGACGTGCCAGAATGCATGAATCCGTTCCCCCTCCTCTATTGGATCATTTGTTGGGGGCAAATCAAATTCCATACCGTGTACAGCGTCCAAGTGAACATTTGGAGACTCCAAGGAGCGCAGCTGATAGAGGCGACAGCTCAGTGCAAGGCTGGTCGCCGCATTGCGGTGGAATTGAGCATCCTGCAAACGCCCACTTGTGAAGTAGTAATGGGCCAGAAGAACCTCTGCTTGGATGGTATGAGTGACATTGTGCGCGGGCATGTGAGCAATGGAGCCGGTCAAGGCTTGTGTCGTGCGCGACAGGAACACGGGTTCATACACGAGGAGTGCGGGGGAAAGCGAGAAGCGAACACCCCATAGATATACCGCGTGTATCAGAGCGGACGATAGCAACCCTGGATGCCGTTGAGAACGCGGTATAGACATCTTCTGTAAGAAGCGGCCTTTATGGAGAAAGAAACCGACTTGATCTGCGTGTGAGAGAAAAGCATTGATCCTGTTCGTCGCCGTAAGCTGATACATCGCATTCGACCGCCCGTCCACTTACAACATCTGGGTAGCCGCTGGGGAAGGCTCTGATAAATTTGTCAGAGGAGAGGACAGGATGTTCGCTGCTTGCATGATGTAAGACGCCGAGAGGTTGTTGGGGGGTGTTAGGCTTCCGACCGCAGGACTGTCTGTCCTCGACGTGGCTAGTACTGTTATATTTTGTCAATACATGATCTACACGTAGTCGATTGCCCCTAATAGCGACAACGCACGCGACTGATTCCAAGCTGTACTTTCAGCTGAACTAGACGAACCTGCTGAAGGAGAAGTCTGTGGCGGCTCTAATTGTTGCAGCCGTGCTTCGAGCTGACTGATGTGGTCTTCGAGGGCTTGCTTGCGATTCGGTCGAGGGCCTTCCTCGAACTCGCATTCGCCTTGTCGTCCGGAACGCCGACATGGTCCACAAACTGGCCTGACACTATCGCATTTCTGGGGGAGCAAAGAAAGATGCTGGAGTGAGCTGGAAGCCACTCCAAAAAGAACGAGGAGTCAGCCATGCACGGACATATTTACGGCGTCGACAGACAAGGCAAGATGAATTACGGGGAGCTCTTCTGTGAGCTGAGGGGCCTGCGTCTGATTGAGTGGACAGCATGGAGTGAGAGTGGAGTGGGGTGTATTCTAACTCGAGCGTGATGCGGAGGTGAAGGTAATGGTTGCAGAACCTTCGCCTTATAACAAAGGTCGTCTGGGGCCACCGCAGTGCATCACGATTTCGTTTATTGCACGTCTCCGGATCCGAGCGAATATCCCCGCAGCAAGGTCAAGTTTGAGAGGTTGACATCTGACGAACGCCGAAGGAACAGCCAAGCTGTCGCTAGACAAAATGGCGGTAGTCGGAACGGACTTGTGAGGGGAATTCGCTCCCGCAGTTCATCTGCGCAGGAAACCGTCGATTTCGGAACAGGCTACATGTTGACCGTGTGCAATCTGAAGGATCATGGCCAGACTTATTGATTGCACAGCTTGTCTACGAAAACATGTCTCCTAGACCGATTCCTAAGTTGCTCCGATCTAGTCATTCAGTACAGAAATGTGGCGGGTCACAGAGATTGTCTGTCGCGTGGCAGTTAACTGCCAGATAGCTGGACTAGCAGAGCTAGAGTCTGTTGATGCCAAATACAGGTCGTAGTAGTAAACGACATAACCTTTGTTTGTGCATGTATGGCAAAAGCTTCTGACAGTCTATATATGGTATGTCATGTCGCAACCATTGTGGCTTTCGCCTTCCCTGTGCTGAAGAGACTGAACTCCGTTTAGTAGCTTCCCTCTGCGAGCTCGTGTAGACCCCCAATGCCTCAGCACATATTATAGCCTATAACGAGTTGCTCGTGCTCAGATGGCGCTGCGGACTCGCCTTTTGAACATGTGCTCTCGCAGCCGCATCAACGGACTACACAGAATGAGTCACTTTTGGGTGAAGCCGCAGCTGATTTGCCTGTCTATCTCGTTTATGTTGACGTATGTAGACTGCGATCAACCACTAACATGCTCTCACAAGATCGAACCTCGGTATCGGGTGCTGCGCATCCCCGGCTAACCGCAGTCATATCCTCGACGGATGAGATCGATTACACGGTGATCTGCACTCGATCGTGCCTTCGCTGGACAACGGAGTAGAGATAAAGTTAGCGGAGATGAGCCCCATATTTTTAGACATTAAGGTGCATTTCTCGGTTCATCGCCGACTACGGTCGAAATTTGAGTGTCTTCTGAATTCCTTGGATCGTAACACGGGCCCTTGTTGGCACAGTCCTACTAATGATGACGATTGCAGACGGGAAATGCTTCATAAGAATTAGACTTTGCATAGGACTGAACATGACGCAATCTTGCTCTGCCACTGATGGGAATCGACGCTGCGCTTTATCATCGTTCCAAGGCCGGTGCAATACTGCCATACACCATCATGATTTAGGAGCTGGGAATTGTCGCATACTCTGTATCAGATTCGGAGCCGAACGCCCGGCATAGAGGGCGGGCATGTGAGCCCAGGTAGTATTGACTGCGCATTGCGCATGTTGCTTCGTGTGGGACAGGTGAGAAAGGAAACCCGGATGATTAGACAGAAAGATCGGTGTTGGAAACTGGCCGAGGTATATCAGTAACAAGAGACTCGACGGTTAAGTGATCCAGTAAGCTACATTGATCTTATTGCATACTCTGGACTAGTGGCAAAACCCTTGAGATGTGAACACTACACCCCCACCCCCACCAGTAGCACAAATACCGATCAGAGTCCCTTCGTGGAATCGTGGCCTTACAATACTGCGACCAGAGGACAGGATGGACGGGGCAGGGTCGATCCACAAATTGTTGCATTGATTCGCGCTAGTATATTCTACATGCTATATGCATTGTTATGAGGCACGGCGACCAGCTTCCAGGTAACTTACTTGTAATAGCACATGTCAGAGCACATGGTGATAGCGTACTCTACAATTTACCAAACTCGCGAGCAGCCCCAGTACGAGAAAGCGTCATAGCAAACGGGCGGCAGTGGCATGGCCGGCATCCCACCACCTGATACAATGTCCACAGATCCTACAAGCGCCTGCAAGGTGCGCAGTATGTCCTTCTGTTCTTCGGACAGGCGGAGCTTGTGCGGGAGCTCGAGGATTAGGTGCTGCAGCGGGATCCCATAGTACGCACGGTCCGCCGCAAGCTTCTCGACCGCGGGCGGTAAAACTGTGCCAAGCATCAGGAGTCGGAGTGTTGACAATGCAGGTGCGGGCTGGAGGAGGGCGCCAGAGAGACCGAGGGCGGGAGTGCTCGATATATGCAGAGACTCAATCAGCGATCTGACTCCCTGGAGCACTGTGTCAAACAAGACAAGCTCCGTTAAAGCGGGCATGCTCGAAAGTGTCTGGCGTAACACGGTCAGTCTTGCCAAGGACGGGCAGGGCACCAGGCCATCCAGCCACCATAACTCTGTGCATCTAGCGAGCGGAAGCGCGGCCATGAGCGACGATAGCCACTCTGCGTCTAGCAGACTCGGGTGGCCGCTGTCGACGTCGAATTTCATACGCACCGCCGAGGCCGCTCCAGCTGCTGTCACGGTCAAACGAGACCGCGTGCCCTCCACGCAGAGCTTGGTGGCGGCCTCGAGCGCAGCTATGCGGGGCAGGTTGTGAAAGAAAGAGCCTGCGGGAACGCGCATGTGATCCAGCTGGATTGCCATGTTTGCGGGAAGAATGAGCTGTGAGAGGATGGCTGAAACGAAGTCAGGGGCGATGTGCACCATGGCGAGGTCGCGCATGTGGTCGAGGGTAACTTTCGGGCCGTTTGTGTCCACGCTCGCCATCGACGTGCTGAGATTAACGAGGATGAGCTGAGTGAGCCTGGGTGCACTTGAGAAGAAGCTCAGAAGGCCGGCGATAGACCCCATGCTTTGGTGTGATATGTTGAGATGCGTAAGGTTCGGGAAAGCATTGGCTGGGCGGATGGGGCATTGGTGCAACGAGAGGAATTTAAGGCGAGGGAGCTCCCCGCGACACAAAGTGATGGGCCTCGGCTGATGGGTGGAGGACGCAGAGGCATTGGAGTGAAGGAGTAAAACTTCTAGATTCGGCGCAGGGAAGTCCATCAGCCCACCAATTTTATCGTCGAAATTGACGGAAGCATAAATCGCCTGAAGACGGCCGCTGTGCATCTGCATCACTCCCTGGCAAAAGTCTGCTGATGGGGTGGCTCTGACGACGATGGACAGCGGCACAGCTTTGGACCGCTGCGAAAATGTCGCAGAGACGTTGCGGGGGGCGCGGCTGCTAATGCTGTGCCACAGCCGTGGGGTAGACAGAGCAGTTTGTCGCCAGTGCCGGCAGACGTGCGTCACCGGTAGGAGATCTTCGGTTCGCGTAAAAGACGCAAACGGAGCATAGCGATCCGAGACATAGCAGGGCTGTGGGATAAATTGGAAGATGTACGAAAGGAGCTCGGGCGGGAGGCGGTTGGGGAGCCGATGTGTATTGATTGTGGACCGCACGACGGTGCGGATGGACGTGAGGACGTCATCAAGCGATTGCAGCTGAGGAACACTCAGCCACGATACACAACGCCCGGCGGAACGGACCCACCAGGGACATGCTAATCAGTGAGTTAGCTAGTTCTTGGGCTAAAATCGGAGCTCGAGTCGCACGTACCTTGCTTCAGGCGCTTCTGCAATGACTTCAGCCAGCAGGGCCTCGGCTAGCTGGGTCGAGGTAGATCGGAGGGCGTTAGGAAAAGACCCGCAACATAACCAAGGCATAGCTAGGGCTGGACGAGGCGTAAGCGTGTTGGCCGGCTGTTCCAGACAGCTTATAGGGAAAACTGACAGGGGAGAACAGTATCCAATCGCTCAAGCGGGCTCTGGGTTGAAGCGCTCCTCTCAAACGGCGCATGCGCCTATCACCTGCCTGTGCTAAGCATACATGATGACCATGTCACAAGACCGCTACGAGCTGTCTGCGGAGCAGCGAGCACCGAATAGGAGCGTGAGCATGACCAGTGCTGAGAACGGTATGTCATCAATCTTCGCAGGCCGGGGTTGCTCACATGCCCTCCTGCCTGTCGCATTGGGGAATGACCTCGCCAAGCGATGCGAAACAGTAAGCGGTTCTGTTGAGTGTCCTTGGTTTAATCGCATCTGGGCAGCAAAAGCATTAAAGACAGCCTCAAGTTAAGTCTGTCTTAAAAGAGGACGCAGGGCCAACGTGGTAGAGGGAGAGATGAGATCAGGGTCCAGGCGCTTAGTCCCTGTGAGCGGAACCAATCCGTTCGCGTCTATGACGCGCTCACATGATCGTGCCGTCGCGGTTGACGCCTCAACGGTCTTTTAAGCTATGCATCATCACTGAGCTACAACTGCAAGAGCAAATGTGGGAAGAGTAGCATGCTTGACAAGGCATTTAAGTTGACGATAGTGTACACAAATATCGACCCTGATCCCACCTGAATATGGAAACTTCTAGTCCTCGTCCTCTATTGATTTAGATGTCTATCTACTAGTCCGTTACATAAATGCGCTTGAGGTACGATGTTGACGAGCATGGTAGACGAGATCGTCTCGCTCTTGCGGCTCGGCGTGACTATCATTGCAGCTCCGCTCCGCATGTTGCACAGATACGTTTGCAAGAACCATGCTCACTTCGCTGCTGGCGGGCATTGCCCGTCCGGGGGTTTGAAAAAGCTACCGTGACATGCTGTGACGTGCTTGAGCAAATCTATGCCTCCTCGCACCATTCGTTTCCTCGAGCTGCAAATAATCACAGGTGTGTAGAAAACCTCAGCGGATCGATTGACGCGCAATCATAAAGAAAACGCAGCGTATCATGGACCCGAGGCTTGTGAATGCGGTCATGAGCAACTCCTTACCATCTATAGTACTCCTCCATCGCACTCAAAACCACTTCCAGCTGGCCGACGCAGCTGATAACTCCTGATCAGTGCTTATGATTGCATAGCCACAGCCAGCGGCGTACGGAGTATCAAAAGCTCTTTATAGACGTTATATATTGACATTATATATCATTTCAACATTCCATCTGTTGTGTCATTTCCATTCCAAATTCCCCAGCGCACTGAGAATGTTCATGCCGAATCCCTCCATGCTCCTCTTAGCGAAGATCTCACATTACGCCAGCGGTTTCTCCGTGGTGTGTACAGCAGGATCAATCGGCGGCGCTGCACTTCCCACCCCAGTTGAGGCGTCTGTATGTACTAGCGGAAGCATCAGCATCGTATCCAAATCCGCGAAGCAAGACACTCACCTTGCACAGAAGCACCTGACTGCTTTAGCGTATCGGCAATGCGACGAGCCTCTTCGTGGATGTCGAGCACCTGCTTCGACGTCGTGGTGTAGAAGCTGAAAACCTTCTGACCGAGCGGGGACTGGATCGCCTTGGCATAGTACTGCACATCCTAGTCAGCACGTATCCACACGTAGCATGGAAAGTGGAAACGTACGTCACTTGCCTGCTTGGAGTAGCCCTTCTGCTCATCAATCGTACGCGCCTGCTGCGTCGCGTTTGCAATCGTCTCCTGCACCTTGCTCGAGATCGTCTTGTCAGGGCCGAGAGCCTTCTGGCCTGTGGACCATATTTGAGCTCGATCTCCCCGAGATATTATCAGGATAACACACCTAGGGTTGTATCAAGCGATTGGATGTAGTTGAGGAAGCGCGTAGAGATGCCGTGCTTGTTGTCGAGCTCGATCGCGCGCTGGAGGACATTGTCAGAGAGAGAGTAGCCTCTGGCAAGGTATTCGGCTGCAACTGCGATGCATCAATCAGATAACCACGAGCGAGAAGATAGCGGTCGCGATACTCACTCGCAGCCCTCGGCTTGTCGCTCTGTTCAATGTGGCCATCGTGGTGCGCATTCTGAGGTTCGTCTGGGTGTTCCCTCTCGCTCGTCACTGTGAGGCTGACGCCGTCGAGGTTGCCCCCGTTGAGCATCAGCGCGGTCTTGGCAGCCGAAGGCTTCTCGAAATGAACAGTAGCGGATTGTGCGGAGGGAGAGTAGTCTAGCTTTTCGATCTTGCCGCAAAATCTGCCACATCGTAAGCCATCCTGCGCGAACGTGAGCATCAAGTTTCCGCTCACGAGAAGAACTCGCTCAAGTGCTCCTCCGTCGTCGACGGGGAGATGCCAGATACCTGTGCGGTCCGCATGAGATGGTGCGGGTGATTTGAGGGTGTGTGTGCTGCATACCTGCACTGTGTAGATCGACATGATGGTTTGCGGGTGAGATGATGCGCAGAGGCCATTTGGGCCGCGATGCAAAGTCTTGGGCGACGCCACCAGCGATGACGCGATGACGCAATGTCCATCATGTGATAATCTGCTTGGTGATGGGAAAGCGCCACGCCGCCAATCATTTGACTTGTTGGCTCGAACTAGAAGCTCGAGCTCATAATGAGAGTATACATCAGGAAAAATGCACAAACCTACATAGGTCTAGGTAGCCTCTGTAGGACCGCGAGGCACAGAGTCTTCCTACCAATTATATAGCACTTTGTAGTAATCCAGAATCTCGTGTCGACCTATATAGTCCCGGAGTGCGCGAGGACGGGAGTAACTGTAGTCCCGTAGTGCGCGAGGATGGTAGCATTGGAGGCTGTGGTAGGGGCCGACCCCCTCCACCATACCCCAAATATAGTCATATTGATCGCATGAGGAAATGCTCAAATGCATAGCTCTAGGTTTGAAATTCCACTGATAACAATCTCAATTGCAAGCTTTTGGAGACTAAAAGTACAATATGTGCTCCGCATACAAAGACTACAAGGTAGCGCTACTCTATGCGGTTCACAAAATGCGCAGGCTGCGGCGTGTGGTTCCCTCCGCCGCGGCGCACAGTTCTCCCTAGGTACAAGGCAAATATGAGCAAAATGTAATGTGCGACTGCGACGAAATTTGCACTTACTGGTACCTCGCACCAAGCACGCACCCCACTGCACAGTGACATAGATACTCTAAGTGGTGGCCAATTGAATACAGCAATCCACGACTTACCTCCTGACACTGGTGTTCCGAGTCTGTAGCATGTCGCCTGATGGTGGTGGACTTGGGGAAAGGAACAAGGAGGCATCCGAGCCGTAGGAAGCCCTTTATTGCCCGCGCTGTCGACCACATGCCTGTATTCTCGATTATTGGCTAAATTACATATCCACAAACCATGCACATGCTATTGGAGCTTCCTCCTGTATGATACCATCGATTGGAATACTCGATAAGAAGACTATGGCTACAGGACCTACTGATGACTATGTAGAGAGTTATTTCTCGTGAGTACTATGTAGAAAAGGGTGTTCCTGAGACAAAATCACACTTCGCAGGTGCAGTACCATAACGAGTAATGCGATCAATGGGTACATGTGTATTCATGCGCGTAGGAATGCGATTGCTACTGATGCCTATGGAGGTCTACATAGGGCGCGTGATCTACCAAGAACGACATAGATCAGGTATTTCTACGAGCTGAGAATGCCATTTGCAGATGTATAGTGTGCTTCGTGAACCCAGTCTCGGTATCCTACACTTTTCTGCCAACACGAAGGATGGGTGACAGCGAACAGCCATTCACACTCTCGGTCTCCGATGCTGAACTCGAGGCACTGCAGAGAAAGCTTGAGCTTGCGCGGCTGCCGGATGAGGTCGACGGGGCTGGCTGGGACTACGGCGTACCCCTGGCAGACGTGAAGCGCCTTCTCGCTCGCTGGCAAAATGGTTTCGACTGGCGCGCGGCGGAAGCTACGGTCAACAAACTACCGCAATTTACCAGACAGGTTGAAGTGGAAGGCTTCGGAGAGCTCAACATTCATTATGTACATCAAAAGAGCACGGTGAAGAATGCCATCCCTCTGCTCTTCGTCCACGGATGTAACGTATCAGTTCGGTTCCGGCTCTGTTGTCTCTAGTGACGTGTATACTTCTTAGGGCCGGGGCACTTCCTCGAGGTTGAGAAACTCTTGCCTTTGCTCACGGCCGCCTCGCCGGACCACCCTAGTTTTCACGTCGTTGCACTCAGCCTTCCGTGCTTTGGATTCTCGGATGCACCAGCCAAACCTGGCTTCAATGGCGCGAAGTATGTAGAAACCTGCAACAACTTGATGCTCGCTCTGGGCTACAACGAGTACGGTACGTAATATGGACAAGAGACACGCTCTTCCGCGAAGTCTCACGACCATGTGTAGTGGTACAAGGAGGCGACTGGGGCTCCTTCGTAAGGCTGCCAGAGATACGATCATCGCGGAATGTGCTCAGTCTATTTATACATCCAGATTGCCCGTAGGCTTGCATCCACGTATGGAAACCAAAGTGTGAAGGCATTCCACACAAATTTTCCCAAGTAGGTCCCCTTGTTGGCCTCGTCGCCTGGTCCCTCACGCGATTACAGCGTCCAGGTGCCCCCTTCGCTGTGGAAGAACCCCCAGCAGTTCTTCGCGCACGCTGTCACGCCGTATACCGCCGCTGAGCGTGCTGGCATCGAGCGCACGCAGTGGTTCCTCACGAAGGGCTGCGGGTACTCCCATGAGCAGAAGACGCAGCCGCAGACGCTCGGGTACGCACTCGCGGACTCACCGGTCGCGTTGCTGGCATGGATATACGAGAAGCTCGTGCAGTGGACTGACGGGTACCCCTGGGAGGACGACGAAGGTGCGACATTGCACGCATTCCTGACATCTGGTGGGCTAACACGCGTGCGGAAGTGCTGACGTGGATCTCCGTCTACTGGTTTTCCAAGCCTGGTCCCGCCGCCTCTGTGCGGATCTATTATGAGACCGTCGTTAGTAACGAGCACCCCAAAATCCCTACGAGCACGATCCCTTGCGGACTGTCCTTCTTCCCTAAAGAGATAATAGTTCCGCCGAAGACGTGAGTGTCTTCGTTCGACTCGAGTGGACGCCCCTGACGCATGTGGACCTATAGGTGGGCTCGCACGATAGGCAACGTCGTATTTGAGTCGGAGCATCAGAGCGGAGGGCACTTCGCCGCTCATGAGAAGCCTGAGGAACTTGCGGCTGATGTTCGTGCGATGTTTGGCAAGGGCGGGCCCGCGTTTGGGGTAGTAAGCGGCAGGGTAGGATATGACTGACTTTTTTTGCACATGCGGCACGACAACTGTTTCATATTGAACCCATAGCAGTGCGCACAAGGGAGATATTCCTGCCCTTGTACGTATCCTTATAGGTAGCGGTATCTGTATTCTATGAGTGTAAGTGCAACTTCCAAACGGAGGTATCGGTGCGCTTTGTCGAATTTCACTGGGGGCAATCCAAGATGTCCGCTCTCCGAATATCATTTGGGTATCCAACGAAGTGTAGGAAATAAAAGTCAAATACTTGACTTCCGAATATCAAAAGAAAGCCATAAATAAACGCTGTATATTCGGAGCCCCGGATATGGCAGCGAATATATTACATAATTGTCACTCGATTATAGACTATAATATCCGTCGAATGTTCTGCACCAAAACATTGTACCGATAAATACAGTAACTGAGGAATAATTGCGGACCAAATACATTGTAAGTTATTACTAATACTCAGAGCACGGATATCCTTCAAATATTGGCTGAAACAGATCAATCACTCGGTATATGCCATTTCTGGTTGGCAGATCGGCATGGAATATGGTTTTCATGCCTTACACCATCCGAAGCTTCAATTGTTGATTACATATCTGGGGAATATTCGTGCTGTAGGTGCTGACAATTTTTCACAATGTAACCGGTCCATGAATATTCCCTGTTTATCATATTTATTAGTACAATGTGTTGATGCAGAATATTCAACGAATATTGTGGCTCATATTCGAGGAACGATTATGTAATATATTTGCTGCCATATCCGGAGCTCCGAATATCCGGCACTTATTTATGACTTTCTTGCGATGTTCGGGAGTCAGGTATTCAATTTTTATTTCCTACACTTCGTTGGATTTCTGGGCAATGTTTGGAGAGCGGAAATTTTGGGTTGCCCCCAGTGTTTGATGATCGTCGTCGATATACGGCGGGCTGCTTAACCGGATAATTAGCTCAGGCCTGTGCGAGAGGTCAAATGAACCAATGTAAGAACGTAGACTAACCTATGAAATAGCCCTACTATCTGACGGTAAAGTAGTCACTACCGATCATTCCAGTCAAGGGTCTGTCACTACCACTGGCCTTTAATATGTGTTTTACTCTACTTTTGTCTCGACGCGGTACTTCACCAGAATTTCCTCCAGAAACAGCACGTTGAGGCTGATGAGGGAGTCGGTGACTACAAACGTGTCCTGGCGTTGGTCCTCGTATTAGTCGTGGATATCCCACATGAAATTTACCGCTTGATTAGCGCTATTGGCTATTTAGCCTGGCCCATTTTACCGTACCTTGATGCAGACCGCCAGCGTTCTAGGGCGGCTCAACGCTTCACTCTGAGTTATAGTACTAGTACTGCTGTTACTGTCTTGAATCGCTGCTGATCGTCACGCTGTTGAAGTGGTTGAGGTAAGCTATCATGTTATATGTCCAACGTCATGCATGAGAATACGCCCTATCGTGTAGCTAAACGTGCCGTCCACTATGGAGCCTACAAGCGTTTGTCCAATCAACGAGATCCCTCCGGAACTATTGGCACGCATATTTTGGCTGTGTATGTCGCCCTTCGAAGGTCACAAAGTCTTCGTATGGCCATTCTGGTGGACAGGCTGCTCGCGGGTCAGGAAGACGCAAGAACTGGTGCCACTCGCGCACGTATGCAAGCTGTGGCGCGATCTTGCATTGCAGACACCTCTGTTATGGAGTTCCATCGACGGCACTGGTGGTCTTTCAGGGCCCGCCTTCTCGGACCTATCGATCACCGCGGGTGCTCCACTGAGGATACTCACCGCTGGTATGATGGTCCTCGAGAGAGCTGCCAGCGTCCCTCTCAACATTTTTGCCATGCAATGTCTTCACCCTTCCGTGCAATCCATATGTCAGAATGACAGCGCTCGCATCCGGGAGTTGCATCTGACTTGCATAGACGAGAAAACCGAGACCATCAGGCGCCTGTCTGACTTTCCTGCTGCATCCCTGGAATATGCGACATTCCATCCCACCGTGTTCACAGTCAGCTTAAGGAGATCTCGCCATTCACACAATCCCAACACAATCCTGCTATGGCGCGGTCAAGCACCCCGGCTTCGGATCCTGACCTGGCAAATCTGCATCTGTCTCCCGAGTAATCAGTTCCTCTCCCTTACGCATCTCTGCATCTCTCCCATCCCCGACCGTACACCCCGATGGGGACTGCCAGATCTATTGAAATTACTATATAAATGCCCAGCATTGCAAGAGCTAGTCCTTACCCGCTTGACAGCTCCTATCCCAGAAGCTGAGGATCCTCCACGTGTCGCCTTGGCAGCCTTGCGCACACTCGTCGTTGGATGGATTTGTCCTGCATTAGCGACTTGGCTGATCGACCATATCATTGCTATGGATGATGCAACAGTGCATATCCATATGCCCACCTGCCCGTTCTTACATATACCCGCTCGCATGCCGGCGTCCCGAGTTGATCTTGCGCACATATTCCTATCCACAGACGAGGAGGACCGCAATATTGTTGTCACCGCTACTGGCAAGTCCTCAGGCGGTATTCGTGTTGACTTTGTTGAATGGTTGCCAGATGCTTTTACAGAGTCATGCGATATTTGCTTCGATTGGCTGGCCTCCTTGTGGATGACGTGGCAGCTGGACCACGTCCAAGAGCTTTGGTTGAGCGAGTGCGTAAATCCAGATCGACTGGGAGGCTATCCGGTGATTTTGGGCGCACTTCCGTCCGTCACAACGATTTTCTTGTGCGAGAGCACATACCACAATACTTACGTCAACCAGTACCTCTATGCCTTCGCGGAGGCGTTATCATATACTGGAGATGGTGCATCGGTCTTCTGTCCCCATCTAAAAACCCTACACCTATACCTTGTTACCGAAACAATAAATGTCGAGGCTCTGGCCAAAATCAGGCATGCAAGACAAGGACTCGGATGCCCAATCCAATCGGTCGTTGTGGAGTACATAATAGACATGCCCTGGGGGCCGGGCAAATTCTCCGGCGAGGACGAGCTGCCACGCACGGAGAATGGTTATGAATGGATAGAGTACCGTCTTCGAAAGGATCCTCCTCAAACGCCTCAAATGCCTCAAACGCCTTGGCTAGATCCTTGATCGGGTAAGCAGATGGATGTGTTCTATTGGTGTCGTCGCTAAAGTTCCAGATGGCCCAGGGGTTTCGCTGCACCTTTGTCGCTTCACCAAATAGGAGCGTTCCGCCCGAATTCTTAACACAAAGTTGTCGAACATACCGCCTCGAACCAGCTACTGAATCATGGACCTTATCACGCAACATTTCACATTGGAGTTAGAAGCCGTCGTGACATCTGTAAAATGCCTCTATAGGCTCCCAGTTCCCTATACCATTTGACGATCGATCGCTCGTTGGGTCATTTCCCTTCCTCCGTTCTCCCAATCATCCCAGCAATGGCCCATGTACACGGTATCTAGACCGCCGCGAGGCGCGTACGAGTCGCCTTCACGAGGAGGATTCCCTTCACTAGACCGCGACTGCGGCAACACCCACGTCCACCGCAGGACTCCTTCGTGCTTAAATCCAAGCCTCTGTGCCAACCGTTTGGACGCTGTATTATCGGGATGGACCGTCCAATGCACCCGCCTCAGCCCAAGTCCGGGCGGAGACGCGGTCGGCAGCTGCAGACAGTACTCCAACAGAATCCCAACGGCGTTGGACGCAACGTGCGTTCGCTGGAAGTCGGGCAGGATCACGACATATCCGATCTCTGCCATGAGTTGGGCTACGGAGGCGCGTAGGAGCGCGATGACGCCTGCCACGCTGCCGCCTAGCTCCGGCCGGGTTTCGTCGCGGCGTGTCTTGTCGATGATGGCGAACATGATGAACTCGGGGTTGGAACGGTAATACTTCTCGATGTAGGAGAGGAACTCGGCGAGGGTGGCGGGCATGGTGATGGGGAAGTAGCGGAAGATCTCCGTGAGATGCGGCTCGATGCCCTCCCAGTAGGCCCCGGCGTGGATGGCAGGGATGAACGGCGTCAAGCGAACGCGCTCGCTTTCCAGACTACCGAGATGGAGGGGGAACGCGAAGTTGACATCATACGGATCGGGCCCGTACATCTCGGATTCCGGAAGAATTGGGAGATTGGGTCCGGCGGGAGGTGTGTAGTTGTTTACGAATGACATGGTATCGTCGCAGGGGTGAAGAGCCTTTAGACGCGATGTTTCTCTCTTGCTATAGTGCATTGATCGCGGGGTATTTATGTGCGCGATCATGAATGACCGAGTCACCGGGCCCATTACACAGAATGGCAAATTTCATGCGGCTATGTTAGCCTAGGCCGAGGACTAACGGAGATGCAAGATATGCGTTTACATCGACCGCGATCGGCTCTTTGTTAGCAAATTCTGGCGCGCACTACATGATAATTTACTTGATTGGCGACATTGTCTGTTCAGTGCGTACGTAGTCAGCCACTTAGTTCTAGGTGAATGTGCACAACGTAGTCAGAACGACAGGTGATACGATGTATGTTTTCGGCGAATGTCAGTCAGCTCGCATCAAAGTTTCGGTTCATGCCATTCTCCGGTGGAATACATCTTCGGATCAAGCGCGCTTCATGTGGGTCAGATAGACACATCTAACCAGGTGAACGCGGAAAGCACGCGCTTGGCTCTTACCGCCAAGGGATGGCGACTAACACAAGTACGAAATGGTGTGCAATACACAGAAGACAGACGTCAGAGGCTCGACGCGATATCATCATCCAGAAATGTAGATTCGTCAAAATGCAACCCCTAGTGGCACCTGCCTCACTGTCATGTCGCGACTGACCATCAGGCAGGTGTTCTTCTCGATGAGCTCCCAATCTTCATCTCTGTATGTAATTGGCTCGCTGGCCACGATGATATGGGCACCATGCCCGCTCCCCTCCTTGTTGACGTCCTCTGTGCCGTCGACCGCCTTATCCGGGTGCCCAGGATACTTCCTATTGAGCGTAGGACCAGCTCTGGTGGAAAAATAGAGCGAGGGTGGATGCTCCGTTGGGTGGTTACGGAACCGAGTGGCGAAGAGCTGCGTGCCATCGGTCACAGCACAGTTCAAACTAGATGCCGCAACCTCCCCACCCGTCCGTCCGATAACGTTCCGTTGAATCGACAGCACCTTCATGATGGTTTGTTCCATTGCGGCCTTCACGTCCTCGAGCGGTTGTGAGGTAGACCAGGCGGCATCGCCCCTGCTTTGCTCGAGGTACGTGAAGAACAACGCCGCAAGATGCTCCGAATCCGTCGTGCCTTTCACCAGCTTCAGCGCCTGGTCTGAGATGGTCATCAATACGTCCCGCTGAATCTCGCTGAAATGCGCGACGGAGCCGTTGTGCATGAACAGCCAGCGGCCGAACTGAAACGGGTGGCAGTTGTATTCCGTGATCGCGGTGTCGCCGCTCGCGGCGCGGATATGCGCAAAGACGGCGGTGGTGGCGGTGTTGGCGCAGATCGACTGGTAGATGGGGTCGGACATGGGCTGGCGCAGGACTTTGTACAGCGCCGCGTGCGGTCCGTCGCACTCGCCGTATTCGGCGCGGGCGGTCGAATACCTGCATGCGTTCCCCTTCCCTTAGTGTGAACCGCAGCCTGTAAGCCGTGATTGACATACCACCCGACACCAAGGCCGTCCATGTTGTAGGGGCTGTTACGGGAGCCGATCTCGGCCCTCGTCAGTTTCTTGGTCGAGTCGGGCTCAAAGTGCGAGAGATACGGCAGATAGCGGTCGTGCACCTGCTTCGACAGCGAGTGCTGGGGGACGATGAGGACATCTTCGAGCAGACAGGGCTCTGAATCCGATAGGTAGGCAAACCAGCGACACATTTTTGTCAAGGGGCTACGCAGGCGGTAAGTTTATAACGGCGCGGCGGTCAAGTTTGACGACGTCATCCTGTCAGAGCGGCCTCCATTTTTGATTGAAGCCGGTCTGCTCAGGAGGAGTGTGTATCCACAATCAACAGTCAACTGCATGCTGCGGCCTGTCAGACGTTGGGGTAAGCTTGAGGTCCATTGCATATCCACTTTGATTTGAGGAGTCGAGCGGTGAGACCTTTGTTTCAGGGGCTCAGGGCATGTCCTTAGCACAGCATATTTCCGCAACATTGCTTTACATTATCAAAGACCGAGAGTAAAAGCAAAGAGCTCGTCAAGTCGACGCAACAGTCACCAGGCGAAGGTGCAAAGTCTCAAAACAGGGAAGGTTATCGGCGCCTAACGCTCTTCCTAACTCGGCAAGTCCCGATCACCCAAAATCTCCACCATCCTCCTCCATCCACACGACACAGGGCGGCATTCGTCAAGGTGAGTATCTTATTGCTGTCTTTATGCTGGTATGGTAGGCTATTGGACGTATGGATGCTGTTCGGACGGCCACAGCGGGAGCAAATGGGGTGCAAAGGCTGGATGGAGTGGTAGTTTGGCGGATGACGCCCAGGCTTGGAAGATTCGCCTCTGCGATTTGTGTTTCGCAAGGAGTGCGCAGGTCTGGTCTCAGTAGTGTATTTCCGCATTGGCGGGTGGACTGTGGTCCGATTTGCGTACAGAGTGCAGGGGTCGTTCAACATTCTCGGCTTGCGAACTCTGGCCTTCCGGACATACGCTGACGGACTGTATCTGACAGACAAGTCAGCATCAATGGCCCCTACGAAGACCACAAAGACCCGCAAGGAGCCCGCCAAGGGTACGTTCCCCGCCTCTCCATCAGGCGGATTAGGCTCACTCTCTCGCAGCATCGGCGAAGGAGGCCAAGGCCAAGGCCGCGAGGAAGGCCGCACTTGCCGGCACGAACTCGCACATCGCGCGCAAAGTGCGCTACTCCGTCTCGTTCCGCCGCCCCAAGACCCTCCGCCTCGCCCGTGACCCCAAGTACCCGCGCAAGTCTATTCCCCATGTACCGCGGATGGACCAGTTCCGGACGATTGTCTCGTGAGTGTTGACCTGGCTTGTCGCTAGTTTGCATTTTGACCAGACTGTTCAGACCATTGAACACGGAATCGGCAATGAAGAAGATCGAGGAGAACAACACCCTCGTTTTCATTGTTGACCTCCGGGCGAACAAGCGTCAAATCAAGGACGCGGTGAAGAAGCTGTACGACGTTCAGGCGGCAAAGATCAACACTCTGATCCGGTGGGTGCGACCATTAAAGATGATGTGCATACAAGTCTGACGTTTTTGCTGCAGCCCCGACGGCAAGAAAAAGGCATATGTGCGCTTGACTCCGGACCACGACGCGCTGGATGTCGCAAACAAGGTTCGCCGAACCCATATCTTACTTCTTCTGATACGTGAATGACGTTCGTTGGATAGATTGGCTTCATCTAGTCGTGCGGATTGGATTATAGGACACCGTCATCTGCCCGCGCCTTCTTTTCACGCGCCCTACAGCGCTCCTGCCACTTCGCACCGCATCCTGTCGATCCGCTCATGTCATGTATGCGTTCTCCATGCCTATTGCAAAGCAAGCCATGCTTTCTCGCTCTGAATGAACGTCTGTTTCGAGTGGAATGTAGCCGAGACCTGAAATAAGACCGCGAAACCGCCGAGAAATTGAATATGTCATGCCGCAACGTGATGGACAGTTACCACTGAGATGATCTGTCTCGTCCGCATGGAACTTCGCACGGCCTTGCATTGTGGCTGTGGTTACCAGCGAAAAAGAAGGGAAATGCAACGTCTTGCAACGTAAGGCATGTCGCTCTTGCAGTGCATTTGTCTGTATATCTGGCAAGCACTCGACGGATTGTTGTTGTTCGATATTGCATTCTGTTGTAGCGAGTGATCACGACGGGAGGAAAAGTATTTATTCGTGCCTGAACGCGGGGACAACGCGCACGCGACGCAAAATAAGAACAAAGACTAGCGACATCAGCGGTGCCATAACTTATTCCTGCCCCTCTCCCCGTCGGCTCGTCCCCCGCCTCGACGCCTCTGCCCACCATAGCAGCCTCCACGCTCGTTCTCTCTGGCGGACACCAACTAGCCGTGTCGCGCCGTCCCCGCTTTGCAGCATAGCAACCGTCCCCTCTTGCCTCCGTAACTAAGCGCAATACTCATGTTTTCGGCCCACCGCCGCCTCCTTCTGTGTTCTGTCTTCTTGCTTTCTCTCGTCCTGCAGTTCTCCCTCGTCCATGCCACGCACTCCTCATCCACGTCCTCTCACGCCCGCCGCTCGCTGCTACGCAAGATCCAGAACAGGATCTCACACGCTGACCAGCGCAGAGATGATGGTGACCCCCTCGGTGGTCTGCTCGGTGAGTATGCTCGCTTCTCCTCACGCTTATATGCCCGTCGTGGGGGATCAGAGTTTCAGACGTGGCGGTGCACAGGGTGCCACAGCTCGCGCTGTGCGGGGTGGCATGCCAGTTGCGCGCTCAATGTCGCTGCGTCGACAAACTCAACCATCCCAGAATGTCACAGAATCCTCAGGCTAACCTGCATGTCGTTGCTGCGACTGCGTTCTGCTGCGGCCGTCCTTCACAGTGTCGCAGACTACTGCGGATATCCCTTCACTTAGCGCAGCAGTGTTGCGCAGTGGCATAGGGTCCAGGCGTAACCCGCATTTTCCGCGTGGTCGGAAGCATGGTTGGCCAGTGTCTAGTCTCTGTGTTCTCAGAGCGAATCCACACGTCTGTTGGGGTGGAGATGTCACGGGCGCTTAGAATCGGCTAGTGCGTGAAGTGACTTACTGACACAACATGTTCTTCTCGCAGGTGGTGTACTCGATGGGGTGGGCGGGGCAGTGAACGGCTTGGGAGATGGCCTATCGACCATTGGTCATCAGATCGGTCATCAGCTGCCGGGCACGACAGCAGCGGTCCCGGCCACCTCTACCTCCATCTCGTCTTCGAGTTCACCCACAAGCTCAAGCGCGAGTTCGTCGAGCGTGGCCTCTTCCTCGTCCTCTTCAGTCGCGTCTTCGTCTTCAGCATCCTCATCCTCTGCGCCGGCATCGTCTTCGGCGTCATCGTCCCCGGCGTCAGCGTCGTCTTCGGTGTCGTCTACTATCGCGTTGTCGTCTGCTTCGTCTACTGCTGTGTCCTCCGCAGCTAGCTCGGCGGGTGCGAGCTCTATAGCCTCTTCCACGGGTAGCTCCGCCAGCACGACCGCGAGCGTTTCCTCGACTGCTTCAGCTTCGTCGGGCAGCGCATCGTCGGCGGCGACGCCTACCCCGAGCGATTCGAGTAGCGCCAGCGCAGCCTCACCCGCGAGCGCGTCGTCTAGCGGTGCTTGTGTCGACATCCTTGGCATTGAGATCGGCTGTGAGAGCTCAACGCCTAGTGCCCCTGCCTCGACTCCGACCGGCTCGAGCAGTGCGAGTGTATCGTCTTCGGGCACGGATTCCGGCAGCGCTAGTGCGACCACATCAGCCTCGGGCTCCAGCAGCTCACCTTCGTCCTCGGGTTCCAACAGCTCACCTTCGTCGACGGACTCAGCCACTGCGAGTGCAGCCTCGGGCACGGATTCTGCCAGTGCCAGTGCGACATCTGCCACCGGTTCTGGTAGTTCCAGCGCCACGTCTGCTACGGATTCCAGCAGCGCAACGTCCTCGGCCTCGGCCTCCAGCAGCGCCAGCGCGACCAGCAGTGACTGCTTGCTCGGTCTTCTGTGCTTACCCTCGTCCACGGATTCTAGTAGCAGCGTTAGTGCTACATCGGGATCCAGCAGCGCCAGCGCGACGTCAGGCAGTGCGTCTTCCTCAGGCGCCAGCGTGAGCGCGAGCGCGAGTGGTACCGATACTATCTCGAGCGCCAGCACGACTCTGTCGGGGTCGGGCAGTGTGAGCGCGTCGGTCTCCGCTAGCGGCTCTGCCAGTGCAAGCCCTACCCTGAGTGCCAGTGGTTCGGGGAGCGCAAATGCCTCATCGACGGGTACAAGCAGCGCGAGCGCTACGTCCGCGCCGTCCGGCTCGTCCAGCATCAGCGCGTTGTCGTCTTCTGGCTCTAGCAGTGCGACTTCGTCGAGCTCTGGCTTCTGTCTCTTCGGTGTTATAGGCAGCGGGTGTTCATCTAGCACCTCTGCCTCTAGTGCCACATCGGCTTCTGCGTCCGCGACTGGTTCAGCGAATGGGACCTCGACTGCATCGGGGAATGGGACAGTGAGCAGCAGTGCGAGCTTGACGTCGTCCGGGGCCAGTTCGAGCGCGACGTCTGCCAGTGGGAATGGGACGAGTACGATTACCTCGTCGGGCATTGTAAATGGGACGACAAGCGCCCCTATTACGCAGCCTACGAACGGGACTACAAGTATTTCCAGCAACTCGTCTAGCACCACTACTATTACCTCCGCGCCGTCATCGTCAACTTCGTGAGTATCTCCTGCAGAAGTTTAGTCTTGTTCGGCCTGCTCACATATCTAATGTTCATCTCTGGCAGCCTGAACGCGACTTCTAGTGGCCTGTCGTCTACTGCAAGGTTTGCATATCCGGTTTCGAGCCGATACACACGCTGATGTTCTGTTACAGTCTCAATGCAACGTCGTCTGCGTCAGCCAGCGCAAATGCCAGCAGCTCGGTCATCATCAGCTTCCCGTCTTCGGCCTCGAGCTCTAGCTCGTTCTCGTTCTCCTCGCTGTCGACTATCACGTCCTCTTCGGCGTCGTTCTCGAAGTTCACAGCTACTCCTTCCTTCGAGTCGCAGTTCTCCTATGTGACGGAGAGCACGCTCATCCTCGCGTCCCCCACGTCGACGTTTTCGTCGTCGTCGGTTTCATCGCAGACTAACCCTGACCAACCCACGAGCACGTTCTCCTTCGCCAGCCAGAGCGTCTCCGCGACTGCCAGCCCGACAGCTGCGCCTCTCCCGACCTGGTTGCCCACCACCATCGTTCCACCCACCCAACTGGATATAGCTGAGATCCCGAACAATTACACGGCTGTCAACATCCTGTTCCAGAACACGTTGAACTGGGCGCTAGTAGCGAACAACACGGAGTCGTCTGGTCAGATCTTTGAATGGATGCCGACACTCGTTGCCTCGTCGCTCGGTATCTCCAGTGAGTATGTTGCGTATTTTAGTACTCCAGGTTCTGATATTGTGAAATTGTTTCGTAGCCTTGGATGTTATGCAGTATGCGTTGCAGGTGTACCAGCCGGATACGTACACAGGGCCCGACGATGCGTCGCAGCTCCTGACCCTCTGGGTTGCGTACGTTCCAACAAATCAAGTGAGCAGCCTGGCCCAGCAGTTGAAGGACAAGAACTCGCAGTTCTACACCGGGTTCAACCCACCTTACAGCACCCTGGCTGCCCAAGTTGACGCCGCATTCTCTGTGAACTCTGGCTCCGCCCCTCCTGCTGGTGGTTCAGGTGGAGGCGGCTCATCCAACAACGGTGGTTCGTCGGGTTCGTCGGCCTCCAAGACCCGCGAAGACGCCATCATCGGCGTCGTCACTTCTCTGGGTGCGATCACGTTGATCATTCTCGCGTTCCTCGTCGCGCGTGCTGTCAAGCAGCGCCGCGCGCTAGCACACCAGCGTCTGGCAGAGCCTATTGATCCCGGCTACGACGGTGCGCGGCCCGACGGTCAGGAGTTCGATCGCGACAGCTTGGGCGGGCAGCGCCGGCGTAGCTTCTACTACGCCGCGGACTCCTTGCGCGGCTTCTCGGAGATGTCCAACGCTGCTGCAGCTACCTATGAATCGAGCGCGGGCCCCGACGGTGGAATGAGGGAGCGGAGGACTGTCGCGCCGGGGATGATCTCTACGCCTGTCTTGAGAGACAATACCATGAACTGGTAATCGAGAACTTTCAGAGGACCCCAATTTTTTGTCTTTCGTCTTCGGTAGAGGTTTGTGCTTGGTGGCTACTCCCGAGGACGACTATATACCAGTGCTCTAAAACGATATCGATCTGGTTTTCCGTGTGCTTGGGTTTCCCGGTGTGTTGTTTGAATGGTGTCGTGTGTGTACAGGGTGAATCGCAGCGTGTCCGGGTATCTGTCGTTTGCTTTTCTATTGTTCGCGCTGCTTACCGTACTTCACGTGCACTGCTTTAGACTGGCTCGCCTATTTATTTGATTGGACTTGCGCAGAACCTTTTCTCCTTCGTACTGCGGTGTCCGCTAATTAGTATTACTTTCCACGCGCAGGCAGCTCATGTACATAATATTTTTGAAGTTATCTTACCGGTCACGTCAATTCATCGAGTTGTTCTGCGTGGTGTATATAGCATGGAATACGAGAGATATGAGAGTATAGAAGTATGAAAGCTACAGTTCCACTGTTCAACTTAGTTGGAGTGGTAGTGTCAGACCGTCTAGCGTCTTTCATCCTACCTTTTGATCTACTTGCGTTCATAATGGCTTGAGGTCGGCCACCTCTCGTCTCTGGTCTGCATATGAGCAGCTTAAAATGTGAAAGAAGCCAAGCGTGAGATCTTGAGATGCGGGGTTGCTGGAACGCGTCTGTTATTGATTCCGGATCTCCTGCTGAGCTAGCGTCTTACGCCTCCAGAAGCCTCGCAGGACATCACCCATGTTCTCCACAGACCTTCTGACACTGTTTGTAGCTGTTGCAAGCGTTGGCGGAGCGCTTGCATTACAGAGACCGTTCTCTGGCCGCAGCTCCAGTCTATCGGCTGGTAACAACGCTGCAGCCAGGGTCCAGTTCGAGCCCGTTGACACTATAAGCAACGTCGACGCTTTCACGGATTATGACGCTGGCCTTTTTACTCCATTGGAAGACCTGACATATGTTTTGAGTGGAGAGTTCACATCCTTGAACCATCCTACTTTCCCGAAGTACAGCGTGCGTATCAAGAAGTCTGACTTTTGTGACGGCACTGTAGGGTGAGTCTAAAATCAAGGACTCGGGTTCAAAGATATCAGTTCGTTAATGACCCATCAAAAGCGCATACACTGGCTATATCGACGTAGAAGCTCGCCATCTGTTCTTCTACTTCTTCGAGAGCAGACGAGACCCCGATAAAGACGATGTTATATTCTGGACAAACGGCGGGCCTGGCTGTTCCTCCTCCCTTGGTCTGTTTATGGAGCTTGGTCTGTATGACTAATCTCTAGGTGTTGACAAGATCTCTCAAGTAATCTTGTCATAGGTCCTTGCAGAGTCACAAGCCCGGATAATATGACGTACAACCCATACTCATGGAATGAACAGGCGAATATCTTTTTCATTGACCAACCAGTCGGCGTTGGATTCTCATATGCAGATTATGGAGAATCAGTAGTGAGTGATTTTCTATTGAGTGTTGTAGAAATGTCGACAAATGTCGACCAAAGAACACAACACCGGAGGCCGCCAAGGATATCGCAGCCTTCGTAGCCATATTCTTTGAACATTTCAGCAAGTTCAAGGGTAGAGCATTCCACATGGCTGGCGAATCATACGGGGTATGTTCACGGGTCTAGAATTCATACTGCACATCGCCCTCACGGTTGGACTGGTGTAGGGCCGATATATCCCTGTGTTTGCCGCTGAGGTATATGACCAGAACGTAAAACTGGTTGATGCAGGGATGACTCCTATTAATCTGAGCTCTATTATGATTGGTGGGTAATTCGCATTCACAGGCCTGAGGGCCACTAAGTTGTACCCAAGGAAACGGATGCACCGACGATCTCACAATGCTCTCTTCCTACTACGACATGCAATGCAGGCCGATGTCAGTTCCCCCTATTCAGGATATTGCGTAGGTAATCATTTTACTCCGTACCACACATACGTGACTTTGCTTCAGGTCCTGCATACGCATGAAACAAGCAGTGAGTTTCCGCATTGGACACAGCTGTGAGTGCGAGCCGCTGATAGCCGGCCTAGCTCCCGCGTTGCGAGAAGTGGTTCACAGAATCCTGCAGAGACCAATTCGACAGCATTGGCTGCGAAGCAGCTAATGTTTTCTGCTATTCAGAGATCGCTGAACCATTCGACCGAACCGGTGTGTATCCTCGACTGGATGGCTGTGCATGTCTGTCCCTTTCCATCAGTAGCTGACCTTTATCGCGTATGTTAGGTTATAATCCGTATGATATCAGTCAATTTTGGTTAGTTCTACGATCTTGCCATCGTAAACGTCCCTCAGGCTAACTATGGGCCTTGCAGTGATGGTACTGTTGAAGACACGTTATGCTACCCGGTCACCAAGTGAATGCCTACAGAAGTCCCATATTACAGTCATTTTGCTGATTTAGGACTTGCCAGAGCAATTAGCACATACTTGGACAGGCCAGACGTTCGCTCCACCATAGGCGCGGATCCGTCTTTCACAGGGAATTTCAGTGGTTGCAGTGATGCAGTGGGCATGGCCTTCTATGAGGCTGACGACTCCTTGTTCCCAACACAATTTTACATCGCAGCTCTGCTCGAGCGAGGTATACGCGCCCTCATATATGTCGGCGCGAATGACTGGATATGCAACTGGGTGCGGTTTTAAATCTGCTCGCAGGAGATAGTTGGACTCATAATTTGTTTGGCAAGCAGGTGGGTAACGAGCGCATGACGCTTGCACTAGAATGGTCGGGACAACAAGATTTTGCTGCAGAGCCCCTTAGAGGATGGAAGGTAGACGGAGATTTTGTTGGATTGACGCGAACTGCGGGCCCCCTGACATTCGTAACAATCGACGGTGCCGGGCACATGGTGAGCACTAGTACTCGTGCGTACAATCGCACCCTCATGAATTATCGTCTCTCGCAGGTTCCATACGACAAGCCTAAGCATTCCTTGGAGCTAGTAACGCGGTGGCTGTCAGGATCCGACCTGTAGACCTGTGACTGATAGTATTGCGGGTTATGTTATTGCACGTCGCTAGTGTGCAACGTTGTCGTACTCAGCATGCAGTGGTGTGGCTTGTTGGACTCCACACGACGAAAGATGTGAACGCTAGGACTGCAAATGTCCTCTCTGGGACGTGCTTCAGTAGCACAGGTTTGAGGAGGCCTACGATACGATTGCATGTGTATTTGAACGCAAAGATCTTCGAATAGAGTGTACCTCTCGAGCTGCGTGAAGAATGTGCCTTGACGACTACCAACATTAGCCTCAGTGCAACGAATGCAATGGTGAGATTTAAGGCGGAGCCCATGAAGGATACGTACTTCCTACAAGCCAACTCTCCTCTCAGGAGATCAAGCGTGCGATTCTTGCACGTATCTGCTACAACGATAGCGTTGCTCTCATGGCATCTTATGCACCTCATGTGAGAAATCAATTCAGAAACAGATCGAAGACATTGCCGGTGTCGGCAATGTATCCCGCGTGCGTAATCCTTAGACGATGCTCATGTATATGAGGAAGTTACGTATCTCTGAACAAAGTAACTACGCAACACGTGCATATACCTATGAGGAATCCGATACTTTGTTGCAAAGCTTAACGGTGCACATGATCCACCGCGACCTCGTTGAGTTCAGTGACTTTAGGCGTGCCTGAACGCACCGCAGCGACGCTGTTTACTGTGTGTCAGCGCCTTGTTCCCCCGCTCTGTTGCGCACGACTCACACAGCGTTCAGGGAGGAGTTCACGGTGCTGGATATCGGTGCGCCCCGGAAGAAGAGGCGGCCAAAGACTGTGGCTTTGAAGAACACACCGACGTCCCCGGTCTGGAATTCGTACGGTATCAGATATGGCACGGCACGGCGGAGTAGACCACTGACCTCAATGTAATCAACAATCTTGCCCTCCTTCTGAACCGAACCCGCGAATGAGACGTCCGCGGACCGTTCGAAGAACTTCTCGCCGACGAGCTGCAGCTTGTACTCCTCACGGCCGATCTTGCGGCCGTTCAGAGTGATCTGCGCGTTCTTGTCGATGAACTCATCGAACGCCTTGTCGAAGTCAGCACGGTTGGTGGCCTTGTAAATGGCGGTGATATGGTTCTCCGTCCAAAGGGTGAGCGGCACGATTTCGGGACCGCCGGGGTTGGTCGTCATATTGAGATTATCGAGTAGAGGTGGTAGTAGGATTGATGTGTGTAAGACGCTTGCGGGTTGTGAGAGGGTGTTGACTGTCTGCCGGAGGTGCTTGCATGAACTATATATATGTTTACCGCGGACATACAGACGCTGGCCTCGGAGCCGCGAGTGGACAATGTTTGACAAGATGATTCGGCTTGTATGGCTGGAGCATGGAGTAGCTCGCAATAGCGGATTCCTCAGCGCCCCCATTTTTTGATGATTCTAGTGTTGACATTTCTTCCGGCGAAGCGCTACGAGAAGCATATACTAGAAGCTGCGGCGCATGCACATCAATGAACACGACCAGTGGAGGGCGCCGCTGCTCATGATAGACCGCCAATGGCAATAGGAAATTATTCAACACGTTGATGGCAATAATTTCACGTCAGCGCACCTCTATATGCTCGCGAGATTGAGCGCACCGTAGTCCTCCCATATACCTACCAGAAACAGTGGCAGACATCGACATCGCCGCAGACGAAAAGAATAAATGCCTGGGCGCATGAGCCTTGATCATGGGGTAGAAGAATTGGTAAACAAATAGACTGGGCACGTCCAGCCTGCCTGGTTCTTAGGTGTCGACCGCTCAACTGACGTTGTATGAGGGTCATGAGACGCGCTGTACCCGCCCATATTCCAACTTCCGTCACTGCGGTATTGACTTTCAAGATCATAAATTGGAGAGTGAGGTCACCGGTCGGCCCCCAAACGCAATAGAAGTATGGAGTTTGACTCGCATCATTTCCGACGCCGCGCTAATGTTGTTCAGACGTCGCGCATAGCGCTGAAACCTGTGCTGCTGAGCTGAGTCTATCAGCAGCATCGCCTTACTCCCATCATTGTGAGCCTGGCCCTAACTCAGTTTCACAATGAAGAGCCCGTCGCCCAATGCAGAATGTCAGAAGCTTGTCCAGGTGAACATGACGCAATGTGAGGCTTCATTGACGAACACCCAAGTCATCGATGACGAAGGCTCGTGTCTCTACTCGAGGATACCGTCATATCCGAGTGAGTTGTAGCACATGTGTCAGTGAGTGGGACGACTTACCACACTCACTAGTTTGATGACACAGGCTCCATATACCAGCATGCTCAGTCTGCCGAACGACACGTATGTGAGTGGTCTCATCCGAGGTAGGGCTTGCAGTCGAAGGTATTGAGAGAGGCCATGCCTTTTACTCAAAGCATACTCTACCTAACCACATACTTGGAAGGCAAAGAGGTAGAGTCGAACTCCGCGAACTGCACGGGTATGATCGAGCCCTCGGTTATTCCCGAACAGCGTTCTTTCATAATCGCCGTTGTCTACCAGGGTCTTTCAGCTTCATCCATGCGACGTTGTGCTTAGGGCTCGAGATCAGTGGCTCGCAGGACTACCCGTAATGAATGCACGACTACACAGAACGGCTCAATAGTGATACGAGACGTTCAGTCAGCCGGCCCTGGCCGTCTGGCAACATGGTCACGATCAGATGATCCATTTTGCACGACCTTGGCCGCCGACTCGGACTAGTGCTGACTTGTACGCGATGTTGTCACTTCTAGGGGAAAATACTACGCGCAAGCAGTGCTAGTTTGTATGTAGAACACTCTGAAAGAGCTGCTTGTTTCATGTACGATGGTTGGTATCGCCATGCTAGCACATTATCTTGTCTCTACTCCCTGCCGATATCAACCTCGATTTCTTTCTTCAAAGATGATGGGTTTTCATTCTACGAGTAAGCTCTGTTTTTGAAAGTTGCACATTAGCTCACTTCATGTCTTACAGCCTGGAGGAATAGACCAATTATTTCGAGCGCATCCGTAAATTCTCATTGCTCCTATATATGCTATCGCTGCGCTTTGGGGCCGTGACCGCACAATGATAGAAATATTGTTCCCGGAGAAGTTTGCATTATTGATGTCAAAACCCGAGGGGGAAAGAGGTGGGCAAAATCCGCATAATTGCAGGCATCAGCTAACGTCTGATGTGACTGTAAGGTTACAGTAACGAGAAGAAATCTTGACTGTTTGTTATGCTCCAGGCAACTGTGCGGTATATGATGCGGAAGAATCAACCACCGGTTTTATGTTACCGACCGTTGTTTTAATGAGTGGCAATGACCGATCCACGATATCTCGTATGATACGCACAATGATGCGTGTCATGAAATCACCTGGACCTTGTTCTTTGTCCCGGCCACACGACTAGCGTCTATATGTTTGGCTTTCATCCCGTTTCTCACGTTCACATGCTTCCTACCCGTGTACACTCTACACAAAGGTCGTACTCGTCCTTCTGTATCATCCTTTGTTGAATTTACGTCGCCCTATACTCTCAATGGTTGTGGTTCCAGACTTACAGACGCAGATCCTTCTGTCAAAGATACTGAAAGAGGCACCTCTCCGCAGGTACGTTGTGTGGCTGAATCTCCGAGAGGTGCACTTACCGACCGCTTTGAAGCACGCCACAGGTAATCGTCCTGGTTGAGTTATTTCGTTCATCCTGGCTGATCGCTCCCTGGTCTCGCCCAGTTGGAGACGCTTGTGCAAGATCTTTCATCGGCATGGAGTCTCGTCCGCTCCACCATCAACTCCCGCCGTCCAATCAATCGACTGCCCCCAGAACTACTCTACATCGTCTTCTCGTATGTACCCCGGCGGCAGGAAGTATGGGACCCATACGCGCCACTCGTCGTCCTCACACAGGCCGAGGACCTCATGGCACTAACTCGTGTCTGCAGATACTGGGAGCAACTACTGCATGGCATGCCGGGGCTCTGGTGCACGGGCTTCAGCAACTACACTCCGCAGGTGCAGGCCACGATGCATCTGCAGCGGGCGCAGAACCTGCCTCTGTCGGCGTGCGTGTGCAAGTCTTGGACAAACCTATACATGCCACAGCTTGTGCGCGCTTGCATGGCGCGCATCCGGGTGCTCTATCTCAACGTCGACTTCCCGTCCGGTCTGCACACGCTGGTAGGCCTCCCCGCCTCCCGGCTTGAAGTCCTCCTGCTTCACTCGGATGCGCCGTCGCATCTGGGCTACGAGCCGAGCACGATGACGCTCTGCAACGGGGATTTCCCGCAGCTGCGCTACCTTTCGATAATGCAATGCCCGATCCGTCCTGCCGCCGCATTCCCTGCACTAACGCACCTACACTTGGCCCACCAGTGCATGGGCCCGCTCCCGGAGCTGCTGCAGTTCCTCGCAGGCGCCCCGCGGCTCGTCCAGCTGACCCTGTCCTTCCTCCGCGTTTCATCTCCCGCCGCGAAAATCGACGCTCCAGAAGACGCCACGCCACGCAAGGTCTACCTAGACCACCTGCGGGGCCTCTGTCTCACGGAAATCGCACCGGATATCGTCCTGCTCCTCCTCGCGCACCTCGTCATCCCCGCAAGTCCCGTCGCGATCCAGCTCGCGCACATCCGCAAAGCCACCCCGGCGTTCTTCCGCGCGCTGCCGGACCTCCCCGCCCTGCGCGGCGCGACCCGCCTCTCTGTCGAGGCGCGCCGCGGGTCTCTGGTCGTCGCAGGAGCAGGCGCTACGTCGGCCGTGCGGATGCATTTCGTGGACGTGGCGGGGCCCGGGTCGCTCGCGCCCGAGTGGCTCGACGCGCTCCTGGACGTGCTTCCCGCGGGGGCATGCTGCCGCGAGCTGTGGTGGACCGACTGGCACCGCCCGGGCGCCGCGCCGTGGACGTACGGCCTGCACCGCACGCTGGAGCGCATGTGGGCCGTCTCGGCGCTCGTACTCTGCGAGCCGCCGATGAGATGCAAACGCCAGGGCGCGCTCTTTGACGGGCTCTTCGGTGTCGACGGGGGCGCTTCTGGGTGCGCCATGCTGCCCGCGCTGCGCACTCTGCACCTCGTCACGCATAGGTTTGCGATACCCGCGCGCACTAACGAGTACGCCAAGACACGCGCATGCCGAGGCCGCCCGCTGACGCGCGTAGTCGTGCAGGTGGCCGTGGATGAGCTCGACAGCGACGATGTGCCAGATGAGGATTTGCGTGCGGGGCCGCTGGGGTTGCTCGACGCATCCCTGGACGAGCTACAAGAGACGGTGGGCGCGGTGGAACTAAGAGTGGACCACTGTACGCCCTCGATGCCACTGCCCCTTGTGTGCCATGATCCCTTCGTGTACTGGGAGAGCGCGGGGATGCCGCGGCCTTGGTTTCAACTAGCCCGGGAATTCTTTGACTGACTCATATGAGGTCACTGGCGTGTTGGCCGTGCCCTCGAAACCAATCGAGGGTTCACACAGATGGTATCGCACAGGATGCGCCACAGTCGCAGGCATGTGTGCTGTGACCAGAACACGTTTCTGACGAGTAGTGATCCGAGGTTTCGAGACCTCTGGTATAAATAGACGCAACAGAAATTCAACTTCAAAGCGACGGATACAGATCAACCTCGCTGGGATTTCAGTTAAATAAACCTTGGCCTCAGGTGCATGTAAGTAAAATTGACAGGAAGGTGGCAAGAAAAGGAGGTTCCAAGTGGGCGGTTCCACGGGAACCCCGCGGCGTCCTCAATTCATCTCCGATTTTGGAAATCGAGATCCTTGTCATCCTATCCGACTTCCATGTCAGAGCATAAGGGACAAGAACTTCACTTCAAAGATCTGCAGAGAATGCGCGCACGTCCACGCTATGGAAGTTGCCGCCGTATAAACGTATAGTCTGTTTTGTTCGGTTCTATGTACTCACACGGGCACTTTCATCAGTGTTTGCGCTGCCATTGATGCGACTGGCCGTTCAGCCTGTCCGAGTCCGTAGCATGATCCACAGGTCTTCCAGCGCATATCAAGTTTAAGAACGACGAAGCTGTCACACTGCAGCACGTTGCTGGGAGGCCTGGGCCCATGCACGAGATCTCTCGATGTGAACGAGTTTCGATGGCAATGGGTCACAAATCCGGTGAGAAGGAGCGCGAGCCGCCGGTGGCAGTTGCGCGAGGATGATATATTGCTGCTCACGCCGTTATCACAGTGAAATGAGTAGACGGCTGCGTTGGGGGTCTTGGTCCTTGGGGTGCGCGGAACTTACTGGGATGGGAAGGTCTTCCAAGTTGAATGGGTTCACACAGTGGGCACGCCTTCCATGTCAATCTGGAGCTTCCCAATGTTCCGCTGGCATGACTCACGTTGATGTGCCCGTCGTATTTGGTCGACGATGAGGCGCGTGATACGGAGGTTATATGGCGGCTGCAGCGGCGATTCACCGCTACAGTGCTTCAAGAGCGGCGCACGTCCGAATGGGGTCCCGTCGGGGCAGCGCGAACAGGTCGGCGAAGATAAGGCGTGCAGGCGGGGTGATAGAAGGCGGGCTGCGTGATACGAAGCGAGGTGCAGTCGCACGCAGCGCGCTGTGGCGGCGGGGACGCGCTGTCCCCGGTGGGAATGCACAAGTTGGCGGGAAACCATCACGCCCACATCGGGCAAACCGTCGCACAACGAATCTATCACGCCATAAAAGGAAATGGCGGGCTTCGCACGCGAGTCAACGTCGCCCAGTTTGGGCAATGGGCGCCCATTTCCCGGAAATAGATCCACGTGCAGCATGCCCGTAAAGTGCGGGGTTTAGACGCCGTTAAGCGCGCGTGTTTCCCTTATTAGCTGCGAATTTCGCCCTCGGTCTTGCCACCATTTCCTCGTCGTCGTCGTTGCGCCCATAATTGCAGTCTGCAGACTTGTTGTTCCTCGTCTCCTGGTGACCGGCATAAGGTCGACGGCCCCGGACCGGCGTGATCTCTTGTGTAGTGGCACTCGCATTGTTCCTGTCGGCAGACGCTCATCACCGACAACGGACGCCCTTAAAACTTCCTGCACTGCCTACCCTGCCCTGCCCTGCCCTTTCATAACGCCTACTCCGTGCAGCGCAGCACAGAGTGTAAACGAGTGTCAGTGAGACGGCATCCGACCGCGAACGCGAATCCGACACCGACTTCCAGCAGTCAGCCACCGGCCAGCGTCTGCCTATACCAGTAACACCGGAGCGCGCCCCAAACAAAAGCTTCGTAGTCTGACTCTGTGAGCAACGTTCTCTCCAGCCAGACTCAGCACCAAAATTGCATAGACGGCCTGTGTCGAGCCGTTTGGAAGTATTATCCGTGGAAAACTCGTTCATCTTGCTGCATACAGTCACCTCACCAGGTATGTGAGCGCATACACTCGCTACTGGCCTGGCGTTTGTGCATTTGCTAACTGGCTGTGGACCCTTACTATAGACTACGGAGCCATGAGCACCTCATCTGCACCTTTCCTGGTGCGCACGAACATGTCACGTTCCAACTCGTGCTACCATCCATACCTGCCCCACGACCCCCAAAATGCGAGCCCCGCCGCAAGCAAGCCCTCACTACCCATAGCCATTCCGCGTCGCAAAAACGTCCATCCGCCTCCGCGCTCACCCATCCGTAACCAGCCGTCGCCGGAATTCGTGTTCAACCTCGACTTCTCTCCGTGCTCGTTTCAGGGCGCGGGCATCCTTGCGCGCATGGACGTCCACGCGCGCAAAGACGTCGGCCATGACTGGACGCAACCGTTCCTACAGCAGCGCGGTCGCACCAATGTCCTCCTGGCACACCAGTGCCAGCAGCCGCAGCGGTTGATGTTTGTGAGGAAGACGCGCAGCCCCAGTGTGCGTCATTATCTTCCGTATATGCGAGAGCCTGCGGCCCGTGTCCAAAGTCCCTGTGCTATTTCCAAGGACCACGCGATCGCTGAGCAGGAGAACATTGACTGCGACGGCTACCTTGACCCAGACACCACCCTCTCAGTATGCTCGCCGCCTTCCAAATCCTCTGTCTGCTCATCTCCTATCTCAACGGATCCCCTCGTTGACTTCCCCGAAGCGGACTCTGTCCGCTGCGCCCACGGACACCTGGCGGAGGACATTGGCACTCCCTACCTCACGAACGCCTTCCAGCAGTCTATCTCCTCCACATCTCCATCCAATCAGAGTCAGGGCACGACGCTCGCGTCCGAGCCCGTATCGCCGTCCTCGCCTATCAGATTTTACATGCCGTCGCCCGTCTCCCCACCTCCAATGCGTCCGTATCCGTACCAGGCTCCCCGCGCGCTCCCACTCGCGGGTGCCCGCGACCGCGCACACCTTCTGCGTAGCGGCGCGGCGCCCGTTGTCTCGTTCAAGGTCGCGCAGGCTGAGCGTGCGAGCATAGCGCCTCGCTCGCCTGCGCGGGGCCGCTCGCCGTATCCGGGCGTTGCGCAGCGCACCCGCCAGCGTCGAGGCTCGAGCGCGGGTTCCCGTGCGCCGACCGTAGTCGGTACGGGTCGCGCCATTGGCATGCGTGGCGTGCGGGGCTCGTCGATCGTGCTCAGCAACGAGGACATCGAGCGGTCGCTCGAGAAGGAAGACCGCGCGCGTGAGCGCACGCGGGAGAGGGAGAAGCGGGAGGGGGACACGGAGGACTGGGATTGCGAGAGAGGGCGGACGAGGGGTCGTCCGCGGGGCAGGGGCGTTGGCATCGGTATTGGCATCGCCGGCCTGAGACCCGCCCCGGGCTACCTCTGAGGTTGCGCAGCGCGCCTTGCGGTCGCGGTCAAGACGTACGCAGGTCCCTGGTGCACGACGCGTCGTCCCGCTCTCATGCCGGATCGCCATACGGGGCGGTTCGCGCTTGTAACCCATCTGGCATCTGCGGATGCCTCTGCATGTTCCTTCCTCTCCTTTCTTCCTCCATATATGGACCTCACATTGCATCCTCATCGGTCTTGTCGTCTCGGCCTATGGTTCCTCATTCCCCACACGTCTTTGTCTTTGTCTCTATGTCAGTGTCGTCCATCATGAGTCTCATCATCACCATTCCCCATCATCATCACACGCACGGACAAGGTCATGCCTGCATCATTATTTCGATCATCATCAGCAATTTCCTCTTCGTTCTCATATGCATACATTTCCGTACCGGCGGCGGTACCGCATCAGCATCGTATACTGTATATATAACACATCATCCATCCGTCGTCGTCAATCGCATCCGTATCTGCATCACCATTGGGCTCCCATACATCTACATTCCGCCAAGTCCGCATTCGTCTTCGCATTTTCATCAGGGTTTTTCATCAGAATACGGTCTTCCTTTCTTCGCATTGTCCTTCTAGTCCATACGCAAGACCCTGGCCCATCGGCTTCCCTGCATTCAAAAGGACCCTACGCTCTCCGTTCTCACCGCCGCACACTTCTTGATCGGCCCGCCATCTCGCCATCTCGAAGCCACCTTCGGGCTGCCGCTGCATCTCAGTTTGCTCGGTGCAGGTGTTGAGCAACAGAGCGGCCGCGGTCCGCCTGCCTGATTATCGGTGATTCCCCGTACTATTCAACTCCATTTCCTCATCGGCTCTATTTGACTTCCGCGCCCTGCGTACAGCATCGACTCCCATCTCATCTTTACGATATGCATCCTCACAAACACCATCATCGCCACACCACTCCACACGATCTCGGTTCTCGTCTGCCTGTGTTCGTTCTGATTGTTAGAAGCCCGGTTCACTTCCTTTCTCGGTCTGGGCGTTTCATGCCGGTCATCCTCACTTCTTCCCCACTTCTTGTTCCTCCTGGAGGCTGCAAATTTCGTTCTGAATCATCCCCGTCTACGTACATTGAGTGGCAGCGTCCCGGACACGGCCCATTTCGGTTTCCCGCTGGTCGTTTTCTAGAGTGTCTCGTTACCTTACACCCCATCCTAAGTCACCTCGTTTTGTAGACATGGTCAAGTGTAATCCACACAAATGCATTCGCGCGCAGGACAATATATATACTTAGTACTGTCAATGAGAAGACTTGGCCAGCCCGAATGAAAACGCTGCAAAGCACGGGATACTTACAACCGTCGTATGGCTGTAGGCTTTCGGTTGCGCGCAATCAGAAGTTGACATGAGTGAGCCTACGATACTACACTCTTCAGTCGAGTCCTTACCAGGTCGACTTTTGGAAAATGGCAAGTCCCTCCCGAGTCCTCCGGAAACTTTGATCAGTGTGACACTTGATTTCCGATATCAACCCAGACGTTTACTCCTGATTCCATATCGATGGGCCTATTCGAGTCTCGAGAGTATTTGTGCGCAAGTGGGGTTGATGTGGAACTCGGAATCAACGGTCGGGACCTGGTAAAGTACTGTCAAGCCTTCGAAACTTGATTCGAGGGTCCGCTTACACATGGCACATCAAGTCTAATAACAGGTCCATTCAAATAGATTCAGCTGTACTAGAGGCCCGTGGTCATGGTACAGCACCAGAATAAGTTCAAGAAGGATGTCCGCCCGGCGCCGGTAATGAAGTGGACACGTCAGACACATTCGAGTCAGGGTCATTCACGGATACCGGATCTTCTGTGGCATGTGCATCTCTCGGTGTCGGCTCGGTGCCAGTGGCACCGCTGCAGAGGACCGAGGTCACACTAGTACATCGCGAAGAGGTTGTCGTCTCTAAGCCCACGTCCTGCCTGAGGGACGATGGCCAGGACGAACATCCTACTAAGGCTCGAGCCAGCTGAGCCAGCTGAGACCTTACCGGAAGCTGCAGATAACCGTTACGCCCCGGCTATAAGGTCGTGCCAGCCAGAGAAGAGGGTCCCTGGGAAGGCAGACTTGCGAAAGTCTCCGTCAAGGGGCTACAGCCAACCTGACCGCTTTGCTCTTCAACCAGAGTTGTGTGGGACGTTACTACCGAGCGCTGAGCCTATATGCTGGGTGAACCGTGATTAAGCCTTCAGCTCTTGCTCCGGTGACCCCGAGCAGTGTACACCTCTTGGGTAAAACCTGTCGTATGGCGGGACCTTGTTCATGGTCCTATAGATCTAAGAGTGGCAGGGCATGGCCCTTTTCGAGAAGGTTGGTTGATTTATTCGCACTACCAGCGGAGGCGAGGAGGGAACCGAACGGTACTGCCGCAGTATCTCGGGCCGAGAGTTGAACATCAAGAACACCCAGCCATGAGATACAGCATCTGAACTAGACCAGACAGTGTCCAGGTGACCGATGGCTTTGACTCATCACTGCCGTGTCGAGCTTTAGCTCTCATGTAGTCAGGAAACCATACAATGGCTGTGTCCGGCCGCTGATAGTATACGAGACTACTAGGGCAATACATGGCTGATGTTCATTGATCAGAATTAGGTGTTAGACGCAACGTATATTGCTGGACCCTTCATAGCGCTTCCACCTAACGCCACCAACTATGCATAGCATAAGTTTAGGCTCGTATGTCAGTCCCCGCACGCTAGGAGAAAGTCGTTTGGGATTGACGTGGCCAACTCGCTCCGGTACATCACAACCTTGTGAAACATCAAACATTCTTCTCAGAAATGAGATGCCTGCAGTAAGGTTCGATGATATGTGTCTTCATGAGAGGACTTGGCCCCGGCACGACCAGTGTCGCTCTTGCGGCAGATATCAGCCGAACAGCCTCGCACAAGACTTCGCTTCCTGTAGAAGTCCATTTTCCAGATATGGTATGCGCAGTGGATGACTATAGGTCCGAGGTCATCGAAGTGCCGAAGAAGGTGTTGGGAACTCACGCAGAAGAGCGTCGGTTTGACGATCAGGATATCAACATTGTTTGTTGATGGGTGACAAAGGTGGATTGTGGGCGCCGCAGCGCGAGTGCGGGTTTCACGGCTGACATATGGTCTGGTCCTCGGTGACTTGACAGGATGTGTTAGTGGAACGTTAATATTGAAGGGTCAACACTCACGAGTATGATGTGATGTAGTACAATGTACAAGTTTCATCTTGGTCTTCGACACGCTGTGGTCTAATTTTTCCGCTGTTTTACGCCGGGGAATGGACAGTCGTGGGTGATGCTAGGTTCACCACGATCCGACACTGCATTGGAATGAATATGAAATCCATTCATGTCTCGATCACAACAGAGGCAATTTGGACTCGGACGTTGATTGATCCCGCTGATGTCTGCGTTTGACCCTGCGTAGATGGAGGCGCACCGCCGCAGCAAACAAGTTTGTTGAGAAGCGTGACACTACATCACAATGAACGAACGGGGACGACCGCTGTTCGACATGGCATGGTTTTCCCGCGCTTGAGAGCACCTTGGCTCCGTGCAGTAAAGACAGTATCTAAGATAGTCCCCAAATTGCGTCGAACCACACTTTCATGTCCAGTTGTACTTACATCGCTGTGAACCATGAGTGGATTAATTTGGAATCAGTTCACCGTACAGGAGCCATTATCGGAGTACACTTACTAGTGAGAGGGAGGCAGGTCATGATGCGACACGGGCAAATTGCATTGCACCGATTCAATAGCCGAGATATCGAGGGCGTCGGGATAGGAACCCCTTCCTGCGTCGCGCATAGGAACGAATTGAGACGTCGACCGATTCATCGGAATCCAACGCTGTGCCGCTAAGCGCGCACCTTGGACAGGATTCATTTTGAGGCCCGTGGACATCGCAGTCGCGAATACGATGAAAAACGTGGCGGCCTGCATTGCGCTGTAGCGCGGGGCAACGACGGCGGTCGTTAGACCTTTCAAACAATTGACAGTTTGGGGAAATAGCCTCCATCGGACAAATACAGGGTGTGGTAGGTAGAAATGCGCACCGCCTTCTTGGACCTGGTCTGATGGCTTGCTGGATACTCTTAGGCTTCAAGTGAATACAGCATGGCGCGGCAGATGACCGTCTGTGACCGTTCGTATTTTTGTGTCACAGGTGTCCTCGAAGGGGAGAACCATAGCTGCTTCGGACGCCGCAACGCATGAGTGCGAGCGGCTCACGAATCTGAAGAGCGCATAAACACCGGTCGAGGGGAATGATGAAGATCACGGCATTAGAGACGTTGTGTCTTCGTAATCCTCAGCTGTGTTATAGATAGCACCTTTGAGTCGCTGAGAGCTGCACTGGCATACCGGTATCACATGGGACTTGAGGTGAGGTAGCTTCTTAATGCCCACGGGCGTTACGAATACGAATTTCGTCCCTGAATTAATCGCATGTATGTGTTAGCTCCATGCGGCAGCACGAATACGCGATCTCGATTGCTTTTCTCGGATTTTTGCAATCTTGGGTGGCCTGTTGAGTATCACGACATTCTTGGCGCCAATGAGGTATCCTGCTGCATGTGTACGTCAATGAACATCACGCGCCTGTCATTAATTCAATGAGCATCATCGTTATGGCTACGAGCGAGACATGGAGAACATATTCCTTGTAAGCGACGAAGGCGGTAACGTTGCTGCACGGTACCCACCTTGGGCCGCCGACGTTGTTGTGTGAACGGCAACAACGCCGGCCAAGACACCATATGCTCGTGGCACTGATGAACCGAGAATACTGCATAGTCGTTTCGATGGAGACATATTACCCGGATGTACCCCATTGTACGCAAATGGACAGCGCCCCGTCTGAAGCTAAATTGGGCCACAATGATTGTGGCGCCGTCATGCGTATGGAAGTGGCCTTTTCTGCCTTGATGCGGGTGTCGTTTCTCCAGGCACAATCACGTGCGTGGAAGATTGAACTCCAAGCAAACGTGAAAGTGGCCGATGGTTTCCCCGCCACAGCGATATGGTTCATGTTTCGTCACTCCCTCCGTTTGATGTTACATATTGAAGGATAACAGGCCAACGAGATCTTACCGGCAGTATTTTGCAGACAGAATTTGGTCACCGGTACAATATCATTGCTCGGCGGCGACCCTCACAGTCGAGGGCACCGGAGGGCGGCAAATATGACAGGCGAGATCGGAGGCTATAGATCTAGCAAGACGCACCGGGGACTATCCAATCTCCGACACCAGAATCAGCTGGAACAACCCAGTCAATCGGTTTCTATCAATTCGACATTGACTGTTCGCGGCAAGCATAATTGATCGATAGAATTGTTCGAGCAAGCCTCGGGCGAGACCTCCACACCGAGCATCAAGGGATCATGATTTCCACTAAGCGGCACCGTTGAATAGGATCGATGAAAACCTAGCATACCAAGAGTAGTGCCCGAGGTCATCGGCCCTCGCGATAATTCGGATTCATGTAACTGTGCACAGTACGTGTTTGTCGTTATCTTTGTCGAAGATTGGTCCCCGAGATGTTCCTTTCTTCATTGTATTTCTGTTTTACATCATGGCGACATCTGCCGGGGTTCGAAGAAGTGAGCTATGCCGGAACATATCCTACTGCTTCGCAATTGCAAAAGCATCCCTCACCTTATTGGGCTACACCGACTGTGCGCGCCAGATCGCTTGAAAATACCTATCGAGACATTCCCTCTGAGGATCAGCTCATCCAGGGCATCTATCGCAGGGTCAGCGTTATGCAGGATCGATACTTTTCAGTACTGTAAGCTCGCCTGCGGTTACGAGCAGCTCACCTACAAGTCCACAGCAGTCTCAAGACTCGCTTTATATGTTACAAAATGGGATGTGGTTGGATCGAGTGCATGATGCTAATATCCATCACTCCGTGAAGATTCGCTGTGCGTCAGAACACGTCCATTGGTGCATACGTGGCCCGCGTTATTGCGGTGTATTTGCTGCGGACAAACAAATACGGACCCACAGTAGTTGGATCAGTACCCCGCGATCACGTGTGTTCGCGACGCGAACCGCGAAACAACAATTACTACTTGCTGCATGTATTTCTCTACGAATTTTCTCTGCTAATATCTACGGCGACACTGCGCTGCATAGGTTACAGTACCTGGCTAGCATAAATGGCTGAAAACGGTATGGCGGCCAGGCCTGCTTGGCAGACTGACGAACTCGAAGACGAATGGATCGATCAGGAGGAGGACGACGACTTCCAGGCCTATGCCTCGCTGCACGCACATTCTTGCTCAGATCTCTCTTTGACTCAACCAATTGGTTCTCTTATAGTACGCTCTGAGAATGCTGGAACTAATTCCTCGGATTCCTCGAATGCATCAGGCGGCACTTTCCTCGTCAAAGAAGACGAGCCTGCGCTTCCGCTATTGCCGAAGACTCCTGGTCAGAATAAGAAGCCTTTTGGTAAGGACATCTTCACTCCACTTGCACTGGAGAAGATGTTCGAGCCACCTTCACCACCGAGTCAGCCTGCTCCCTTGCCACCAGGGACCACTACTGCGCCGGCCGTTCGTTCACGACTATCACAGGTATACACACCGGGAGAGGACGATACCGAGATTATAATGGACAACTCTGGAGGGTACGGAGAGTTGGAATCGCCTGCGGATGAGAGTGGAGGTGCTCCGGCATCGAGTTATCATTTTACCTTCGAGGTTCCTCGAGGTAGCCCTTTCAACCCCGTGGGTTCGACCCCTCAGGCGCAGAGCACTCCTGGACCTCCCTGCGCCGCGCTTCCAAACTTTAATCCACCTCTCACCGACCCACGCCTCCGTCTGTTTCAATTCCAGTATGATACTTTCACGCGCGAGCATCTCTCCGCCATGGTCGACTCCATTGCTGTCAATACGCCATCTGGTGGAAGCGGAACGGCGAATACAGGTGCCAATACCTCGTCCGCTGGCCTTTCACCGGTGCGTGAGGCCAGTATCTCACGCTTGCGCAGTGCAAAGCGTATCAAACTGAGTCCTGCAAGTGAGTTATCGGATAGCGGCGACGGGGCGGTCACCATTTTCAGGCCACAAAGCCTGAGAAAGGACTATGTGGGGGAGTCCAAGTCTCTCATGGAGAAGATTAGGGAGGCACGGGACTTCTCTACAGTGTCAACTGTGGCGTCTGCGCAATCACCAGGTCAGGCGGGCAAGGTCGGTTCTCCCAAGGATCAACCACAGCCGTCTTCTTCCAGTGAGTCACCGAACAAGGTGCTTTCGTGGTGGCTAAATCTGATACACATACTTGTGACAAGGCCAACCGCCAGCTCCAATTCCAAATGATCCACAGAGTAGGGTCCCTTCTTCCACTGGGACCGCATCTTCATCGAAGCGCGGGGCCTACTCTTCTTTGGCCTACAGGCAGCAAGCTGCTAACCTGATGGCGCAGATAAGGCGCGATATGAAGGGTACCAAGCGGGTATTCTCGGAAGAGACCGACGCATCACATTTAGGGCTATGCGACAGGCACAACAGATCTGTCACGGAAACTACTGTGGGTCACGACACATTCCCAGCGCACTCTCAGCTAGCACACGAGGGTCCCTCGAACGAGGCTTCGACGCAGTCGCAATTCAAGAATGGCAAGTATCCCAGCGCGGTGGGAGAACGAGCCGGCGGCGGCATATATCCGCAGGAACAAGATGACACAAACGTGGGCCAGGATCTTACAGAGGGCATGTCACGCATGTCTCTGGATTCGGAACATTTGCTAGAACAATTCCCTAATCCACCAGTCGTAATCACAGTGGCTGCTACTTCACCACCATCCGGTGAGACAAGCACTCGATTACAAGTTAATCCAACGCTCCTTGCTCCATCCAATGGACACGTCCCAGCTTACCCGTCTTCATCTATTCGTTCTGGAAGGAATGAGGACCTGACTAGATTTGTATCTTCGAGTACTACGTCCGGCACCACTCTGACCGCTGGGAGCACAGGATCATTTGTCAAACACCCTGGACCGAAACAGATCACACGTATAACTCCTGAAGATGTTCCCGCGCTGCCAGACCGAGTTGGAAAGATGGTCTTCGACAAGGTTTTGATGAAATGGGTCAAAGTCTCTGCCGACGCGCCGGAGGAGGACGAGCGCCACCCACCTGTTGCGGATGCCAATGATAGCGAAGACCCCTTCCGTGACTTTGAGAGTCTGCGTGAAGAGGATACTAGCAGACAGCCGGATGTTTCTGCTGTCGTTATCGAGGGAGAGTATGAAGACCATGATGACGATGTGTCTGCAGATGTCGAACAGAGTCGAATCGAGGAGGTTGAGGAGTCAGAGGTTGAGGACGAGGAGGAGGCTGAGCTGACCTCGTTCTCCTTCGATAGTTCGTCAGCGGAGCTCGTTCAGGTCGTCGCAGATGAAGGCCAACATCTCAATGCGGACATGACGATGACAGATTCCGAAGAGGAGGAGGAAGAGGCCACAGAGACTACAGGCCCTTCGTTCGACATTGACTCAGATGAGTCGGACAATGAGTACTACCAGCAAGCTCCTGGACCCGATACCGAGCCTGCGCTGCAGGATTCTCCGCCACATCTTTTGGCACCGCCTACGACGACAGCACTATTGAGTACGCCCAATCCATCCTCTCGAGCCACCGCCGACCCCACACCGACATCTATCATTCGCTCCGCCTTGAAGAGCTCCAGTGTCACCCCAGTCTCGGCCATGAAGGATCCAAGCCGATCGAGCTACACCCCAGCCCATCGCCTGGGGCATCGTCGTTCTGTGAGCTTTTCTGACGGGAGGCGAGATGGCCCGATACTAGGTGTCGGACGCAATGCTCCAACGCCAGACGCAACGGAGCTGGAAGACGACGACTCATTGGTTGCGGAGTCCAGCAAAGCTTCTGCTCCCCTTGTGCCGTCGGCAAGGTCCAAGCGTATCGCGGAGTTCCTGGATGACCTAGAGGACCCAAGTAAGCCGCACTTACAGTTCACCCATAAGCTATCGCTGATCCGTCCGAACAAAGTTTTCGATGAGTCGCCGTCCAAGACAAGTAGTTCCGGCAGGCCGCCGGAGGAGCTGAAACTCCAGAAGCCTAGGAGACCCAGCACCATGGTAGCTAACGGCGACAGTCCCAACCGTGGGGCATCTCGCCGAGTGTTTTCCCGGTCGCATTCGGCCAAGTCACCAAGGTCCACCGAACGAAACCCGAACGCCACATTCCTCACCGAGTGTTCGTTCGGCGTTACGCACGATCGGCTAGTGCAGGTGATCACTGACGTCGAACCATTCGAGCCGCACTGGGAAGACTTGACGTCTGTCGACTTGTCAAAGCGCAACCTGGACGGCGTTGCGAGGTTGAAAGAGTTTCTGCCCCGGTTGGATTCGCTCGCGCTGTAAGTACCTGACGATCCCCTGCCAAAATACCGCCGGGGGTACAGCCTCGATGCTCCAACATTCCTCCGCCGCTGCCACAGCTGACATACACGTTTTTTCAGCAATGACAATCATCTGTCCTGGCTGAGCGGCGTTCCAGGCACGGTTCGGTCGCTGTCGGTCGTATCAAACCTGTATGTCCCCTTACATTGTGGCGATTGCTCGAGAAAACTGACCCGATCTCATCGCGTTCTGGGCCTTCAGGCTTACAGGTCTGACATCGTACAGTCATCTGCTCAGTCTCGAGAACCTAGACATCAGTCGAAACCAGATCGACTCCTTGCGCCGTGAGTTTGTGCCGTGAGACCTTGGAGCAGTACAGCTCATCGATCTTCTCTGTCTACGTGAAACTAGAGCTCGAGTGCCTTAGACACCTGCGCGAACTCCGAGCCGATGGGAACAAGATCGACAGCACTGATGGCTTGCACAACCTGGACGGGCTGGTCAAGCTCAGCCTGCAGGGAAATCGTATCCGCCATCTCAAGCTGCACGATGTTCGGTGGTATGTCCACTTCTCACTATGATGCCCGCCGTTGGTCGGCGGTGCACCCCTCGGTCTCCTTCGTGGAAGGCATCTATCAAGTTCGCTTATGCGGCATCTGTCATTTTTGACAGGACCCGGCTGGAGATGCTGAATCTCAGCCACAACAGGCTAGGCAATGTAGAGGGGCTGGCATCACTGGCAGCATTGATAGCGCTCAATCTCGGTGAGTGACTCCAGGCTGTACGTCACTATCTCACCAGCGTGAGGGCGTACATCACTTGCTATTTTGCGTTGAAGTTCTCTTGGGATCAGATGATCCTGGCCTCGCGGCCTCACGCGCGCTTACGAGCCTCGCAATGCTACTTGCTGATGCTGGATGTTCTTTCTCTCAGACAACAATGCGTTGGGGGAGCTGGAGCCCGGTAAGCCGATGCCTCGCCTGAGGATACTGCGTGTGAGCGGGAACCGGCTGCAGCAACTTAACGCATCCCCATTCCCAAATCTTCGCACGCTATACGCGGACAACAACTCACTCGGAACGATCACGAAGGCACATCGCCTGACCAAGTTGGAGAACCTCAGCCTGCGGAATCAAAATGCGAAGCCTGGACTGTGAGTGGATAAGCATCCGTTCCTCTATCTCTGGTGCCTCGGGTACCGGCGGCGTTCAGTCGGGCTCAATGAACGCCTCTGGGAAGCTGTTCTAATCACTGACACGTTTGAACCAGGACGCTCTCTATCCGCGAAGTGCGAGACGTGAAACGACTCTATCTATCAGGCAAGTCTGACCTTACTCCTTGTGCGCCTCGCCGTGCCTCCCTTGCGGTGCCTGTGTGCAGGGGCCACTCTGCCTGCGCTCCCGCGGCATCCTCGGAGCTCGGAAGAACCGCACAGCAAGCTTTGCTGACCACGTTTGACCTCATAGGAAACCCGCTCAACGCCGGCTTCGTCTCAGAGCCCTGCTACAACGTCGTCTATCTCGAGCTCGCGGCGTGCCGCCTGACGGCGCTCCCTGCGGACTTTGCGCGGCTGGTGCCGAACGTGCGCGTGCTGAACCTCAACTACAACTTCCTCGAAGACGCCCGCCCGCTCGAGGGTCTCACGCGCCTGCGCAAGCTGACTATCATCGGCTCGCGGATCAAGGCGACCAAGCAGCTTGTCCGCATCCTGCGCGGCATGCTCGATGTGGAGATGCTCGACTTCAGGTACGTGTCCCTGTTCCTCAGTGTCCTCGCCTATGTTATCCCTGCGCGCCTCCGGCACTTGTACTCCCCGTTGTGGAATCGCCAAGCCGCGAGCTTCGTCCTCCATTCATCTCTGCATTCACGTGCGCAGGGCATCAGCCTTGGCCCAGGGCTGTAACGCAGAAAAAAGCACACGAGGGGCAGGACCACCCACTCCCGCGTCGGCCTCGGACTCGGAGGGAGGGGATGCCCTGGGGCAGTGCCTGCGTGCGGCGTGTATAACCGGCGCCTAGCGCGATCTTCGCTGCCTTCTCGGAGTGACTGAATGTGCCATCGGATCGCTGACATCGGCCCTTGGTGCCTTGCGTGCAGGATGAATCCGTGCACCTTGGGGTGGTACCTGCCGCTACTCGTCGCAGACGTGCCCGGCGCGCTGCAGCCCTCCGACGGCGACCGCGCGGGCGCTGGCGCCGGGACGGGGCCAGGCCGGCCGAGCGCGGACGCGCACGGGCACGCAATGCCCGCAGGGGGGGAGGCAGACGCGTCTGCGGCGGCCCCGGCGCGGGACGCGGGCGGGAGCGCGTGGAAAGAGCTGGACGCGAAGTTCCGGCGGGACCTGCCGGACGAGGCGTACGTGGGGCGGCTGGTGTACCGGGGGCTGGTGATGCGCGCGTGCCCGGCGATCCGGCTGCTGGACGGGGTGGAGGTGTCGGGGAAGGAGCGCGAGAAGGCGGAGCGGGTGCTGAAGGGCGTGCTGGGGATGCGGCGGGGGCGGGTGGCGGGGCCGGAGGCGGAGGCGCGGGGGTAGCAGCTCGCGATTGAGTTTGCGGGCGCGGGCGCGGGCGCTGGCTGGCCTGGGCTGGGCCCGGGGACGGCGGGGCTCGCACGCTATCGGTCCGCGGGCTGGAGATTGGGTATTTTAGGGTCCGCAATAGACGGAGCGGATGTCAGGGCGATTTGCGTGCATGATCTTTTGCTGTGTATGGAGGATTTGTGCAATGCGAGTATGGTGCTACTGCGTAGGATAGGACACAACACGAGATGATGCGGTCGGGGGAGCCGGCGGCGGCGAATGAGGCTGGCGCGTGTGAGAGTGAGTACGAGGAGGAGCCCATCGGAGGAATGGAGGGGACATTGTGAGAGATTGGAGGGACTGAAAAGGAGGAGCCCTGGTGGGAGCATCTGATGATGGTGATGATCATGATAGGAGGAGATCAAGGGCAGTGGAAGGCATGGATGTTGAACAGTCAATGGCACGCGCGCGGCGGTGGAGGCGGCGACGAGAAACGTATGTATTGTTTGTTGTAAGCAGACTGTTACTGTTACTGTGGGCACACAAGGCTGGTTGCCATGATCGCCCAGCACAGCAGCGCGTGATCCAATCTGGACGAGTGCCACTGGCTGCCGGGCGGCGCACGGCGATCGACGGCCACGACCGCGGCGCAGACAACGCGGTCTTGTACCGCAGAGCAGATGCGCTGGGAACGGTGCCTGGCGGCGACTGGGCGGCGTCTGGTCCTGGCGAGCCAGTCTTCCAAGATGTGCGGCGTGCCATCAGATGCTCGCCCTTGAATATGACTAAACGGGGAGAGGTGCGGGCGGGCGTGCGACGGTGCACGCGCAGGGCTGCGCTCGCTGCCTGTGCGCTGAGGCCCCAGCAAACGCAAAAGCATGCGGGATCAGTGCATGGTGTGGTGGCATGCCGACGCAGCGACAGCGGCGGGCGTGGGCGTAGGCGGGGGCGACGACGGAGCACAGCACCGGTCGGGGGCACTGATTGCGCGACAAGCAATTGAGGGCGCCGGATATGGCAATCATGCATGCATCATCGAGGACAAGCGCGGCTGTTTGGATGTGTTTTGGCCGAGATCCGGGGAGCCGATGCATGATAAATTACACTCCTGGGGCGAGCACAGCCATCTCTGGCGTACCTGGGGACTGGATCCGACGCGCCGCGAGAGCCCTCCGCGACGGGAGCGAGCCAGTCGCGACGAAGCGCGCGGGGACACGGAGGGCTTCCCAGGGTCCCAGCCAGATCTGGCGATGGAGGGCTGCAGCCTCCCTCGTACCGCTGCCGTGGATCGCGCGCAGGGGACCCGTTAAATAGCACCGCACGCCTCTCGATCGCCGTCATTGCGCTTTATCCATTCGTCCCGCCTGTCGCCGCTTGCATTATCGTACCCGTGCTACGAGCCCCGCATCTCCGTCTGCGCCACTGTCTGCCCTCCGCTGCTGCTGCTCGCTTGCTCTCGATGATTGACACGCCCGCGCCGCCCCAGCCGCTGAACAGTTACAACGTCGCGCAGCTCCAGTACGCGCTGTGAGTCCCGCCTTCCTTCTTAGCTCACCTGTCACGCCTGTCAAACGTCTGCCATTCATTGGCACGCGCCCTGCCATCTCTCTTACGAAATACCCCCGTCCCCCTGCCTTTTCTTTTAAGTAGTCGCCCGCCGCGCTCGTTTTCTGTCTGCCGTCCGCGCTGCCAGCCATGGTCGCTCATCGTCCTCTTCATTAGCAGCGAAGGCGCCAAGAACACGGCGATCGACCAACTCTCTTCTGACGTCCACGTCGTCGACTATTTCTCCGCATCAGCGTCCCCCGCCCTCCTGTCAGTCTCGCCCCCTTCCCCCCGCACACCCTTAGCCACCCATACTAACACCCATTGCGCCCCCAGCCACGCCCAGCCCCAGGAGCAGGAGATCGACTACGCGTCCCGCCGCATGTCCAGTTCCGCGACCTCGGACAGCAGCCTCCAATCCCGCCCCGACAAGCGCGCCCTCTCCCCCTCCAACTCCCCTCTGCCCAAGCGTCCCCGCCCCGCCGTCCACCTCGACCCCACCGCGTGGTCCAACCCGCACACCCCCGAGCCCCCCGCCGCGAACGGCGCACAAGAAGCCGACGAGCGCCCAGACCCCGACAGCGCGCGCGTCCAGCTGCCCTCGATCGCATCGACCTTCAACGATCGATACGAATACGAGCACCGCCGCGCGTCTCTCCCGACGCTCTCGTCCGAGTCTGCTCTCCGCGGGCGCCAGCCGCCGTTCCCCGGACACCGCGCCTCGCAGTCGACCGCGCCCGGACTCGCGTCGTACCAGTTCCCCGACGCCCCCGCGGACGACAAGGCCTTCCGCCGCGCCGCCGCGCACGACGCCGCCCTCGGCCTTTACGGCAGCGACTTTGGCGCTCTCTCGTCGGGCGTCTCGCAGCAAAGCAGCACCAGCCCTTCCTCATTCGGCTTCTCGCCCCTTTCTGGCGACTACCGCTCCTCCGGGCTTTCGTCCAGCTCCGGGCTGTCTTCTGCATTCTCCGCTCCGGACGAGCACTGGACGCCCGGCATCGTCCGCCCGTCCTCCACCCCGAGCCATCTCGCAGGCGCGCCCGCCCCTCCACTCAAGTACGACGACTCCCTCCGCCATTCCTCCCTCAGCGGCCCCGCCTCCCACCAGTACCAGCCCCCTCACCATCAGCAGCATCTCTTTGGCGGCGTCACCCGCATCGCCGGACAGCCCAATCGCGCCGTCAAGACCGAGGGCGACGCTCAGTGGACCTTCCCCCCCAACGACTTTGCCATGAGTGGCCAGGCAGGTTCTTCTTATTCCAACACATCCTCGTCCTCTGCCACCGGCATGCCCACCGCCGCGTCTGCCTCCTCGCTGGCGGTCACGGGCTCCCCGACGCGCTCTCCGCAGACCCCCGCGTCGACGTCCTCGAGTCTCGTCGAGCGGCCGCCCCGCAAGCGCGGCAAGCTGCCCAAGCCCGTCACCGACTTTCTCAAGGACTGGCTCCACCGCCACTCCGACCACCCATACCCCAGTGAGGAGGAGAAGAAGCAGCTCTGCCATGCTACCGGCCTCAGCATGAGCCAGGTGTCCAACTGGATGATTAACGTGCGCCCTCATTTTATTTTATTTATTTGGCATCGTTGGAATATTAATTCTCGCCGCTTTCCCCCGCATATAGGCACGGCGGCGCATCCTCGCACCCGCGCACCGCGCGGCAGCAGGCCCCACGACGACGACGCCCTTCTCGTCGCGCCCAGGGCCCGTCCCGAGCCCGTCCTCCGTGCTCGACAGCGGCCGGCGCGCGTCGGTGCCCACCGACAGCCTGCAGCTCTACTACCCGATGTCGCTCCAGTCGCTCGGCGACGCGCCCGTGCCGACGAGCACGCGGCACATGGTCAGCATGACGCGCAGCCTCTCCTCGAGCCACGCGACCGCGGGCAACCTCTCGGGCGGGCACCACGGGCACGGCGGGTCGCCGTACGCGCTCGACTCGTCCGCGGCGTACTCGCACCGCATGTCGTATGGCGCGGGCGCGCTGCACCCGCACGCGCAGGGCGGCTCCGCGTACGGCATGGGCGGGGGCTCCGGCTACGCGATGAGCAGCGCGCCGCTGAGCAACCCGTCGTCGTACCTCGGGTCGCAGCAGCAGCAGCATCACCAGGGCTCGCTGTACGGACACCACGGTGGGTACGCGCAGAGCCCGCAGAGCCACGCGCGCATGCTCCCGCCCGGCGACGAGCCGCAGCCGCAGCCGCGGTACACGTTCCCCGACACGCATTCGGTATCGCCGCAGCCGGGGCCAGGGTCCGGGTACGCGACGCCGCAATGACGCGGGCGCGCCCCCTCCCCGCCGCGCTGTCGGCCTCACCCTCTCCTCATACGCAACGCCAAAATTGCATTTGTCTCTCGCACGCATGGACTGCCCCGCACACACGCACGCCGTAGACTTACGAGACGTACCCGCCCCACCGCCTAATTGCCCGCACTTGCCTGTACCCCCGCATAGGTCCCGTCCCGTCTCCGTCCCGCACCGCACCCCGTCCCCACAAGCGCAGGCTGGACGCGCCACCGTGTCCAGCTGGGTCTAAATTTGGCCGCGCCCATCTTGGTACTCTCTTTTCGCTTATCTCGCTGCTCGTCTCCCTCCTGTATCGCTGCTGCTGCTGTCCGATATTTAAGCCCGTGTTTCCGGGCCGCGTGTTCTATTCTTGGTCGTCTCTCGTTCGCTGCCCTGCCCGCTGCATTGTCTGTGCGTCTGTACGTGTTCCTGGCATAGGGCCCTGGGCTGCTTAAAGGACACTGTCGTGCCTCGCCTGGGCTCCGTTGTTTTCCACTCTCGGTCTCTCGTTGTCGCGTCATCAGATTCAATGTGTGTGTGTGTGTGTAACGTAAGTAACGTAACCGTAGGCTATTGTATACCACTATAGTTAGATCGCCGCCTGTACGCGGCGCGTGGCGCAATATAAACCGCTGTGATGCATCCTCGAGGAGCCCCGTGCGTAATGAGTGTGCGCTGATTCGACGGTCTTGCTGGAAGCGGGAGAGGGTGCGCCGTGTGCGGAGCCAGCCAGGTACGCGCACGCGGCGCGTTCTGGGCACTGGGAACAAGGCGCGCACATAGGCGAGTAAGGTGGCACAGGGTCGCGCGCAGGCGCAATGTATCGGGCGCGAAGTGTGATCGCAGCGCGAACTCGTCTCTCTTCTCTCATGGAGAACAGAGAACAGAGAACAGCAGAGCGCGCGCTTCCCTTCCGCGCCCAGGCTTCTGTTCGCGGCAGAATGCTTCGCTGCATTTCACACTTCGCAGGGTCGCGCAGACTTCCGCATCGGGTGGCACAGGCTACCGCATCTGGTCGCACAGGCTACCGCATCTGGTCGCACAGACTTCCGCATCGGGGGCGCAGCAGCGTCCGGTGATCCCGCACAGCCGCCCGCCGCCACGAAAATACATCGTGCAGCTGGACGCGGGCGGGCGGGCGTGGGGGCACGCTGCGACGGAACGGGCAGGCGTGATCCCCCGGGGCCCAGGGACCCAGGTGCGCGACGGATTATTGGCAATGCGCGCGCCCGCGTGATTTCCTCGCTCGCGCCCTGGGCCCCGTTCACCGCGGACGATGCGGTAACACGCGCACGGAGCCTGTGCGAGCTAGGTTTGATGCGATGGGCCCCTAGAGCAGGCAGCGTCAGCGGCGGGTGACTGTACCCTGGGTGTGGCAGTCTGCGTCTATCTATCGCGCCGCGCCACGGGCCCTCGAGCGTGCGGGGCCCTAATTAGGCTCACAGTAGAACACAATCTAGCTCGCGTCTCGCGCGCAGAGAAGCGACACGGGCTGCCACCGCATTGTCAGTTTCTGCCAGTCGCACAGATCGATGTCACGATGGCAAATCCTGGCCCTCCGCCGCAGAACAGAAGCCTGCCCGTTGTGGCAGCCGCGCGCACGCGCTGCGCAGCGCGAGTTGGGGAATCCCAGGAATCGGTGTCTCGAGCTAAACCTTCGTGTGGAACCCAGCCCACCCTTCCCCCCTTCCCTCGCCTCCGGTGGCGCCGGGATCGAGTGGTCTCCTGACGCGATATCGATACTACAGCACCCGCGGACGGCCCTTGTGCGTCAGTCCCAGTTCCGCACACAAGGTTTCCAGGCCGCCCTGCGAAATTTGCAAACCCGCACGCAACATTGTCTCAGCGAGCTTCGAGGCCGGCGTCTGGCGCCGCTGATGGGGCACCAGCCCTGTGGAGCCAGGGCCGGTGTTGGTCACCTGTCACGCAGCCTCGGGCCTCATAAGGCAAGTCGTGACGTCCATCGTCCTCGGCACCGGGCAAGATCGCGGGATGCTGCATAAAGAACTATCATGCCATGGCGCTGACGCACTTGCCGACTTCTTTGGGCTCGTCGGATATCTTTTCTGACCGTGTAGGATTATGTCGGTACGAGCCGCTTTTCCAGAAACCGAGTGACTATGTATCGGCTCGACCAGCCAGTACTCGAGATATCTAAATATTCCGCTGGTAAACGACGATAAGCCTTTAGTGGTTCTCAGATTGTTATTAAATCAAAGTCAAAGTTCGACCGGTGATGGAATGTCCTAAAGCCCCGTGGAAATTCTGACCTGAGTATACTGTACATGTATCTGGTCCAAATCTGTCCCAGAAAACCCTCGCTGGGCGCTACAGATATTGCCGTATCCGGAACTGTGGCCACGGTCGTCACAGGAGGCATCTCGTGTATGGTTGGCGGGTGGGAGCAGGTCTAACTTCGTGCCTCAGCCACTGATCGGTCCTTGCCGGGGTCCTCAGTGTGACTAAGTTGTAACGTATAGGTCTATATATTTTTCCATTATCGATACTGTATGCGATATCCGCGCCTACATCATGCTTACATAACATACCTTAGGCAGGCAAATCGTCCATTAATGGAATACCAAAATGGAGTTACCACGATAAGATGACCGAGCATATGGTAGCAAGCAATACTCGGGTTGCGTGTACTTGGCGTGAATGCGTGATTTTACCATGGTACATAACTTAAATGCACCAGGAACCAGTATATGAGCAACTTTACTAATATTCTCAAGCACATCATGATCCACAATTACTGCGATATGGAAGCAGCTATATTTATTTAAATTGTACCTTAGAAGGAGAACGTACAAGGTTAGAGGGAGAGATATATGGTGCTGAAAGTCGTGTATTTACAGACTCGATTCAGCAGGACATTTCGGACCTTACGTAATTGGACATTGGCATAGTACACTTTGTGCTGTCGCACCTCAAGCCTTCAGACTTCAGTGCTCGCATATTCTTCCTAAGCGCTGAGTAACTCATTTGTTCGTATCATATGGCGCAAACACTGCGCATACCTTGAAAATATAGCATAGGTCTTCAAGCATCTATCGCTCAGTTATGGTTACAGAAGCGCCCCATCTCCTATGCCGTCGAGCAGAATTTAGCCTTTGTTCAGGTCAAGTGATGGTCTGTCTGGGGCTCTGTCACGCTGAGATCTATCACGGGGTACCACATGAGGCAGGACCCCATGTCTAGTTACCATATCTTGCGCCCACCCACCAACCGTAATCTCGTGACGCCCAGCGCGGCTAACTGGCTCTGCAGATTGGGAAATCACAACGGAGAAATACAGTTCGCCATGAGAAAGATTCAGGGCGACGGGAGGGGTGGACCATTCTCCAGCGGGGGCGCTGCGATAGCGGCCCAGACCCAGCGGCGTGTGGTGGGAACATCACCGGCGAGTGTTGCTAGCGACCAGAGCTGAGAAAACTTCGAGCCGCAGTGCACGCGCAAGCCAGCGTTGCAAAGCTGACTGAGGTCCCCGCCTTGGACGCACGAAAGAGGAAGCCTCTTTGCACTTCCCCGTTGATGGGAGCGCACACATGTGATGCGGACACCTTGCATGTGTATGGCGGCTATCAGACCGGGCGTGATGGAGGCGTACATTCATATGAGGACCTACTAGTACTATGCGCCTCCGTGCACAGCCTGCATATAATTAATCACTGCGACATGCGAGAAGCCATAGCAACAGCCAGAGGCGGGTGGTGCATACACGGGCGACCGCCCTTGCCTTGAAACTTTCAGGTGAGGGGAATGCTCGTTCCAGATGCAACACAGTCGCACAATAGTCCCGATCGAGCGGTGCTTCAGGGTGTGTTTTGCAAATAGGGCCTTAGCGTCTCTCGCGCAAGGGCGGGGTGGTGCCGCGCGGACCGTTTCTTTCGTGCGAACTCACCTTGTGGGCGGGCCGCCCCATCAAGCCCAGCACAGCTTTGCAATCGCATCTCAGCGCAGAATCTGGCCACACCATACAGATCTGATCGTGCCGCGATCAAGGCGCGATAGCGAGCGCGGCATCGCTCGGCGAACCGGGCAGGCCCCCATCAGGGTTGGGATGTGTCGCTGGACGAGTGCGGGCGTATTACAGGGTAGCTGAGGTGCTTCGTGTTGGTCGCCAGCACGACGAGCGTGATGGAAGGACGGTGCGCAGAAATGAGATGGCAGAAGCGCGAAGAGGTCCTGGAAGGACCACTTGGGATCAACGTAAGATCGCGGTGACTCGGATGAGAACGGCACCGCGGCTCTCCGTGCGCTGCTGCAGTCGAGGGACACAGTTGTGGGTTCGCATTTGATGGGCTGATGGGGTCCCCTCGACGCGGTGCAGCCTCCAGGAATAGACAGAGTCGACTTACGTAGCGGGTCTGATGCTGATGCGGTATCACTGGGCTTCCGGATGTGGTCAAGCGCGCCACCAAGCACGAGATCTGGGACGACGCGGCAGCGACGGTGGGACCAAGGAGGATGACGCCGCATCAGGACGCTGCGCTGATGAGATCACTGCTAGTTCCTGGACGGTCTGCTCGTGGGCGGCAGGCGAGGCACAAACCGAAGTCCGCATCGTCAGTACGGCCGCTTACGTCCAGGCTGCATTGGCGATCAGAATGTGTTTTGAATGAATCAGTGGGAGCCTGAGAGCGTACGTGTGATCTGAGGCTCATTCATCAATGCAGGGAACGCGTATCGCCCTGGGATTTAGAGGGTCTTGAAACCAGGGGATACGCGCAGCAGTGGATGTCGCGCACTCAATTAAGTTTGAGGGAGGCGCGCCGTGGATGGCACTGACAAGGCAGTATCTGCCAATTCGCGACAAGTCGAGCTCGAGGACATGAACGTTTCCGCCGGACCAGAAACGGCGTCGGTCACCGCGACCCTCGTAAGTTGCCGAATTTGAGCAGCCCCATCAAAGTGCAGGCACCCCGGCCAGGGGCGGGCCGTCTAGCCGACGCTCTCTCTCGACTCACCAACCAGTTGACTCGAATAGCGCTAGACGAGTATGAGGCGTACATATGACTCGGAAGTAGCGTTCTAAGACTCATCGCAGCGACCGGCAGATCCAACGCGTCTGCACCACTGAGCGCGCCATTCAAAGCGAACATGGCACAGCCAGTCGAAAGTCCAGAGGTCTCCGTAAACGCGGCATCGAAGGATACGTGGTCCGCATCCACGTACAACAATACCGCTTCGTTTGTGTATTCGCCGGCATTCACCTCCGTGGTCTTGTCGCTGCTCGACGCAAAGCCTGGGGAGAAGATCATCGACATCGGATGCGGAAGCGGGGAAGTCACGCGCGAGATCCAACGCCTGGTTGGCGCTGCTGGGCTCGTTGTCGGCATGGATAGCAGCGAGAGTATGGTAAGACGGTGTACCAAATGCCAGAGTTCTCTCATGTCGGCAGGGATTGGGATCGTCGCCGTGGGTTGGCGATAACCAGGCTGAATAATGTCTGGTTGCAGTGCGTGGTAAAATGGTTGTCATTCGCGCTTCGTTCACGGGAGTGTGTCGTGAAGAACATGCAAACTGCGACACATACTCCAGTGCGCGAAGTGCGAGTGATAACTGTTTTACAAGATACCGTGATATCAATTTGCAATGTTTCACAGAGTCGTAAGCATGTGACTGTTTTACAATGCACCGTAATATTAACTTGCAATAAAGCTGCAGTAGAATTGGGTTGCGCTTCACTGAGTCATACGCATGCACAGAGCTGAGGACCTCTCATTTCTGCAGGTCAGCCAGTGCAAGCAAAATGGCCTCGAGCATGCATTCGTCGGGGATGCACAAGACTTCGAAGTTCCCGCCGACTTCCCAGGCCATTTGCGTGGCGGCTTTGACGCGGTCTTCTCCAATGCAGCCTTGCACTGGTGCAAGCGCAAGCCGGAAGGCGTTCTCACTTGTGCCAGGCGCATTCTGAAACCAGGCGGAAGATTCGTCATTGAAATGGGCGGCCTGATGAATTGCGTCGGTGAGCACATTAATTTTCTACATCCCGCCAACAACTTGACCAAAGGTGCGCGTTAGGTGTGCGAGCGACTCTGCATAAAGTGCTCCGCACCAAAGGGTACAATCCGGATGAACTGGATCCTTGGTATTTCCCATCTATTGAGGATTATAGAGAGGTATGCCGTGTGTGGTCGCCCTTAATGCTCATCCTGGCTTATGACCTGCGTATGCAGCTCCTAGAATCTGCAGGATTTGAAGTGCAGCACATCTCGCTGAACCCGCGCATAACGCCTTTGAACGGCCAATTGATCGACTGGCTACGTCTTTTCTGCCGGCCGCATTTCCTGGCCGAAATGGCAGATGAAGAGGCCGAGGAGATCATGTCGACCGTGCAGGACATCTGCCGCATCGATTGCATGGATTCCCGAGGACGATGGACGATGATGTATACCCGCCTGCGAGTCGTTGCAATCCTGAAATCGGCCCCTTAAAGGGTATAATGCGAGGGCAGAGATAATATGCACCCGCTGCATATGAAATAGCTCGTGAAGTGTTTTGTCCTATGTCGCACTACCGTTAAAAGATGTATTGATAGGACATCTAGCTGTGCATGAATTAGTGAAATTCCCAAGAGACAGGACATAGGTTCTAGGACATCTGGTGAAGTTGTATGGCAGCGGGCCGCACCAGCGACTAGGCGGCTAACCGCTCTTCGTGCAGTTATACTTGTTTCGCAAAAAGTCTCGTTTAGATGCCATTCTTTTTGCGTAGATTCATTTGCTGCATGCTTGAGAGTATTTTAAGAGCTTGAGCACGAAATTTGGAGGATATTCGGGTGGCTTACGGTCTTTTCAACTCTCTTGGAGTCGTAAAAACACCCGGGCGCTTGCATGTATAATTTGTACTTGTTTGTTCCAACCGAAAGCCCCGCCTCAGCCTCTTTAATCGACAAATGCTCGCTTCGCCCGCAATGATTACTTTGACGGATGTGTTTTGTCGGCTGGGACTCACCCGAACTGATGCGCGTCTGTGGTGCATCTAATCTGGCCGCCAAACGATGGAATTGAGGCTGGATCTCTGATCAAGATTACAGAATAATCACATCCGACGTGACGGTGACTTTGACCTTCGCCCCCAACTGCATAGTTCGCGTGCAGTCGCTCATTCATCTGCGTCCGAGCCCAACATGAAGAACGAGACTGTCCAGTTCATCAACAGCCTCTCCTCCTCTGTGGCCAGCCATGGTCACTCGCACGATCACGGGGATGCATCGCATTCGCATGGCGCCGGCGAACATGGGCACACACACGAGCATCTAGAGAATCCCGGTAAGATCGACGCTGCGTGTTCTTTGCGTGTATGTCATATGAAACCATGCTTGACAGGGAAGTATGCTGAGCGCGATTTGCCCGACTACAGCGCCCGCAACTTCGAGGAGCGCGGCTTCACAATTGGCATCGGCGGGTGAGCCGCAGAACGCAGCCACCCGTATTCTCCGAATTGACAGATACGCTTTTCGCAGGCCCGTCGGCTCCGGAAAGACCGCACTGACCCTCGCGCTGTGCCAGCGGCTGCGCAAGGAATACAACATAGGCAGGTCTGCTTCCTAGTCACACGCAGAACCCCGCTCAACTCCGATGCACATATAGCCACGGTCACGAATGACATCTTCACGCGCGAAGACCAGGAGTTCTTGATCAAGAACAAGGCGCTGCCGGCCGCGCGCATCCTCGCGATCGAGACCGGCGGCTGCCCGCATGCTGCGATCCGCGAGGACATCAGCGCGAACATGGGCGCGCTGGAGACGCTGCAGGCCAAGTACGGCTGCCAGATGCTGTTTGTCGAGAGCGGCGGCGACAACCTGGCAGCGAACTACTCGCGCGAGCTGGCGGACTACATCATCTATGTGATTGACGTCTCGGTGCGTGCTGCGTTCGTGCACGGCGACAGATCGACTGGCTGATGACATCACGCAGGGAGGCGACAAGATCCCGAGGAAGGGCGGCCCCGGGATATCGCAGTCAGACCTGCTGGTGATCAACAAGGTATGTTGAGCACTGTATGTGTTTGGATTGCTCAAACGCTCGCCCAGATCGATCTGGCGCCGTTTGTGAACGCCTCTCTCGCCGTCATGGACCGCGACTCGAAATTGATGCGAGGCGACGGACCCACCGTGTTCACGAGCGTCAAGGAAAAGACCGGCGTAGACGACGTCGTGGATCTCATTCTGGCCGCATGGAGGGGCGCGGGCAGCCCAGGCTCGGCGGGCGCGGTCGGGGATGACGTATGAAGGAGTCCAAGAAGAGGTTGAGAATACCAAATTGTATCGATAGGTGCTACTGACTGTACAGTGACACTGTTTCCTACGCAGCTGTATAGACCAGGACAAAATTGGGATAGCAGGCGTGCAATGCTATCACAGCCGTGCATTGTGGTCGGCGTAGCCATCCTTGCCCGGTACAACGCCGTACGCAGGCCCGCCCTTGCCGAACATCTTGCGCAGGTCGCTCGCGATGTCGTCCGGTCTTTCGTGAGCCCCGAAATGGCCGCCCTTTTCGTGGTCAGCCTCGAACACAACGTTGCCGAGCGTCCTTGTCCATCTGTCGCACACGTCTCAGCATCGAGTTCTGGAGGGACTCCGCAGGCACAGGCCGGCTGTGCACTCACAGTTTTGGCACGATCGTGAGCTCCTTGGGAAAGAAGGACAGCCCGAAGGGAATCGGGCTGTATTTCCCCGCCAGAAAGGCGCCAGGGTCGTGCTGAATGACCTCGTAATAGATCCTCGTTGACGCGGCAGGACCGGCGCGCGAGAACCAGTGGATGGAGATCCACGTGAGCACTGGTCGATGGAAGCGAGAGCCAGGTGAGCGAAAGCACTGCCGACACACCACACCGCACAAAGGTTTGCATACCTTCGTCATCCTCCCATGGGTAGCTGTCTGTCCACTGGACGAGCTTCTCGTAGATCCACGCGAGCAGGCCTGCGGGCGAGTCTGCCAAGCTGTAGCCGACCGTCTGTGGCTGCGTTGTCTGTTCCGCGAAGTACCCACTGCCCTTCTTCAGGAATGTCTGCGAGTGGACGAAACCAGCGCGCTCGGCGGCAGTCCATGGCTTCACCAGGAATAGGAGAAATCGGCCTGGATGTTTCCACACGCTCGGTGGTCCGGCACTGCGAGCAGGCGGATCAGGAGATCTAAACAGCCAGAAAAGAGTAGAACAGACATACACAGGCGTATTGGTGTGCCAGGCCTTGACGGTCTTGGTGCCGTACTCTCCGACGAGTACTTTGCAGACCTGAGAGGAGTGTCATATGTGTTCAGGATTGATGTGCTGCAGAGAGACCCACGTAGTAGCCCCAATCACCGCCCTGCACGACTGGATGGGGATCGCATAAGTGCGCGCGTGGTTCCAGTGAAAGGCGCATACGTACCGTACTCATTGTACCCGAGAGCAAGCATCAGCTTGTTTGCAACCTAATATATGGATGCGTAAAAGATTCCTCTCGCTTCTCACTCAGATATGTACACTACCTCAGCATACTGCAGCCCCCTGAAGCCCTTCTTCTTGGGTGCCTCGGAGAATCCAAAGCCTGGCAAGCTCAGCGCAACAACATGAAAGCTCGGATGGTCCGGTGACGCGGCTGTCAGAATCGGCAGCATCTTGCGCACTTCCAGGAAGTGCCCCGGCCCTGCACAACGTCAGCCACTTGACGCGTCAAACGCGCTCTACACGCGACTTACAGCCATGTACGAACAGCAGCGGCACTGCCGTCGCTACAGAGCTCCTCTGGTGAATGTAATGGATGTTGAGCGTGCCGAAGCCGTCTACGTCGATATCCCTGGTGAACTGAGGAATCGCGTTGATCTCTGCCTCGACCTTGCGCCAGTCATAGCCGTCCTGCCAGCGCGCCACTAGACGTCGGACGTCCGCAAGAGGGGCACCGTAGTTCCAACCGGCTTCGTCAAGTTCGTCGGGAAAACGCGTAAGCTCCAGCTTTTTGTGCAAGAACTCGATGTCTGCGTCAGAGACGTTGATCTGGAATGCCTTCTCGGTGTCCGACATGGTGCCACGCGCAAGTTATCAGACTATGACCGTCGTGACGGGAGCTGCACAGAGATCCTCCGGACATGGGGACTGCTGTATATAGTGCGCGAAGAGCTCAGGATCACCACGCGCGCTCGGGTAGTACTCACGCCCATGCTTCTTGCAACTCTATGACCAACGAGGAACGACAAATGCTAGTCACAAAGATTACCACACTTGCAGAGGCCATCAGGAACGAGGACTTGAGGCATGAGGGCAGCAAAACGCAATTGCACGTAGCAAAGTGTTGAACTTGCCATTCTACTATGACCTGGCTAATATCGATGTATGTACAGAACAAGCGCCTAAGTTACGCCGTGTGATTATAGCAGGCGCTTTTGACTCGTTTCTGCACCATGTCAACGTCTGATTCTCTACACAGCGTTCATGCTTTTCTCTGCACTCCCATCGTCAATGAACTACTGACGACACATCCAAACTGGCTTTGTCAAAATACTGAATCGCATACGCTCTCATCAGAGATATCATCTTGGTGGGAATGGGCTGGCGAGCGTCCCCACGGATATTCTACAGCAAACGGTCCGCAGGTGCTTCCGCCGGTCGGCGAACACAAATGGCTCCTATTGCTGCGCTACTACACTCATCCTTACTGCGACGACCTAAGCGACTTGTATTCATCTATACCGGCCGATCTCAGAGAGCTCCTGGACACCGCCCGTCGTCTGCAGTTGTCACGCGAGCCTGGCCCCGCACGCTTCCTCGCGTCATCATGCCCACGAAATGCAACGCGAGAAGCCGTCTATCAATCTGTGGATTACGAAACCTTTGGAATCGAGGCCGCCAATTATGACCGCATTGTCGGCATGTCGCCCAAGAAGGCGCACGAAGTCCTCCGCATGACAGCATACACATCGTGGCTTCTCGGTTCTTCGCCGAGGTTAAGGACAATCAGGCATGTTGTCGATGTTGGTGCGGGTCAAGTTCGTTCTATCTATCCTACGTCTCTTCTCTATCACATTTTTTACTACAAGCGTGCGGTTCTCTATTAGCATCTTTTCCACTTCGATTGCATTATTCGATGTGGCATAAATGCTGAAACGGCGTCACCGGAGTCATTTCAGTCGTGCCGTTGGGCGCGAATCCCTTGCCGTCATTTCTTTCGCTTTCGACGGAGATCCTTCCTGCGTATATTTTGTTTACCATTGTTTGAGTGACGTTATGATTGTCTAACTATGTATATGGCTATTTTGCTTCAAATTCTTAGTCCGCTCCACCATTCTACGGTTCCTGTGTGTTGACCATCGCGTACTTGTGCTTGAACAGGCATATCTGTCACGAAGCTTGCGGGATAAAATTGGTCTGAACGTTCTTGCACTTGACTGGAGCGACGTACAATCCCAAGGTGCCGTGCGACGGGAGGCCGTTGGCAAGAAGAGACGCAAGAAAGAGATCCCTACTCCAGCTGAAGATGAGTCCTCGATCCCGCAAGCGAATGACAGCAATACCCCGCCAGTAAAACAGCAATTAGGCGCGTTGACGTACATGACCCTCAGAATCACGACCGACACACTTTTGTCCTCTGTTGACGAGTGGTTCCATCGAGGGGATGAGATAACGACACCAGAGAAGCATGAAAATCTGTATGCGGATGGAGAACCGACGCCAGCACTATTCGTGGCACTGCATGCATGCGGATCTCTTACGCCGAACATTCTGCGTGCATTCCTGGCACGTCTGAAATCTAGCGACGGGGATCAGAAGTGGTCTCCACAAGCGGCCATTGTGGTCGGTTGCTGTTACAATCTGCTCGAAGCCTCAGGTATGTTCGACTCCACATCTCGAATGTGACTCATTGTCGCTCATGAATTCCGTCAACAGATTTCCCGCTCTCCCATGAACTCACGCATCCTACCTCAGAGCTACCTCCTGCCTATCTGACCAACAACCACCTCCAGCTCGCCGCACAAGCTCCCTCGCAATGGATGCGATCTGAGGTAGCATCCGCTGCGACACGTCTCGCGATCCGCAAAGTTGTGTGGCGGGCCCTCCTTGCAGGTATCCTTGTGCAGGTGCCGATTCCGCTTGCCGATAACAACAAGCAAGCCGACGACGACGACTACTGCCCATTACACCTTCGCCGCCTCGGCAAGCTGAACGACTCGGTGTACGACAATTGGGACGCGTTTCTCGCACGGGCCGGGGAGAAGCTAGGTGTAGACCTGATGCAGGGGCACCCGAGGGATCGGGAAACGGAGAGCCGTCTTGAAGTCATGCATGTGTTGAGGTGTATATTGGGACCGGTCGTGGAGAGCTTTATCCTGCTCGACCGGTTGCAGTGGCTGAAGGAGGAGTTACGGGTGAGTCTTTTCCATTGCTGTCTGGGTGAACTAGTTTTTGAACATGGTATGAAGGGTACGGGGATGGACGTCGAATTGGTTAATTTGTTTGATCAGGCATCGGGAAGTGGCAGGAATGTCGCTATTGTCATCTCCCCTCAGCTGCACGAAACATATGTCCAATGATATTGAATAGGCATGCCAATGAAATTTGGGTGTGTAATGTGTGTGTGCATTGAGTGCTCGAGACTATTGCACTGATGTCACAACCTGATGCCGTCGTGAGTTTAACTGCAACTTGCGTTCAACTTTCAGACTCGGACGCTGTATGCTGACTAGAAGCTGTAGTCCTCCTACCAAAGAGCTATATGGGCTGACTCAAGTTGTGTACTGCCCGAGTTTCGCAGTGCGCCGATCTTTGCCATTGTCACGAGTTGACATCGGGTCCTTCATTTCTTTTCATAATGGTATATTTTCACTATTTTTCCTAATATTTTTTACAGCCATCCTACGTACGGATTTGGACCATTTACTGGTCCAAGGATTACTTACGCCTTCCATACATGATCACTTTCCTACATGGGCATCAGCCCCATGCCGATACTCCAATCTCCGTGCATCCATCAGCGTGTTGAAGTAATGGGCGACAGGCGACGAGGACAAGATTTTTGTGGCACCATCGTGGTTGTAGTGGTACAAATGCGCGATTGGCAAAGCTATTTTGGGCGCAAAGTACGTACGACCACTATCAAATCAATTCTACTGTGCGAGCCCGAAACTTCCAATTTCAACAGTAGCAACATAACAGCTGTCCCGCACTTGCCGCCTTGTCTATCTTTTGGATCAGGCTTCCGGCATTGGTCGGGGTATACGCCCGGAAAGTGACTTTGATGTTATTCATACGCACTCCCGCACACTTCTCGACCATCTGGTTGGGCCCTTGCGCCCTCCCGTCGTCGATCACCCGTCTGCACCTGGCACCCTCAAGTCAGCAGGGGAGTATGGGCCCTCATATAGAGGTGCAACGGAAAGAAGTGAAGTAAGGGTGACGCTGGTCACAAAGGTTGAAGTGCCGAACTTCGGTATGTGGAAGACTTCGACGGTACATACGGGAAGGCCATTTACGCCGAGACGACGTGAAGGTGGTATTACAAGAAGGCGTGCAAGATGCCATGATTTTGGTGTTTCGTCTGGGTAGTTGTTTATGACGACCTGCACGGTATTCTAGACTCTACCACACGTAGATTGAATATCTGAGACACATGACAGTCCCAGCACGAGACACGAACAGTGACTGGCCGCTGAATATGGTTACAAGAATCGCAGCAAGTGGTCCATTAGGTAGAAGCCCCCGCTCCTGCAGCCATAGCGTACAACTTCTCCACATCTCCGCTCTCCTTCACCAATGCATGAAGGTGGCCATTTTCGTTCTTGAGAAGTTCGCTGGGCTTGCCATATTCAACCTAAGACGGTGAATGTTAGTACAAGCCAAATCTGACTCGTCACGACTCACGATTCGGCCCGCATCCAGCACCATCTGTACAAAAGCTGTTAGGCCGACGCATACAAACATGGACGTCGATATGCTCACGATTTTGTCTGCGTCCATGATCGTCTGGAGACGATGTGCGACCGTCAGCACTGTGACGCCGTTCTCCAGTTCCTTGCGCAAGGATTCTTGGATGACGGCATCGGTGTCATAATCTGCGCAGCCATGTTAGCCTGACAACACTGGCAATTGAATCTCGTGATCCCTCACCAATAGCAGAGGTGGCTATTCCGGAGGTATCAGTCATAAATCTAGTCCTATAGGATTAACACCGACGCACCTTCATCCAGAATCAGGAGCTTGCTCTGCCGCACGATGGCCCTAGCAAGCGCCAGAATTTGCCTCTGGCCGACCGACAGGTTGCTTCCGCCACTGGATATTTGGGTATCCAGTGTTATGCGGCCCTCGTCCATGTCTTGTTGCAGGATGAACAATCCAGCCGAGCGAAGTGCATCGTTGAGAACCGCGTCGTCGTAGTCTTCAAATGGATCGAGATTTTGACGCAGCGTTCCACTGAGGAGCTCGGGCTGTAAGGCGATCACCTGAGTTTACGCACACGGAAGGGTCATTGGAGAATGTACGAACCATTTGAGGAATGATAGTGATATGCGAGCGGAGTGCCTCGAGATTGAGGTTATCAGTTGGAAGACCGTCATAGTACACCTTGCCTTCCGTCACTATACACCGCAGGAGAGCCAACGTCAAGGAGCTCTGTGGCAGTGTCAGCAATGGCTACGCAAGGCCTGTGAGGCTTGCTTATATACCTTGCCACTTCCAGTGCGTCCCACTATATAGCAGCATAATCCAGCATAATTCGTTATCACAATAGGGCATTCATCACGATGAACACATACCGATGCCCACTCGTTCCCCGGACTTTACTTCGAATGAGATGTCTTGTAAAACAAGGGGACCATCCTGCCATTTCTGTGAGACTTGACGTTTTACTCGAAATTGGGTATCACAACCCACCGGTGAGTATCGGGCTGACAGATTCTCGACTTTCAGATCTCCACTTGAAGGCCAATATGCCGGAGGAACTCCACTGTCAGTAGATTTAGGTTCCTGTTCTATGTCCATATACTGTTTGATGCGCTCCAGGCTGACACAGCGTCAGAGTCTGTGCCCCTCAGTATTGAACATGCTTGGCATACCTGTTTGCTGAACCCATGCTGTCAATGTCTTATTCGAGACCGGTCATTATGGTCATGCACATACCGGAAACTTCAAAGCTATTGAACATACGAATCCACCACAAGATCTGGTTGCTGAATCCAACTGGTGGAGATACATAAACAAGGAATCTACCCCCCGGACTGCTCACGTACCTGCCATATTCAATGAGAAACCTATTTTCGAGGCGGTGGCCTTGTCGATGTAGACGAGATACGCAGCAAGAGCAGTTGAGAAAAGAGCACCTAGAGCCTCGATCCGGATGTTTACCCATCTGGCTCTAAGATCAGAATTGTGCTCAAGCTGTATGAGGATTGCCTACCGGCTCAGATTCCAGAATATCCTCGCTGTCCGCGTGTACTTATTTATCCGTGCATAGGACTCCTTCTTAAGTGCGCTCTCTGCACCATATGCTCTTATGGAGACTACTCCGAGGGTAAGTGATTTGATGGAGTGAGCGGTAATATCCACATACCAAGGCCCACGAATGCAGCGCCGAATAGACCTAGAACAGGGGCTTGCGCAATGCTCTTCTCGCGCTTGACAGACATCTGTGCCTTCATATACACTTGGCCGACCCATCTCCCCAATCCTAGAATCAATACTCCGGGGATCAAAAAGAATGGAGACATGAGGACCACAGCGGCAAGCTTGACGATCATTGCGTCGCCTAAGTTCATGAGCATGCCAAGTATTTCGGTAATTCCTCCATCAACTGTCGCGCACTCAATAAAATGAGGAATGTAGTGGTAGTGATTGCTCACCCTCGCCAATGTCTTGTGTGCATCGAGAGATGATGCGAGATGTAGGTGTTTTATCGAGCCATCTGAGATATAGTTAGCCGTGCTCTTCTTATAACGGACTCGTTCTGTGGTCTATGGCTGACTCGTGCACGGGTGGCCTTGTACAACGTGGTAGGGTGTGCGCCAGAGGGCGACATGTGCATACCATCTCGTATGTACCCACAGATGTGCGAGTATTTATCAAAGGCTGATCAACATTACCTCAATGTGGTACCAAGCACGCATGCGAACAGGGAGTTATGGATGATTTTTGAGGCTCTGATGGACCCAAATGTGTACACCATGTAGTGCGAGGCGTAAAACGCCAATGACACTAGCAGTAGAGTGGCGTACCCAAACAGGTACCTGTGGTGATTCAGTCATATGACGTGCCAGTCATAACTTATACAGAAACATACAATGACACCTTGACCTCATTTGCGGGATGCTCCTCGTACTGTCGTGCCCAATAACCTAGATACCACACCTGGGAATTTTCGATGCACTCGGCCACGAAAAGAGCACCCAAGCAACCGATCCAGAAGAGGATTTGGTGTCGACCTCCAAGGTTCCCCAAGTACAGCTTCACTGTACAATAGTTAGTTCTGCATGCAGTTAGAGATAGCGAAACGTACTTGCTGGCCAGCCAACGTGGCCTTCAGCAATCTCCTCCTCCAGAATCAATTTCCCACTGGCCTTCTTGGCACTCTCGTCGACGTCTTCCGCAATGGCATCAATTTCGACCTTTTCGACGGCTTGGCGGTCTTTTTCCATCTCAGCAGCGAGCGTTTTGTCATGGGCCAGAGCGCTTGAGAGCGATCCTTGACTTGAGACTCGTCCATCAACTCCAAGAGCAATAACAAACTGAGACACCGGGCTCGCCATTGCGACATTATGAGTCTGCGAATATCATCGAGATCCGCGACTGATAATTTAAAATATCACTCACGACCAAGAGCACGGTTCGACCCTGGATAAGGTCGCCTTTCAAGCATTTCTCAACTATCCAGCGAGCAGTGTGCACATCAAGAGCCGCCAATATCTAAGCGGCATCAGCCTTTGATAACGAATCTTGATGGATGGTACTCACATCATCAAGCAATAATATATCAGCGGTCGAGTATACCGCACGCGCGAGAGTAACCCGTGCCTAAACAAATCTTAGCCATACAGCTGACGTCTCGGGAGCTTCCAGATGTATCACCTTTTGACCTCCACTGCGTGTCCGTAAGGGTCAACGATAACCATAATGAGACGGACCGTACAAACCTGAGCGTTATTCCTCTCTCGCCAACTTCCGTCATATCACCGGCGTCGAATAGCTCCAAGTCTCGTTTCAATCCACACTGATAAATCACTGAACAAATCATTTGCATGCATTTCACTGGCTTACAACAATTGGCTCACCTTCATTGTACCGTGCTTCGTCGTACGTTGCACCAAACAGGATATTTTGCTGATGCGGCGCATAAGCTCAGATAGCATCGCCCACGCAAGACTCACGCGTATAGTTTCGTTTTGTACCCATGATTCCTGAGCTGCGAATGCGACACCGCCATTGCGAGGTAGGTTGACGTAGGAGTCTGATCCTGACGGGATGTAGTGCAATTCACCTAATTACCATGTTGAGTTCCTCATTCCCAATCCGAGATTCTGGAGCCATCATACCCAATAGGGCCATCAGCATCGAGGTCTTCCCGGAGCCTGTAGGGCCGACAATGAGATTGATACAGCCCTGCTTGAACGTGAGCTCGTTGTCGATGCGTAGCATGAATCTCCGCCGTGAACGTCCATCAGGTGCCTGCTCTTCATTGGCCCATGTGAACGTCGCGTCTCGGAAGCCAATCACATCAGGATTTGTAGCACCGCTATGGCTATGAATTCTTCGCTCATCAGGATTGGGACTGGTAGATTCAGAGAAGTCGTCCAAAAGTTCCGTCTAAGCCAAGCACAATCAAGAAATGAGCAGCGATTTGAAAAGTGCGGCCTAACTTCGTGTAAGAATGCATTGAGACGATCAAGCGAGACTTTCACTATTGATAATGGTGTTATATGACTTAACTCTGGGAGGACAACAAACAATACCTTTAATGAATGCCGGAAGCAGCCCGAAGGCCATGTGGATCTGGTCAGTGAGCATTGAAAACGCTAGATCCATCTGGGTAAGCGGGCTCAACGACCAAAGACAAAGAACCGCATACCAATCATAGAGGAGAAGACCCTCGACGCTATGAACTCGATATCAGTCATGTAAGTCTTCATTCCGTTATTGCTACGTCACTTTACCCGTTAACTCTCGCCGCATGACAACAGTCTGCCGTATATAAGCTATTAGATCTCAGCTCACCAATGCCAGACAGATTAGAAGACATACATAGGTCCAATACGTGATCATCATTGTCAACAACGGAATGAAGTAGCTGAAAGCAGGATTGTGAATAGCGCAAGACAACAAAGGGCAACAAACTTACCCAACCACGCTGTTGAGAAGGTCCAACAGTCTGCTCTTCCTCAACCAAGCTAGCTCGTCTTCACGCTTCTTCGATATCTGACGCATCAAGTGCGATTCCCAGCCGAACAACTTGACCATCCGGATCACACCCAGGGCTAACAGTTTCAAGAAGACATCAGATAAGCAGGTTCACACGTGTGGACGTTTACGTACTCTCAGTCGCACTTTGAACACGGTCATCGGTCTAGAAAAGTGTTAGCGGGAGTTCCCTCTAAAAGCCAATGCCTACCTTCTTCGATCGTGTAGTTTGTGTTCCGTGTAGCATTTTCGTAAGCATTCCAGGAACAGGGAGTAGCGCTACAATTACAGCCATCCCGGTGAACGCGCTCAAGAAGGTATGGGTAAGTAGGATCCAGGGGACGAAAAGGAGGGCCGGGCATACCTCCATCCGAGGATCGTGTAAAGGAACCAGACGCACAACACAAGCTGAACAGGAATCCGTACGACTGGTGAAGAAATTTCATCAGAACAGGAAGAGACCAGCATGTCGATATAACCTACAGATCTGAGCATACTCAACCCCTTTGGTAATATTTGCGAGATCACTCGTGATCAAATTGTTGATTTTACCAACAAGACTTTTGCCCTTGTCCCTGTCCTTCTCTTCGCCTGCTGTCGGCTGAGTCAACACAACCGCTTGCTCGGGTGTGCTTTTTGACTTTTGCTTGGCCTTAGCTGACTGAGTGCTCGCAGTAGTCGAATCCGCGAATGTCTCTTCCTCACGAACAGTGGCCTCATCCTCGCTCTGAGCTGCACTCGACCGCACAATTGACGCATTATCGGGGGTCACAGGGGCGGTGGGTGCGTCCTCCGACGTCTCGGCTTTCATACGGATCCGAAGGGCGTGGGTGAAGACGAGCTCGGTGACAACAACCTCCAGCTGCACCGCCACTCTCATCTGAGCGCAAGTTAGTAAGCTCACGCAAGAGATACACAAACGACAACCTACCGAAGCCATGTAGTATAGTGAAGAGATAATCACTCCTGCCATTGGACCGATGAACAGCCATGTAATCCAGACCCAAGGCCGCACATCGGCGTCGGCACCACCACTCTCGACATATCTGCAGGAGGATTCAGCTACTGTAAGTTATCTATGAGCGGCGCCTAACTACTGACGCGAGCAGATACTTGATCGCTACTGGGCTAGCGAACTGGGAAAGGACCTGTAGATATGTCAGTGATAGAACACAAGTCCAAAGATACCATGGGTATCATACGTAAAGGACAAGCATTGGGCTCATTATGAAGATGTCACCTCCTAAGACGTTCAACGTAATACATCAGTACAAACACATCAACGAAGACGTGCACCACATACGGAAAACCTTAAGCAGGCCCCACCCGATATGCCGGTCTTTCACTAGTAAAGGATCGAGCTCCTGAGGAATGCGTGAGATCAGACAACGAGACGATGCGATCAATTGGCACATACCTTGAACGCTCGCTTGACCAGGTTCCCCGCGCTATCAGTATCGGCCAGGGGCGGAAGCTCGTCGACCGGAAGATGCGGCATGCGGTACGCTTTCATCACCAACTTGTCCAGCCACGAGAATAACATGAGCGACAGGATCGGCGCCGTTTGCTCAGGATGCGGGTGGGGCCATGGGTTCTACGTCGATACGGTGAGCAACAACAACTGACTATACTGTTTGGTATTCTCACCTTTGCATCGAATGGCTCGTAGACTCTCGGCGTAAGTAAAGGAATGATGAGCGCCGCAACAATCAGATCGGCTATCTTGACCCAAAGCATCACACCCTCGGAGGTGTCGAGCGGCTTTTGTGTGAACGTCGCGTATGGCCACACATCGCGATATAAATATACTGCCAATGTGCAGAGTAGGACAAGTGTGGCATGTCCAGAGGCAATCGAACCCCACACCGGTTTGGCCAAGAGAGAGACGAATGACAGGATCAGGACATATGCCTGACCGCCCATTGTGAGCGCTTGAAATCACACATAGATATGGTATGACACTTACGTGCGTCAAACAAAGGGCTCCTAAGACCCACGTCTGCGAAAGACCAAGTGCCGACGACTCGTCATCAGACAAGCTCACAACCCAAGAGATGAGCGACAAGGTCAACAACACTGCACATGCGACCAGCTTGCCAAAGTTGAACGCAAAAATAGTCGAACCCCCTTGTGGAGTGTCATGGCGCGCAATACGTGATTGTGTATCGACTTCGGTAGTTTCTTCTTCGGAAAACACTGTATCAGAATCGGCGCTATTCGTTGAGCTGTCTTCAGGAGCCGACTTCCTAGCAGACCGATTTCTCCACAAGCTCATGTACAGCAGCTGGAGGAGGAAAACCACCAACGAAACGCATCCCGCATACGTCGGAAATGCAAGCGTGTCGGAGAAGTCGCTGCGGGAGTCATACGTGAGATAAGACAACTGTTTGAGAGAGCGCAGACATACGTGACTTGGTGTACATAGACCTTCATAGGCGAGAGAAATGCCGCTTCCAGAGGAAGCGGTATGGACAGGACTTCCTGCGTCCCAAGCCTCATTCTGACCTGACCTGTTGGCACGGTACTCAGATAAGAGGAAGAGTCGGGGCAAACTACTGCGATCCATCAGTATATATACCCTCCGCGATCCAACACAGAATGACGCCCATGACACATGCTTCGGCAGCCTGTCGAGTCACAACTGAACGGTGTTACTAGCGCTTTGCAATACTGATGCTGACAGCAAGCTGTCAATCAACTAAATTTGGGCTATCGCGTATCCTAGGCTCTGACATATGCTGTGGTGATATGGAGAGATGGCGGAATGCAGAGACCATCTGGGATGGGCGAATCGCGATAGAGACCAGCGTGGATTTTGGAACTTGCCCTCCTGAAATGGGCAGAGATCCATCGCCCCGATGCTGCGCGTCGTCGTCTTGCCTATACTTTCTTTCTGGTTCGCGGCCCTAGTTTCATAATGGCATATTTCATGCAACTTGAACCTGAGGCGAAGTGAGGTCATGAATATGCTCCCAGTCGGTAAGAGCGACCGTTTGCAATTCGTTCAGTGATTACTTATACACAGATCTAGATCTAGGAACAGCATGGATTTGGTTGATGCTCCTGGCAAAGCCCAAAGTCGGCACCCTTGCCTGATTGGGCCAATAGCAAACATTATTGATCGAACTGCGAACATCCCGCGAAATTTTCGGGAATCCTGCTCGCTGATTGGCGGGAGGTTTGTCGACTGCCCGGATAGGCACGGTACTTATCTCCCATACCACTCCGGGCGGGCCTGGAAACAACAGCCTATTACTTTGACGCATTGTGGCTATGACAATATTTTGCCGGGTCTAGCCAGGTCGCAGTGGTCTCGACCGTTGATTACGAATTCCGCATCAACCTCGCTTGCGCACAAATATTCTCGAGTCTACTGGACCTTTTGTATCGGAAGACATCCGAGGACGTGGCAGCGACATGCTTTAAGAATCTAGGCAGACGTGCATACCTAAGTAGGAAATCCGCACAGAACTGTCTATTCCGATGATCTTTAGGTGTAGGCGATGTTGAGGAATGCGCAAAATACCGAAAGGCCTTATAAATTGGGGTCAACCCATAGTATCGAGATGGAATAAGATAACCTGAACATTGTGTACGTTTGGAATGTTCAAACGCTCGCTCAGATCGACCTGGCTTCCTTTGTGAATGCGTCTCTCGCCGTCATGGATCGCGACTCGAAATTGCGCGAGGCGATGGACCCACCGTGTTCACCAACGTTCAGGAAAGGACCGGTGTAGACTACGTCGTGGATTTCATTCAGACCACATGGAGGGCTGCAGGCAGGTCAGGCTCTGAGGTGAAGGTGGTCAGGGTGGCACATGAAGACATTCGAGAAGAGGTCAAGAAAGAGCAGGATTTCACATTGTATCAATACACACTACTGACTTTACAGTGACAGTGCTTTCTGCGCAGATGCAAAGACGATGACAGAATTGGGATAGCAGGCGTACAATACCTTTGGTGTACCATTATGTATACACGGACAATGCTGTCACAGATGTGCATCGCGGCCGACGTAGCCGTCCTTGCCCGGCACAACGCCGTACGCAGGTCGCCCGCAAGGTCCTCCGGTCTTTCGTGAGCCGCAAAGTGGCCGCCCTTTTCGTGTTCAGCCTCGAACACAACGTTGCCGAGCGTCCTTGCCCATCTGCCGCACAAGTCTCAGCATCGAGTTTTGGAGACTCCGCAGGTACAGGCCGGTCGTGCACTCACAATCTTGGCACGACTACGGGCTCCTTAGGGAAGAAGGACAGCCCAAGAGGAATTGGGCTATATTTCGCCATTCGCAAGGCGCCGGGGTCGTCCTGAATGACCTCGTAATAGATCCTGACCGACGCAGCAGGGCCGGCGCGCGAGAACCAGTAGACCGAGATCCACGTAAGCACTGACCGATGAACGCAAGAGCCAGGTAAGCGAAAGCACCACTTGCACATCACACAAAGCGTTGCGCACCCTCGTCATCCTCCCATGCATAGCTGTCCGTGCACCGGACGAGCTTCTCGTAGATCCACGCGAGCAGACCTGCGGGCGAGTCTGCCAGGCTGTAGCCGACCGTCTGTGGCTGCGTTGACTGCTCCATGAAGTACCTGTTTCCCTTCTTCTGGAACGTCTGCGAGTGACCAAAGCCAGCGCGCTCAGCGGCAGTCCATAGTTTCACCAAGAATAGGAGAAACTGGCCTGGATTTTTCCACACGCTTGGTAATCCGGCACTGCGACCAGACGGATCAGGAGGTCAGAACAGCCAGAGGGTAGAGCCAGGCGATCCTGTCGTTGTAATGTATAAAATAGTGCTAGTTAGCAACACAACCTTGATACATGTAGAAGCTAAGTCGCCTACTTCCCTAAAGAGTGTATAATTTGACAGCGTGATGTATGACAGTTTTGCATGATACCTAATCGTCATCTATAATGCCACAGCTGCGGTACCCCGGCCATACATAATCACTATGGTCTATTTAGATGGTGAATTTCACCAATGTATTCACTCATGTAGTAGTCACAAATAGCCAATGTAATGGGTGAAGATAATCCCCTTGTGGTATGTTGAAATGCGCAGCCCCGCGTGGTCAGGAACGAGCTCGCAAGCTCGGGCGCGCGAGTAGCCGGGGGCCGGAGGCCCCTATCGTAGTATATAACGACTGCGTGCGATGTATGTATGCTATGCGATTGTCCCTTACGGGCATCGCTTCGCCCGTGGACAAATGTGCCCCGTTGCCGTTTGCACCATTGTTCTAACACAATCACATCAGCCTGCTTGGGGGTGTACTACCAAGCAAAGCTCTGGGGGCAGCTTGAAGCCCGCCACTCGCTGTGTCGCTGGATCCTGTGCACATGCCGTCGCTGTCGACACTCTGCTGGCTGCCGCTGTGCCGCAGAATATTCCCGCTGCTGTCACTGCCGACCCGCTCGCCTGGATGGGGCTGAAGCCATCTCGATCGACCCCATACGATTGCCAAACCCTGACGTGGACCCGATCAAACCCTGCCATCGAACCTCGAACCCCCAAACTGTTGAACCACCGAATTGCTCACCGAGAGCACTGCCAAACCAAAGAACCACTCATTGAGAGCACCAATTGAACCTGGAGCCAAGGATTTGGAGCTGAGAAGTTGATGTCAAGGAGTTGATGAAGATTGCTGTACATCATATGCCCTACCTTTGCGCCTAAGGGTCACTTATCGCAGCTCATCCGAGCATGGACTATCGGCCAGATGTCAGACATGGGGATGGATTGTGGACCCGCTGAGAGGGTGTGAGGATAGATGCTGAGATTGAGGGAGTGCCGAGTGCTGAGAAGCAGGGAGTGTGCGTGAGCCCTCGCTTGCTTTGCTCGAGGGAGTGTGTTGAAACACGCAGCCCCATGTGGTCAGGAACGAGCTCACAAGCTCAGGCGCATGAGTAGTCAGGGGCCGGAGGCCCCTATCGTAGTATATAATGACTGCACGCGATGTATGTACACTACGCAATTGTTCCTTATGGGCATCACATCGCCCATGGACAAATGTGCCCCATTGCTGTTCACACCATTGTTCCAACATGGTAATATTCACCCACTGAGTAGTCGCAATTGTGATGGTGAAAATGACCTCTTAAACAACCGAATTAACCACCCAACCCCCATTTTCTGTTGAGTGATTTTGACCTACGAAGTTAGTGACTGCACTACCCATTGAGTGGCTCAATTTAACCATACTTATTCACTGAGTGTTTGAATGATTTTCACCCCGCTGATAGGTCATAATAAGCTCATCATATTCACACTATTACTACACATTGAAAGATGTATACTACATTTTGTTGATGGCCAAGTGCGGCTGAACACCCTGCATCCGTATGATGCGACACTATTGCATCGGGATTGGCGGGATGTTGACGCGCCTCTGATGTGCCTGTACCTATCACTCTTGTCCCTCATTCTTTCAAACTGATTACCAAAGATATTGATGACTCACCTAGCGTAGATCCTCGTATATACCCGACATCCTGTAGAGTGGACTTCAGTTGTCATTCCTCACCTCAACTGAAGTCTTAAGTCATTCATGCTCCTTTACATACCTTTACTCATACTATTGACTCCCTGTAAAGGATTCTCTCTCGTTAGGTATATACCAATATAGAGTTGTCATTCCTCACCTCAACTGAAGTCCGATTCTCTCTCGTTAGATCCCTCGCTCACCTCATTAAGACATTTGCTGTACAGCATGCGCTCATGACATACCAGTACGAAGTTTCTAAACATTCTATGGCATTCACAACACCGCCACCCTGTACATAAAATAATAGCTAATCTGAGAAAAAAAAATAGTTCCCCCTCTCTGTAGCAGTACGAACGATGCTTGAGGCATGCTCACTGAGACTTATTCTGCCCACACCAGATGTCTACTCCCCCACGTTGCGCATCCAGGTCCTCATACAGACGATCTGCATGCCAGGCTCCCTTGACCCCAAACTACTTGCCTAGCCCAGTGACTCAATCAGCCTGGCGACAGTGAGAAGTATCATTTTACTTACCGCACACTGTCTGTACACATGACCAAAGGCTGTTCCTTACTTATCAAGTACTTGCTCGCCCTCATTAAAACATGCACTCACTGAAGCAAACAATGTTACCTACGACATCATTATCATGACTACCTAGAGATGAGAATGCATGTCATCAGACAGTTACTAGGAACATACCAGACTACTGAATAGCAGAAACACCAGTGAACTGAAAAGACAAAGTCATTGAGTATATGTAGTGAAGTCTGGCTTAGGAATCAATGCACATCAGCAGGGACTGATGGTGGGAGAGAACAACGCACCAGGACCAAATCAAGCACTGCCTACCCGGAAGGTCTCATCTGATTGTTTGTTCAACTTTGCTCATCATGCGGCTATAGCAGATTGTCAAAATCACTCAGGCAGTGGGTGAATCCACTAGTGGTGAATTTCACTAGGAACTTCACTCACAATTCGATTCACCGCCTATTCACCCACTACTTGAGTGATCACTGTTTTTAACTCATGTGCTTGGTGAATATCACTGCTCGGGCAGACCACAGTGAATGGCCTGTTCCTGTATTCAAAGCAGCAGAATCCGGTCATACATTTCCATCCACGCTGCACGCGCTACTCTTCCATACATAATCCCATGCTCCTCCTCCATACATAATACCCCATTCCCATATTCAAAGCAGAAGAGTCTGGTTATACATTGCCATATGCCGTGCATGCTCCTTTTCCATACATTACAGCCCCTTTCTGCATTCAAAGCGGCAGAGTCCAGTTATGTATTGTCGCATGCACTATATGTGGCTGCTGTTGACTTTCGCCTGGGAACGAGATGAGGGGAGTGGGAACACAGACGTGAGCAAGCAAAATGGTGGGATTGTTACAAACATGTGGGGGCCAAGTACGGCCGCACTACGGTACAAGTACTCTATGGGATTGATGTATTTTACTTGGCAATTGTGCTACAATTGTTCTCCCGGCTAGGCACAGGGCACGTCGGGTCAGCCCACTTGACACCGCGGACCCCAAAATCTAACAGCTGCTTCATACATCATGGCTCCTTCCTGTTATCATAGCGGCCAAATCCAGTTATCTATCGTCATCTGGTGCAACTGTTCATGTAAAAATGTTATATTTATGTATTAATAGCACCTCATTAAATCATATTTGTGATACACATCTGCAAAATTCTGCCAGTATCCAAGTAGAAGTGCTCACACCAAGAACCAGGTTGGCCGGGGATGGAATTAAGGCTCCAACTGTCGGATTCTGACTTCCCCGATTGGGACACTTGACATCTGTGTTTGCGATCCACACCCTCTACATCAATCCAATAGCTTAGCTTTCTCTCTGTCTAGCTACACGTGATACCCAACCTCTCTACTTATACCTTGCTCCCCCTGCTCCCCCTTTTCTTTCCTCAGTTGTTCTACCACCACAGCTGAGGTATGTTCGCTCTGTCCCATTTTCTGTACCTGTGCTGATTCAATGTATGGTCTAGACTTATGAGTATTCAGTACAGGTATACAGTTGCTCTACCACCACGGCTGAGTCTAGACTTACGAGTATTTGGTATGAGTTCCTAAAGGTTATGAGCCCTGCACTCTAACCAAGCACATTTACCTAGGACTGTCCGATCTTGTATACAGTGGTCACCTCATGCCCATTGCACTCGCTTTCTATGGCACCTCCTTGTTCTCCTTGTCATTCATCCAGGGGCAAATCTGGACGCTCCGCTCCCTCTACACCTGCTTCTGGTCTTCAGGCTCCCCTTCAGTTGGACACCCCTGCACCTCTGGTTACACCTACACCTGCAGTGCCACCACCTCAAATCCCTGTTGCTACACTCCTTATTCCCTCTGCTCTCTATACCGGCAGTGTCATCCTCGAACACTCTGCCGGGAATTGGGTTGAATGGTGTTCCTGGATCATGCACTCTCTGGTGACATGTGGCCTTGACCAGTACCTGCATTGTCACGAGTTGACATGGCATCTAGCCGTTTTTTTAAATTTTCCTTTTCGTGGGCTCGAACCCGCAACCTCTGTACTATACGCCTGAACGGACATTTCCTTATCTACTGTACAATCAGATTAGATGGGCGGCAGTGCGTGGCACAGCTCGGGCTCCACTGACACAGCTGCTCTGACTCACCGGCCCCCGGGGCTGCGTCAGCATGCTGTGCATGGACCAGCTGCGCACAGACCAATGCGCACAGCCTGCCCTTATCTTCCCCTGTATATAAGCCAGCCTCTGCTGCCCTAGGGACCTCAGTTTCGACCTCTTGTCCCTAGGTCAGTAAGTCTCTCATGTATTCCTTTTCTTACTTAACTAACTAATACATTTCTTGTCCCTAGCCTTAGGTTTGAGCATTGCTCACCATTGCTTTGGTGAGACCCAGTCGAATGCCCCCAGCCTTCGTGTTTGTTTGTCCTTGTCGCTTGACCCCAAGTCGCGACACTGTAAGGAGGAACTCGTCCCAACATGCAGCAGGCAGTCCGCATGCAATATGCATAGCGCATGCGCAATTCATAAGTGTCCGGTGGAGACACTCGACACAGCCGTTTTGGGCAGACATGTAAGGCAATGTACAGCGTAGTTTGATGCCCTTTTGAGAGAGGAAGGCTAGGAACTCCTTTGATAGCAGCTCACCATTGTCGATCTGGACAGTGCCAATGGTACTGCTTGTTTTGTTCATGTGAGTGACAGCCCAGGCACAGAAGTGTGAGAGGGCCACAGATTTGGAGGGCAAAGGGATCAACCAGGAGTATGAGGAGAAGTCATCTATTATATGAAGTGCATACAAATTTCCAGCAGCCAAGCACACATTAGTGGGACTCATTAAGTCCACATACACCAGTCCCAACTGTTGCATAGCTCGTTCACCCCCTGCACTTGAGGAACAGACATCTGAGTCTGTTTGCCAAGGATGCACAAGTCACACTTGGGTGGTGCGACAGAGAGGGTGGTGGGCTTACCTGGTAGAAGGTCGGCCTGAGCCATGTCAGAGACAGTGCAATAATTGGTATGGCCAAGACAATGGTGCTAGGAGACAAGATCGGGACGATGACAAGCAAGGAACACATGATCGATGGCAGGAGGAGAACCAGTAAGAGCATAGAGGTGACGAGCAAAAAGGGTACCAGAAGTGAGCAGCATGCCGGAGCGATCAAGAAGGCAGACAGAGGCATGGTCAAAAACAATGTAAGGGTGCGAGGGTGAACTGCAGAGGGCAGAGACAGAGACAAGACAAATGGTTGCCTGAGGAATGTAGAGGATGTTGTCAAGAAGAAGGGAGCGCCCCTTGCCAAGATGCAGTTTAATGCACCTGACACCATGCATATAGATCACAGAGCCATTAATGCCGCGGATCCCATGAGGAGCAATGGCCACAAGATCAGAGAAATTGTCCTTGCAAGGAGAAAGGTGGGTAGATGCACTGAAGTCGAAGAAGAATGGAGCAGTGCCAAGGGCAGCGGCAGCAGCAGGAGCGGCAGTGGCAAGAGCAGTAACCGACGCAGTGGACGAGTGGTGCCCCCAGTCGACAGAGGCAGTGTCTTCATCGGTGAGGGATCTGGTGAGGGTGCTGTATTTGAAGGTGTCTGCCGGAGAGAGCGTCGGAAAGGCCCACAGGTCGACTGGATCAGGGGTGTCGACAGTGAGGCTGGCAAATTTTGTGGATGGTGCCTTGGCTGCAGAAGAGGATGCCATGCTCGCAGTAGTGTCGATGTACATAGTGTCCCCGGTATTGGACAGCATGAACATGCGGCCATCGGGGTCATGGAGGACCTTAGAGCCACCGGATTTCCCTTTGTCGAGACAAGGGCATTTTGTGGTGAGAACCTCAGCACACTTGCCTTCCATAGCACCACCCAGCTGGAAACAGTCGGCAATCTCATGCCCAGTCATGTTGCAGTTCGAACAGGTCTTGCGAGGCTTGCTGCTGTTGCCGTGGCTTTTGGTGACAAATGCAGTGGCAGAGGAGGTAGCAGCAAGATTGGACCCAATAATAGAGCCAGTGGTGACCTGCCACTTGAGCTCCAAGCGAGTCATAATGTTGGTGGAGGTGTAGGGCAAGGAGGGAGTTGCTTGACAGAGTGATGTGCTAACCTGGGATTAGAGGTACTCAAGATCGCCGGACATGCAGTGCAGGAGCGTGAGACAGAGCATGGAATCCTTAGTCAGCATACCGATTTTAAAGATACACTTGTTGATGCTGGTGACACAAGCAGCGATGTTGGGGGATGGTTCCGTGCAGGTGAAGCGAAGACTGAAGAGCTCCTTGAGGAGCAGAAGCTGAGTGTATGCCCCCTCATGTTTATAGTGCATAACAAGTGTGGCCCAGGTTTCTGCAGCGGGAGTCTCAAGAGCCTCATGCATCTCAAAAGAATTATGCTTGGAGGTACCCAACTTGTACGCAATGAATGCGCACACCATGTGATCATTCATGTCCCAGTTGCAAGCAGAGACGGGGTTGATCAAGGAACACGGCCATGCATGTCGCGACTTGGGGTCAAGCGACAAGGACAAACAAACACGAAGGCTGGGGGCATTCGACTGGGTCTCACCAAAGCAATGGTGAGCAATGCTCAAACCTAAGGCTAGGGACAAGAAATGTATTAGTTAGTTAAGTAAGAAAAGGAATACATGAGAGACTTACTGACCTAGGGACAAGAGGTCGAAACTGAGGTCCCTAGGGCAGCAGAGGCTGGCTTATATACAGGGGAAGATAAGGGCAGGCTGTGCGCATTGGTCTGTGCGCAGCTGGTCCGTGCACAGCATGCTGACGCAGCCCCAGGGGCCGGTGAGTCAGAGCAGCTGTGTCAGTGGAGCCCGAGCTGTGCCACGCACTGCCGCCCATCTAATCTGATTGTACAGTAGATAAGGAAATGTCCGTTCAGGCGTATAGTACAGAGGTTGCGGGTTCGAGCCCGTGAAAAGGAAAAAAATAAAAAGATGGCTAGACGCTGTGTAAACTCGTGACATACAGCTAACTATCTCACAGTACATACAACGTCTTGGTCCCTGTCTCCTGGCATTACCCCATACAAGCTGTGGTTCTGATGTTGCCTGGATCTCTCCCATCTGCGTGAAATTGGCTGCTGTGCCTTTGTTCTTATTCAGAATCACCACAACCCCAAGATCTATGAACATTCTGTCAAGTGCATCCTCATTGGGTATAGCCTCACCTCTAAATCGTATAGGTGCTATCACCATGTTTTGGGCAAAGTCTTTGAGTCATATCATGTCAATTTCATCAAATCCTTTGAAGATCCTGTTCCTCCTATGGTGCCAGCGGCAGCTGATGTCTCTCCTTCTTCCCCTGTGTCTCTACCTGCGTCTCCCTCTGTCAACATCTCTCCTACACCTGCCAACCCTGAACCTCTAACCCTTTGGTGCTCTTGCCATACTCCAATTCTCTCCGAATGCCTTGTAGCTGCCTCTGATCTGCCACACACTTCCGCTGTCTCTCGTGCTATCGCTGAGTCTATCGCTAGTGGTGCTCATATCCAGGCTACTCATGCTGCTTGTCATGCTGGTTCACCGGTCATCACTGAGGAACCCGACCCTGATGCTCTGCTGCCTGTGCCACCTGCTATGCCCTCCTCTGTCACTTCTCCGCTTGCTGACACTCCGGCCTCTGCAGCACTGCCTTCGCATCCTGCGGCTTGGGCAACTCTCCAGGATGCTCTGTCTGCTTTTCCTGCTGGGCCTGCAGTCAACATTGAATACCCCGGTGATCCTGCAACCCTTGCCAAAGCAATGGCCTCTCCTCATGCTGATCAGTGGCGACAGGCTCTGCTTGATGAATTCCAGTCTATTCGTGACCTCGGTGTCTACAAGCTTGTTCCTTGCTCTGCCGTTCCTGCTTGTCATTGCATAATGAAAGGCAAGTCTGTGTTCTGCCTCAAGCATGACAAGGACAACATCTGTTGCAGTTTCAAAGCTATCTACAGGCAAGACTACAATCATACCTCCTCTCCTACAGTTTGCATGGAATCCTTCTGTGCCCTTCTTCACCTTGCTGCTACGCGCAACTGGGAGGTTCATCAGATTGATGTCAAAACAGCTTTCCTCTATGGCTCTTTACCTGATGAAGAGATCTGCTATATGAAACAACCCCCTGGCTTTGAGGAACCTGGCAAACTGGATTGGGTCTGGGAACTTCACAAAAGCCTCTACAGGATGAAACAGGGCAGTCGTGTCTGGAATAAAACCATGGATGCTTATATGCTTTCTGTTACAAGTTGGTATGGCATCTAGCTGTTTTTTAATTTTTTCCTTTTTGCAGGCTCGAACCCGCGACCTCTGTACTATATGCTCAAACAGACAAGTCATTATCTACTGTACAATTAGATTAGATGGGGCGGCAGTGCACGAGCCCAGGCGCCACTTACACAGCCATGCTAACTCACCGGCTCCCGAGGCTGTGTCAGCAATGCTGCACACAGACCAACTGTGCATGGACCAATGTGCACAGCCTGCCCTGAATCCCCCATGTATATAAGCCAGCCTCTGCTGCCCTAGAGACCTCAGTTTTGACCTCTTGTCCCTAGGTCAGTAAAGCCTTCATTTGTATTCCTTCTTTACCTCATTAACTAATATATTATCTTGTCCCTAGCCTTAGGTTTGAGCTCGCTCACCATCACTTCGGTCAACCCAGTCAAACACCCCCAGCCTTTTGGTTTGTTCATCCCCTGTCGCTCAACTCTAAATTGCAACACTTTCTATTGGATTCACGCATATCCCCTGTGAGTACTGTGTGTATTTCCGCAAGTCTGATGATGGGATTATCATCACTTGCGTGCATGTCGACGACTTCTTCGATGACTTCTTACTCACTGGTAGCTCTGCATCTGCTGTCTCTTGGTTCAAAGCTTAGCTGTGGGCTAAATGGCTCATCTCTGACCTCGGTGAAGCTACCTTTTGCGTCGGCATTGCCATTGAGCATGACAATACTCACCACACTCTTGCTCTGTCACAGACCACTCTTATCGACAAGGTCGTTGCTCAGTTTCACCTCCTTGATGCACCACCCATTTCTACTCCTATGGACAAAGGGGTCACCCTCTCTTGTTGCAATCACTCCCCTCTTTCCCAATCTTCTCATCAAGGAGGAGTGTCGGATTCTGACTTTCCCGATCAGGACACTTGATGTCCGTGTTCGCGATCCACACCCTCTACGTCAATCCAATAGCTTAGCTTTCTCTCTGTCTAGCTACACGTGATACCCAACTTCTCTACTTATACCTTGCTCCCCCCGCTCCCCCTTTTCTTTCCTTAGTTGTTCTACCATCACAGCTGAGGTATGTTTGCTCTGTCCTGTTTTCTGTACCTGTGTTGATTCGATGTATAGTCTAGACTTACGAGTATTCAGTACAGGTTCCTAAACCAACCATTTAGTTTATGTTTACAGCTGAAGCGTAAATAAATGGTAAATAGTAAACAGATGGTTTAAACTGTTGGAACAATGGTGCGACAGTGCGGGGCATGTTTGTCCACAGGCGTAGTGATGCCCATAAGGGACAATTGTGTAGCATACATACATTGCACACAGTCGTTATATACTACGATAGGGGCCTCTGGCCCCCAGCTACTCACATGCCCAAGCTTGTAAGCTCGTACCTAACTATGTGCTTCAACATAAACAGTTTGCAAGCAGTTTTATATAGTTATAAAATACCTATGATAACTTAAGCAAACCTTTCCTAATCCAATGCTTTGTGCATATCACTTGTATGATAGGTGCAGGAACAGAGCATTGGACATCTAATTCATGTGCATGTGAGGTAGGAAACATGAATGTATATGTGAGCATTCAAACTACATACTATGACAATGTACATACAAGGTTCACGGGTGTGTCGAGAAGTGAGCATGAACCTGGACAGAAAATTGACTAGCTACTTGCATAATGGGAATTGCTGGGATTATGGTCATGTTTTGCAAAGGATGAACCAATAAGTAAAGTAAGAAGTAAGTAAGGCACTCAGCTTCTATAGTACCAGAGAGCAGTAGCCTCATGGTGGGAATATACTATATTTGGTATCCCCAACCCCCGACTGTTTATACTGTTTATTTACAATCTATTTACTGTCTATGCCCTGGCCATAAATAAATAAATATAGTAAACAGTGGAAACCATTTATAGATAGTAAACAAATGAAATGGTTGGAGCCTTATGTCAGAAATCTCTGGGCATGCTTGCAATTCCTAAATCTTGTGATGGGCCTTGTGAAGTGCTTGTAAGACTTTGCAAGCAATTCACATTGTCTAAAGATATTGCAATAAGCAGATCCCTGATTAGGACTTAAGATTGTTATCTCAAGTTATCGCAATAAACTATAATAAGATTGCAATCATGTTGGCGATCTTGATTGAGTACTTGCTCGGCTCTTGCTACATCATAACAGTGCCAACCCCAGTCAATCTTGCTACATTATTCATGGACTGACTTAAGCAAGATATGCAGTGTCAAAAGCACACTCAATGCAGGGTATGTATATTTTATGCATGGTCACTATATTGCAAGTATTTAATGGGTTTGAGGCAAGTACAGGGGACCATGAGGTGCTCAATATGAGCCGACAAACAGCCCTATGAAAGGACTTTTGGTGAAGTGGTTTTGTGGTGCATTGGTAGTATAGTATTCCTACTTGTATCACTAGGATCCGATGTTCAAACCCAGTATATAGCACTTTGTAATAACATTTATAATAGCAACAGAAATAACTGTTCAATGATATAATAATGCAATTGATGTAATAAGTAAATGTAATAAGTAAATACAGCAAGATAAAATGAGTAAAATAAGTAACAAAGTAATAGAACAAGATAAGAAGGATAAATCCTGTAGAATACCCAAATAGAGTAGGTGAGGCCAGAAATCATTGGTATTGCAAGCTGCATGACCAACATTGCAATCATTTTCTACCTAGTCACATGGTCATTGCAAGCTTGGCAGGTCATTGTGACATTGTGACCCATTGCAATGCCTTGCAAACTTTGCTGGGTTTTTCCGACATAGATGGAATAAAACAAAATTGTCACGAGTTGACACGGCGTCTAGCCATTTTTTAATTTTTCCTTTTCACGGGCTCGAACCCGCGACCTCTGTACCATATGCTTGAACGGACAAGTCCTTATCTACTGTACGATTAGATTAGATGGGGTGGCAGTGCACGGCACAGCCCAGGCACCGCTTACACAGCTGCGCTGACTCACCGGCCCCTGGGGCTGTGTCAGCAACGCTGCGCACAGACCAGCTGCACATGGACCAATGTGCATAGCCTGCCCTAAATCCCCCATGTATATAAACCAGCCTCTGCTGCCCTAGGGACCTCAGTTTCGACCTCTTGTCCCTAGGTCAGTAAGCCCATGTACTTACTTCCTTACCCTTACTAACTTATACATTTTCTTGTCCCTAGCCTTAGGTTTGAGCATTGCTCACCATCGCTTCGGTGAGACCCAGTCGAACACCCTTAGCATCCTTGTTTGGTTCTCCCCTGTCACTTGACCTCAAGTCGCGACAAAAATATTACCTGTGATCAACTTAAATGGTGACATCAATCAAGGTACAATGGCAGACTTATCACAGGTAACATACACAGGCAAGTGATCATAGTACCCCTAAGCAAGAGGGTACAATGTATTACTGATTGCCATTAAGGATACTATGGTTTACCAGTGGATGGCCCCCCCCCTTGATGGCCAGGTTTTTGATGCGGAATGACTAGGCACCCCTCTGTCCTTGAAGTTATATGGGCACCTACATTTTTGTATGCCTGCTTTCACCTCCAAGTGGAATCAAAGTGAATGGATAAGTCGTTGAGGAGTCCCGCTTTCGAGGGGCTTGATGGCAATGTCACACCTGAGAGCGCAATGGCCACAATGGCCATGAGTGGAGTTTGAAATTATATCTGTAGATCGCTGTAGCACAACACACCTGGTAGTGAACATTTGGCTACTGTATTGCTATTCACCATGCCCCATCATGGAAAGGCTACTACAATGAATGATCCTACTTATGAATCTCAACTCCTTTGAGCTTTGCAGGGTCTTACAACTGGACAATATACCAGCATCTCGGAGGCATCTAGGAAGCAGTGTGTGAGTTATCTGCTGTGGCTACAACTTGACTTCTTCAGGTGCGCTGACCTGCATCATCTTTTAGGTTGCACAAAAAACACTATGAGGTAGAATGAAAGGAAGAAAGCCACTTAAAGCAGCAGCAGCAGAGCGACAGCTACTAAATCTGCAGCAGGAGCAAGTACTCTCAGATTGGTGTGCACATTTCTCAAAGTCAGCCCTGCCTTTCTGTCTGAAGACCCTTCGTGCACATGCATATAACATGACCAATTAACACCCAGGGAAGAACTGGCACAAGCAATTTCAAAAGTGTCACATAGCACTCTTCCCAGCCAAGCCAAATGGTCTTGATCCTTAGTGGGCACAGAATTTCAACAAAACCACATGAAAGATCTGTACAACAAACTGGAGGCACTTGAAGAGGAATTCAATGCTATTCCTTCTAAACACAAGTGGAACATGGATGAGAAATCAATACAATATGGCAGTGGCCACAAACATGATGGCACAAAGTTTTACTTTGTATGTGGTCAAAAGGACAGATATCACCTGTGTAGTGAAAACCTCGAGATGTTGACAATCATTGAATGTGTATCTGCAGCAGGTATTTCCATTCCACCAGATTTCATTTTTAAAGATGGACCCCTTCCAGATTGTTCAGACATTGAAGGTGTTGAAAGGTCTGCCAATCCATACTTGTATAAGATATTTGCCTCACTGACATTGCTATTTAGCATTGTGACCTCGCCAAATGGGTGGACAGATCAAGAGCTAACTGTGAATTGGTTCAAGAATGTGTTTGTACCTCATGCACTTGCACAATAAATTGATATGACAAAGCCAATAGTCTTGATCCTTGATGGGCATGACTTGCATGAAAGTGACGAGATGAAGGAGGTTGCCTATGAGCATGATGTTATTTTATTTGGCTTGTCATTAAAGATAACACACAAACTGCAACCACTCGATGTCACTGTATTTTCACCTGTACAATGCCAGTGGATCAAGCACACCAGTGATTGTCTCGCTGAAGGAGTCAAGATTGATTGTTACAATATTGTTGAGGAATACATGGAGGTCTGCAGTAAAGCCATCACCTCCCAAGTCATTTGTCGAGGTTTTGAGCAGACTGGGCTTCATCCACTCAATTGTCAGGTCTTTTCAGAAGATGACTTTGCACCAAGCATGGCATCTTCTGTAATTGCTCATGTCCCAGATTCATATCCCACCAAGATTCCATCATCTCCTCCAGCTGCAAGCTCTGATATCAAGATTGACAATGATGGTAGTGACGATGATGATGACAGTGATGTTGACTATAATCTGGATGATACTGATCTTAATGTTTATGATGCTAACAATAATTCGGACATAGCACAGCATGGGCCATCCAGTTTCAATTCGCAAGACTTTGATGTTTCTGATGACCTACCTGGCAACTCTGGCTCACTTGACATTGATCATGTATCTAGCTCTGGTCCTTGCTCCAACCCAGATAACAATGAAGAGCCTGATAGGTCGGCCACACTGCTACCACACTCAGTTATTGTGTCCATTATGACATGTTCTGCCTCTGTTGCATGGTCTCTGGATTCTGATTCTAGGAGCGGTACAGTCTCATTGGCTCAAGACATGTGGCGGACACTCCCTGAGGCTGTCTTTGAAATACACCTACTTTGTTGCCAGAATGATGCACTATGAGATGAACTGGCTGCATGTCAGGTGAGTCTTACTGCAGCCAACTCACACTGTACGGTTGCCCAACGGGAAACAAGCCATCTTCACATGCAACTTGCAAATCTAATCAAGAAGAAAACTCGTGGTTCAACAAAGATCAAGGCACAGTTTATCACTCACCTGAACTTGAAGGTCGCTTTCCAGGATTAGAGAGCTGCTGAGGCAGAAAGACAGCAGACTGAAGCACAGCAACAAGCTGAACAGGAGGCAGAGCAAAGGGTTCTCCAGAAGCATATGGTGCACGAAGTGGCATATAAAACATTTGACAGTCTGTTGTCCTCATACAGGCTAAAATTTGACTTACTTGTGCTTGCTGGAGCACTTGGTCTGTCACAGAACGGGACCAATGCTGAGCTTACAGCATGAATCAAAGCCTGTCTCGATTCCAATGATGTCCTCAAATAGCATCCACGCTTTGCGAGCCTATATAGTTCGGGAGGATTGACATGACAACGTGCACACCAGCCTGCTCAAGCAGTGGTCAACAGTGTGCCTGTTGCAACCACATCATCCTTTGGTGTCTTCGCTACTCAGCAGATTGCTGCTGGTTCTCCAAGTTCATGTCGTTAGACTCCCTTCTGAGTGATCACACCTTGACCATCAGCGCAACCTTCCATTACACAAGCACAGCTGCTCAGTTCATTCACACCAGCCCCAATGTTAAACCCGCCATCTGTATCCGTATACCATCCCTTGTCTGGATCCCAGCCAGCACAGTCGACTTTAGTGTATCCCACTCCCAATTTATTGGCCTCGACTTCATATCTGTACTCTTTCCATGACTCCAATTCATCCTGATATTGTTGGCACTGATATGTACAATGTATATGTTGTATGTAGTGTAGCTCAATCTATTTCTACTTGTTTACTTCATGTCTGAGAAATGTTGCCTGCTAATGCCATAGCTCTGTGTGCTGAGCAGACCTTGAAAATGGCATCATCACGTTGATGTGACGAAGTGCTACCTGGCCATCAACAGGGGGGGCCATCCACTGGTAAACCATAGTAGGATGTGATGTATGATCTTACTACTGGCTGCTAGTAGTAGTGGTCATGTATGATAGTAGTGCGCACTCCTATGCAAACATGCAAATACATCATTATATATCATGCTTCTCCTGGTGCGAGTACATTAAGTCATTATTGTCACAAGTTGACGCAATGTTTAGCCATTTTTTAATTTTTACTTTTTTGTGGGCTCAAACCCGTGACCTCTGTACTATATGCCTGAATGACCAAGTCGTTATCTATTGTATGATTAGATTAGATGGGATGACAGTGCATGGCAAAGTCCAGGCTCTGCTGACACAGCTGCTCTGACTCACCGGCCCCCAGGGCTGCATCAGCAAGCTGCACATGGACCAGCTGTGCACAAACCAGTGTGCACAGCCTCCCCTAAACTTCCCCTGTATATAAGCCAGCCTCTGCTGCCCTAGAGACCTCAGTTTCAACCTCTTGTCCCTAGGTCAGTAAGCCTTCCTTTGTATCCTTTCTTTACTTCACTAACTAATATATTATCTTGTCCCTAGCCTTAGGTTTGAGCCTCGCTCACCATCGCTTCGGTGAGATTCAGTCGAACACCCCCAGCCTTTGTTTGTTCCCTGTCGCTTGACCTCAAATCATGACACCGGTGGTGTGAATACACTTAAGTCCTAAGTAATATATCATGCTCCTCTTGGTACAAACACACCATGTTATTTCAGAACACATGTAGATATAAGTATTGTAAAAAACACTTTAATCAAAATTGTAACACATGGAAACATATGAATGTGTCTACTTAATAGCAGGCTGCAATCAGGCCAGTGTATTCTCAGTGCCAGCCACCCATTCTAGCACATACCGCCAAATATGGTTACACTGGTCTCTCATGGAAATATGAAGTTTTGCTTGGCATAAGGCATACACAGTCAAGCCCTCCCTGTGCTCATCTGTCAGCACATGAATACAGCTCACCCATTGGAGCCACCAATGTCCCTGCCATTCAAAAAAGGCTAGAACACATCTCATTTCCTCCTGCAGTAGATCAACTTCTTCCAACCATCAATGTGCGTGCACGCGCAACTTACACCATTCAATTTGTAATGTTACTAATGAGTTTAGTATGCAGTTATAGGGCTCATAGACAGGGCATACCTTCATGTAATTCTTGATCTCCACCTGCGCCCACTCCAGGCAACATCCAGATCCATGAGAGAGTTTGCCACCCCTTGGTTGACATACTATTGCCTTCAGACATTCCACATATGTTGCCATCTTCCAAGTGTTTGAATTGTGACTGCCACCCAGTCTTCTGAAGGGGCCTGCAAGGGAAAGCAGTGCTGCATGGGCCTTGCAATACTGTATCACATCTGCTCTGACCTTATCCTTGATGTTCTTGACAGTAAGTCTGGCCCGGGTATTCTTGTGTTGTCTGCATAGGAATCTGTCCTTGAATTGCAGCAAGTGAGAGCAGAGACACAGGTGTCAGTGGAGATTGTGTAGCATGTCGTCTGCCTGTGCTTTGCAAAGGTGCCACTCATAGTTAAGTAATTGAGGATAACAGACAGCTTGACTGATGGTTGCAGAAGGTAGAAGTAGTGGAGTGTTTTGTCCCACAATGAAGCTTTCTTGACACACCAATGTGGTGAGAAGATGTTCCTGGAGTGTAGCTATGCCAGGCATGTATAGGTGCTGAATTTCTATCCAGCTCTCAACCTTTCGCTAGAGAGTGTTACACCTCTTGACAATCCTCACTTGCTGCAATTCAGTGGCATGCTGACCGAGGGCAGCAGTGTCTCCCACAAGCTGACACCTGCAAGACTCAGTGAGAAGATTGATACAAAATTAATAAACACTCACTGTTGTTCTTCCAGCTCCAAGCCGACAGTCAGCATGACACTGCTTGACATTGTCTCATGCATCAGCATGCTGTGGCCTCTTCTTCAGCAAGTTGCAGCCTGACAGCTGCTTGAGTAGTACCTAGTAAGTACACATTTAGCAACAATACATCTATAGCTTCTAATCAGACACACGAGAAGTCACCAAAACAAAGGAATTTGGACATGAAGTAGGATCAACCTCCCAGGCTTCAATTCATGCCTTTCATGTAGCTGTCAGGTTTTGCGGGAGGGCCTCACTGAATTCAATGAATGCGGTGATAGGCGCCAAGCCCCTCTGGGCCCCGATACACCTCTTTTCGGCAGTCGCATCCCGCCTGGCACTTCGACTCAGTCACACAACAGTTCGATTTCGCCTTCGACGCTCTTCGACACCTTCGACGGTGCGCGACGCTTACTCGAAGCTCAGCACGGTCGTCCCGATGCCTCGCGCGTAGACCCCGGGACATCTTCCGCATTCGGCGAACAATAGGGCCACTTGACGCCGTTCGGCCAAGTGCGTGCATCGCTCCATGCCACACCGACGTAGCCGGTCTTCCCCGATTAGGTATCGAACCTCGCGGCATGCCTTCAACGACGGACACCGGTCCGAAGTGTCTCGCATGCTTCCCTTCATCTCCGCGTTCGGCATGACATCACTCTACCGATGGACTTGATGCGTGCCACTCGGTGAGGCAGCTTCGTGCGGAACAATGCAAAGCCCCTTGTACTAGTGTGCCACTCTCGATAGTCGTAGCGTCCTATGCGTAGTATAAAATCTGTCGTACTTCTCTCCAAAAATACAAGATCTGGTTCCCCCCTCGAGTTCAGAGCTCATAAGTCGAGTTCGCCCCGCGTCTAAGCCTTCAACTGCGTCACTTCGTCCCTTGCTGCGTAACTTCGAAACCTCGTCCACTGCGTTTACTCGTCGATACCGTCTCGATGAACCCTTCGACTTCGACTATTGTCGAAGAAACTGCGAACCGCGCCCTAGCTAAGTCCACCCTTCGAGTCGTGTCCCTTCCTTCTACGATACATCGAAGAGCTCTGCCGAGCTTCGATCGTCTCCACTAACCACCCACAGCCTCCGAGTAGCTTCGACGACGTGTCGAAGCCACCTCGTACCTTCCCTAGCGTTCGTAGCCTTTTCCGAAGGCGTTTCTCGTGTTCACTCGAACCGCGGGACACCTTGCTGCTAACTCCCCTCTCACTAGACTATAATCCGTCTCTCTAGTCCCTTTAGGTCGCACCCAGGTTAGGGGTTAGGGTTTCGTAGGTCGTATCATTTCTGGAGCCCACCGCGAGGGGATTTCAGGCAAGAATTCGCCGCTTTCGGGTTTCCGAAAACGTCTCCAGTAGTCACCCGCTCGCAAGCGCGTGAGGCTGCTAGCCGCAGCGCCGCCGAGAACCTCGACAGCTCCTCTAGAACGCAATCGACTCCCTCGCCAACCATTCCCGGTAACTTCGACCGCGACGAAGAAGACAAGATAGACCAAGAACTCCAGGACGACTTCGACGAAGAACCGATCCCTTCGACCGCCGAAGAACGCACGTCGTCCCCCGAGCTTCTAGGCCTCACTACTTCCGACTACGACATTTCGACTCCTGATCTTTCGAACGAT